CTCTCCCTCTGCAACTCCCTCTCCCTCCTCCCAATCCCCTCACCCTGCAACTCAATCTTCTCCATCAACAGCCGATTAACCTCCGCCGCATGCGCGCGGCTCTTCTCCTCCATATCTCGCACGATCTTCTTCAGCTTGTCGACTTCGGCTTCGAGGGCGGACTTTTCGGACGAGACCGAGGCGCGCAGGGAGTGCAGGATCTCCAGTTGGTCTTTGTTGACGAGGTTGACTGCAGCGGTGCGAGCTTAGCGACGAGAAACTCAGCCAGAGGAGGAAGCGGACGCACGGTCAGACTTGGCGACGGTTAGCTCCCGCTCCTGCGAGACGAGCTTGACGTCGAGTTCGGCGTGCTCGCGGCGGACTTTCTCGAGCTCGTCGACCGTCTCGTTCAGTCGTTGTCGGAGGGCGAGAGCAGCTTCGGGACTGCGCACGGCGAAAGACATCATCAGCCTTTTGAGCTACTCCTGGTGTAGACCCTCAGTGACAGACGACGGAACGCAACGCACCCGTCTCCCAACCTCGACTTGCCGCTCATGATCTCCTCGAGCTGCGCATTAAGCACGAGCTTCTCGCGATGTTCGCGCAAGTAATCCTTCTCATACTTGCCCTTCATCCGATTCGCGTCCTCCAGCAAGTTCTCCAGCACGATCAGCCTCGATGAGTCGGCCTTGTCGCCCTTGGCGTTCTTAAGTTCGCGCTCGAGTCGTCGAATGCGGAGCTTAAGGTCTGTCGTTGTCGTGCCGGCCAAGGCGTCGTCCAACTCGGCCGCGACGCCGCCTTCAAGCGCGAGCGAGTCGTCCCCGTCAATCCCGCTCTCCCGCCGCCCGCCCGCTCCAGGCCGCCGCCTTTTCCCCGCTCCATCACCCATCTCAAGCTCCTTCACCTTCTCCTCATACAACACCAGTGCCTCGCCCTCCTTCTGTCTCTCCTCCTCCGCGACCCTCAACTTCTCCCTCGTCCGCTCCAGTTCCAAGCGCAACTTGTCCGTCTCGCGCTGCAAGTCGGACGAGTTGGACTCGAGAGAGTCGATCTTGGACTTGTACGACTCCATGAGTGGCTTGAAGGCTGAGACTTTTTGGTATTCTTCTTCGAGAGAGGCGTTCTTATCGAGCAGGTCGGCGTTCTGGTCTTCGAGCGTCTGCGAACATGCCCTCGAAACGCTATCAGCCCGCGGCGCGACGACTCGAGCGAGTGCTGCGGGGATGAGAGCGCCGACGCACCTTGAGCATCCTCCTCGTCTCAGCTGCCTCCTCGAGCTTCTTCTTGTACTTCTCAATCACGTTTTCCTGCTTCTTGGCCTTCTCGCTCGCGTGACGATATTCGTCCATCTGGTCTTTGAGGCGGAGGGCTTCTTCCGCTTTTGGCGCGAGGTCGTCGACCTGCGGTATGGACAGGTGTTGGTCAACTTCTGGCGCACGGAAGCGGGCCGAAGCGGAAGACTCCGCATGAGCCAGTACAGCGGGAAGACGACTGACCTTCCTCGTCAAATCCTCGACCACCTTAGCCTGCCGCTCGACAACCTGTTCCGCCTCCCCAAGCTGGTTCTCCGTCTTCGTGCTGCTCAAATCCGTCGTCAGCTTGCGGGACTAGCGGGAAAGCGAGAGGCGAACGCACAGCTGTCCCCGCAGCCGCTCGAATTCAGCCTTGTACGTCTGCTCAGGCCGGTCCTTCTTGCTCGCTTCGAGCCGGTCCGCCAACTCGGCTGCTTTCGACTCGGTCATCGCGAGGTTGCTCAGGGTCTCCTCCTGCTCGTGACGGTCATCAGTAGGCGAAGGAGACAAAGAGAGGCAAAGAGAGGGAAAGCACACGCACATGCTGGTCCTTGAGCGAGTTGAACTGCTCAAGCAAGTCTTCGTACATGACCTGCAGCGCCTCCTTGTCGTGCATGATGCGCGACTTTTCGTGTCGGATCTCGTAGAAGTCGCTGCGAGGAGCGCGACGGTAGCGCGTCAGGCAACGCTTCGACCAACAGAGGGAGCAGACGCACTCTACTTCCTCGTCCTCGCCCTCTTCGCGAATGTCGGCTGGTCGGACCTTGCTCATGACCTGCGAACGTGAGGAAGCAGTTAGCGTGCACGCCTGCCCGTGAGCTGGAGAAGCGCAGCGCAACGCACCTGCTCGATCGAGTACATCAATTCGCGCTGGATCCATTCGTCGAGGCTTTGGATGCGCGTGATGTGCTGCTGTTTCTTGTCGGACTGCACAACAGCAAGACGTAAACCAAGGAGAAGGGTCAGACTCGCTCGAAGCCGAACACCCGCACTGAAAGATCGGCTGCCGTACCTGGACAGTCAACGCCAGCACGAGTCCCGCCAACTTGCACACCTCGTCGTCGCTCTCGTCCGCGTTTTTCGCGACTTCTTGCAGGTTGGGCGTGAGGAGGCCGGCTGTTGAAGAATGCAGGACGTCCCTGTTTCGCGAAAACATCTCCTCGTCAGCTTCAGACTGCGCGCTGAGGGTGCGAAGAGAGCCAGACGCACTCGAAGTACCTCACGATTAGCTTGTACAGCCGTTTGAGGTTGTTAAACCGAAGGACCCAGTTCTCGGAAAGTGCTTTGGCGTTCGAGGCAGAGTTGGCCAGCGATCGGAAGTACTCGGCGTCGCTGCGAGCCTCGAATCAGCGCTGCGTCACTTCTTCGCCAAAGAAGCATAGAACGAGGGAGAGCTTCGAACGCACATGTCAACAAGGACCTCCCCGAGGGCAACGCCGTCCTTCAAGTCGTCCAAACCTGCGATCGCCCTCCTGCCCTGCCCGGCACTCCCAGACTGCACTGCAGGCTGCACCTTGACCCATTCGACGAGGGCGTCGGGTAGCCTTGCATGTTCGGTTGTCGAAGCGAGCGAGGAGAACAGGCTCTTGCGCGGCGCTGGCATGGTACCGACGGGTGGATGCGCTGCAAGAGACCCCTATGAATGCCTCGCAAGCAGTCGGTAGTCCCAGCTTGGCGTGTCGAGTGAACCGGTTCGTCGAGGTGGGGTTCGAGCGGGAGATGAGATGGGAGTCGAGTCGCAGGAGCAACGGTGACGCTGCAGAGCGCTGAGCAAGCTTTGAGAAGCCTCGTGAGCTGGCGTTGCTCCCAGCAGGCGATAGCGAGGTTGTACGCAGGTTGACAACCCTCTCCTCCTCGAACGAACAACGCCAACTCTCGCAGTAAGCCCCAAGACAGTGTGAGGAAGAAGCAGCGATGCGTTGCGATGCACGAGAATAACCCAGTGTCTGTCTTTGCGGAACCCCTCGCCCCGCCGCCTCCTCAAACCGCAACAATCGCAACTCCGACGACGAGCGCCGCCGCCGTCCCTCCCACGGCCGCCCATTCAACCAGCGTTCTCCGCACCGCACCGCTCGACGTCCTCCCCGTCCCGCCTCCAGCCTGCACAGCGGTCGTCACCGTATTCGCCGCCACGAGGGTCGTCCTCACGCTCGGCGAACCAGTCGAAGCGTCGCCGCCTATCGTCCCGCTCGGCCCGTAGATTCCGCCTGGTGGAGCAGTGAGGTTCCCGTCGTGCGCTGGGTCGGAAGAGTTCGATGGCCACGAGGGATAGCGGATTAGGGTCGAGTTTGGGGGGAGGGCGAAACCGACGGAGGGTGGGGAGGCGCGGAAGACCGAGTAGACGTTCTTGAGAAACGCGGCGCCGATCTGCAGGTTGAGCGCACGATGAGTATGACGCACTACCAGCGAGAGGCACAAGGTTGGCCCGCAAGGCCAGCGAGTGAGCCTCGAGAGGAAGCCGACCACTCACCACCCAGCTAATCCGACTATTGCTTCCAAAGCTCAGATCAAAGAACGCGCCCAAGCACGTCGCCTGATCCGTCGTCGAGTCGATCCCGAACGGCCCGAGGTTGAAGTCGGCGGTCGACATGTTGTAGGTCTGCTCGTCAACGTCGTCAGCTCCGAGCGAGTCAGCAGGGCAAAGGGAAGACGTACGACGTTACCGAAAGTCAGGCCGACGGTGACGTTCTGCCGGCACGGGTAGGAATAATAGCCTGCGAGATAGGGGCAAATTGTCAGAGTCAATCTCGCCCCCAGCCTGGTACACCCGCCTGACCGCTCCACGCGGCGCACGAGCGACAGTCTCAGAGCGACCGACTCACCGCTATACGCTCCCGTGGCCGCCTTCGCGCCCTGAACCTGCGCATAAATCGCCTGCACGACATCCTTCGGACCGCCGATCAAGGTCGTACCCGTATCGATCGCAACAAACTGTCCCTGCCCCTGCTGCGTCGCCCAACTAGTCACATTCGTCCCATTCACCGCAACCTGGTCCATCCTCACAACCCAGAACGATTCCATCCCCGAAGGGATGGGAACGTAGTTGATTTCGGAAGAGTAGAGAGACGCGTTGAGGTAGCCGAAGGTGAGGGAGCCGCCGGGTTCGATGGCGGACGCGTTGGTGACGTTGACGAAGCGCGTGAGGGAGACTCCGAAGCCGGGGAAGGGGAGGGCGGGCGCTTGGTACAGGTTTTGCCAGAAGGGGGTCACGCCTGATGCGGCGAGCGGTTGCCAGCCGAGGCCTGCGGGCGGGAGCGTCAGTCAACGCTACTTCAGGCTTCGGGGACTAAATGAACGCACCCATGAGACCACCAATGTCTCCGCCCAGCAGATCCCGACTAACACTGTCGACCACCGCAAACGCCTGATTCGAGACGTTGTACCCTCCAAACGAGACGTAATCCTGCACGATCTCTCCCTGCGCCGAGCCCGACCCGTATTTGACGAGGAAGGACGTGTTCATGTCCTTTTGGGTGGTGGAGAGCGAGGTGTTGTAGAGCGGGACGGACGAGGGGCAGCCGGAGGAGGAGGCGCAGAGCTCTTCCGAGGCGACCCACAAGTCGGCGGAACTGTACGAGACGAGTTTGTAAGCGCAACTTCAGGCGAGAAGGGAGCAAGTCGGACGAACCCCGTATCGAGAATGCAGTTCATGTACTGCGCAGGGACGCCGATGCCGACTGGCGCATAGTATGACCTGTTACGAGCGCATGTCAGCCGTCAACATCGACAGTACGAGCGAGAGCAACGCGCGGCGCACAGATCTGCGTCGTAGTTGAGCAGGCGAACCTCGCCGACCGGTGCGTTGCTCGGGGTCGGCAGCGACGTCGGCGCGGTATGTGTCGTGCTGCTCGTCTGCGTCACCGAGCCCAATCCTGATCCCGACAGCGACGACGCTGCGGAACTCCCGCCAACTCCGGCGGTACTGAGCGCGGTGTGAGAACCGAGTGCGCCGCCGCCGGGCGCTCCGAGTTGCCTCTCCTCGATAGCCCGTACTCTTCTCCGTCGTCGTCGACTCGCCTCGACGCCCTCGTCGTCCGCATCTCGCTCGTCGAGGTCAAGCACCGCCTCCTCTCTGCGCACGCTCCGCTGTCCGTCTACCGCCCTCTTTCTGAGCCGCTCCTCGCTCGAACCGTACTTGCCAAGCAGCCTGCCCTTCTCCCTCACGGCCCATCCGCGCAGGATCTCGCGAAGCTCGTCGTCGGAAGCGGCTCGGCGCGCCAAGTGACCGTTCCGTCGCAGCAACGGGATGTGGACGCCTCCCTGTGCGTTCGTAGACGGCGCAGGCGGCGGCGAGTATGTCGTAGGTGCTGCTGTCGCGACTGGAAGCGCTGGCGGAGGTGGTGGAGCGGCTGCCGCGGCGAGATTCGAGAGGAGAGCGGCGCTAGCGGCCAGGAGGACGGCGAGGGGATGGGCGGGCGGCGGGACCATCTTGGCTGGTCACTTCGAGGCTGCAAAGACTTCTTGAGCCTGCAAGAGCGCCCCGGCAGCGTGTTGAAGGCGTGTCGACGAGTGTTCCGCGACGAAGAAGACGAGGAAGGGGTCGAAGCGATGGCGGACGACGGAAGAAGTGTGGGTGGTCGAGGTGCGTTCGCAGAGAGCGTCTGAGCCAGTCCAAGCCAGTCCAAGCAGCTGGTTCGCGCAGAGTCGACTTGTCAAGATGGGAACTTCGCCGTGAGGAAGCGGTTTGGCTGGAGGCATCCACTCGACATCGCTGTAATGCGCTGGTAAGGCTCAATTAGACTCGTATTGCTCGCGCTGGACGCCGCCAAGCTTGTCCCGGCCAGCCGCCCGCTCTTCTCGCATCGCCTGCCACTCTTCTCACCCTCGTTCCTCGTCTTCTTCGTCTTCTCTTCCAGGACGAGCAGGATGGCTGGGTGGGGTCGGTGAAGAGGTGGTCACACTCACTGCCACGCGAAGCTCCTGTTCCTTTGACGGCGGGCACTCCGCGGACTGTCCGGCGCCTCGTCCTCTCCTTTCGACGTCGCTCTTCCTCTCTTCCTTCTCGCGCTTCATTTTGACGACTGGGCTTAAGGCGCTATCCCCATGAGCGTGCCCATGTCGCGCCAGCTGAGCCAGTACGGCTACCCATCATCTCGCTTCTCAGGCGACAGCTACACCGACCTCCATTCCCTCCCCTCGCTGCGGCTCTTTCGTTCCGGACGGGGTTCAGGACACGCAGCGGCACAGGTACTCTCACCTGGAGACACGGAGGACGATGAACCTGGGCCTGGAGGACGAGGACGAGATGGCATCTTCTCCCGCCGCGCCAGATCCGCCTCGCGTTCCTCCCGCGCCCGCGAACGAAGCCGCTCGCTCACCCTCCCACGCGCGCGCACCGCCCCCGTCTCGCCTCCAAGCGACACCGATGCCGCTTCCGACCAGAGCGACCCCTCCTCGCCCCTTTCTCCCTCCTCGCCTTTCTCCCCTTCCGCCCTGGACCACCCACTCTTCGCACCCACATTCACACCGCGCCAACTAGCCCGCCTGCAGCGCTCGTCCCTTCACGCACAGAAGCGCGAGAAGGACAAGGCGAAGCACGCGCATGCGAAGGGCGAGCGGAAGGCTGAGTTGAGGATCGCGATGGGCGTGTTGGAGCTTGTTGAGAGTGAGAAGAAGGTTGGGAAGGAGGGGAGGAAGAGGGGCAGGAGTGCGAGTATGGGCAGGGATAGGACGGTTATCGGCGGTCAAGCGGGAGGAGCGGGAGCGGCGCAGGCGACGCAACAGCCGCAGTGGACGAAGCAGGATGGCTTGTTCGGTATGCTCGAGCAGGTCGAGCACCAGCTCGAGTCGCGGTTCGACGTCGGTCCGCATCCCGCTGCGCCCTCAACCCCTCCCTCCGCCTCCAACGCCTCGAACGCGAAGGAGGGCGTCAAGCGACTGGCTGAGGCAGGAGGAGCGGCGGCGCTCATCAGTCTCGTTGGCGCGGCGGGGGTCGACATGTGGAGGAAGCGGAAGGAGGAGAAGGCGCGGAGGGGGAGTGTGTCGGCTGCGACGCAGACGAAGGCAGCGGAGCCAACCAGTCGCCGTGCGTCTTTCCCTTCCATGCGAGGATTTATCCTGCTAATGACTGACGTCTTGCACAGCGTCCTCGACGCCTGCTGTTGCCGCCCTAGTCCGACCGCGCTCATCTTCCGTCGCTTCCGCTCCGGCAGGTCGCGGTATGTCGACTGCCACGTCCTCGCAGCCACTTTGCTGATGTACATCACGTGCTGCTCGTAGCTGCTCCGCCCGTCTCCCGCCCTCCCTCGATCCCTCACCCCTTCGCGCCTCCCACGCCCAACCTCCCTCCAGCACCTTACCTCTCGTCCCTCACTCCCGTCCAACACCATCTCGTCCGGCATGCCGCTGCTGCCTTGCTCCTCAAGGACCACCGCCATGGCCGAGGAGTGTTCGAGGGGATTGAGAGAGTTCTTGAGAGAATGTGGGAGAGAGGGGAGGAGGTGGGATATGTGCATGGGGGTGGGAAGGGAAGGCCGGTCAGTGCGTTGCGATTCTTCTCCTGCTGGGCTCTCTCGTCCACAGCGGGATGCTCGAGCTGAACGGCCCCTTCATGACGCACAGAACTCTTCGGCACGCCCCTCAAGTACCTCACGAAGCACGAAGGCGTCGACTCGTTTCACGGCGCCAATCCGCACGGAACAGTCCGCATTCCGGAGTTCGTCGATCACTGCATCACGGCGCTCAAGATGATGGGTGCGTTCGCGCTGATCGACCTTCTCACGAGGATCAAGGCTGACGAGTAACGAGCGCAGACATGACCACCGAAGGCATCTTGCGCAAGTCGGGCAAGTTCCGCGTTGTGAACGAGATCATCAACGCGCTCGACTCGAGCGGCGGGAACGATACGGTCATCGACCTCGCTGCTCTGTGAGCTCGCATGTCCTCTGCGACGCCTGCGAGTGCATCGAATCGCATTAGACGTGCTGAAGGATGATTTTGTCTCCTCGCAGCGACCCGATCACCCTGGCTGACTTGTTCAAGCGATTTTTGGCCGCTCTTCCCGACCCCGTTTTGACTGGCCACCTCTTCAACCTGTTCATCGCCTGCTCGCGTGCGTCGAGCTTACTACTGCTACTCGGAAATCGAAGGCTGAGTGGCTCTCTCCGCAGACATCAAGAACGTCGGGATCCGGAGAAGGGCAATGTGCGTCCTTCGGCTCGTTTTCCTCCCTTCTTCTCACTACGTCGGCTCATCAGTTGCCCTTCGTCCCGAGCAGGCACCTCGTCATCTGCCTCATGCCGCGAGCGGTGAGTGCCGAAGCTTCCTGGGCGCTGCGCTGGGCGAATTTTCGAAGGCCCAGTCCGCATTCAACTCCGGTGTCCGAAGGCACTTATCAAATTTGTTGCAGAACCGCGACGTCATGGAAGTCATCTTCCTCTTCCTCGACTGGCTCTCGACCTTTGCGCACATCACGGTCAAGGACGGGAACAAGATGGAGCTGACTTCGATCGCGAAGAGTGCGTCGACCGTTCGTTCGTACTCAGTTCTCCACGTGCTGACCAAGCGTTACTCTCGCACCATCAACGCAGTCATGGCTCCAACCCTCCTCCGCCCGCTCCACCGCCCGCCTCACCCACACGAAGTCCCCTCAATGATCTCCTCCGTCCTCCTCCTCCTCGAAGACCAGCACCTCCTTCACTCGGTACCCGTCGAACTCGCGCAAGTCTTGCATATCGAGGTACCGAAGGAGCACTTGGGGAAGAAGGGTGCGGCGGAAAGCGGTGGGTTGGTGGCGTGGTTGGAGAAGGTGCTGTGACGAGCAGGCGAGGTGTACGAGTCTGTGTTTGATATGTAGTACTACATCTTGCGTCCGTTAACGAGCGGGGTGAGCGATAGCTCGTGAGGAGGAGGAAGATGCGACTTCTTGTAAGCACGACGGCTTCGTTCCGGCTTGTGAGGGGGCGCATGTATGGAAGACCCCCTCGCAATGCCTCGAGAACCCAGTCACCGGCTTACAGTCCGTTTGAACAGAGGACGACTTTCCCTTTCTCCCTCGAGGGACGCTCTCCTTCCTACCGCTCACTCCGCTCCCGCTCTTCTCGCTTGCGCTGCTTCCGAGCTGCTTCGAGACGCTTGTTCAGCGCACCGAACCTGCTGCTGCACGGCTCCATCGCTTCCTCACACCGTTCGACCCTCTCCCATCTTCATCAGTGCGCCCACTCAAATCCCGCCCTTGCACCTCCCACACCGACTGAGACCCGCGCAGGAGACGATGGACCCGTCGAAAGACGTGTTTGAGGACACTAGCATGCTCGATGACCCCGCCGACGACGACTACGCTCCTCCCGGCGGGTCACGCAGCACCGCCTCGCCCAAGTCCCGCGCGAGCAAGTCGAATAAAGGTTCGCCGACGACTCCGAGCAAGGGCAAAGGGCGCGAGAGGAGGAAGAGCGCCGAGCCGGCGGCTCAGCCAAAGCGCAATGTGCCGTTCCCGCTGTTCGACTTGCCAGGCGAAATGTGCGTTCCGCTCTTCCGTACGAATGCCTGCGGTCTTACTGACGATCATCCTCCCGCAACAGCATCGACGCCATAATCTATTCGCCCATCCTTCGCGTTCACGACCACCTCCGTCTCGCCGCAACCTGCCGCTCCCTCCGCTCGGCCTACTACACCCCGCCTCCCTCCGGAAAAGGCTTCGCCTCCTTTAGGTCGCCCATCTGGAAAGCCCTTACGAAAGAGCGCAACTTCGAGTCGCTCGGCAAGAACCGCTATTACTACGGAAACGGCGCGTACTCCTATGGAGGCGGGCAGAGCAAGGAGGAGAGCGACCGGATTCTCAAGCACCTCTGGAGTCGCGAGGACCGCATTGACCCCGACAAGATGCTCGTTCTCGCTCAGAAGACGGTCGCGGGTCGTAAGGGGCGCGGAGGAGTTGTCATGCCGTCGACGGTGGTTGTGCAGCCGGTCAGGAGCGTCGAATGGGACGACGTGATCGCGACGCTCTCGACGCAGGTGCGTTCGCACGCTTCGATCTGTACTACTTCGCTAATAGCCGGAATCGCTTGCAGCGAATCACTAAGACGACCGCCAAGTCCGAGTACAAGCTCAACGACAGCGAGTGCGTCCACTGCAGCCTCTCGCTGACGCGCAGTACTGACGACATCAGTACGCAGACTCTCCCGTCTCAGCTACCGGGAGAGGCGCAATCCGCACTACCGCTTCGCAGCGCCCATGCAGCTCTACCTCGAAATCGCGGTCGAGACGCTCGCCTTCCGCCTTCACGGTGGCTATGCAGGTCATGTCGCTCTGTACGTACCGCCCCTTACCTTCGACCTTTCTCACACTCGCTGACTTCCCGCTTCACGCATTCAGGCTCAAGAAGCGCGAGTCGGCGGCGGCCAAGGCGGCTCAGACGAAGCGTGCCAAGCTCGACGGGACGTGGGTCTCGCCGAAACAGAAGACGAAGGTTGAACAGGAGCAGGCATACGGGGACGAGGGCGAGGACGACGAGCATATCTTCAGTCCTCCGTCGCCGCCTGCCTTCGGTGCCTTCCCTGCTACCCCTGCTTTTGGCGGCGCCGTGGCAGCTGGCACCTCCAGCTTGAGCCATCTCTTCGCTCCGAGTCCCTTCACCCAGTCGCCACCTCCCTCGTCCTCCTCGGCCGTCCCTTCGCACCTCGCCGGCTTCATCGGTCTCCAGCCCGCCTCCACCTCGACGCTTCCAGCCCTTCCCGCGCTCCAGCAGCCCTATCAGCCGCACAGTAACTTCACGCCTCCGGCCGCACCCGTCGCAGGCCCGTCGGTCATCGTCAAGCCAGACCCGGCCCCTATGCCTTTGGTCCGCGAGGCTGGGACGTCCACCGCAACCTCGACGCCGCCTGACGCCAAGCTCGAGCTCAAGAGGGAGGAGGAGGAGGAGCCGAATGCGCGTGTCGCTCCGCCTGCTGCTGCGGAGGTCGACGTCAAGCCGGAGATCAAGCCGGAGGAGACGGACGAGGCTGAAGAGGGAGGCAGGAGGACGAGCAGGCGCAGGGGCGCGAAGAGGAGCTACAAGCAGTACGCGGACGGAGGGTTTGACGTCTTTGAGTGAATGGAGCGCGGAGGATGGACTCGCTTGCATGGAAGCCGCTTAGGCCTGAACGCTTCGGGATTGTCTTGCTTGTGTAGTGCGCTTAATGGTCGTGCATAGCAGTGCATCGCCTCTTGTCAGACACGGCTTATTCGCGAGAAGAGCGAGGAGTGGTGGTGGACCGAAGCGGCGGCGCGGGGCGAGCGGTGGACCGGCCTAATTCCGTCGGGTGGTCCATCGTGGAGCTCTCCACGTCCTCAGCAAGGCAGTCGAGCAAGTCGAGCGAGTTGTCACCGCGGGACCATTCCTCACGTCCTCGCCGCTCTCGCTCCTGCACAACGCTCGCACTCGCTAGAAAGGCTCGCTAGGCTGTCCAGCAACTGTCCAGAGTCGATAAGCTGCGCCCCACCAGCTGTCTTACTGTGCCAAGCGTCTCGTTCGCCCCCGCAACCGCGTATTTCCTTTCGTCGCTCAACATGCACGACTCTTCGGCTGTCGACGGCCCCGCTGCAGGGCAGGAGACGCCAAATCAACTGACTTGGAGCGTGCAGTCCTCCGCTCCACCTCCCGTTGTCCCTATAAGCCGGGTCGTCCCCTCTGTCTTGCCTCTCGTCAATTCCCTCGTCGCCAAACACAATCGGCAGAGCTACTTCAACTTTGCGGATCTTCCCTCTCCTGTACATTCTGACCGTCACACTCGCCGCCAAAATGACCCGCTGGCACCCTGCTCGCCCCGTCTCTTCTCTTCGCCTGCAGACGCTCATACGACCCGCGAACCGCTGCTTTCAGACGTGACTGTCCATGGCGCGGTTACGCAAATTGTTGACGGCGCTCACAAAATGGACACCTTCGTCGGCGACGTGATCGAAGCCCTCAAGCCTCTGAGGACGTGGTACGGCGAGGACGAACCATACATTCCGACGGGCCTGCACTTCGGGCGAGCCGAGAAGGACGTCGAAGACTTTCACCGCGCCAACGATCTGGAGAGGGCTCGTCACCTCGCGCAAGCGTTGACGGGGATCCCAGTGGCCGTCGCCGCAGTACACCCGGTGCACCGAGTGGGGTCTGCCGACCTCGTTCTCACGACTGTCGGACGGGTCAATGAGCGCCACATTGAGCTCCGCATGGAGGAGAAGCAAGAGTCATCTGCGCCGACGGAGGTTTTCGAGCAGTTCCGACTCATCAGCGAGAACGGCGGCTCGGATTTCTACATGGCGCACAAGTTTCGCCCGCCACAGCAACCCACTCCCTCCCTTCTCTCTCTAGCATGGACCCCCTCTCCACCAGCAACGTCTTCTCCCTCTCTCAGCGCTCCCTTTCCTCCCTCCCCCTTGTCTTCTTTTTCCGCTTCGCCCTCATCCTCATCCTCATCCTCATCCTCTCACTCTCCGACTCCGACGTCAACCCCGAATCCTGCTCCGGCGTATGCTCCCGCCATCACTCCGACGTCTGCGTCGACGGCCAGCACTTTCGACTTCGTCGTCAGCGAAGTCGACGTCTCCGAGTCACTCGCCCACATGGACCTCGGTCGAACTTGTTCCCCCGCACCAGAACAGTCGCCAACACCTCCAATTCAGCCAGCTCCCGACGCGACTTTGCCGCCGTCAGTCAAGCAAGACACCCAGCAGCCGAAACCGGCGGACTGGCTGGACTGGGGATGGGCAAACCGGGGCGGTAGGCCTGCACCATATGAGCGTCTCGACTCGGTCGAGCGGCATACTCTGCACATCATCCAGCAGATTGCGACGCAGTTCGGGATGGCTGCGTTGAAACGTGCCGAAGCTCGCGGCACGAAGAAGTCATCGGAGGGACTACGGGAACTCTATGAGGCGGAGTTGAGGGCTACTTCGGACTTCCAGCTCTTGCAGACGCCAGAGCAGACGTTGCCGCTGTGGAGGGAAGGGACCACCTTGAAGGTCGGCAGGATCTTGACCCACCACGGCGAGATCTCTCGTTATACCCTCGCTTACTTCCTCCTCGGCCTCGCCGACGCCCTTGACCTCAAAGGCCGACCTCTCGCTCGCGTCGCTCAGCTGATTACCCGCCTCCAGAAGGTATGTGCTATCACTCTTCCGTATTTCAGCGGAGATTGACTTTGGCTTCTCGCAGGGTCCGCTTCTCTCTTCGCTCTATCCCGCTGCGACACCCTCGGCGAACACAGCGAACACGACGAACACGACCGCCGCGTCCGCTCCTAGGAGCGACCGAAGGCAAGCCGGCCGACGACACAACGACTCGTCTGGTCGCGTCGAGGAGGATGCGTTGGACGAGGAGCACGATCCGACGGAAAGCGACGGCGTCGGCAGTTCGTCTGACGGCGTCCAGGCGGGCAAGGTGGCGCGGGAGAAGGAGAAGGAGGAGAGAAAGGAGGGCGACGACGAGCAGGACACGACGACAGGCAGTGATGATGGCGAATCGTCATTCGAAAGCGCTGCCGCCGACCTCGGAGCGTCGTTCTTCGTCGACTCGTCCTGTTCCGCCGCGAACGATGGTGACGAAGACCTTGGCGAATCGCCACCACCGGCGAGCCCGAAGAGCGAGCCGCTCCGTCAATGGCTCGGCGCATCGTCTGCTCCAGCCTCACCCGACATGATGAGAAGGACTTCAACTCTCATCATCGACGGGTGCTCCTACGAGCGCGTCGGCACCGCGCCGTCGACTACCCCTCCACCTTCCGATTTGGACGCCTCTCCGACCTCTCTGCCGCGCGCATCTCCGTCCACATCAGCTCCCGCCATCTCCCTCAGTCTGATGCTCGGCCGCGGAGGCAGCGGCGACGTCTATACCGACTCGACAGGCGTGTTCGCCGTCAAGCTCGTCGAGCCCCGCAACAACGACTTCTACGACCCAATCTACGACAACGATGCGAACGAAGCCATTCAGCGGTACGGATCGCGCTTGCAGGAGACGAGACAGGAAGTCGAGGCGTACAGGAAGCTGCAGGCTTGCGCTATCGTCCCGGCGTTCTACGGACTATTCGAGCGCGTCGACGAGGACGGCTATACGAACCTGGCGTTGGTGATGGAGCGTGTGATGGGCCGACACCTTGCGAAGGAGCAGCTGGTGACGGAGTGCGTCTCGAGTCTCGACTCTCTCAAACGGTGTAGCTGACTCTAGTTCTTTCTGCAGTGTCATCAAGAAGATCGAGTCTGCTGTGCGGACGGTGCACTGCTACGGCGTCCTCCACGGCGACATCCGACTTCCCAACATCCTCCTCGCCCACGACAAGATCTTCCTCCTCGACTTCGGCCGTTCGCGTCTTGACCCGAGTGTGAGACAGGCGGAGACGGAGACGGCGCGGATCCGTCACATGTGGTCGTAGAGAGATACGTAACGAGACTTTGCAGCGTTTGTCAGGTTCGAGGACGGCTTCGCGAGAAGAGCGAGGAGGTGGTGGACCGAAGCGGCGGCGCGGGGCGAGTGGTGGACCGGCCAGTCCTGTCGAGTGCTCCGTCGTAGAGCGCTCAGCGTCCTCAGCAAGCCAGTCTCAGCAGGTCGAGGGACATGTCGCCGCCAGCCGGCGAGTCCTCGCTTCTCTCGCTCCGCGCACTCGCTGGACTGGCTTGCAGAGCTGCTGAGAGACTTTGCTAGTGCTCGGGGATCCTGCGTGGAGCGTTATACTTCCAGCGCCTCCCCCTTTCTCATCATGCGGCCGACATCCTCGTTCGCTCAACATCCGCCCACTTCTCGCTTCTAGCTGCGGCCACGCAATGGCGGTGAGTGCTTTGAGGTGCTTCCTGTACAGATATAGCGCTGACGAGGTCGACGCAGCTGCCTCCTTTGCCGGACGACTTCATCCTAAAGCGGTCAACCGTCGACTCGGTCAAACCGATCGTTCAGCGGCTCGTCGAAACGGACGACCTTCAGACATATCTAAGCCGTCGCCCTCTGCAGCGCAACCCATCCCCCACGCACGACGCAGCGGGGGCTTCGCCTCCTCCCCTTTCCCCTGTCCATCTTTCCCCTCCGCCCGCTATCGAATCTCCTCTCCTCGCCGGCCTCTCTTCCGCGTCCAAGACCAGCGAGAACGAAATCCGCTTCCCACGCCATTCGGACATCAAGTACAGCGGCGCCATCACAGAACTCGACAGCGGCGACTCCCTCTTTCGCGACTTGACCAGTGCGCTGTGGGAGGAGCTGGACAAGCTTAAAGTCTGGCACGGTGATATCGACTTACCGCCATGCGAACCGTATTTCCTTGGCCGGACCGAACACGACGTCGAGCGCTTCGTGGCGAGTGCGCAGATCTCGCGTGCGGTACAGGTTCTGAGGGGTATCCTCGGAGTGCCGGTGTACGTTGCGGGTCCCTTTCCCTCGAGCGTGACGGGATCAGTTAATCTCGTCATACTCATCGACGGCTATATCGGGGGACGCGTTGTGCAAGTACGATTGGAGGTCAAGCGGCCCGAGATGGGGCCTCCGGCCGTCTTCGAAGCCCTGCTCGCATACGGCGAGAGACGCGCCGTAGTGCAAATGGCTGCGGAGTTGAGGCCGGACTGGGGCACCACGGACGTTGCGGACGAGAAGGTCGACCTCGCCATCTCCGACCCTCCTCCCTCTCTCTCCGACCCTCCTCCCTCTCCCGCCTCGCCCACCTCTTCCCCCTCAGTGCAAACCCCTTCTAGTCCTTCGTCTCCTCCGCTACTGTCGCCGGCGACGAGCACGCCTGCCTCAGGGGCGCCTCTCAGAAGATCAAGTCGGTCGACCACCACCCCCCCCTCCGACAGTCCTACTCTCGCAGTCCCCACAATCTCGGGCGTTCTTGACTCGTCGGGTGACGACCATCCCAGCGATTCCGACTATCGAGAGTCAGGTAGCGACACTGACTCTCGAGCTCGCTCGGTCGGACCCGCCAACTCAGCAACGAGGTCTCCTGCAGCTCCTGTCTCGCGCAAGGGTCCCCGTCCGAAGGATTGGGCGAAGTGGAGCATCACAGACGGCGGGACCAGCTTGGGTTACCAGCAGCTCAACCGCATCGGCCGCCACACGCTCCTATTCCTCCAGCAACTCGGCACCCAGTTCGGCGAGGAGGTCTGGAAAGCCGTCACATCGGAGGAGCAGGAGAAGCTTAAACAGCGTACGGCTCAGGAGACGAAGGGGAGGAAGGGAAGGAAGGGCGGGAGCGTCCAGGGCAAAGCTTCTCGAGTTCTGGCGGAGGAGGACATCCGGCCGCACTTTCTCTCCCGCATCGCCGCGACTACCGACTCCCAGATGCTCATTACACCCGCCAACGGCCTCCCTTTCCTCCGCATCGGCAACAAGCTCCACGTCGGTCCCTCAGCCAAGTCGCACGGCGACGTCTCGCTCCAGCTCGTCATCCTATGCCTTCTCGACCTCGGAAAGCCGCTCGGCCTCGAAGGCGGCGATCTCGCGGGTCGATTGCGAACTACCTTCGCCAAGATTTCCTCCGTGAGTCCCATACTGACCGACGAGCTTCGTTTCCGTCCATACGAGTATTGATACGGTATGGATTCGCAGGCGAACCATCTCCCCACTCTGTCGCCTAAGGCTTCGTCCGCCTCTCCTGCCACCTCCACCCAGCACACGACAGACTCTACCGCAGCTCCCCCTCCTTCCGCCAGCAATCGATCTTCCGCCGCCGTCACCGACCACGCATCAGACGCTGGTGACTCCTCCTTCGGTTCTACTTCCGAAAAGATGCTCGACGACGTCTCGTTCGACGTCATTCAAGGCGGTGACCCGCTCGACGAGATCGCCTCGCCTGTCTCTTCGACGCACCCGAGTCCCAAGCGGTCACCGCTAGTTGCGCCTAAGGATACCATCAAACGTTCGCAAGGCATCCTCATCGACGGTCACGAGTTCGTTGCGCCTGGCGCAAGCGGCGTCGCGTCTTTCCTCGAGGTCGTGCTGAAAGACGAACTCGGTTCCGGCGCCGGAGGAAACGTCTACACTGACCCGTCGGGAACATTGGCGATCAAGGTCATCGTGCCGCGTGACGCTGATAGCGAAGAGCAGTACGAGGAACGCTGGGACGAGGGAGTGCAGGAGGTCAAGGCGCTCAAGCACCTCGAAGGTTGTGCGGCAGCACCGGAACTGTACGGCGTCTTTGTGCGGACGGATGAGCAGGGTTACAAGTGGATGGTCATCGTTTCGGAGCGGATTAGGGGCAAGCGTTGCAGGCTCGGCGATTTCAAGAAGTGCGTCTTCGGTCGCTCCGCTTCCTCGACTTGCCTGCCTCCTTTGATTTCCTGGCTGACATGCTTCCCTCTTGCAGATACCGCCTCAAAATCGCATGCGCCCTCATGTCCCTCCACTCGCGCAAGGTCCTTCACGACGACGTCCGACCACCGAACGTCCTCATCACCGACAACTTGGGGATCAAGTTCGTCGACTTTGGCCGCGCACTGCTCAACCCGACACTCGAGCAATGCCATTGGGAGATGTACAGGTTTACAACTTGCGCGGAGGAGTAGAACGTTATCCGAGTGCCATCCGAGCAGTTCTACAGCTATCGAAGCGAGCGAGGAGACCCAAGCCCAGCTGTGGAAAGCGCCGCGCAGTCTTCAAGAAGTGAAGGCTGCAGGCGGGAGAGACCAGCAATGGATGTAGCAGGACGGGAGCGAGCGAACAAGGCAGGTCCATGAGCTGTAGCAAGTCGTGGCGCTCATCAACGGCCTCCGCACACGCCCAGTCGCGGTGCAGTACACCAAGAGGCCGGTCTCGTCGTATTGACGTCTTCGCCGACCATCCCAGGCCGCTGCTAGACGACATCCACCCCGAGCTTGATGAGGATCGCGAGGAGGAGAGAGCGACCCGTCCACAGCACGCGGGAAGTCCGTTTGAGTTCAAGCAGCCTTGTAGCAGTCTCCGGACAGCATGCGAACAGCAGCCAGTCCGTAAAACGTGCCAGCGAGCGAGAGTCAGGGTGTCGAGCTCGCAAAACTTCTCCGCTCGCCTCTCTGGCCTCTTCCCTTCTCTCCACACCACTCTCCACCCACTTCCACCCTTCCAGTCACCATGTCCTGCTACAACTGCGGCCAGGCAAGTCGACCGTCCAACTCGCACGCCAGCGCGAGGTCTCGCCACCGCCCTCGACCGACTTTGACCTCGACGCGACACCCGGTCTCGCCACGCCAGATGGGGCGGCGGAGAGGGCTCGGACGGCACGCTGTGAAGGACAGAACCGACGTGGGAACGAGCGGGACGCGCAAAGGGGGCGTGCGGGGCGAAGTCGAACCGAAGACGATGCTGCACCCTCCCTTTGCAACGCGAACATTGCCACCCACCTCTCTGCGGACCAAGACGGGGCGACGGTGGAGGCTACGCGTGCTCTCGAGGGCGATTCTGTTGAGCACCTTTCCTATCTGGCGGGACGGCGGAGCTGATGGTGGTCGTCGCCCTTCCTCTTTCCCTCGCCAAACACGTTGTTCGCCTACTCCCGCCGTGACCCTGTCTCCTGCTGCTTCTCCTGCACGCCATATTGCGCTTTCACAGCCCGGCCACATCGCCACTGCTTGGAAAGTCTCCTTCGCCCCGGCGCCTTCCTTCTCCTGACTAACCTGTCCTGCGGACTTGCAGCCCCACCGCCGGCACTCCTCAGTGCTACAACGCGAGTTCCCTTCCTCTCGCTTGACCATCGCTCGAGAGCTTACCTTGTTGCGACGCGACTGTAGTGCGGCCAGCCCGGCCACATCTCCCGTTCGTCTCCCTTCGCACCAGCAACCCTTCCTTCGTCGCTCTAACTCTCGCCCTACGTCTCACAGGCGAGTGCTCGAACGCCGCTGCCCCCAAGAAGTGCTACAACTGCGGTGACTCCGGCCACATCGTGCGTCTCCCTTCCGTCTTCGTCAACTCAACCGTCTCTCAAACTGACTCGCTCGGTTATCCAGTCGCGCGAATGCCCCCAGAACCCGAACGCGGGTGCCGGCGGCTTCGGCGGTCAGGGTGCTGGCTTCGGCGGCGCCGGTGCCGGTGTCTGCTACCGCTGCGGCCAGCCCGGCCACATCTCGCGCGCCTGCCCCCAGAACTTCGCTGGTGCCGGTGCCGGCTGTGCGTCCCACTCCTTTCCCTCGTCCACATCCGGGAGACTGACGAGTATGTTGGAGCGCTCGCAGTTGGCGGTGGATTCGGCGGCGGATTCGGCGGACCCGGCTACGGCGCCAAGACGTGCTACTCGTGCGGCGGTGTCGGCCACCTCTCGCGCGAGTGCGTCAACCCCTCCAAGTGCTTCAACTGCGGACAGCAGGGACACATCTCGCGCGACTGCACCCAGCCCCCCGGCCAGAAGTCGTGCTACAACGTGCGTTCTCGTCCCTCCCTTCCCTCCTTCTCACTCAAGCGTACTGATGTGATCCCGCTCATAGTGCGGCGAGACCGGCCACATCTCGCGCGACTGCCCCACCGCCGGCGGCGCCGCTCCCTCCGCTTAAGCGCATCCCCCTCCTTCCTCTCTGCGCTTGAATCAACCTCTCGAAAAACCGCTTTCACGATACCTCCCTCCACGTGTCGACCTACTCTCTCCCCTGTTCTCTCTCCCCTGTACGATACAAGGCGGCGACGGTTATTAGGGCTTTCTCCAAAACGAGACGGGGTGAGGTGGGATACCGAGTAAGGGGCTTATCGTAATGCGATTCCTTCGCTTGAAGGCAGTTTGACGAGTGCGCGGTGCGAGAGGAGCGAGAGAGCGGCGCTTGCCAGGGACGATTTGTCGAGGGAGAGGAGGCTCACTCTCGCGCGTCCAGGACTCTGCTCATGTACGGCACAGCTAGCGTTACACCCAAGATAAGCACTGCACAAACGAGAGAACCCAAGACACTCCGCTGTCCATCCCTCAGGCCTCAGGCTCAGATCGAGTGCGACTCGTCGCCGAGCGTGATGAACTTGCCGAACTTCTTCTCAAGCATGCGGGCATCCTGCGTCACACAGCAATGGTCAGTCCGGCAATTGAGCATCACGAAAAGATGGGAGAAAGCACCTGCTCAACAAGCTTCTTGATTTCCTGCCTCTCCTTGACGAACTTGTCCACCCTCGACCCCTCAACTGGCTTACCCGGGTTCCCTTTCCGGACCTTCTTGCTCGCGCTCGCTTTGGCGGCGCGGCCGGGACGAGTCGAGGTTGATGCGGCGGCGGGTTCTTCGGTCAGAGGGTTCTCTTCGTCTTGTTCTTGGAGGGACCAGAGGTGCTTGTCGAGTGCGGGGATGTCCTCGTCGAAGGCGTGGCCTGGGTGCGGAGTATGCGTCAATAAGCAGGAGGAGGGTGACGGAAGGTGGGAGAGAGAGAAACGCACGAGCCGAGCTCTCGTACGTAAGCCGACCGGGCTTGTCTGTGCACCAAGTTAGTCAGATGTCGGAGAACCGACGAAGAGCAGCGGGAACGGGCAATGCGCACAGAAAGACGGGATCAAGCAGTCCTTGACGAGCGGGTGAAGGTCGGGGTGTAGGCGCTTCAAGAACGTGACGCGGACGAGGCTGGACGTAAAGAGCGGGGTCAGTGAGCGAATTGGAGCGTAGAACAAGATCGCGACGCACTGCTTCTTACGACACTGACGGCACAGGCGGCGGAGGAGGAAGCGGTCCGGGATGAACTGCACGTTGCCGCAGCGCTGCAGGCAATTTCATCAGCCACCCGCCTCGCAGGACTGACGCGCGAGGGAGTCACGACGCAGTGCTGGTCCTTCTCCAGCACGTAGTACTGCCAGTCCTTCAAAAGTCCGGCCGCGAGTTCCGGCATATCGTCGCGAGCCCGCGCACGCTTCCAGATAACGCTGCCGGACGTCTTGTCGGTCAAGAGGCGGTGGAAGGCCTTGCAGACACGACGAAGCTCGACGAGCGTCCCTTGCGGGAGGAAAGAAGCGATCTGTTGGCGAACAACGGGCAAGGGTGAGCGTCCGCTTGAATGTGGTGGGTTGCTCGTGCGAGAGTAGTCTCCTTCGAAGGCAAGCAACACAGCTGAACACGAAGAGGAGCGCAGCGTACCTCAGTGAGCGCGTCAATCGGCAGCTTGGTGAGGAGGTCCGGTCCCGTAGGCTTCTTGCCCTTCTTGCCGCGAGCAGTGCTCTTCCGACGCTTCGGCTTGGCGTTCCACTCGGCATCGTCCTCGTCGCTGGCTTCGTCTGCGCCATCGTCGACGTCCTTCGCCTCATCACCCTCGACCTCGTTCTCCTCGTCGGCCTCCTCGTCCGCAGCATCGCGCGCCCTTTTGGCACCTGCAAAGGACGATCCAGTATCAGCTTGAGCGATAGTGGTAGTCAGCCAGCCTCGCGAGACGCACCTTTCGCCGCACCAGCCTTCGCCCGCACGTTCAGAGTCTCGCGACCGCCTTCCTCCTCGCCCGACGAGGCTTCGGCATAGGAGACAGCGGCAGCAGAAGCGCGAGAGGCACGTCGGGCAGCAGGCATCGTAGCAGGCGCGCGAGCGGGAGCAGCGGGAACAGCAAAGCTTCGTTCCCCACGACCCTCGACAGTTCTATCGCAAGTCCCCCTGTTCTTCGGGGCTTCCCTTCTCGCCGTACACGACAGCAGACAGTGCAGAACGACCCTATATTGCGCCCCCTAAGCCGCCGCAGTCCCCCCGCTGGTAGTCCCCATCCATCCCCTCGCGAACGCGTTCGCAACCGTCGCAAACGGATCCTCGCTGTCGGCCACCTCCTGCACGAAGAGGTCGTGTCGCCCGGCGAGCTGCTCATTGTTCTTGCGGATCTCGCGGATGACGCCGTGCGTGCGAGCGCAGTTCGGGCATTGCGTCTCGTTCTCGCCGAGGCAGCTGTGTGAGACGAGCCGTGTCAGCTCGCCGTGCTCAGTTGGACGAAGCGACTGCACGCACCGCTGATGATACGAGTGACGGCACATGAAGTGCGTCGCAGGCACATCGAGCTGGCCGCCGCAAGCCGAACAGCGGGTGACCTGGAAGACACGCGGGACGTTCGGGTCCGAAAGCTCCTGGATCTCCTTGCGCTTCTTCGCAGACTCGGTGCGGTAAGAGGCGATGAGTGCTTGGTCCTGCGACAGCCAAGGCGTCAGAAAGAGCGAAGACAAGAGTTATGGAAGGCGGCGCACCGACTCGATCTCCTGCTTCTCCGCAAGCAACTGCCGCTTCAGGTACTCCCTCACAAGCCCAATGCTGGCCGTCCCGTTCGAGCTGAGAATCTGCACGACCGCGATAGGCGGCATGACCTTTTCGCGGTCAATCTCGTCAAAGATGTCGAGAACGTCGGCTTGATGCCGCGAGAGAAGCTCGGAAGAGGCGGTAAGATGGCGCAGAACGAGACGGTAGAGCGAATGACAAGAAGGGCCGTATCGACGCAGGGAGCGGACGACTCGGGCGGAGAGACTTGTACTGGACGAAGAGGCGAGCGAGGCGTCGATCCAATCTGCAAAGCGCGAGGGATCAGCTCCGCCGGCTTAATGGTAAGCGGCCAACTCACACCTAACGATGTCTTCGTACATGCCGAGCAGCTCGTACAGCAAGACGAAGCCATCCTCGAAACCCTTGGTGGTACAGACGAGCAATGCCTGCGTCTCATCATAGGGGACTTGGTCTCGACACCGCAAGAGCTTGATTGCCTTCGCTCGCAGCTGCGCTTGCTCCGCCTCGCCGTCGCGCTCGTTGCCGTCGGGGGACGGCGACGGCAGAGGCGTGACGTAGAGTTCGAGCAAGGTGTTCCAGACGACTTGCTCGTCCCGTGCGGCGGCGTCGAGGTAGTCGGGCGGCGGAGCCAGTTCTCGGGACTCGGACAAGGGGAAGTTGGTGCCGGTCAGGTTGGCAGGCGGGACGAGCGAGTCGACCGACTTGCCGTATCGTCGAGCCGCGATCTGCTCGAGGAAGGAGACGAAGTGTCGAGGGTGGTCCGCGAAGTGGGCGAAGAATTGCCGCGGAGAAGGAAGAGTCGTTTCGGGTTCGGCGGTGATGGGATCGGAAGAGATGGAGAGATTGGCGAGCGAGGCAGAGTCGGGGACATCGTAGCCCGGCGAGGCTGTCCCGCCCTTCATTGTCCGCTTCTCCGTCTCGCTCCGCAGAGTCGAGACTCGATCCCGCTTCGCCGAGTCCCGGCTCGCGTCCTTCTCGTCGCCCTTGACCTCCTTCGTCGTCGCCGCAGCCAAGCCGTTCTGCCTCTGTTCCTCACCGCAGCAAATCTCCACAAGCACTTCCGTCGTCAGATCCGGCTCATTGGCGAGCAGCACGCCACCCCATCGCTTCATACTCTCCTCCGCCTCCTCTCTCCCCTCCTTTCCCCCGACCTGTCCGCGCGCCAGCTCCCTCACGTACCGCAGCGCACCGACAAAGTCGTTCGTGTCCTCGATCGAGATGCGGAGGTACTCGCCGTGCGCGCGGTATCGCTCGGCGAGCCAGCTCGCGTGCGTGAAGTAGGAGGCTTGGCGCAGGACTCGGATGGCGGTCTCGAGGTCGAACGGCGGCTCGTCCAGGACAGCATCGCCGTTCGTCCCGTTGGCGGCGCGGCAAGGGGAAGACGAGTGGATGAAGCGAGACAGGGCGTCGTCGTCCGCGAGCTTGGTGTAGCAGTTGAGGAGGAGAGTCGTGATGTCGCTGTTGGCGAGACCGCGCGAGTGCAGCTCTTGCAGGTAGGACGTGAGGTGTGTGAGACGTTGCGCGTCGAGGAACTGGGCGAAGCGGTGTCAGGGATCGGGCCGAGTGAGACAAGAGGGGATGCGCACCTTGCGGATCACGTAGCTCGCCTGCACCGTTCCGACCGTTTTGAGGTAGCAGCTCATTGCGCCTTCGTAGTCGCTCTTCGAGTAAAGGTGGTCTCCGTATCTGCTCGAAACTCCGCATGAGCATCTTTCTACCTCGAGGAGACCGCGAGACGCACCTTCGGTAGATTTCCGCAACCTCACTCTCGCTCATTCCCCGACTCTTGGCGAGGCTGATCGCGAGCGTGTACAGGTTCCGCTGGAAGAGCGTCGCCATCGAGTCTTGCAGCGGCTGCTCGGTGAGGCGGAAGAGCTGGGCGCGGGGGAAGAGCCAGGGTCAGCAAAGCTGCTGCGACGCAGAGAATCAATGGGAGACACACCTTGCCAGCTTCCGTCAGGACCCAGATTGCTCCCCATGCCTCTACCACGTCCCGCACCCCGCTCAACTCGGCGTCCGCCTCCGCATCTCCAAACGTCCCGCTGAACGCCACGAACTTGTTCTCCGGATCGAAGATGGTCACTTTGGCTACTCGTTCGTCGGCTGAGGCGCCAGCGGTCGGAGTTGGTCGTGTTGAAGCGGTGGTACGTGCGTGTTGGCGGATCGTCGCGGAGGTCGATGCGAGGCTGGAAGTGAGGGGTGGAGAGACGATGGCGAGGTAAGGCGTCGGGAGCTGGCCGGTTGATGCGGAAGAAACGTAGGAGCTGGAAGAAGCGTGCAGAGCGCAGATCGACGATTTCGGACCTGTCCGAGAGCAGTAAGTCAGGGTGCGCAAACGGAAGGAACCGTGTATGCTTACCCTCGTACGCCCAACATCCCTCCCGCCCTTCGCTACCGTACACATAGATCGCCTCTTCCCGCGCCACGACCATCCGCTCCGCCGTCTCGCCCTCCTCCTGCCCGACACCCTTTCCCAATACCAGCCGCATCACCTTCGCACAGCCGACTGCTGCGCCGTGGTCGTCCAGCACCGTCGGCGCCGTCGCGGCCTTCTGCTTCGAGGAGGTCGGGAGCGGTAAGGCGAGGATTTGCGATGTTGTGAGGATGAAGAGGGTCTGGATGGGCGAGGAAGGCGAGGCAGCCGTGATGCCGACGTTCGTGACGGGCTCCTTGTTCCCCTCCGAGAAGGTCCGCAGCTTGCCCATTCCTCCTACGACGGAAGGTGATGCCTTCCCGCCTGTCCGCCCCTTCGAGGTAGACGAGGCAGGTTCAGCGGCTCGCGCAGCTGCTTCCTCCAAGTCGTACAAGCTCGAGTCAATGAGCTCGTCGACGCGTTTCCAGCCGATGACCGAGCCGTCTGCCAGTCCGACGACGATGTGCGAGAGCGAGGGAGAGACGGCGAGCGAAGAGACGGGCGAAGGGCGAGAAGCGTTTGGCGAGACGGCAGTTTGGCGGAGGAGCGTGAGATGAGAGGTTGGCGGTTCGGACGCAGATGCATCGGTAGGAAGGGAAGGCTGGGGAAGGGTAAGAAGCCAGACTTTGAGGAGAGGAAAGGGAGTTGAGGAGTCGTCCTGGAGGAAGGCGAGGTCAGTCGGCACGGCCACATCCCGCCAGAGAGGCTGACTCACTCCAACCGTCACCAAGATGGCCCAACCTCTCGCAGGATCCCACTCGCACGTCTCCATAAGCTGTACCCGTCCGCCGTCATACGCCCGCCAACTCCTCTCAGCCGTCCACTCCTCGTCAACCCAGTGCACGCTGCCCTCGAGATCGGCCAGCAAGACGACTCCATCGCCCAGCAGCGGGTTCGAATGCACGCAGGAGATGAGCGACGGGTGTTGGACGAGTTCGGGGGTGGTGGAGCTGCTCGACGACGAGGGGAACGGCGTCGAGCCGAAGAAGGAGAACTGCCGCCACTGCGAGGGAGTTGGAGGGTCAGTTCAGCTGTTGCACACAGGTTTCCGCCTGGGCGTGGGCCAGGCTCAGCGAGACGACGAGGTGGGGACTGACCGCAGGAGCAGCCATCACCGCTGCACCCGCTTGTGCAGCGGCAGTCGTGCCAGCAGAGGCTTTCTGAGCCGGTGTCGTCCGCCTGGACATGGCCGATCAGCCGGCGGAGCGAGAGAGCACCGAAGCAAGTGAGGAGGACAAGGTCAACCGGTGTCGCTCTCGAGGACTCTTGCGAACGAGCGATGCTGAATTATAGAATAGGATTCGAAAGGGGAAAACGCTGCTGCTGCTACACCCCTTTTAAAGGAGAAGAGCGCGCGGGGCAAGCGCAAGCCAGCGTGGTGTGCTTCCCTACCTGTTGTATCGTCCTTCCTCGTCCTCTCCTCCGCTCCTTCGGCTCCCGTCTACACTCACCGCTTCGTCCTTCTCAGCGGTCGCATCGGCCGTCCGCCCGGTCCAGTTGTCGACGACTCGTTCCCTCCGCTGCCGATATTGAACAACCCTCCTCCTGTCGCGCCAGGCGTCCCAGGTGCTGAAGCCGGCGCACCTGCACCAAAATTGAATCCTCCACTCGCTCCGGGCGTGCCAGTACTGGCGCCAAAGGTGAAGGGCGCGGCGCCACCGGGACCTGCGACGGCGCCTGTCGTCGTTCCTCCCGCTGGCGCGCCGAACGAGAACGGCGAGGCGGGTGCAGCACCCGGCGTCGCAGGCTGGGATGCGGGAGCGCCGAACGAGAACGACGGAGCGGCGGTCGCGCTCGTGGCGGACAGCGACTGGCCCATCCCGGTGGACGTAGGTGCGCCAAAGGTGAAGCCCGTCGACGCAGGCGCGCCAGTTGGCGTCCCTGGCGCAGGCGAAGGAGTCGCGGAGCCAAAGGTGAAAGGTGCGGGAGTGGACGAGGCGGGCGCGGCACCGAAGGCAGGCGCCGAAGATTGCGCGCCAAACGCGAAAGGCGAAGGCGCGGCGCCAGCTGTCGACGTGCCTGCGCCGAAGCTGAAGGACGGCGCGGTCGCAGCAGGCGAAGGCGGGGCGGGAGAGGCGGACGGAGAGGCGCCAAAGGAGAAGGAGGGCTTCGCGGCGGTCGACGCGGCACCGCCAAAGAGGGATGGTGAGGCGGCGGTTGCGCCAAACGGCGAGGCGGGTGGCGCGTCCTTCTTCTCAGTCGATGCGCCAAACGTGAAGCCAGTCGAACCGGTCGATGCGCCGAAAGGCGAAGGGGCAGAGCTCGACGAGGTGCCAAAGCTGAATGCCGGCGCAGCGGGAGGGGCGGGACTAGCTGCCGCGCTCGACTCGCCGCCCTCGTCCTCCATACCGCTGTCGCCGTCCGCGTCGTCCGCCACCGCTGCCTTGGCAGGACTCAGGCCGCCGAACACAGGCGCAGGCGCGGGCGTCGTGTCCTTCTTCTCCGCTGCTTGCGGAGTTGCCGGAGTCGTGCCAAAGGTAAAGGTAGGAGCGGGAGCCTTCGTTTCGGTTGTCGATGCGGGAGTCGAGGCAGAGCCGAAGGAGAAGGGAGATGCGGCGGCCCTGTCGGCGGGCTTCGCGGCGGCGCTACCGAACGAGAAGGGCGACGACGCAGCCGCGCCATCGGTCTTAGGAGCGCCGAACGAGAAGAGCGGTGCAGGCGTGTCCTTCTTCTGTAAGGTATCTCAAGTCAGTGCTGAGCGACATCCCGAAGCACGGAGCGTCCGCACCTCTTCCTTCTTCTCCGTCGCAGCAGGAGCGCCAAACGAGAAACCAGTCTTGGCCGGCTCGTCCTTCTTCTGCTCGCCCTCCTTCGGCTCGTCCGCAGAAGGCTTGTTGAAGGCCGCGAACGGGTTCGCCACCGGCGTCGCAGCCTCCTTCGCGTCGGGCGTGGGCGGGACAACCTCTGTCGGCTTAATGACCGGCAGCGACTCGTCCTTCTTCGTCACCGTGCCGAATGAAAAGGTTGGCATGGCGGGCTTCGGCGCAGCGTCGTCCGCCTTCTTCTCTGCAGGAGTCCCCTTCTCCTTATCGGCGAGGATTGAGGCGAAGAAGCTGGGCTTGCCGTTGGCGACGGGTGCGGCGGGAGGCGCGGTAGCTGGGGCGGAGAAGGAGAAACCTGAAGACGACGGCGCTGACGTCGCAGACTTGGCGAAGAAGTCGGAAGCGGCAGGAGTCGACGCGGGCTTGTCCTCCTTCTTCTCCGCCTCATCCTTTTTTGCGGCCGTCGCGCCGAACGAGAAAGACGGCAACGGCACGGCAGGCTTGTCGGCGGCCGAGGAGGCGGAGCCGAACGAGAACGCTGGCTTGGCCGGCTCGCTCGTCGAGGTCGACGCAGGCGCGCCGAGGCGGCTCAACAAGCTACTGCTCGATGCGGCCGGCGCAGCCTCGTCCTTCTTCTCAGCCGACGGCGCAGCGGGAGCGCCGAACGAGAACCCAGCGGGAATTTTGAAGGCGGGCATCTGGATCTTCGCGAGCGCCTCGTCGTCGATAGGCGGGAGGTCCTCCTCCTTCGCCGAGAAGACACGCGACGAGCTGGCGTGCTGCCTCGACGTGTGCGACTTGCCGGGTCGGAGGGACGAGCGGCCGGTTGAAGTGGAAGGAGCCGTCGCGGGGAACGAAGAGGGCGCAGGGAAGGTGATTTTCGGAACGGCAGGAGCGGCCTCGACAGTGGGTTGAGGCGGAGGAGGCGAAGGAGACTTGGCGGCGGGAGTTGGCGCCCCAGACCGCTTCTTTGCCGAAGGAGGCGGGGCAGGCGAGCGCGACTTGGTCGACCGCTTGGCCTGACGAGCCTCTTCGTCCTCCTTCTCCGTCTCATCACGACCCATCTCCTCGTCCTCCTGCTCCCTTGCAACAGGCGCAGCCTTGCCGCCTCGGGTTCGACGCGGGGTCGGAGCAGGTGAAGGCGACTTGGTCTGCACGCGTGACGAAGCGCGAGTCGACCTCCTCGACGGCGTGGGCGGTTCCAACAACCTTTCCTTGCCTTTCCCACCCTTCGACGAATTCTTCTGCTTCGCAGCAGACCTCGTGACCCGCTTGGGGCTCGCGACCTCCTCCTCCTCAGGCGCCGAAAACACATCCTCCATCTCGTCACTCATGACCAGTTCGTCCATCCGTCTCCTCCTCTCGCGCCTCCTTCTCTCGCGCTCCCTCTCACGCTCCTCGTCCTCCATCCGCTCGCGCTCGCGCTCTTCGCGTTCTTGCTCGATCAGCGCACGGCGACGCTCTTCGCGTGCGCGGAGGACCGCTTGAAGGCCTTTTGCGGGACGGCCGCTCTGGGTTGTGGAGGGAGCGGGCTCGGCCGAGGTGCGAGATGTGCAGGCGGCGTACGGCGTGCCGGAGAGGATCGAAGGAGTGGTTGACGAGCGAGGGAGGCGGGAGGAAGACTGCTCGAGTGCAGGGACGTTGATGTGCTTGGGCTGCAGAGATCGAAGTCAGGAATCCGGCTAGTGCTAGAGGCGCAGGGTGAACGCACCTTGACGGTGCCACGCTTGGCCTCGCCGAGCGGCGTCCGGCCCATCCCTTCAAGGACTTCGAGGATCCGCTCCGCCTCGTTCTTCGGCATGGGCGGTGCTTCCCTGTACGTTCAACGTCCTTCACGATCAGTAACGGCGAACGCATCTGCGAGACTGAATCGACGGGACCGCAAACGCACCGCTCCTTCTCCTTCTCGAGCCGCTCTCGACTAACCAACCCCCTCTGCGGGTCCCAAACCAACTGCTTCTTCCTCGCCCTCTCGACTCCATTCAGCCCCGCCTCATCTGAGAGCATCTCAATCTCGTCGCCACCGTGCCCAGCGAGACTCGAAAGCCCAGAACCGACGGTCGCGCTGCCGGAGAGGAAGTGGTGTTGCGGGTTCAGTGGACTGCCGGCGCGGAAGGGGCGTTTCTGGCCCACAGGCCCGGCCGCGGACGAAAGGCCGTCGCGCATCGAGACTGAACCGGTGAGCGAGGGGGAGGTGCCGCGCGGGAGAGTCGACGAGTATGGGAAGAGAGGGTGGCCGGTACTGGCTGCTGCTCCGCCTGCGACTGACGAGACTGACCGGCCAGAAATGGACGGCGAGCGAGGCTGCATCGCCGTGCGCGAGACGAATGGCGAGCGAGAGGTCAGGCCGAAGGGGTTCGACGTGACGTTGTTTCCCAGTGTCGGGTTGAAGATGGCCGATGCAGCGGTGGGCGACGGAGGCTGGGCGAGCTGGAAGGAGGACATCGAGCCGACGAGGCCGTTGCGAAGAGGAGAAGGCGACCTTCGCTGCTGCTGTGCGAGCGAGGCGGACGAGAGAGCGGGAGAGGCGGCGCGAGAGTGTCGGCCCAGATTGGCGGCGGTGAGGAAGGAAGGTCCGGCGCCGCTGCCGTTCGTCGAGGCGCTATTCGGCAGGACCAACGTCGAGTGTGCTGAACGTCCACCTGCAGTAGCAGGTCCGCCGGCGAGCGTCGCGAGAGCCGACATGGACGAGGAGGACGAGATGCCGCCCGCGACCGGCGGCTGCTGGCTGGCGACCTTGGCCTGGGCGATGTTGTAGCTCGTCTTACTCCTCGTCATGCCTCCCGCCCTGCCCTGTCCCCTCTGCCGCTCCTCGCGCTGCCTCTCGCCGTCGAGCTCCGCCCTGACATCAGCGAGACTGGTCGATGCGGCGAGCTGCTTGCTGCTCGAGCTGCGGGTCAAGAGTCCAAGCATCCTCCCAGGCAAGCTCCTGACCCTCCCAAACAAGCCCTGCGCCTGCCGTGGCTGCTGCGTTGGGCTGCCCTCGCCCTCGCGCTCGTCGTCGCCCTCGTTCCCGCCCGCCTGCTGCTGCTGCTGTGCCTGCGAGCGCGTCGCGACCCTCCTCGCATACGGAGAATAGCCAGGCCCGCTCTTCCCCCCAATCTGCCCGAGTTGACGCTGCCGAGTCGAGACGGGCGACCCCTGCTCGGTCGTCGAGCGCAGGGACGACAGCCGCGGGTGCTTGCCCGTCGAAGGCGCAACGGGCGAGTCTGCCATGCGTGTGTGCGGGCCTGTGAGGCCTGGAACGAGCGGCGAGCAGAGTTGTCGATGTTGAAGCACCAAGCGAGAGCAAGACGGGTCAAGTTGGCGGAGGCGACGTCGTCGACACTCGCTGGCGGGCCTGTCTGTGTGCTGTGCTCGATGCTTGGGGCGTCGTAAGCCAGCCAAGCTTGTCCCGGACCGAAAAGAAGCTGTTGACGGCGAGTCGCATCCCTTTCTCCTCCTCGCTTCCGCTCGAAAGTCTCCTCCCTGCGTTGCTGTCAGTCCTGAGCCTTTCCAGGGCGTATATGTGCCCGTTGAAGCGACAACGATCCACCCAGAGTCAATCAGAATCGCGCGAGTCGATACAGAGAGAGTCCAACACTCTAAGGCTACAACACTTCGTCCTCCCTGCCTCTTCCTCCCTAGTGTAGACCAACCACCCCTCCTCCGACTCAACAACACCTCCCCCCACCCGTTCCACCGCCGCCCGTCAAGCTGATTGAAGGCAAGGACGAGCCAGAGGAGGCTTTGCGTGCGCGGTTCGCGGCGAGCGAGGCTTGATGTCGAGCGTGGACGAGGCGGGTGAGGGTGTTGAAGGCCTGTTCGTCCCGCCACACAACTGATCAGTCTCTATCCGCACACGGAAGAGGTAGAGACAGATGCAAGGAAGGAGGAGGAACGCACCTCCTCGACTCCCTGCCCGCTCTTCGCACTAGTCTCGACGTACCCCGCCAACCCCTCCTCCTGCGCCCACCGCTCCGCCTCCTCCCTCTCGACCTCCCTCTTCTCCCCTCCGCTTCCCGCCTCGCCCTCGGGGGAAACGTCCCCCTTGTTCCCAACCAACAAGATCAACAGATCCTCTTCGCCCCAGGATCGCAGATCCGACAGCCACCCCCGGCAGTTGGTGAAAGACTGGTGGGAGGTTAGGGAGAAGACGAGCAGAGCACCGCCGGCGCCGCGGTAGTATGAGCGGGTGATGGCGCGGAAGGATTCCTACCAGAGATGGTTCAGTTCGCTGGAAGCTTTGTTGTGAGGAACGAGGGAACGCACTTGGCCTGCTGTATCCCAGATTTGCAGCTTGATGCGCTTGCCCGCATCGGGTCCTTCTGTCAACTCGACGATCCGCGACCCAAACTCGACGCCGATGGCTGCATGACAAGTTCCCGACACCGTCAGCTTCACTCCCGTATCTTCAGCTTCTCGAGCCGGGGAGTTCCTCCGAGAAGGAGCCCGCCAAGCAACGGTGGAGCGGGAGAGGAAGAAGTGGAACGGACTCGGCTCGGAATGCTGCAGGAACCTGTCGTCCGTCAGCCGCACGAGCAAGCTCGACTTGCCGCACGCTGCGTCGCCTAGGAGGATCTGTTTTTGGATCTGGTGCGGTGCGAGGGAGGAGAGGGGAGGGAGGGAAGAAGGGGGTGAGTTCGTTGAGTCCCGTGGGAAGCGTAACGGTCTGAGTGCTTCATTGTCGGCCTATGGAGCGTAACTAATCCCTTCTCCGCCTCCCAGCCTGCTCGATGAACCCCCTCCCCCTTCCCCTCCTGAAGACCCGAAGCACACGCGCCAGACCTCCTCCCTCCCTGCTCCGGTCCGGTCCGGCGCGGACTACCCAGGCGCCTTGAAAGTCCTCCCATCCGCCCGCGACGTCGACCAAGTCGTCGAGGGCGCCCTCATCTCGCCCCGGTCGGCAAGGATGACCTCAACCCGTCCCTTCATTCCTCCCTCTGGAACAGCGATGCCAGTAGCCAAAGCGGTGTCGTTGGAGGAGAAGGAGCGTACGAAGTCCCAGGTAGCCATTCGAGCGCGTGAGAGCGAGGAGAGGAAGCGGGGGAAGCTTGAGAGAGATGGGAGGGAGGAGCAAAGTGTCTGCGGCGACACGGCGTGTGGACAGTCACAGCGTCCACGAGCAGTGTGAATGTACCGCAGGGACTAGACGAGCAATCCAAAGCAGCGAAGGAAGCGCGCAAAGTCCCGCCAACTCTCTACTTCACTCGTCTCGGAACGAATCTGGCCCGTTCAATTGGGAGAGAACCACATTTCTTTTGCACCCGTTTCCGTGCATACCAACGCTTCTATGCCGCCGCCACCTTCGAAATCGCCGCGCCGTTCCGCCAACCTGACCGAAGAGAGAGGGGAGGGATAGGGAAGTCGAGGCGGAGGAGAGTCGGGAGTTGAGTGGGTGGATGGGCTTAGTGCTGCTCGGCGGTAGGGGGGACGATCCACTCCTGCAGACGGTCAGAGCGAGCGTCAGTGAGCTGTTCGCCGGACAAGCCACAGAGGTCCCCCGCGCCTCGCGCAGGCTCAGAGTACGCTCGCAGGCTGCCGAATACAAGCACAGAAGACCGTCAAGCTCACCGCGGTGCTAGCCTTGCCGTTCTCCCACTTCTGGACCTTGAGGGTGATGACCGCCCTGCGCTCCGAGGCGACACGCTGCTCCTCCTTGAGGGCCTGGCGCGTCGCGCGCGCAGCAACCTGGACGTACTTGTTGAAGCTGTCGAGCGTCAATGGGGCGTCGGTCGGCGGGTCAGGGGATCGAGAGGAGATGGGCGAGGTGAGCGACGAGCGAGGGGGAGAGGGTGGGTCGGGGAGGCGCAACACGGCATGGAGAGGGGTACGGCGGTGGGCAGGCGGTTCAGGAGGTGTCGTCGAGCAGCATGAGCGTCACCGTCGGCACAGCAAGGCGGCGAAGGGCGAGATTGGGTACGGGCGAGGGTGCGAAGGCGAAGTCGGGGTCGACGGGGAGCGGGCGAGCGGGACAAAGACGGTGAGCGCGGTTCAGACGGTGTCCAGGGCGTGTGTGCTCACCTGAGAACACCCCTCCAGGACATGGTTGCGAGTTTGCGGGTTGGTGCAGAGGCTGAGCCACGGCGGAGTCCTCGAGGGTGACCCACCAAGTCGCTCAGTCTGCTGGATGGTGTAGCTGGTAATTCTGTTAAAGCTGTCATAGTACTGCTACTGAAACTCCCACCGCATCTGGAGGCGGCGCCGTCGAGCAGCTTTCGACTTGGCCGCTCTCGCACGCTTCGACGACGACCCTGCTCTCTCGCTCCGTCTGGCTCACTGACACGCTCAGAAGGCTCTAGTGTCGCCTGCTATGCTCGGCTGGTCGACTCAGCTCGGCAACAAGCTCTTGTGCGCTCTCCTCGCCTCCTCCCGCAGCCCCACTTCGAACAACACCCTCTTCGCTGGACTCGCTGGACTCGCAGGCTGATGCACGAGTGTTCGCAGTGGGCCGGATCCGAAGTTCGAGTTTGCGAAACCTGGGCAGGGTGTGGACTTGCTGGCGGGGCGTGTGCGTTCCTTCTCTGGCGTTTGTGGGACTCTCAGGACGAGAACGGCCGCTGACAGGGCCTCCAACCGCGCAGACGATACCCTTGGACAGTACGTGCCGTCCCAAGCCGCTAGACCCGGGCGATATTGACTTGGGGCGCACTCTTGCTCCCGTTTGCAGGTCCTTACTGGCGACAAGTGCGTTCCGCGGCGGTCATTCTCCGTTCTTCCACACAGCAATACTGACCATCCATGCGCGGACGACAGTACCTCACCCTGTTCGACTCGCCCTCCGACGTCGTCCTCCTCCTCCCTTCCACCTCCCTCCTCTCAGCCCTACACTCCAACCCCCTCAACGTCCTCACCCTAATCCACTTCCTCACCACCTCCCTCTTCACACTCCTCTTAAACCCATCATTCCCGAATGCAGAACTGGCGAAAGAGGCGTTGAATGCGGTGAGGGTACTGAGTAGGGTCGTGCCACTTGTGCTGGCGCCGAGGGTGGCGGGTGCGGTGGATCAGGTTGAAGAGGAGCTGTTCTGGAGGAGGGAGAAGGTGCCGCTTAGGGAGGAGGTGGGAGAAGAGTCGGCGAGTGGGAAGGAGGAGGCAAAGGCGAGCGACGCAGAGGGGCAGTTCGTCCTCGAAGACGAGGAGGACGAGGATACGACGCCAGTAGACCCGCTCACCTCCGCGTCAGCGGTGAAGGCGCAGCACGAAGCGGAGGAATCGGCGTTTGAGGAACTGCCGCCTCTAGCGGAACGGCTGCTGAGCGCCCTTGTCGACTTGCTCTTCGTGCCGGGCTTTACGCTGCCTGACAGCAGTCGGGCCGGCGCAGACTCGAGTATCGTGACCTACTCTATCTGGTGCGTCAGCGAACGCAGCCAGTCGGCCGTCTAGCTCATCCTTCGCCTTCCGCATACGCTGATCCAGTCTTCGCTGTTCGTACAGGGAATCCGGCATCGCCTCGCCTGCACCCTCTCACCCACGCCCCGCCCTACCACTCACCTCCCTCTCTGCCCGCCTCGAGATCCTCCGCCTCCTAACCCTCCTAATCTCCCTCCCCTCGCTGCTCACGTCCCCCTCGCACTTCCCCTCTCTCCCAAACACCTGGCGCGAAGCACTCGTCTCGGGCCGCGCAGCAGGGCGGGGCGACAAGAACGTCGTGCTTTGCTTGTTGTGCTCGGTGTTGAATACGGCGTTGAATGCTGGAGCGGCGGGTGCAGCGGGAACGAGCGCGGGTGCGGGAGTGGAGGGCTTGAGAGAGAGGGCGGCGAGGTTGGCGGCTGAGACGGCGAAACGGACTGCGCCAGTCGCGGACGGTTCGGACGAGGCGAGCGTCAAGAACGCGCTCGTCGGCGCATGCCTGCAGTTCCTCGACACCGTCTTGATCGACCATGCACCCGTGGAAGGTGCCGAAGCTGCGCCAAACCAATTCGCCTTCTACCTCTCGAAACTGCACCGGCCTTCCGACTTTTCGTTCCTCCACTCCGGCCTCGTCGGACTCATCACTACCTCCCTTGCCGCGCCCTCAACATCCTCGCTCTTCCCCCTCGGCCTGCCTTTACCCGTCAACATCTCTCCCTCCTCCTCGCCCACCTCGCCCGCACGAACGAAGAAACCCGCCGGCTGGACAACCGAAGCCCTCACAATCCTCTGGCGCACGCTAGATACGAACCGTAAATTCGTCAGCTGGCTCGTCAAGCCCCACTCGACTTCCGAAGGCAAGTCGAGGTTGCTCGAGACGCTCGTGGCGGTCGAAGCTTGCATGCTCGATTGGCACCCGGACGAGACGCAGATTGGGCTGGTCCGGCTTGCGAGTTTCATCATGCAGACGATTTCGGCGGAGGCTGCGAGTGCTGGATTGGCGAGCAAAGAGGCGGAGGAGGAGGTCAAGCGCGTGTTGAACGCGCCGCTGGAGCCGGAGGTCGTCGGAGCGAGGTTGGCGGGTGTCGTCAGAAGGCATGTGGCGAGTCAGGGGATCGAAGTTGGCGAGGAGAGGCAGGGTGAGCGGAACCGAAAACGCGAGACGAAGAGCGTTAGTTTCGTCGAGTACCTCCTGGTGCGTCACGCCTTTCCTTCGCACTCCTCGCTCGACCTGACAAGACGTCGTGCGCAGATCGTTCTTCACGCCCTCCTCATCCCCTCGCCCACGACCGCCGCCGCCCCTCAATCCACCCGCTCCTCCCTCTCAACCCTCTACCCATCCCTCCTCCTCACAGTCTCGAACCTCTCGCCCCTCTTCCGCGACGTAGGCGCCGACGCAGCGACGAGGCTTGTTAGGGTCTGGCTCGCGTTCTCGGCGCCGAGTTGGGTGTTGATGGAGGAGGGGAACCCGAGGTTGATCTTCTGTGAGTTCGCCTGTCGCTTGCCTGCGCGAATACCTGCTGGACGAACGGGATCGTGCGAGCTACTGACGCTCACAACCTTGTCCTCGCAGACCTACTCGAGACGTTCAACAACGTCGTGCACTTCAACCTCGACTCGGTCAGCCTGGCCGCTCTCCCCCGTTATGCGCACCGTGCTGACTTTTCGGTCTCGCGCAGAACCCGCACATCATGTACGCCTTGCCCGTCATCTATCAGCGCTTCGACCTCCTCGCCAACTTCACGCTCGCACAAGGGATCGCCGAGGCCCGTCGATTGCGTGCTGCGCGACGCGAGCGCCAGCAACGAGCGTCATCGGGCGGCTCTACCCTTCGTCCAATCAGCGAAGGCGTCGCGGCGTCTGCGCGGACAAGCGAAGACAGTCCCGCAGCTTCGTCGGAAAAGGCGCTCGGCAAACGACGCGAACGGACGCTCTCGCTCGGCAGTCTCGCAGACTTGTCGCTCTCGTCGCCTACAAGTCCGAACTTGTCGCGAACGACGTCGAACACAAGCGGGGGGCCGTTGAGTCCGACAGCGAGCGAGGCGGGCGAGACGGGCGACGAGCAGAGGCCGTTTGTCGGCAAGAACGGTTTCGTCCCGACGACTGAATGGGTGGCAGCCTGGCGGGAAGGGTGCGTGTTAGTATACTGTCGTGCTCATCGTGAGACTGACCCTTGCTTGCCACAGCTTGCCGCTCGACACCTTGATGATCGTTCTCTCCAAGCTGCGACCAAAGCTGCTCGAGCTCGACCCGTCCTTCCCCTCTTCCACGCCCTCAGCCTCAGTCATCGCCTCTCTTCGTGCTCTACTCGTCTCGCCATCGCTCACCACTCTCCTTCCGCCTCTCTCTTCGCAACCGCCGCCTCGAATCCGCTCGTTCGCCTCTTCCGCAGCATCAACGACCTGGTTCGCCTCAGTCATCTACGGGCGCATATACCTCTCGCAGCTCGACTACCTCCGAGATACGCTCGCGGTTCAGCTGTTCGCGGTTGCTCAGGCGCCCGACTCGGCGGCAGGCGGGTTGTGGCGGCGAGCTGGAGCTGTCGGCGGTGTGCAGGGCGTGGTCGGTGGCTTGAGCGCGGGTCTCGGAGCGGAGCTCGACAGAGTTAGCAGGTCGGCGGTCGAGGTGGGCGGGAAAGTCGGCGATACTGTTCGTGGCGTGCTCGGTAGATTCGGCGGCGGCGGTCGATAGTCTCGCTCTGAGCCCTCTCGCCTAATCCTCAATAGATCGCTTGAGACAGGGTATGCATTGCGAAGGACGAAAGCGAGGGTAACTGAGTGAAGAGAAAACGTCCGTGAGTTTTGCGACGATGCGAGGGATCCGACAAAGCGTCTAGTCGTAAATGTTCCAGGTCTGCGGCGATGCATTGGTCAGCACGAACAGCGCAAGGCGTCAACGAGTCGGCGAACGCACCTTTCGCCACTTCCGTCCCCAGAGGTTGCTTGCGGGTCCGTGTATTCCCCACGCACACGCTCGGAACCACCACCACGTCCCGACAACGGCGCCTGCGACGATGGCGAAGACGAGTGTCTTGGTTCGGCCCGTAAGGCGGCGCGAACGGAAGAAGAAGTGGTCGAGGAGGACGCCGGCCATGAGGACGGAGAACCAGAGGGTCGGGAGCTGCAAGCGACTCGAGTCAACTGGCTGATCTTCTCGCGAGCTGCAAAGGTAACGCACGTAGTGGTGGAGGTAGGTGACGCGACCCTGCGATAAGAAAAGCGGTGAGCACTCGAAGGAAGCGCATGTCGAGGTCCAGCGTACCATGATGAGGAAGGGGACTGCATGCGAGCGAAGTGTCAGCTTGAGCCACCGGACGAGAAAAAGAGAGCACGACGCACAGTAGTGGAAGAACCAGCCTCCAAACGCGATTTTCGAGAGGTACAGGAAGTGGTTCCACTCGCCTGCATGGTGATCCATGACGTCGAGTCAGCGTCCATCGTGGGTTGAGGAGACTTTAGACAAGCGCAAGTGTTCCACGCACCAGGAGCGAAGTCGTTGATCTTGCGCTGGAAGCGCATGAGGTGCCAGAGCAGGGTGAACGCCCAGACGATCAAGCTCGCCGAACTGAGCCACCACGTGACGGGGTTGCCGATCAAGTAATATTTGATGCCAAAGTCTTGCCAGCCGTTCATGCGCATGCCATTCCAGAGGAACGGCCACTCGAACGGCTTGGACGCGATCGTGTCCTCCTTGTCGGCGTCAGGGACGAGCGCATTGTTCGACGTCATCATGGCGACGTTGAGGTGCCAGAAGTCGCGGAAGAAGGGCGAGCGGTACAGCTTCTGGTTGCCGGTCGGGACTGCAGACGCGGGCGCATGGGAAGCAGAAGTCAGCGATGCGCGTTCAGTCCTAATTCGGCACGGCTGTTGCCGGACTCACGGCGCTCGTTCCAGTGCGACTCGATGTTCCAATAGGTGTGCTCGTCCTTCGGGTTGTTCTCCTTCTCGCAGCTGACCTCGACTTGCTTGAATCCCCACTGCGGCAAGACGGCGTTCGCAGCGCGGAGGTAGCATCCCGAGTTGAGGTGCTTGAAGCGCAGGCGAGTCGAGAGCGAGTGGATGCGGTCGAACTTGTGCCGCGCGCCGCGGAGGAAGTCATCGACGACCTCGACGACCCAGTAATCGTTCGAGTCGCCGACTGTCGCGTTACCGTAGCACGAGACTTCGTTCGCTAGCTTCGTCACGGGCGCAGCGATCGCGTGCGAATGGAGGTTGCGGCCGGTCGAGGCGTGTACGAGGCGGAGTTGGTCGCCATGGCGGAGGAAGACGATCTCGCCGTTCTCAAGGTCGATCTGGTCGGCCTCCCACGTCGGCGTAAGGACCCAATCGTTGTTCTCGTCCTTGTAGTGATAGCACGTCACTTGCTGCTGCTGCGAGCCGACCGGATAGGTCTGGACGTGCGAGTGGAGGAGACCGCCGCCGTAGCCCATGTTCTTCAGCGTAATGCGCGAGCCGAATGCGGGCTCGAGCGGATTCTGAGCAAAATCGTTGCCGTGGAGGTGCGCCTGGAAGAGCGACGACATCTGCGAGTCGCCCGGGCCGGAGTGGTTGAGGATGAGGAAGTGGATTTTGAAGGTGAGGGCGTAAACGAAGAAGGGAATGACGATGAGGCAGAGGATACGGGCAACCCAGTGACGGGCGTAGGTGCGCTGGGAAATAAGGTGAGAAGCAGAGTCAGTTTCAGTTCGCCCGGGGACAGCTCGCGAATTAACGCGGAGGCTGAGCCCGCCAGCTTATACGAGCGGTTGGGCTGACTCACAAAGGACATGCGCAGGTCGCCGAGCTTGTTCCACAAGTCTTCGACCGTATAGAGGCCGACGAGGGCGGTCACGAACATCCCGACCCACTTGACGCTGATCGCCCAACGCATTCAGAAGCGGTCAGCGAGCGCGCTGAAGCGTTGGAGCTTCCGCAGACGAGCGGTTGGACGTACGAGCAGACGCAACCGATCGAAATGCCGGTCAGGGTCAGCCAGATCCACCAGTCCTCTTCAAATGGCCTGGGGGGAGACGAGGAGCGTCAGCACAGCAACGTGGCGGGACTTCGGAGGCGCTTGCGACCCAAGTCTCCCGGCTCAGGAAGCGTCGCACGTTCGCGCCTTCCTTGCCTCATGCTCAGGGGTTCGTGGAAGTTGGAAGCTGTGACTCACCGTCTTTGTTGGTTATTGAAGCACGCGAGGCAGTAGACGGTCGTGAAGGTGAAGAAGAGGAGGAGCGAGTCAAGGAGGACGAAGCGCGAAATGGCGAGCCACGCGAGATCTGCGGAGGTAGAGCGTCAACGTTTGCCGCACGGGAGAGGCGAGATTCGGCTTCGATCGCAGAGAAGCACCGCACGCCGAGGAGGAAGCCACGACGCACCTGTCAGGACCATGAGCGTGACGATATGCCTGCCCCACTTGGTCATCCTCAATTCGACCGCCGTTCCCCAAGCAAGCGGAACCATCGCGACACCAGGAAGCGCGAGCATGATACGCATGGCGTGGAAGGGAACGTGGTCGGGGTAGACGGCACCGGAGGGGTAGTCAAATGAGCCGTTGAAGCCGGAGAGGGCGCCGGCGAGGCCGACAAGCATCTTGCCGAGAGGGGGGTGAACCTGCGAGACGTGCGAGTGAGCGGGTGGTTCGAGAGTTGGAGAAGAAGCGGACGCACATCGAAGTAGAACGTCCGGTTGAGGTAGTATGCGCCGAACTTGCCGAAGTGGGCCTGTGTACGCAAGTTGGTCAGTACTTCGCACTCTCGCAAGGCTGCTAGAGCGCACCTCGTCCCAGACGACCGTGTTGTTGGCGCCGATGCGGTAGAGGCGAGTGAAGAGGGAGAGGATGGTGTAGATGATGAGGGGTATTTGGGCGCGCAAGTCGCTGACGACTTCCCGACCGATGGCGCGCTGTGTTGCACGAATTCCGAGAGTCAGTCGATCGAGGGTTCCGGGCCTTGCAGCGGTTCGCGACCGGACGAGATCGCCTTCTCGCAGAAGCAAAGGAAGCGGACTGACCCAACTGACCGGTTCCCGCCTCGCCCTAGCCTTTCCGCCCTTCTGCAAGAACTCCTGCCTCGTCTCGGGAATCCTGCCCTCCATCCCTATCCCGCTGACGGGCCAGACGTCCTTCTCGCCCTTGTCACTCTTGCTGTCTCTCCGTGCGCGCGCAAACCCCTGAGCTCCCTCGACATCCGCATCGTACTCGTCCACCGTGTCCTGCGCGTCTCCTCCCGCCGCTCCCGATGCATCAAACAAGACGGCAGGCGACTGTCCGGGCACGCGTCTCCTCGCCGTCGAGCTGTCGACCACCTCGACCATGTCCTGCCTGTCCTTCGTGTGTGAGTTCTTCCTGGCCGTGTAGAGCGGCAGTCCCGGCTGTCTCGGCGCGTACGGGTCCTCTGCGTCGGGTGTGGGAGGCGGAGACGGCGACTGCGAGCGGGTCGAGAGGAGCGGGCGAGAGGGCGAGCGCGGGCGGCGGAAGGACATCCGTGGCCAGCCAGGGGAGATCCACAGTCGCAGTCAGGCGTGCTAGAGCTGCACAACGACACCAGCGAGCGGAGACAGCGAGTTGGTAAAGTCGAAGAACCGCAGCCGCTCCACGTCGAGATGATGAAGTCAAAACTGTCGTCCTGGGACTGTCTGGCTGGCTGGATCTCGTCTTTTAGGCCTCACGATGGCAGCACTGGGCCGAGCGAGCGAAAGGAAGAGCTCAAGCGACCGCGGCGGCGAGTTTCTCTCCTCCAAGGACACCGCCAGCGTCAAACCGCTCATATCGCGTGAAACGGGTACGAACCAGTTAAGAACAACGCTGCAATGCTGTGCAAGGAATAGGGTATCGAAGCGGAAGCGGGGTATAGTCGTTTCAAGCGGGTCCTCCTCCTCCGTTCTTCGCAGGCGCCTTCGGCACGCCCAGCGTCGCGGTGACCAGCTTGCGCGAGAGCTTCTGGAGCTCGGTGAGAGGCGGTTCGGTGGCGGAGACGTAGAGAATCTGTGATTCAGTCCGGGACGAAGGAGCAACCAGTCAGCAGCGAGGCGAATAGGCTCGCTGTCGCAGGGACGAGGGCGCACCTGGTACTCGTCCTTCTTCTTCAAGTCATGCATGTTGACCCTCACACACTTGAGCACGTCGCTGAACTTGGGCACCGACGCGCCCGAGCTTGCGCCGGCATTCTGCTTCTTCGGGCTCGAGGAGAGGCCGAATCCGCCCCGCGAAGGCTTGAACTTCTTGAGTGGCGGGAAGGTGGAGGAGCTGGAGGAGACGGATGTGGTATCGTTCGCGATCGCGGGGTTGGTGGAGTCGGTCGAAGAAGCGGGCTTGAAAGAAGCGGCGGCGGCTTTGATGTCGTTCGGGATGGGCCTGCTCGTTCAACCGGTCTACAAAGTCAGCATCTGCTCGTCGCGTCAATGCAGACAGTCCATGGTCGTACGCACCTGCCCGGATCGAACACCAACAACCAAACCTCCTCCTCGCCCTCGCTCCCGGCCCTTCCCCTGCCACCCCCTCCCCCACCCACACTCGCACTCTTCCTAACCTCAACCCCAACGATTGTCCGACTGTGGCCCTTGTGTTGCAGGTACAGCGGCTGGTTGCCGGTTAGGTGGATTGAGGTGCCTTGCGAGGCGGAGAGGAGGGCGAAGGCGTTGGTCGCTGCGGGCTGGGCGGAGGTGGAGGACGAGCGAAAGTAGTCGAGTATCCATTCCTGCGAGGCGAGGACGTGAGTAACAGGAAGAGAAGGATTGAAAGGGAAGACATACGACGAGCGCCTTGTTCGTTACGACGCCTGAGTCCGGATCCTGTTTCGGAAAGTCGACGATAAAGGCGCTGAAAAGTGGATTGGCATAAGCTGGTGAGATGTTTAGCGGAAGCGAGCGAGATGGAACGCACTTGACGCCCATGTAGGTCAGAGCGGTGTAGACCTCTGTCGTGCCGATCCACCTGCGCGAGCCGATCAGCTTGCCGCGGAAGTGCTCTGCACCGGCTGGGTCGTAGCCTGCACAGCGACTCAGAGTCAGCAATCGTCAAGGGGACGTGAGCTTCTGATCCGGTCTGCCGACAGCACGGAAGGGAGAGCGAAAAATTGGCGAGGACAGCTCACCTTGTCTCCAAGCTTCCTCAACCGTCTCTTGCCACGCCCGGATGGGCGGGACGGGCGCCGCAGCTTGACCTGGCGAATTCGAGTCCGTCGAGTATTGCGGGAGGTGGCGGACGGCGGAGAAGACCATCTGGGCGTTCTTGTAGCTGCAGTGGGAGCCGTCAGTATCGTTGACTAGCGCGAAGAAGGCGAGGGAACGCACCCGCAGCCCCAGCCGTAGTCGCCCAGCCGAGTTGCGATGTGCTCCGTCCATTCGTTCGCGAGGTACGCTTCTCGCGTCCGGCCATGTGGCGATGCGTGCGATGCGGAGAGCGCGTGGTGAAGGAGGCCAATCATGCCTGCAGGTAGGGCAGCGTCAGCAGAAGTCTCGTTTCGAGAGGCGCATTGCACGCGGACGAACCTGCTGTACCGACCACCGTTTCCTTCGCACCTCCTCCGAGTGGTCCGGACCTCGGCCTCTTGCCCTTCCCAGCGAGCGACGAACGGCCTTTCTCCTCCGCCAATTCATCATCCAAGTCCGCCTCACCATGATTCTCACCTACTGGCGGACTCCACGACATAGCCCGCCGATCCATCCCCTCGCACTTCGCCAAGTGGTTCCGCCTTCGCGCGATGAGTACGGAGCGCTGGGCGAAGGAGGCGGCGGGCGGGAAGGAGAGGTCGAAGGTCGCCCAGGACGAGCCGCAAGAAGGGCAAACGTCCGAGGTGTTTCCTTCCGCCGCAGACCGTCCCTCTTCTTCCCGTGAGAGTGCGAGCGCCAGCAGCCTGTCCTGCTCGAAGGCGTCGTCGTTACGCATCCGCTCCCGTCGCCTGGAGAAGGAGCCACCGTCCAGCCCATTCGTCTGCGCTTCCGCTCCGACTACGCCTTCCTCCGCTTGTGCAAGGGCGAGTGCAAGCGCGTGATCTGCATCGACGTACGCAGAACGGGGCGAGGCACTGGGTTGTATGCGAGATGAGGCGGTGAAGGTGTCGCGGTGGGACGCGTCGAGAGAAGCTGGGGTGACGAGCGGGGCGGTAAGAAGTTGCGAAGACGAGCCTTGTCGGTCCAAGCCTTTTTCGTACGGCGCAAGAAGCGGTGTGAGATGAGCGAGTCGCCCGTGAGAGGCTGCTGCGAGGAAGCGGAGCACTCACAGCTGTTGATGTGGTGCTCGATGTACTGCGAGTCGCCCACGAGCTCCTCAGAGCACACAAAGCACTGCATGGCGCAGAACCAGCCAGAACGAGGGGATGAGGCGGTTTGGTCGACGGCGAAGAGGCGAATCGAGGGTCAGGAGGGACCGTCACCCTCTCACCGCTCAGGCTGGCTTGTAGTATGGCTGAAGGTGCTACGGAGACTGCTCAAGGATTTCCTGAACGGGCGTCAGCCTCGCCCAGCGTCCCCTTCTCGTCTCCTTCGACTTCATCAGTCGAATCCTCCAGCACCACGAAGAAGGCGAGGAAACCCCGGATAGTGCTGGAGGGGACAGCTCAGGAGATTTTGAAGCGGAACAACACGGCGGCGAGCCGGACTTTCGTTGAGGGGCTGATCCAGCGAGCCGGAACGGGACGTTCTGCTCGTTCACCCCCTCCAACTTCGTCGCTTAGGCAGCTGACGCTCTTTCTATCGCTCGATAGAACTGGAACCGCTTTTACACGAACCATGCCGCAGCGGGACCGTTCTTCAAGGATCGGCATTGGCTTGACAGGGAGTGGGAAGAGCTAAAGGAATTGGGTGGACCAGCGGATGGCGCTATAGACGCTTATGAGCGACCAAGCGGGACGAAAAAGACGATGCTCGAAGTCGGCTGCGGGACAGGCGCGACGATCTACCCGTACGTTGCGTTCTCAGCGCCAGACTTGACGACTTTCGCTGACCTCGCTTTCCCGCTCAGTCTCCTCGAGCGATATCCTCGCGCGAGATTCGTAGCGTTCGACTTTGCGAAGAAGTGCGTGGCTCACTGGCCCTCTTCTTAGAAGTCTCGCCTACTGACCTTCTCTCCGGCGATTTTTCGAGCAGGGCAGTCGAACTCACCAAGGTGCGTAGTTCTCTAGAATCTCCCGTCGCGTTTCTTGACTCGCCACGATTTCTACACAGAGCCATGCGAGCTACGATCCTGCACATACCCATATCTTCCAGCACGACTTGACGAAACCGCTCGACGACCTGTACACAAAGCTCGACGATGTACCGCCAGAATTCGGCCCAGCAGTACGACAATTCGACATCGTCAGCTGTGTGTTCGTGCTGTCGGCGTTGGCGCCGCGGTGTCAAGCGAAGGCGATGGAGACCCTACTCGCAGTGAGTCGTGGCCTGCCCCTCGTCTTCGCTGCGACTGTCGCTCAGGTCTCTTCTCCATAGCTCGTCGCCCCTGGCGGCTCGCTCCTCTTCCGAGACTACGCCCTCCACGATGCCGCACAACTCCGCTTCCACTCCCTCCCTTCCGCTTCATATGCGTCAAACCCGTCCCTTCTCTCACGACAAACCGAACCCTCCGCTTCACCCGACCAGTCCGCACCTCCCGATCCCACGTTCGACGACTCCAACCGACCCTTCTACCGACGTGGCGACAACACCCTCACCTACTTCTTCACGGCGGCGGAGATCCAGTCCTACGTTGACGAGGCGGCTCGCGTGCTGGACATCGAGATTGAGGGTACGTGCGAGGTGGTTGAGCGCGAGATGGAGAATAGGAAGGAGCAGTGGGGGTGTACGAGGCGGTTCGTGCATGCGAGCTGGCGGAGAGTGAGGTAGCCCTGTCGCTGCCAACGCAGATCGCCCGTTGCAGGACTCTCCTTCAAACCCGGACGAGAAGGCTGATGAAATAACGAGTTGCGGTCACGAAAAAGCACTATATACAGCGCAAAGAACGGTGAAAGAGGGGAGTTGCGAAGGCGCATTAGGGTGAGGGTGCTAAGGGAGTGAAGGAGGTATGTACAGGACGGAGGGGAGATGTCTAGATAGGTATTGTTGTGTACTTAGACGGCGGCAGCAGCCCCGTGCTGGTGGAAGCCGGCACCGTCGCCGTGCGTAGTCGCGGTAGGCGAACCGACGGTGGTCGACGGACGGGGCGTCGCTCCAACCGAGTTCGGGCCCATCTTCTCGTTGAGGAGGGTCTGGTGGGCACCGTCGGAGACCTTGCCGGAAGACATGCCGAGGCGAGCATAGTCGAGCTTCGAGAGGGACATAAGGTGGATGACGGAGAAGACGGGCTTGGCGAGGAGGTCGAGGACGCCGTACGCGATCATTTCGGAGTCCGGGGTAATTACGTTGCCCCCGTCGGCGACACCCCAGATCACGGGGTAGACGAGCCAGACGGTGGTGAGGAAGATGTTCGACATGGTGTAACTCTTGGCAAAGTCGGATCCGATGTGCTGCGCCGAGCGACGACCGGGGACGAGGAGCATCCACCAAATGTAAAGCTGGGCCGCGCAGCCGAATGCGTAAAATCCCCACCTGTGCGCGGAGGACTGGACGTGAGCCGTTGCAGCAATCCCGACAGGATGAATGCACGCACTTGTAGCGGGAGGCAACGAGGGCGCCGATGAGACCCGTCTCAATCATGAGGAGGTCGGCAAAGATGACGGAGAAGACCTGGGAGAGGGGTAGACCCGTGCAGAGCAAGAGTTCGAGGAGGAGCATCGGGGTCGTGATCGTCCAGTCGATGTAACGGGCGTACCAGATCGCGCGCGTAGGGTTCTCGACGCCAACCTGTACCCAGTTCTGGCCGAGTGAACCACCACGGATGAATTCAACGACGATAGGGACGTCTCCAAGGTCGGAGGCCATCGCAAAGCTGGAAAGAGCGGAGCGTCAGCTCGAGAATTAAACGAGCTGGGGTGGAATTCGTAAGACTTACTAGGCGATCGAGGCGGTGAAGCAGAGGGCTGCGAGAAGGCGGAGGGGAAGAACAGACGGGTCAGGAAGTATTCGCGTAGGTACATATGGTCTCGTCGGGCGCACCTGCGGCGAGCTCGTGGAAAGCTCGCTCGCCCAGCGGCCTGGCAACGTGGCCCCAGACGAGTATGCCGATGGCGCTGAGGAGCATGACAGAAAAGACGGCCCAGAGCCAGTCGCTGCCATGGGTAGTGATGTCGATGTCGGCATTTTTCTGCTCGGGCCTCGAATATAAGGCATTGAGGAGCGACGAGATCGGCGGTTGGTAGTCGGCGCATGTACGATATAGAAAGGCATGGTCGCGAACGAAGATGGGCATGAGGACGGGATGAATGACAGTCAGTGTGGTGTTCTGCGTCGGCGCGGACAATGAGCCGCACTGGGTTCAATGCGAAGACGTTGTTGCGCTTGGCGAGCTCGATAGCGGCATCCATGACGACAGAAGGAGGGAGGGGAGATGGACGTAGGACCAAGGTTGAGGACGCGGTGCAAAGTTGCTGTGTCGGCACGGCGATTGACGGGAGCGTCCGTAGCGACGTTTGCGAGTATGCGAGCTGTAGCAGTGAGGGGCAGGAGAGAGAGAGCGCGGAAGAGATGGGCGAGGGGAGAGGTTCGTCTCGAGGCGTCATCTCTACGTCCTCGGTGCGCCAGGCGTCCATCTTCGGCCATTGCAGGGGGCCGGACATCCTAAAAATGAGCCCTGCGATGCGTAAGTCATAGCGAGCGAAGTGTCGAAGCGGATCTGACTTTCGCGATCTCGAGAATTCTGGGAAGGTCAACGTCACAAGCGAGGGTCGGTCCCAAAGTTCGGCGGGAGATGGCGGCGCCAATGAGTGTCGCAGGATCGACACGGCACGGCTTAGCATCGAGACCGGAGCGATAAAGTGATTGACAATCTCGAGAGAACGGCGGGAGGCGGGAGGGACTTAGGATTCACCTCGTCGACCGCTGCCCTGCCTCCCGCTCTATACCTCTCGTCCGCCAGACGTCTGCAGGACTGCATCAAGCTCTCGCGAATGCAGGGCTTCCGCCGCGGCCTCGGTCGGATGCTGCGCAACCTCGCTGCTGGAGACAAGTATAGGACGCTCAAGTCCGCCCGACGTCGTCGAGAAACGCCCGAAGCTCCTGCCTCCATCTGCGCTCGTTGTACGCAAGGTCGTGGAGCGCGCCTGGAACGTCGACCCACTCGCTCCTTGCCTCGCCGCCGTCTCGCTCCGTCGACTTGACCCACGCTTCGAACATCCGCCTCACACCGTCCTTTCCTGCTAGTTCGCCTGACTTAACGCCCTCTTCCGTACCCAGCGGAATCACCTCGTCCTTTCCGCTTCGAATCCATAAGCTCCTCATCTCTCCGCTCGACTCCTTTAGCCGCTCCAAGTCGCCCAGCGCGTCCCACCGGTCGAAGGCGAGCGGTCCAAGCCAATGGTACGGCAGCCACTTCTGCGGATAGAGCGCGCGGACCATGAACGGGATCGAGGGGAGCGGGTTCTCGAGGATGAGGCCGGATATTCGGGGTTCGCTCGTCGGCGTCGCGCTGTCGTCTGAATGAGAGTGACAGGCGAAGGGACCTTGCTGGAGTTGCTTGAGGAGGCCAACGGCTGCTGCGCCGCCGAGTGAGTGGCCATACAGGACGTAGCGAGCGTCGGGACCGTGAGTTGCGTGAAAGTAGGCAAGTGAGGCGCGGTAGTCTGCGAGTATGCCACGCTCGGTAGGTGTTGCGCGAGTCGAGAGCCAGTAGGAGCGAGGCGCGGGTGCGAGGAGGGTGAGTCGGGGGAAGAGGCGGAGGGTTCGAGGGCTGGAGGAGTACGAGGAAGTGCGGGGAGGGTGAAGCAGGGTGCGGAAGAGGGGAAGGCGATTCAAGGGTGTGCCGGCGTTTCCTGCGACGTTGGGAGAAGGGCGTCAGGACTTCAGCTTGGAGAATTGGCGACCCGGACGCGCCTTGCATGTACAGAATCACGACGTGCGGTCTCTTCGCCGCCACCTCGTCGTCTTCCTTCCATCCAACCTCAATGGCCCGCACCTCAACCTTCTGGCGCAACCACTTCGTCGGTTCCGCACTCACAATCCTAACCTCCTTGACGCGCATGTCGCCCATCTCTCCCGTCGCCGTAACTGCCGAGAGAGGCTCGTCCCGCGAGCCTGGTGGGAGCCAGGGCATGTAGATGACTTTGCGCTGGAAGAGGACGAGCATGATGCACTGCGCGAGCGAGTTAGCGGTTCTGCTGGCGTCCTGCGACCCCGTTTGGCTTCGTGAAGCGTCCGCAGTCTCGTCCGCACCTTGTACACCCACAGCGCAGTCGGCAAACCAATCAAGACCTGCACAAACGGCGGCGAGCGGAGATGTCAACGCAACTCGCCAGGCGGAGCGAAAGTCAACTCAGCGCACCTCAAGCACGAAGAGCCATGGCGGTCCCCCTGAGCCTAAGCCCGTCCCTGCGAGTGGCTCGTTCGATGGGTCTGGCAGCCATCCCCAGAGTGCGCGGCGACTCGAGGTCGAGGAGAAGGGTCGGGACGAGACGAGCGACGGCGGCACTGGCGGAGTTCTCGCGAATGGGACAGGCTTCACAGCAGCTCTACCAGTCCCTGCACGCCGGCAAAGCATCCTTTGAGCGTTGTCGAGGGGTTCATCAGCGAGCGTCTCTGGCGAACTTCATCTCTCGCTCCTCACACACGCGACAACCAGCTCAGACCAGCTTTTTGCACCGCTAGAATGGCCCGCACACACTCCCAATACCCTCGCTCGACCCTCCGCACCATCCTCCGCTCGCACGCATCCTCCTCGTCCGCGCATACTTTGTCACCCAACTCGGACGCAATCGCCTTCGTCGCGCACTTGGCGTTCTTGCGGAAGCTTGCGAGGGAGGTCAAGGAGCTTGTGGAGGAGGAGAAGGGGCGAAAGGAGAAGAAGAGGGTTGAGGCGGCGGATTTGAGGAGGGCGAGTAAGGTGAGCGGGTGGTTCTTCTCGTCCCCTCGCTTTCTTTCAGCCTTGTTCGTGCCATAGAGGCGTCACTGACCTGAGACGAGCGCTCGCAGCGGCTCCTTCAGCGGAAAGAACAGTGAAGACGGACGCTCTCGAAGGACTCTCTGCTCTCGGTGACGAACAGGTGCGTCGATTCCCTCGCTGAAAATTCGCTACGTCTGTTGCTGACATGTGATTAACTTGCAGAGTCAAGGGCAAGCAGATAGAGCCGTCCAGAGCTGCGTTGACGCGGTCAATAGACGTCCATTGGGTGCGTTGTCCACTTTCACCGTCTCCAATCTCGCCAAACACCGCTCACACCGGCTCTGTACACTCTGAAGGCTCAATCAGCGTATCAGGACTAGGCAACGCCGCTCTAGACGGCAGAGTACGCGCCTCCCGCCCGACAATGTCCGTTTTTGTCGCTCAAGTCTCGTCTCACCTCCCGCTGACCCGCCTCCTTTCATTCGCAGACCAGCCTCGTCCCTTCGCAGATCAGAAGCGCTCGCTACGTTCAACAAACCCTTGTAGACCGCCTCGCAACGACGATTGCCAACGGAACTACCCTTCAGCCTCCCTTCAAGCCTTCTCGCGCGGCCCCTCGCTCGCGTGCGAGGGCTTACGTACGCTTTCGCTTGATCGCTCCGCGCCCGCCGAGCATGCGGAGGGGCGAACCCGCCCGACGATGGTTCCGGAGACCGAAGGCACTGAATGACGACCTCGCAACTTGCTGGGCGTGCGTGAGAGAGAGACGCAGTCACAAGCGAGAGCGGTTCCTGCGACTGCTCTGCTGTGTCTTGCGCTGTCGTAGACTGTCGCCTGAGAGCACCACCAGCCAGAACGAAGGTGTGTTGGCCCGTCGTCGTTGTCGCTTCTCCTCCTCTTCCTCAAGACCTGACCCGACTCGCCTCGTCTCGCTCGCTCGGTGCTGTTTGCCTGACACAGATCTAGACAGACACTCTGCCGCGACCAGCTCACCCGCCAGCGCTTGTCCCATTCTGCGACGTCACCCTCTTCTCCCGAACGAACCTCGCCCCCTCGTGACCGGCTGTCCCCGCCCGTCCACGAGCGAGGATGGCGCACCCGCTCATCAAGCCCTCTGGGCCTGATGCGACCGCCTCGACCCCGCCACGCGCGAGCTCGCCCGGCCCGTCTGCCGCGTACACAGGGTACTCAATGTCGCCCCACAAGGCGAGCGGGTCTTCGCACGCCTCGCAGCCGCCTGGATTCGATGGAGCGCCCATGGAAGACTTGAGTGGATGGGGGAAGAGTGCTGAGCGGTTTGGAGGCATGGCGCAGGCTGGACTGAGGCAGGAGGACGGGACGTTCCTCCATTCGGAGACGAACGCGGGCTCGTCTGAGTCTCAAGGGGCACCAGGGATCCGCACGCCACTCTCGAGACAAGCCTCGACGTCCTCTGCATCGTCCTCGTCGTCTCTCGCTTCGTCGTCTTCGTCCGCTTCCGGGTTCAACACGACAGCCGAGGTCTCCGATCCAGAGGAGGATGCAGGCGCAGGAATCGGTGGAGCAGGGTACGGGCGCATGGCGGCGACGAGCTTGGACGAGCACACGGCGCGGAAGACCCGCGAGGACCAGGAGATGAACAGGTGGCGCGAGGGAGCGAGCCAGAGCTATCACGGCGGGATGGGGCAGGGGTACCTCAGGTGCGTTCGCAGGCGTTTGCTTTCGAGTCTTGCGACGACAGTTGACTGAGCCGAGTGGCTTTGCGCAGGATGATCCACGCTCTCGCCCAGGAAGACGCTCAGGAGCGGCGGAAGGAACGCCGCGAGCAGAAGAAGCGGCGCAAGGCGAAGAAGCATCACCGCCACGCTTCTCACTCTGCAGACGACGACGCTGGTGACGAGCAGAAGAAGGAGAAGAAGGAGGGCTCGAACGCAGGCGACGAATCCAACGCCGACCTCTCCAAGTTCCGCTCCCTGCCGGAACGCGCAGCCGCGAACCCCTCCCTTGCACGCTGCGACAACGAGTCGCCCAAGTCGACTGTCTCATCCGCCCAACGCCAGCTCCTTAGCGGCTCAGCAACTTCAGCCAGCTCGCACCTTCGACACCAGCGACCGAATATCCGCGCCGGCGGACGTGACGGTGAAGACCTCTCCAAGTCTTCGATCTTTGCGATTCACCGCCCTATCGCTGCCGAGCGACGACGAACGATGTCGAGCACGCACGGGACGGACGACGAGAGCGGCGAGCCGGACTTGGCGGAGCAGGACGAGGAGTACAAGGATGAGGGAGTCAGGTTGCGGAGGGCCGGGAAGGAGGAGGGCAAGAGACCGGAGATGGGCGACAGGACCGAGACGAGCGCGACGGAGAAGACGGTCGAGACGATGGAGCGGCGACAGAAGCTGGCGGAGAAGCTCATGGACGTGTTTGGGCTTGAGGAGCCGGAGGAGGTCGTTGCAGGTGCGTCGCTTCCGAATTATTCGACCAACTCGGACTGCACTGACGCCGAGATTCGCAGAGTACGCCTGCTGGCTCTTCCGCTCGATCCTCCTACAAGGCTTCCTCTACATCACCGCCGGCCACCTCTGCTTCTACGCCTACCTCTCGCAGAAGGAGGCGCGTCACAATTCCTTACTCGCTGCCAACGACCCCTTCGCTGACTCCGCGTCGCTTCGCAGGGCGCGACCATCCGGTCTGGCTCGCTTTCGGTTCGCGGCAGCAGGACGAGGCGGTATCGCAAGCACTGGTTCGTGCTCAAGGACAGTGTGCTGAGTTGGTTCCCCTCGTCGACGGTGCGTTAGCCTCTGCCACTTGGTTTCTCTGTCTCTTCCGCTGACCCTGCTTTCTACGCAGGACCCGTACTTCCCGGACGGCCATATCGACCTGCACTACTGCGTCGCCGTCGAACCCTCGACCAAGCACTCGCACCACTTTAAAGTCTCGACGTCGGAGAAGCGGTACCACTTCAGCGCCGACTCGGAAGCCTCGCGCGACGAATGGGTCAAGGCGATCAAGAAGGTCGTCTTTCGATGCCAGAACGAGGGCGAGAGCGTCAAGATCGCCATCCCGCTCGAGACGATCGTCGACGTCGAAAAGTCGTCGAGCCTTGAGTTTGCCGAAACGATTCGCGTTCGCGTCTACGATGCGGACGAGGGCTACTCGATCGACGAATACTGGCTCTCCTACTTCAAGAACATCGACGGCGCGCTCGAGAAGATCAACTCGGTCCTCGAGGCGTTCAGGTCGCATCACCCTTCGTCGCAGGGAACGAAGGAGCCGCTTCCGCCTTCCGCCGCGCACGTTCAGGAGGTCGAGGACACGACTCGCGCTGCGCAGGCCGATCTTGGCGAGTCGGACCAGTACCGCCAGGCAGAGTCGGAGCATCAGCCTCGTCGGTCGGAGGAGAGCGTGCGGGACGTCGACGATGACCCGAAGAGGTCGAAGAGTCTCGGTCAGCGCGTGTCGTCCGTCCTTTCGCAGACGACTCGGCTCGGAAGGAGCTCGCCCAAGTCGAGTCGGGCGCCTGCGTCGGCGCCATCTTCTGGTCCGCCTGGCACGCCAACAAAGGCGGCTTCGACTCCGCCGAATCTGCTCAGTCAGAGCGGAGCAGCGCCCACACCTATCTCGGCTTCGTCGACCCCTGCATCTGGTTCGATCGCGACGCTTCGCCCTTCGTCGCAGCAACAGCCACAGGCAGGCACGACTCCGCCGTCGGACGACATCGCAGTTCGCGGCGTTGCGACCGTCACAGCTGCGGCAGCTACTGCGCCCACACCGCCTCCCGTCGGCTCGCCGCCCAAGATGGAGGGAGACGGAACGATCACTTCACTTGCTCCAGCGCTGAGTCAGCCGCCCGTCTCGCTTGCCGAGGAAGGTCGAGCTTCGTCCGAAGACACCCTCAGCCCGCGCCAGCACACCTACCCTCCGGAGCCCTCGACTGGACCTCCTCCCGCCGACGGCTCCGGCAACCGCCGCACCTCGACGCTGAGCAAGATCCTCTCGGCTCCCGCCGGCGCCGCAAGCTCCTTCGGTCAAGGCAGTCGCAAGATCCTTGAAGTCGTCACTCTCTCGTCCGTGCCGGGCCGGAAGAAGAGCTCGAAGAAGGGGGCTGTGGCGGATGCGGCGATCACGGAAGAGCCGGAGGACATGGTCGCCGAGGAGGAGGACAAGGCCAAGCGAGTCGACGACTTCCGCAAGCTGTTCGGCCTGTCGGAGAAGGAGGACTTGCTGGAAGGTGCGCTCACCATTTCCAGCTCTGTCGAGCGCGGCTGACCTGACTTGCTCTCGACAGAATACCCCGCCTACCTCTTCCGCGGACTCCCCATCTACGGCCGCGTCTACATCTCGAACAACTTCTTCTGCTTCCGATCGTCAGGCATCATGCCCGGCAAGTCGAAGGTGCGTCCCCTTTCTCGTCTTAGCTTGCCGTCAAACTCACCCGCTTCGCCGCCAGATGATCCTCCCGATCAACGACATCATCGGCGTCTCGAAGCATCGCTCGTACCGCATCGGCTTCTCCGGCCTCATGGTCGTCATCAAGGGCCACGAGGAGGTCTTCTTCGAGATGAACTCGACCGAGCGACGCGACGCCTGCCTCGAAAAGCTCGACCAGCAGCGCGAGGTCGTCAAGCAAATGCATCGCGAGCAGTCGAAGCAGGAGGACGATTCGGAGGAACACCGCCAATTGCAAGACTTGCTCGACTTGTCGGCATCGAAGGCAACCGAGTCTGTCTCCGAGCTGCCCCATCCTCGGTCGGAGGCGGTCCCCGGACAGCCGCCAATCATGTTCTCGTCGACAACGTCCGACTTTGTCACCTTCCAGCCGGAGAAGCCCCTTCGCTTCACATGCTTGACGATCGGCTCGCGCGGCGACGTCCAGCCGTACATCGCACTCTGCAAGGGCTTGATGGCGCAGGGCCACCACTGCAAGATCGCCAGTCACGCCGAATACCGCAAATGGGTCGAAGGACATGGCATCGACTTCTCGCCAGTTGGCGGCGACCCTGCCGAGCTCATGCAGCGTGAGTCTTTATTCCCCAAGGGCACGATGGACAGCTGACCATTCTTGTCGCGCAGTGATGATCTCGCACGACTTCTTCACCATCTCGTTCATGAAGGAGGCTGTCGGACGTTTCCGAGGATGGCTCGACGACCTTCTCGCGTCGGCTTGGGACGGCTGCCAGAACACGGACGTCCTCATCGAGAGCCCGAGTGCGATTGCCGGCTACCACGTCGCCGAGGCCTTGCGCATTCCGTACTACAGGTGTGTTCGCTTCGCCATTCCGTCAGCTCACTCCATCTCACCCGCTCGCTTCACAGGGCCTTCACGATGCCTTGGACCCGCACTCGCGCCTATCCGCACGCTTTCGCCGTTCCCGAGGTGCACATGGGCGGCGGGTACAACTACATGACCTACACGATGTTCGACCAGGTCTTCTGGCGTGCGACGTCGGGCCAGGTCAACCGGTGGCGCAAGGAGACGCTCAAGCTCCGCTCGACGAGCCTCGAGGCCATGCAGCAGCACAAGATTCCGTTCTTGTACAACTTCAGCCCGGTCGTCGTCCCGCCGCCGCTCGACTGGCGCGAGAACATCCACGTCACGGGCTACTGGTGGCTCGACAATCCCGACGACTCGAAGTCGAAGAAGTGGGAGCCGCCGAAGGAGCTCCTCGACTTCCTGGATGACGCCGAGAAGGCGGGCAAGAAGGTCGTCTTCATCGGCTTCGGTTCCATCATCATCCCCGACCCGCTCGAGATGACGCGCGTCATTGCCGAAGCCGTGGAGAAGGCGGAGGTCTACGCCATCGTCGCCAAGGGCTGGTCGGACCGGGCGTCGAAGAAGGAGGACTCGGAGGAGCAGAAGGAGGAGGAGGAGCAGGCCGAGAAGCAGCACCACGACCTCCTCGACAAGCCGTTCATCTTCAACGTCAAGTCGATTCCGCACGACTGGCTCTTCCCCCGCATCCACGCAGCCGTGCACCACGGGGGCGCAGGAACGACGGGCGCGAGTCTCCGAGGTGCGCTGGTTCACTGTCGCTCGTTCAAGATCGCGAAATTGATGCCTTTTCCCCTGCAGCCGGTCTTCCGACCATAATCAAGCCCTTCTTCGGCGACCAGCACTTCTACGCCGACCGAGTGGCAACCCTTGGAATCGGCACGCACATCCGCAACTTCAACGTGGACAACCTGACCGAGGCGCTCAAGAAGGCTGTCGGCGATGAGAAGCAGATCGAGCGTGCACGCCTGGCTGGCGAGGAGATCCGCAAGGAGGACGGCGTCGCGACGGCTGTCGAGTGCATCTACCGCGACCTCGAGTACGCCCGCAGCCTCATCCCCGCCCCGGCTCCGGTCGACAAGGACGGCGACGTGTCCGACAGCAGCTCGACGAGCTCCGACGACGGAGACGAGCCAGACTCGATCGACGAGAAGAAGCCTGTCTCGAGCGAGAAGGCCGCCGTCGCTGCATCTGCGCCCTCTACGCCGGTCAAGCCGACGCACGACACCGCCGTCGCGAAGGACTCGCCTCCCGGAACCGAGTCGCGAACGACTTCGTCGGACGAAGGCTGGGACGTCATGTCGCGAGGTTCCGCCACCGGCTCGACCTGGGACGACTCGATCTCGCGCGCTTCGTCGGCCACTCGCGCTCCTCGTAGCGGAAACGCGCAAGAGGCGCTCGAGCGTGACCAGGTTGAAGGCGAGCCGTCGGTCGAGGAGGAGCCGCAGTCGGGCTTGACGGCGCGGATGCTCGGCTTCCTCGGCAAGCCCATCAAGCCGGGTAAGTAGGACGCGCGAGGTGGGTGACGAGCAGAAGAAGCTGTATCTATCGTGTATTCCTTTTCGCGTTCCCCCGTAGCTCCTGCCGTTGTCACTCTACGCCTTTCGCACGATTCGCAACTCCAGTAATCACATCTGTGTATTCCTCAGCTAAACCAAATGTGATATAGAGCTCGATAAGAATCAAGGACGAGGGAGGGAAACGAGCCGAACTGCGCCTAGTGCTGCGAACGAGCTGGCGAGAAGGTCGACGGGTCGTCGAGACCTTGATGCGCGAGGAAGCCGTTGCGTTCGGTGACGGGAGTGAACGGGTGCGAAGTTGGTGTGGGAGAGGCAGGAGGAGTCGCGCCGCGGAAAGGAGAAACAGGTGCGCCAGCTGGAGTCGTCGTCTTCGGCGGCGCCGATTCGTCCATCTGGCGGAGCGACTTCGTAAGCCCGCAAAACTACCACAGTGAGCAGGAATCAGAAAGACGCACAGGCTCGGGAAGGGTCCCGACGGGCGCAGTGCGCAAAGGAGCGGGACTGAGAGGAGCTTCCGACATGGCAGGCTCGGGAGGCGGCGGGACGTAAGCCGGCTCGCCTTCGTTCGGCGGGTAGCCCATGACGAGGTGCAGGTTGCCTTGGTCGTCGGTCGCGTAGTACGTGCCAGGCGGAGGAGCCGTCAGACCGCCTGTTGAAGCGGGTCCTTCGCCGTAGCGAGGCTGGTGGAACGACCCGCGCTTCTCGCTGCGTCCCGAGTAGAGCGAATAGGCGTCGCCGGCCTGCGCATCGTGCTTCCTCTTGAGATAGATGAGGAGGAGCGCGATCAAGGCGATTCCGACGATGCCGCCAACGACGCCTCCGACGATGGCTGTGTTACAGAAGTCGTTGGGCCATACTCAAAGATCGGGGGATGTAGGGAACGCACCACCGATGTTCGCTCCGCCACCTCCGCCTCCTTCGCTAGCAGCGGAAGTTGGGGAAGAGTTCGACCTGCGAAAGGGGGGTTCAGCCACGCCTCCAAGAGTGAGGAGAGACTTTCGCGTACTTTGTCGCCGAGAAGCTCGGGTCAAGCGACGAAGCGAGGCTGTAGATTTGCGCTTGTGAAGCGGGGTCGTTCGTGCCCAGGCAATCTGCCCCGCTCGAGCCTGCGTTGATGACAGCATCCGGCGTCGACGCCTGAGCTCCATTCGTGCCCGACGCGCCGTCCGCGACGACGTAAAACATCGCTGCGACCGACAGACCCGCAGGCAAGTCCACTTTCCAGGAGAACGTTCCATTCTGCCGTTCGTCGTAGACCGAGGGAAGGCTGTACGTCTCGAGGAAGTTCTGCGTCCCGGTCACGTAGATGCCGAGGTACTTGGGCCCGACGGGTGCGGTGTAGCTGGTCGTAGCAAGGTCAGCAAAGCCCAACCAAAGAGGAGGGAGAGACGACGCACGTCCAGGTTGCAAACTCGCACTCGTACAGTGGCGGTAGCGATATGGTCGTCTTGACGCCTGTAGAAGTCGGCGCGGGTGCATTGGCGGTGGAGGAAGAGGCCGAGGCAAGCGAAGCTGGGCGAGAGGAGGAGTTTGACGCCTGAGCGAGAGCTGTCGTGGCGCTTGTCAGGAGAACGGCAGTCAGGGCTGGTAGCAGCAGTCTCGTTTGCATCCTCGTAGCAAGCGATGGCTGGCTGAGTTGGCGGGAGATGGGGAACCAGCGAGAGGAGGAAGAGGACCGTGGCCGGGGAGTCCGCGGAGGCGTCTCCTGTCTGGTCAAGCACGCGGTCTTCGTTACCATACGCCGTGTATCCGCGGTCAAGAAGCGTTAAACCGTCTTTTGTATGGCTGCGTAGCAGGAACGCGGCTGCAGTCGCCGTGCCGCGACAATCGACCCTGCGAGTATAGCGCAAGCGGGTACGGACAGTCAGAGTAGCGCATACCACGATGCGCAGCCAGCAAAGGCGAGCGAAGCGGAAGGGCGGGTCACGGAAGAGGTCGAAGAGGGGGAGGTCGACTCTTTCGCTCCTCGCTCCTCCCTCGTTCTCACCTCGACCTGGAGCGATGCCGCCCAAAGGGAAGGGCAAGAAAGGTGCGTGTTACCCGCCACAGCTGCTCTCGCGCCGTCCCGGCCCCTACGCCTCGCTGTGTATCCTCATCAGTCCGCCCCGCTCGCAGACGGCGACGACAGCGCTGGAGGGAAGTTAAAGTCGGCTCAGTCGCTCAAGGTGAGCGGTGAGCTGCAGCACTCTCTTCGCGCGCATTCAGTTCCAACAGACGTGCTTGCCGAGGCGGTACACCCCTTCACTCCGCTCGCTCGCAACTTTCGCCCCCTTCCCTGCCTCATTTGCGTCGTCAGGAGTGTCGAATTGGGGGTTGAAGGAGCTGCTGGATCACAAAGGACCGCTGCACACCCGCTGACCTGCCCTGTTGACCCGACAGCTTCGGCACATTCTTTGCGAGAAGGCCAGCAAGGCGCAGCAGGCGCTCGAGCGGCTTAAGGCGGGCGAAGCGTTCGACAAGGTTGCGAGTGACATGAGCGAGGACAAGGCGCGGCAAGGCGGGTCGCTCGGGTGCGTTCAGCTCCCCTGCTCTCCCGCTTTTCTTGCAGACGTACTGATCAAGGTCCCGCAGCTGGATGAACCGGACAGGAATGGTCGGACCGTTCCAAGACGCAGCGTTTGATATCCCCGTCTCAACGGTCGGCAAGCCCATCTACAAGGAGATCAAGACAAAATTCGGCTACCAGTCTGTCCACCCCATCCTGTTCATGACTCCCTGCTCAATGGCTCCCGCTCACTGCATGCCTTGTGCAGCATCGTCATGGTCGAGGACCGGAAGTAGGGGCTTGCCAGCAGTCCAGCACCACCGCTGTGAGCACTTCGACCCGCCGCTTCGACCATTCAGCATTTCCGGTGTACCCTTCTTGCATTACACATTGTACATGATCTCCGGCTGCTTTACCAGGCAAGCCACTGTCTCTCCATTGAGGGAGTACAGCCCTGCCTCAGCACTTCCATCAACGGAGGGAGAACGCTCCTCCGCCCTCTGCGTGATCCTGCTTCTTCGACTCGCTCGCCAGCCGGCGGCACAGGGACAGCCCTTCGACTTCCCTTTCATCAGGCTGGAGCCGAGCGCACAGCCGGGCTCATTTGGAGTCTGCGGGCCCCTTCCCTCACCGCCGCCGCCTTCTCCCGCCTCCCAGCCTCGGACTCCTCCTTCCTTGCAATTCGGACAACTGGCTGGGTTGTGCGCGCGATGGACTGCGAAGACGGCAAGTTACGGAGAAGGAGGGATCGTCGTCGCGTGCGTGAGACAATAGCCTTTCGAGGATCGGCGGAACACGCTTCGGCAGAAGGACCCGAAGTCACTTTCTCCGAGGTTGACTTCTCACCTTTTCTTCGACGCGCGTTTCTCGCTTCTGCGTCTGTCTGCGCCGGCGCTGGATCCCGCGAAGGATCCCTTCGAGCCAGCCATGAGGGCCTGGCCACCCGCCTCACGCCTCCCACGCGGGGCGCTTCATGCTCGCCCTCCCGACAGGTTCATTGCATTCGCTGGAGAAGGCCCGGCTGGCATGGAAAACGCACAGCTCGCTCGCCAGTCTTCCTCTCTCTCTTCCTCGTTCCTTCACCTAGCTTTTCACCGGCTTTGCCTTCAAAGTCCGTGGTGATGACGGAGGAGACAGTACTCGATCACAAACCAACCCCGCTATCCGGAGGGCGAGGTTGCGCGAGGCGGCTGCTTTGGCCCCTCCTCGACGCCTCGTCTCGATTTTCCTGCGCGGTGATGCCTTGCGGCGAACATGCCTTTCGGCGGTGAAGGTGCAGCCGACCCACAGCACGGCGACACGGCGCATCGCCAGCGCCCGCCATCGGTTCCGCCCGCGGCCGCCGTCGTCCAGCATCCGCCCGTCTACACTCCGTACCAGTTCGCATCCCCTGCCGACTCGCCTGCCCTCGCGTCGTACGGCCAGCACTACCATGGACTCGCTTACCCGCCGCACCAAGCCCCGCAGGCGATGCACGCCGCACACGCAGCCGACGAACCTGCCTTTCGCTCGCCAACCTTGACCAGCCGCACTCCCACCGCCGAGGGCCGCGCAAACGCCCCAGAGAAGCCATACAGCAGGCAGGAAGGGCGTGTAGCAGCGAGCGAGCCCCGGAGCGGGAAGGAAGAGGTCGTTGGCACCGCCGCCTCGACCTCTGGAACGGCGCCGCCGAAAATCGTCAAGAAGGCGGACAGGTCCTGCAAGAAGTGCGTATGCCCCTCTTATGCATTGACGAGCGCGACGCGAACTTACGCGAGCCGTTCCGTCCAGGTGCCGCGAGAGGCGAGTTCGTTGCGGCCGAGAGGTTCGTGTTGTTTGCCTTCGAGGATCGCGGGACGGCGCTGGACGCTTCGCTTGCGTGCCGCTGGGCTCAACAACGCTTTCTGGACTGCGCGCTGACCGGGCGACCGCTGCGAACACAGTATCCAACCTGCTCTCGCTGCAAGAAGCGGCGCGATGCGTGCTCGTACGGCGAAGGGGTGTTTGTGTGCGTACCCGCCCGCTTTCAGAGATCATTGAACGCTCGCTGACTCGCTCTACGTGCAGGGAAGAGGTGGTGGAAGGTTCGGACCAACAGCGGATAGCGGAACTCGAGAGCAAGATTTGTGCGTTCTCGCCTTCGCTTCACACGCGACACAGTCTGACCCGCACGCAATCGCAGCATCGCTTCAGAGTCAGCTCAAAAGCACGAGCTCGTTCATACCCTCCCGCTCCTCCTCGAACTCGACGTCCCCCCTCGCAACCGTCTTGTCCTCGGACAATCTCCCAGACGCCATCTCGCGACCCATCATCGACAGTCTCAACCCGATCGAGCAGTCCTCGCTCGTCTACTTCCTCGAAACTGAGGCGAGGACGGAGCCTGGGCGGATGGACGCGAATATGGGCGGTGGCTCGGACGGCAACGGTTTGGCGGAGGCGATCACGCGGCATCTTCTCGACGGTGCGCTTCCGGTTCTCGCTTCCTAGATTCACAATGTACTGACACTTTTTCTACAGCCGCCTGCCGAGCCTGCGACTCGAAGCTCCCTGGCCTCGCGAACCTCGTCGCGCGAGTCGACTTCTACAAGACCCACCTCCGCGAGCTCGATGCATCAGGACGCGTCTCTGTCGCCGTTTTGTGCGCCCTCGGAGCCCGCACTTCTCCTCACCACGTTTGTCCCATCCCGTTACTCTTCGCAGAGCGCGTGCTCACTCTCCCGCACGGCAGACTCTTTTCGGCATCTCTTCGGTCCAAGGCGTCGACGGCTCGCCCAGTCCTTCACTATTCGCGGCGGTCGGCTCGAGGCGCGAGAACCTGTGTCGCTCGCTCGAGTCGCAGGCACGCGAGACGGCTTGGGCGACGGGGCTGTTTCGAGACCAGTCGTACGAGGGTCTCGAGGCGCTCGTTGGGCTCATGGTGCTGTCGATGCGTGAGTTGCGCGACGAACGAGGATGGGGAAGTGAAGGCTGATCAGGTTTGGCCTGCGCAGACGAGGAGAATGATCTCGAGGACACACGCTTCCTCGTTCGACAAGCGGTCGGCACCTTCCTCGACATCCGACATGCCGAGTTGCGGAACGGCAAGAGCTCGACGCTAGGACCGACGATGGGAACGGCTATCTTCGTGCGTTCTTTTGCCTCGACGGTACTCGACGCCGGCTGACCTTAGCCCGCTCGCAGATGGTCGATGCCTACGTCGCCGTCCGCACCGGTCGCGTCAGCCTCATCACGCCCGGCGAGCTGCAAGAGTTCTGGTCGACAGCAGGCTTCGACGTGCCAGACTTGGTCAGCCCGTGCGTCACAAACATAGTCCAGCAAGTCGCGGATCAGCCGGTCATCACCTGGGAGGCGGTTCAGGACGTCACGACTATCATTTTCAACTACACGCTCGCTTGTTACCGCGTTTTCGCTCAGGTCGTTGGTCGTGAGTGCCGCTCGTTCGCTCGGAGCGCTTCTCGCCATCCTGACCGCTCTTCGTCACGCAGCCGTCCAAAAGCCCGACTCGTCTTCCCTCCTCGGCTTCATCCGCAACCTCTGGCACCTTATCGACCAGATTCACAACGCCATCCAGCGCTTCCAGCAACGCCTCGTCTCGCTCACGACGCCCATTTCAGGCGCAAACGACGACCCGCACGGAACGGACCACGCCATCCTCCTCGCCGTCTGGGCCGACGACATGCTCGTTAATCTCGTCGGGCTCGTGCACCTGTATTTGATGCGGGATCGGAACGGCGGGCAGTATGGTCCAGAGCGCGAGGGGGATGAGGAGCTGGAAAGGACAAGGGCAGAGTCGAGCATGAGGGTGTTCAAGTGCCTCAAGTTGCTTGCGTGCGTCTCCTATTGTCGCGCTTTCCCGCGTTTCCGCGCTGACGAGACTCTTCGCACAGCTTCTACTGCCAGGTTCGCTTCGTTTGACCCTCTTCTCGCTTTTCCTCGCATGCTGACCGCTCTTTCGCTTCGCTCGCAGCTCTACTGCAACTCGGAAGACCGTCACAACGTCATCCACCTCCTCATGCACCTCGTCCCGCTCTCGAACTGGACGTCGCTCGTCGCCATGCGCATCGGCCAGCCTGGTGGGCCGCTCAACGAGGAGTTCGAGATTACGGAGGAAGAGCTCGACTGGTGCGTTCGGCACGCTCAGCCGCAGTCGATGCCTGTGCTGACGGGACGCGCGACGCAGGTTCCGCATGGCTCTCGAGCTCAGCCTGTTCTACAACCCTCAGCTTTCTTCGACACTTCGCGCTCTCAACAACGCCCGTCAGTTGTACATACAGCGCGGCGGTCCGCCTCCTGCCCCGCCTCCGCCTCCCTCCGTCCCTAGTGAGTTGCGCTTCTCTTCCCTTCCGACACGAGAGCTAACAGGCCGTGCGTCGCAGACGGCCCGGCATCCTACCCTTCCACGGCTCACTCGAACGTACACACGCCCGTTCGAGCCCAGCAGGCAGATCCGGGCTCTTCCCCCAAAACGATGCCGGCCAGCCTCCAATTTGCCTACCCTCAGCTCGATCAGCCGCATCAGCATCCGCATCAACCTCAGCATCCGCAGCATCCGCAGCATCAGCAGCATCAGCAGCAGCAGCAGCAGCAGCACGACCAACCGTACCGGTCTCAGTCCTTCCACATGTTCGATTTCCCTGAGCACATACAACTCGACCAGCGACCGCCGGTGCCCGCCCTTCCTCCTCCGCATCGCGATCACCCTCTCCCCTTCGCGCTCGACCTCGACGCGCAACTCGGGCACCCAGGCTTCGCAGATGGCGCCGGCGAGGATCCTGCGGCAGGAGGTTCCGACGTCCGCAGCGCGTTCAGGTCGATCGACTGGGCCGACTTGTCGCTCACGCCGGCGCCAGCAGTCGGGTCCGAGGGCAGCAGTAGCTCGATCGAAGAATGGCTGAAGCGGCCGCGCAGGAACTCGTAAAAGCGGGACGAGCCGGCGCCTCTTCGCTCGCAAGATACCCCTCGACTTTCTGCACTTTGTACACATCGCAGCATCATTCGTACATCAAGGCGGTCAGCAATGGATTCCAGTCATCAGCAGCAGCAGCGCCGCGAAACTTTCAACTCTCCGGTCTATGACGACGTCGCCTCTTGCCCCCTTCCAATCAAGATTGTCTGGCCTCCCAAGCTCCCTTGACGCTTCCCCCCGGGTGTAGTGACTTCATGACGGAAGCTGACGATGGGAAAGATGCGCACGCGTGCCTCTGACCTCTCGTGTGAGGCTGTTCCGTCGCTGTCCCGAGTCGCCGACGCAACTCCCTCGACGTCTCGTTCGCCCGCCTCTCCGCTTCTCTTTTCCTCACACTGTCTCTGTCGTCGCTCTTCGCATAGCACGACTACCTGCAGCTTCAGTCCAGGGCTTATCCTCGACCTCCCCGTTCGACCTTCTCCCACTCATCTGTCGCCCCCTTCTTCGCTCCTATCCACTCGTAACCCGTCTCCTGCGTCGAAATGGGTAACAACGCACTCAACTTGAACCCGGTGCGTCCTCTTCACATCGCTAGGAGACGTCGAAACCGTTGCTTACCTTCGTAATCCTCCTCCTCGTCCTCCTCTTTCTCCTTCTCCTCCTCATCCTCGACCTGAACCCTCGAAACAGACTAGGGCGAACATCGACATTACTACGCACGCCAGTGACTGGTTATGGGCTGTCTTTGCCATCATGGCGCTCGCATCTATCGCCATCCTCGCTTGGGGTCACTTGAAGCGACCGGTGGGCGAGCGGGCGTTCCACGAGCTCGCCGCAGCATTGTGCTTCACTGCGTCCATCGCATAGTATGTCTGAGATCTCCCCCTCCTCCGCCTTTCCCGCGCTGACCCGCCTTTCTGCCCCCTCTGCGCAGTTTCGCCATGGCCAGTGACTCGGTTCGACCGCTGTCCCAGTCGAGTTCATTCGTTCTGGCACTCGCGGCGCTAACTGGGTCAGCCAAGGCGTCACCCGCCCAACCCGTTCGATTTGGTACGCCCGCTACATCGACTGGACAATCACGACGCCTCTCCTCCTCCTCGAGCTCCTCCTCGTCACCGGTCTCCCGCTCTCTCAGATCTTCTCCGTCCTCTTCTTTGACCTGGTGATGATTGAGACGGGCCTCATCGGCGCCCTCGTCGCCTCCCGCTACAAGTGCGTTTGCACATCTGCTGTTCACGTTTCCCCTCGTACTAAGTCACACTCCATAGATGGGGCTTCTACGCGTTTGGCTGCGCCGCCCTCCTCTACATCACCTACTTCCTCCTGGTCCCCGGCCGCCGCTCCTCGCAGCGTCTCGGCACCGACTTCCACAAGAGCTACTCGACCGGCGCGCTCTACCTATCCCTTATCTGGCTCGTCTACCCCATCATCGTGAGTTCCATCAGCCTCTCTGCGCTGTTCCGGAGACTGGAGCTGACAGCGCTTGCACGTTCGCAGTGGGGAGTCGCAGATGGAGGAAACTACATCACCCCGACAAGTGAGATGGTCGCCTACGGCGTCCTCGACATCCTCGCCAAGCCGGTCTTTTCGGTCGTCCACCTCATGTCGCTCTCGAGGCTCGACCACGCCCGCCTCGGTATGGTTCGTCCGATCTTCTCTTCTATCCTCTCGCTCTCGCTGACGTCGCTTTTGTATGAAGTCCTCGTCGAAGGTCTCTGACGGCGCCCACCAGAATCTCCTCAACGAGAAGATGGGCCCGAACTCGACTAGCGCCACACCTCGCGCTTCCACCGTCGCTTCGCCCAACGCCGGCAACTACGGCGACGGCTCGCACTTCCACGGCGGCGCTGGTACCGGTATGGGCGTCGGAAACGGCGCTGGAACCGGAACGGTCGGCGACGGTTCGCACTTCCACCGCGGCGGCAATGCTGCCGCCGCCGTCTAAGCTGCCGCTTCTCCCCCTCCCTCGCTCCGCTCGCAAGGCCGGCGCTGAGACGAAGCCGCGGCGGCACGGCATGCAGTAGTGGTGGTTGCACTCGAGGTGGTCCACGAGCGCATCCCACTCCTCGAACTCCCACCCGTTGCAGGTGTCGCAGATCCAGACCTGCCAGTGATCGTTGAACCACCAGGACATCGCAACGCGGTCGATCTTAACGGAGTCGAGGAAGCTTCTGAAGCCGTGGAAGGAAGAGAAGGGCTTGATCTGGTGCGCCTGCTCAAGCTGATCAGGAAGACAAAGGGAGGCGAAGTCGTCGAGACTGCCAACAAAGGGAAGGGTCAGCGCGTTGCAGAGGGCTCCGATAGCCTCAGTGAGGCACGTACGCACCTTCACAAGCGCACAGCGAGCGGGAGGACTGCCAGTGGACTGGACGCGACCGGAGGAGGACCGAGAGCTTCGAGAGAACGGCGAGAAGCGCGGGAAAGGCTGGCTGACTATGGCAGCGAGTCCTGGAGCCAGTAAGCGCACGTAGCAGGCAGTCTGAGCTGTTCTGGCGAGGTCGAGCGAGATGTCAAAGCGAGAGAAGTGAAATCGCGGAGGCTGGCGTCGACAACAACTTCGCAGGCGGCTTGAAGCTCGGATAGCACCCTTGCTGCACGCTGTCGTCGTTGTCGCAGTAGCGAGAGTCGAGCGGAGGGTATTGATTGCCATGCGAGGGGGAGAAGCGCAAAATGACCGGGAAGAGGGCAACAACAAGTATCCAGGCGAGCCAAGCAAGCTATCCCGTGCGTGTGCGAACCCGAACTACCACGTCAACGCCCTCATGCTCGTCGTCAACCCATCGAGCGCCTTCTGCAACCGGAATTGGAGGACGCCGCATCCTCCCCGCTCCGCATGCTGGACAAGGCCACTAAACGTTGAGAACTTGCGCCCGCAGTTCTCCATCGGGCACTTGTACAGCTTCTCGCCGGTGCGTCCCGTCTCTGTCGCGTAGGCGTGTCGAGGCGAGGTGAGGTGTTGATTGAGGCCGGCGAGGGAGTTGAAGAGGCGGTGGCAGAAGAAGCACTCGTAGGCCTGCTCCCAGTCGTTGTACGAGTCCTCGGTTGCGACCCATGACGAGCGCGTCTGGGCAGTCGGGCCGGCGATGAGGCGTTGAGACGAAGTCATGTAAGGACGGGCTGCTGGGAGCGAGCGCAACTTGTAGTCGATCTTCTGGCGGGTCCAGCCGGAATGACAGCTGCCGGCTTCAAGGTGGAGGACCATGGCCGAGTAGTCGATGAACTTGCGTCCGCAGCCAGCGGCGCACGGGATCCGCGCCTGGACGTGAGCGCTCGATTCGAGGTGCTGGGCAGTTGCTTGCGAGGTCAACGCGCGGTCTCGTACAATCAAGAGTACAGACGAGCACGCACTGCACGCAGGTCGGCTTGGCTGAGGAAAGCTCGTCGGTGCTCAATGCAGAATGGATGGCTCTGCCGGCCGTGCTCGTATCGACTCAGCTCGGACGCAAAGATCTGGTCGCAGCCTTGGCAGGGGAAGTGGTCGTAGACATCGTGATCGTGGAGGAGCTCGTCGTTGTCGAAATGCGTATCGCAGAGCGTGCAGAACGAATGCGCCGACGAATTGGCCCAGTGCGAGCGCAGCGCTGGCCACGACACGAAGTCGCGCTCGCAGTCCGTGCAAAAGTTGTGGTTCCTCGACATCTCGAGATGCTTGACAAGCGCAGACCAGTTGACGAACTCGCGCCCATTGCACTCGTCGCAGACCCATACGTCGTAGTCGTCGTCGTACCACCAGGTGTTCGGCATGGCGTCGCTCGACAGTAGGCAGAGACTGGACAAGAAGGATGCTTGCGAGGCGGCCGTCGCGAAGGGGGAGGACAAAGGGTCGAAGAGTCGGCCGGGCGACTGCCAGTGAGTCCTACGGGGTCAGCTCCGACTCTGCGACTCTGTAGACACGTCTATGGTGTGACTCACGTCTCGAAAAGTGCCTCCGAGACGGAGGGAAAGCGCCGAGAGTGCTTCGAAGCGAGACGAGGACTGAGAGTCGCAGAGAAGGGCGGGTCGGTTGGGAGGGCGTGTGGCGGCTCGACAGCGTTCGTACAGACATTTTAGCGAGTCCCGGAGGGCGATCTAAGCGGTTCAGCGAGGTCAAGCGAGAAGTCACGGCGAGAGAGATGAAGTTGCGGAGTTCGCCTCGACAACAACGTCGCCGCGCGCTTGCTGGGCTGTACGCGTACCTGCTAGACTCACAGTTGCTTACTGAGTGCCCACGACCCTGCTAAACCACCCGCCACGCCGTGTTGACGCCTGCTGAGCGAGCTCTCCCTCATCTCGACAACCTCGACGATGGGACTGCCACCGCGACCAGGAGGAGCGCCGTTGGGCTCATCGGCAGCACCGTCGGGACCACCGCCAGCGAGCGCACCCGCAGTCCGCCACTCTCCCATTCTCCCGCCCAAGCCATCCGGTCTCCCTGACCGTCCAGCTGCACCTCTCGGCAAAGGACCTGCGCACCCGCGCAGCGACGAGCGCGAGGAAGGGGAAGAGCCGGACGAGTTGCCGCCGAGGCGCAGGGGTCCGCCTGGAGGAGCCTTACCGCCGCCGACGGGTCCGAGGGGTCTAGGGAGGAGAGGTCGCAGTCCGTCCTTTGACCGCGACCGAGACGAGTGGTTCAACCGCGGCGAGCCGAGGGGAGGGAGGTACGATGCGTATGCGGACGAGCGCAGGGGCCCACCGCTCAGAGGACGACCGAGGTCGAGGAGTCCGAGTCCGTCGAGGAGTTTCAGGAGCGGCAGGTCGTGGAGTCGTAGCAGGAGTCGCTCGCCGCAGACTACGAGGAGGGGGCCTCCTCCTGCGGGCTATAGCGGTGGAAGGGGAGGGTACGGCAGACCAGGCTTCAGGGACTCGCCTCCCGTAAGGAGGCGTCCGCTTTCGAGGTCTCCTCCGCGTGCGTGCCCGCATTCATCTTGCCAGGCTCAGAATCACTAACGAAAGGTCTTGCAGCCTACATGCGACGGTCGAGGTCGCGTAGCCGCTCTCCGCCGACTCGTCGCTACGGTGGTCCGCCTTCGCCTGTCTACCGCCGCCACTCGCCTGGCCCTCCCCGCAGCTACGGCCCTCCCGGTCGCGGTCGCGATTTCTCACGCTCTCCTCCTCCTCTCAGCCGACGTTACCCTTCTCCCGGTCCTTCTTCCCGCCGCCCTTCCCGCTCGCCTCCTCCCGGTTATCGCTCCCGACGCCGCTCCCTCTCCCGCTCGCCTCCCGTTCCCCCTTCACACGCACCGTTCTCAGCGCGTTCAGCGAAGCGGGAATTCATCCCCGACGAAGACGAGGAAGACGACATGATCTTCCGCAAGGCGCGGAGGGTCGCTCATGCCGACTCAGGCGGTCGTGCGCGCTCCCGCACGCCTTTGTCGCCCTCGCCTCCGCGTTCGCGCGGACGAAGCCCGTCGCCTTTCTCGGGTCCTCCGTCTCGCCGTCGCTCTCCCTCACCACGAGGTGGCTCGTACCGCCATCGTCCACGTTCACCTTCTCCTCAATCACTCCGCTCAGGCCGCGACCTCCCTCCCTCAGTCCCAACAGGCCCCCGTGGCTTCCGCCCCATCACTGCCCAGCAACCTCCCGCCGCACCCGACGGTCCCGCCATCCCGACAGGTCCGCGTAGCCGTTTCCCACAACAGCCTCCGCGCGGTCCTGCGGCGCTGAACAAGCCTGCTGGACCTGGAGGTCTGCCTGCGATCCCGACTGGGCCGAAGGCGTGGAGGACGAGCATGATCGTCCCGCAGGGTCCGGCGGGAGCGCCAACTGGTCCTTCGTCGACGAGGCAGAGGGAGCCGAGTCCGCCGCCGAGACGGCAGCAGCAGGAGGAACAGCCGTCGAGGAGGAGGTCCGCCGAGCCGCCTGCTAGTACGCCTCCTCCGCCTCGACCCTCCGCAGCGCGCGAGCCGTCTCCCCCTCCCGCTTCCACCTCGACTCCCGCCCCTCCCTCGCACGTCAGCCAACTCGCACACGCGAAGCCCGTCGCGCCCACTCCCCCTCCTCCCCCCGCTCCGCTCTCGCCAGCCGCGACCGCCGCGCTCGCCGCAGACCGCGAAGCGCGCCTCGCGCAGATCGAGGCGCAGAGAAGGTCGAAGGTGCTTGCGAGGTTCTTGCCCAGAGGTGCGGGTGGGTTGGCGACGATTCAGCCGTTGGCGAAGGCGGTGGTTGTTGGACCTGTTGGAGCGGAGTGGGAGGCTGAGGTAAGTCACGAGGCTGTCCCAATCGCAGATCCGCCGTGCGAGCAGCGCGCTGGTCTCGGGCGGCGTACACGATGCGAGTCGCCTTACGATACTGACTCCTCGTCTCGCAGATCACCCGCCAGCGCACCGCCCGCCTCGCCCTCCTCCCCGCCTACGCCGACGCCCTCGCCGCTTCCTACAAGTCCGATTACTCGATCATCGCGACGCTCAAAGAGGCCGAGATCGCGCGCGAGGTGAGGAAGTTGGCGAGTGGGGAGATTAAGCCAGTGTTCGAGGATGAAGACGCCGTGATGGCTGCGTGAGGCGGGTCTCGGCGGTTGCGGCTACTTCACGTCGCCTGTGTAGGCGCGCTTGCATCGTCGTTGTTGCTGTACAACGCTTTCACAGCTGCTTGCGAAGGTCCGGCGCGGAGGTTGTCGTTGGACTCGCCGCTCGTCGCCTGCCGCCTCGCCAGCTTTACTACGCGTCGTTCTAAGCCGTACGCCAGCCTGTAAAGCCCCTTTCAAGCGCACAACTTGCGAAAATCGAAAGTCGCGTCTCCGCCGCGTTGCGACTCGCTCTCCTCGAGGGCTTGCACTCGTCTCACACTCGTTCTCCCGCTTCCAGGGCTCTTGACTGCGCTCGTACAGCTTCTAGACACGCTAACAAGCCGCCCAGCCCGACCAGCGAAGCCCCCACCCTTTCCCGCCGCCTACTCGTCTCCCTCGACTTCGCGCTTCCTTGCGCCGACTCTCGCGCGCTCACGATGGGCGAGGACGCCAACAAGCTCGTCGTGACTGCTCACGCAGATGGACCAGCGCAACTGACCTTCGCGCCAGACGGACGGTGAGTTCGTTCGACCTCTCGCTGCACATCGCCCGCTGACCAGACGCGTTTCTCCTCCAGATACCTCTACACGAGCGGTTACGAGGGCTTCGTCCGCATTTTTGACGCGAGACTGGATGCAGACGCGAATGCGGAACCTGCCATCGTCGACTTCCACGAGGAGGCTGTTACTTCCATCTCGGCGACCGTGAGTCTTGCTCGCATCCTCTCTTCATTCGACGCGTCTTACGCTCTCCTGTCGTGCAGACCGAGTACCTCTGCTCAGCCTCCGAGTCAGGCCAAGTCGTCCTCCACCAAGCCGGCAAAACCGACCTCGACGGCTTCCTCACCCGCTTCTCCCTCCCCGCTCGAAGCGTCCGCTTCGACCCACGCGGCAAGCGAGCAGTCGTAACGAGCGACGAGGTTATCGCAAAGGTTGTCGATGTGAAGGAGCCGACGAAGGTGCAGATCTTGACGGGACATGCGAGGAGTATTCGGGAGGCGAGCTGGAGTCCGGATGGCCAGCTAGTGGCGCGTCCCTTTCCCGCATCTCCTACGGGATTTCGCATTGACGCGTCTTCGAGCAGACGACCAGCTCGACGGACGGCCAAATCCGCGTCTGGCAGCTCGACGGCGGAACGGAGCCGACTTGCATTCAGGTCCTCGACGGCCTCATCAAGGCTGAGGACGTCGAGTGCGTGTCTGTGCCTTCTGGTGTAGATTCTTCAACTGACCAGACGCGCTCGCAGCTCGGAGTACTCGTGCGAGGTCGTCTGGCATCCCGCTGGCAAATTCTTCGTTGTGCCGAGCAAGGACAGCGGTCCGTCTGCATCTTTCAACCCTTCCCCGCCATGACACTTACACTTACATCCTGGTAGGTGAGATCACGATCGTCTCACGCGAGACCTGGCAGAAGACCGGCACCTTTTCCTCCAGGGAAGGCCACACCGGCGTGAGTCCCCTCCCTAACCGCTTCCCTGCTCCCGCTGACGCAGCTCCCGCAGCGCATCTCGGCCGTCGCCTTCTCCACAAACGGTCTCTACCTCGCCTCCGCCTCGGACGATCTCAAAGACATCCTCGTCTGGTCCGTCAAAGACCGCGCGATCGTTTCCCGCACGCCTCACTCGCACGGGATGATCACATGCCTCGCTTTCCACCCTGCGCCGACCGCAAACTCGCTCGCGTACATCGACAACAAGGGCCAACTGACGAGGTGGGAGGGCGCTGTGCCGTCTGGTCTGCCGCTCCCGACGTTCTCGAAGCCGCCCGCTTCGACGACTTCGACTACCACTGCAAGCAAGTCCGCTGCAGTCAATGGTGGAGGACGCAAGCGCAGCGACTCGGCTTCGACATCGACGTCCTCGCACGCTGGCGGCGCACGAGGCGGAAACGGTCTCTTCCGCAAAGAAGCGTCCGAAGACGAGTTCGACGACCTCGATGATGGCGCTCTCGATGGCTCGATCGACGACGACCTTGGCGACGGAGCGCTGGACGGGCTTGACCCGCGGGGAATGTCGGTGGATCCGTTTGCGGACGACGTGCCTATCCCGCCCAAGCGTGGAGAGGGTAGGTTGAGGTCGGTAGCGCCGTTGTTGGGCGGCGAGACGAGCAGGACGAAGATTGTCGAGAAGGGTCAGCCGCCGTTCCAGCCTGGCGCGACGAAGTGGCGGGAGGACAGGCGGTATCTCGGTGCGTCGCCAACCTGGCTTCTTCGTCCTCGTTCTGTGCTAACGGGTTTGCTCGCAGCCTTCAACATGATCGGCTACATCTACGCTGTCGACCGGCACGACGATGGGCAGGCCGTGACGATCGAGTTCCACGACCGCAGCGCGCACATCGCCAGCAAGTTCGACGACAAGATGAAGTACAACCTCGCGGCTCTCGGTGCGTACATCGTGTCCTCATTCGATGAGGTGAGGCTCACTTCTGGCGGCTTTTCCAGGCGAACTCGGCGCCATCTTCTCCTGCCCGTCCGCCGGCGACAGTCCGTCGCAGCTGTTCTACAAGCCTTACGAGTCCTGGACTGCACTTCAGACGTGGACGGCGTCGCTCCCTGCCGGCGAGCAAGCGACTGCACTCGCCATCGGCGGCATGGGTCCGGCGACAGACGGCAGCGCCGCCTTTGACGACCCATCCGTCGGCTTGACCGGTTCCGGCACGATCCTCGTCGCCACCTCGCGCGGCTTCGTCCGCTTTTTCAGCGGCGCAGGCTTGCAGAAGTACATCTGGAACGTTGGCGAGGAAGTCGTTGCGATGGCTGCGGGGAAGGACTGGGCGGCGATTGTGTACCGTGCTGGCGCGGGCGCTGGCCTTGACTACTCGCTGATCGACACGGACACGTACGAGGTCGTCCAGCAGGGAAAGGTCCCGCTGTCGAAGGGCGCGACTCTCGCCTGGCTTGGCTTCACGAGCGACAACGTGGGTCTCTCAGTCGCCTCCCCTCCGCACAAGCAGGTACTCACCCTTCTCGCGCAGATCCCGGTCATGTACGACTCGAAGGGCCTCATTTCGATTCTCGATCGCTCGCGACGACCTCGGCAAGGTCGCTGGCTTCCTGCGCTCGACACGAACGCGCTGCCACGGAAGGAGGGCAAGCAAGAGTCTTACTGGCTCGTCGGCGTCACCGACCAGCAGGCGCACGTCATCATCCTCAAGGTGCGTACTCTTCCAATCCCTGTTCGTCCAGTGAGCTGACGGACTTCGCGCACCACAGGGCGGCGAGAAAGAGCCTCACTTCCCGACCCCGCTCCTGCAAGAGTTCGACCTCCAGTTCCCGCTTCTCAACCTTGATGTCCCGCAAGGTCAGCTCGCCGAGAAGTACCTCCGCGAATCGCTCTTCGTCCAGCACCGCAAGGATGGCGCACCGGCAGACGACTACTCGCTCAAGACCGAACTCGCGCGGCAAGAAGTGCAGACCGACAAGCACCTCCTGCAGATCATTCAAACGTTCTGCAAGGCCGACAAGCTTGAAGCGGCCCTCGACGCCGTCCTCCTCCTCAGCCAGCCCGCCTCGCTCATTGCCGCAGCCAAGATCGCCGCCTTCTTCGATTTGCCGTCGCTCAAGGAGCGCATCGAGCTCCTCCAGCAGATGCGCGAGGACGCCGGCGACCCCGACGAGGCGAACGCGAAGCGACAGAGCAAGTGGGCGCATCTCGCAGACGACAGGTTCATCACGTCTGCCCCGGTTGGAGGCGGAGCTCGCTCTTTCGGTACTCCTGGGCTAGCAGCCGCTCACCTTTTCGGACCCGGTGGAGGACACGCCAACAACGACATGTCTTTCTCGCCTCGCCCGTCCGGCTCGTCTGCGTTCGGTAGCGCTCGTCGCGCGTTTGGCACGCCTGCCTCGGTCGGTCCTTCTAGCTCGTCGAAGAAGCGCAAGAGCCTGCAGGGCCAGTCAGCTCTCGCAGGCAGCGACGGCGCAATGGAGGACGACGACGATGCGCTCGAGTATGCGGACGAGATGGTCGAGGAGGACGAGCCTGCGTCGTCGCCGAAGCGGATGAGGGTCGACAGCGAGGAGATCCAGATCGAGGAGACGCAGGACATCGCGCCTGTGCCGAAGAAGGGTGTGTTCCGCACTTCCGACTTGCGTCAACCTCGCTTACGCTTCCTGCCTTTGCAGCCGTCAACCCGTTCGCCAAGCGCACCTCGAATGCCAAGCCGTCTGCGTCGCATGCCGCGAACCCCTTTGCCGATAAGAAGGCGGGCAAGGCGAAGGACCTCGGCCGGACCGACAGCTTCTTCCACCGAGTCGAGGGTAAGGAGGCGCCGAAGGGTAAGTTCGCTGTGCACCTCTCAACGACTACCTGAAGCTGACTTCGTTCGGAGATCCTCCTCAGCCAAAGGCAAGGGTCGCGCATCTGCCTCCTCGACTACAGCCGCCGCTTCGACCAAGTCCAAGCCTACAACGACCGGCGGCAAGCAGATGACCCTCTTCGGCCTCCCTCCTGGCAAAGAGCCCGAGAAGAAGACGAAGAAGCGCAAGTCGACGGCTGACGACGGTGAGGAAGGGGCCGCCACGACTACCGACTCGACTGCTTCCTCGTCGAACAAGAAGCTGGAGGCGTTCCGCAAGAAGCCTGGGACGGCCGCGACGGCTGGCCTTGGTGCCGAGGCGGCGAGGGAGCTGCCGCGCGAGGACGAGGAGATGGAGGAGACGCAGATTGTTGACGAGACGCAGCAGGACGAGGAGAGTTTGCCTACTCCGCCGGCCAAGAGGCGGGACAGCGAGCTCGAGGCTGTGAGGGAGGAGCAGGAGGAGGAGGCGGAGGACACGCAGATGAGCGAGACGCAGGTGGAGACGCAGGTCGAGGAAGATCCCGTACATTCGCGTCGCGAACCTGCTTTGAGACGGCCACTAACGCATCTTGACTCCGCAGGAATCGCTCAAGGAAAACACGCGCCCTCCGTCGTCCGCCGCACCTGACGCCGCCTCGAAGCTCGCCCAATTCGCCTACAAGAAGCCCGACGTCGTGCCCGAGGTCGCGACGCCTCCCGCCGAGGCTGTCGAGACTGCCGAAGCGTCTGCTACTGCTGCTTAGGTCGCTCTTCACCCATCGGTCGTTCTGTTTCTGCACTTATTCGCTTCTGTACTCTACTTGTGCTCGTCTCGGTGTTCTGTCTGTCGTTTCCTGCAACACTCTCCTTTCTTCTCTCCCTCCATGTCACGCAGAGAGATCCAATCAGTCGTGACAGGGCAGGGAAGGCGTGTGTAGGGACAACAACGAGAACAAGAGATGGAACTAGAGCGTGAGATAATCGGTACAGGGCAAGTCACCGCGGCATTGTCGGCATCACCAGAACCACCCCTTCTTCTTGGTCTTCTTCTCTCCGCTTTCCTCCGCTTGCTTCCCCTTCGCATCCGCCGTCACCTCCACCGCGTCACCTCCCACTGCCGCCTCGGGCTCATCATCCCCCTTCAAGCTCTCCTTCTCGGCCTCCTCGTAGCTCTCCACAACCTTCGCCTGCTCCATCACACGCTGCTCATCCTCCGTCGGCGGGACTTCAGAGGCCGGGACGGGTTCGGCGGAGATGTGAGAGGAGTGGAGGAGGACGAAAGGGTAGAAGACGAGGTAGGATTTGGAAGTCGGGTTGGGGTGGAAGAAGGTTGCAGCTGGCGTGCGGGTCTCGAGTTCGGGCTGCGCGAGCGACCGGAAGCGAGAGTTAGTCCGCGGCTCTTGCGAGAGGGAGGAGAAGGGCTCACTCCGCCGGCGACGCGCAGCACAGGGTTGTCTTGCGTGCGATACTCCGTGAATTTGGTCTTGAACGAGAGCTTCTTGAAGGCCTTCGCGAGAGCCTGCAGACCGGAGGCGTCAGTTCCGTGACCGCGGTTGACGAGGAAAGTCAGTGCACTTTGTCGACGCCTGCGTGACCAGTCGCACACGCAAGCACCTTCTCGACATCGTAGCCCGTCACGTCCACTTCATCGAGCTTCTTCTCCTTCCTCGCCCTCTCCCTCGTCTTCTCCACCTCCCGCACCTGCGCATCCTCAATCAGTCCCACGCTGACCGCCTCCCCCTTTCCCTTCCCCTTCCCTCCCTGCGTCAAGTACCGCACGACATGCTGCTGGACCTTCTCGCGCGAGATGTGCTCGCCGACAAGGTCCCTCGCCGCGTCCGCCAACCGTCCCTTGACGCGCGAAGCACCAGGAATCGCATCCGCCTTCGTCGCAAGTCCCGCTCCAGTCGCCGCAGCAGCACCAACACTTTCCGCCGCTGCACCCGCGCCAGAGACGATCGACGACCCGAAGGTCGTGAGGGACGCGAGAGCCGTTCCGCCTGCTGCGGCCGCGACGAAGGGGATTGCGAGGAGGGAGGTGACTGCGACGGCTGGGCCGGTGACGCAGAGGATTGGCCAGGTCGCGGACCAGCCGTTGTAGGCGCTCGAAGGGGAGGTGTACGGTCGGATTTCGAGCGAGAACCAGAGATTGGCTAGGGAAAGCCGAGTCAGCGAGCAAGCTGCAGGGATGAAGGCAGTTCTCACGCACGGACACGTCGCTCAAAGGTCTGGCCTGGCGTGAGCACGTCGAAGTAAAGCGGGCCAACCTGTTGCGATGACGAAGTGCGAAGTGGATGAGCGAGTGCAGCCAGTCACAGCACCAGTACGAGCGCGTGCGCACCTGCCTGAGAGCCACGTTCAACGGCACCTGCGTCTCGTTCGTCACGCTCCACGCCTTTGCCAGCCAGGCATCCTGAACCGATGAAACGCCTTTCGACGAACCCGCCCTCAATTCCGCGACGCGCTCGCCTGCCGTGCGACTGACCGTGTCCCAGCGCTCCTTGCTACTGGTCCCGAACGCAGCAAGCTTGTCCTGAGCGAGAGCGAGCGTGATAGCCGCCTTGTCGCCCGAGGGGAGTCGTTGAGCGAGCGGACGAGGAAGCTTGGCGGTAAGCGAGTTGTACGACGACACCCAGGACGGGTTAACAGCGTCTGCAGCCTCGACAGGCGTGTCCTTAGCGGTGGATGCCATGTCGTTGACGACGAATTCTTCTCTCCCTCCGTCATCTCACTGGGTCACGCTCACACTCGCTCTGGAGCGTTCTTGCTGGTTTGTCAGTCACCGCAACGACGCGGTTACGCCAGTGCTCCCTGTCCAGCCCGCCCGCGCGACTGTCGCCCGCTCATTCGACCTCCACGCTCACCTCGACCCGTTTGCCGGCGCGGGACGCTGAGCGGGCGGAACAGTGCAGCCAATCAGCGCGAACTAGATCCGCTGTCGGTGCCGAACACGGCTAGAAGCGCCGGGGGCTAATGCAGCGGCTCCCGCACCGTTGTCGGCCGAAGTCCGCCTCCTCAGATGGCTCTTTACGGGTTTCTCGCGCCGCTGGCTCGCTGGAGGGCTTCTCGTGCGCTCTGAAGGAGCACATTTGCACGAGCAAGCAGCATGGATACCCGCCAGAACGGGCCAGCGACGCCCGTCGAACCCTTCCTCTTCCTCACGGCCAGTCAATCGAACAGAGGCAAACTTTCTGCGCGCCTCTGTCCCCCGCCAAAGTTAGGCGCCCCTCTCCTTTCCCCCCACCGCTGCACGATCGCTCCTCGCGATTGAGCCAAGGATCCCGCACGGCTCCGCGTTGGTCCCCCTCAGAGACTCGCAGGCTCGCAGTGTCCTCCCCACCGCAACTCCCGCTGCGCTTCGTCCCGCGTCGCCCGCTCTCTTCTCACGCCTACACCGTCTCTCTTGACCTCTCCACCCTTCGCCAACGGAGCGACACACTACGATGAACACCCACGACGCCGAAAAGGCCATCGACACGACGGCGCACTTCGAGGAGACCGCCGCCCGTCCCGGTCCTCGCTTCGCAGACGGCGAGTCCCTCGCAGGATTCACGACGACCACGAGCGAGAAGGCGGGGTCGTCGCGGTACGCCTCGAGCGAGACTGGACTCGAGCATGTCAAGGCGTCCAAGGCGGCGGAGCGCAGGCTCGTCCGCAAGCTCGACGTCGTCATTCTCCCTATGGCTGTCCTCTTGTACCTCTCGGCGTACCTCGACCGCGGCGCGATGGGCAACGCAAAGCTCATGGGTCTCGAGAAGACGGTTCTCGGCAACGTCGACGTCCGCTACTCGATCGCCTTGATGTGTTTCTACATCACCTACATCGTTCTCTCCATCCCCGGCACCCTCTTCGCCAAACAGTTCCTCCCCTCGACGACCATCGCATGCGGAGCGCTCGTTTGGTCCATCGCGACCACTTGCCAGGCCGCGACGCACAACCCGGCTGCTCTCTACGTATGCCGCTTGTTTATCGGTGTGGGAGAAGCATTCTTTGGTCAGGGTGAGTCGGTCGTCGTTTCTCGACGACGTCGCTCGACCTCGTCGACATTTCCCGTCCTCCTTCGTAATATCTCTTCGGCGTGCTGACACCTCCTGACCACGCAGCAATGGCGCTCTACCTCTCCTTCTGGTACACGAAGCAAGAGCTGGCGAAGCGTATCGGTCCGTCTCTTTTCCCCGCGCAACCTCCTCGACTCCATCCGCTGACCCCGTCTCCGCCCGCAGGTCTCTTCATCGCCGCCGGCTCGCTCGCAGGCGCATTCTCGGGCCTCATCGCCGCCGGCGTATCCAAGATCAACTCGAGCATCGACAACTGGCGCATCCTCTTCCTCGTCGAAGGACTCCCCTCCCTCCTCCTCGCCATCATCGTCTTCTTCTTCCTCCCTTCGCGCCCGGACTCGTCGAAGTTCTTGAACGAGGACGAGCGGACGATTGCTTGCACCCGGTTGAACGCCGAGTCGAACGGTGAAGTCGGAAAGGGAATCGACTGGGCAGCGGTCCGCTACGCCTTCAAGGACTGGAAAATCTGTGAGTCGCGCCCATTCTCTTTTAACGGTGCTAGCTCTCTCGCTGACGGTCGCTGTTCGTCAGACGTCCTCGCCCTCGCGTATAGTGCCATGAACTTGACCCTCGGCAGTGTCGTGAGTCTGCCCTCTTTCCCCCCGTCCACTCGCACGCTTAGCGCTGACACTTCCGTCCTTCCTGCAGTCCGGTTTCTGTGCGTCTCCATGGCCTCGTCAAGCGCTCGGGAAAACGCAAGCTGACCTCGACCCTCGGCGATTCGTCCTCGTTCGCAGTACCGACCATCGTCAAGGGACTCGGCTACTCGAACACCGATGCACAGCTTTACTCCGTCCCGCCTTACGCCTGCGCGCTCGGTGTGATGCTCCTCCTCACCGGCATTTCGGACCGCCTCAAAAGTCGCGGCGTCTTTGTCATGCTCGTCTACTGCATCGGCATTGGTGCGCCTCTCTCCTCCTTTTGACTCGCCTAGGACTCGGAGTTGACCCGCTTCGACGTAAGGCAGTCGGCTGGGCCATCCTCTACGGCGTCAGCCCAGTCCACGTCTCGAAGGGCGGCCTCCGCGCTCGCTACTTCGCCTGCTGCTGCCTCGCCTCGGCCGGCTACGCCAACATCCCGCTCATCATGGCCTGGGTCTCGAACAACTCGCCTTCGGAGTCGCAGCGCGCCGTCGGACTCGGTATGCTCAACTCGGTCGGGTGCGTCTTCCTCCCCTCCTTCCTTGACGACTTGCGCTGACGACTCTTCGCGCAGACAATGCCTCTCGATCCTCGCCTCGTTTCTCTTCCCGAAAGCTGAAGGACCGCGCTTCGTCAAGGGCGAATCCGTCAACCTCGCCTTCCAAGCCTTCGGCCTCGTCATCGCGCTCTGCATGACGCTTTACTTCAGGTGGGAGAACGCGAGGCGCGATAAGCGCGAGGGAGGAAGGCCGGTGAAGGGTATGAGGGTCGAGGGAGTCGCAGCTGCGTACGATCAGGCGATTGGATATCGTTACGTTGCGTGAAGGGGGAGGGCATGTTTGGATGGACTGTCTATCTTTGTGTCTTGGCTGTTGGATCTGTATTGATCTCTCTGTGTTCGCAAAAGACGTGTTTGACCGGATGTGCTCGTCGAGGAGTCTTTGCCCAAGTGGCCAAGTCCTTCGCAACAGCTTTAGATCTCGTTCGCGCGCCTCCCGCGCTCTCCCCAATTCTGCGTCAACGCAGAGCTGCGCAGACGTGATCCTGGAAGCGGGAGTAGCTCGCGGGGACGAAGGGCGGCGAGAGGAAATCCTTGGAGAATGAATGAGGTGGAGTGAGAAAGAATGAGGTGGACTTGGCGATGCTGGAACGACGAGACCTTCGCTAATCAGACACAGGGTGACGATGCTCGAAGCAAAAGTCGAGCGAGTAAGGAGGAGAGACGGCGAGGATGTATTAGGTCGCGAGAGCCGGAAAAGTGAGGATGAGGGAGCGAGAGGCGAGCAACGTCGGCGAGACCTTGCGGAGGACGTTCACTGCGAGGTCGAGAGGTCAGTACATCTCTACAGCTCCCAAAACAAGCCGAGCTTGGCAGAACTCACGTCCTTCTTCGACATATCGCCCACAGGAAGTACGAACTTCTGTGAGCCGCGCGCTTCCTCTTCCTGTTCTTTGCGACTATCCCGCTGACAACCTACTTATCACGGACATCTCGCGCTCGCCTGCAGTGGTATGGACTTGACCCTTGGCAGTATCGTGAGTCCACACCCCTTCACCCTCTCTTGCTCTCTGCGATATCGACGCTGACGCTTGTCATTGTCAGTCTATAGTCCGTATTCTGTGCGTCTGCTTGATATGCTCAAGCACTCGGAGAAAGGCGAGCTGCCGACCTCGCCATCCTCCCCTCGTTCCCTCGTTCTCCTTCACACTCTTGACCATCGTCGCGACTCGCTACTCCAACATAAGTACTCAGGATCACTTGCTCGTGCCCTATGCTACGACTGTGCACTTGTGTCATGCTTTGCCTCACAGCTTTTTGGACCGCCTCGAAAGTCGCGGCGTCTTCGTGATGCTCGTTTACTGCATCGCCATCAGGCAGCTGCCTGTCTCCCTCTATCATGTGCGGGATGTGCTGACCTGCCGATCCGCTCGCAGACGGCTGGGCCATCCTCTACGGCGACAGCCCGATCCACGTCTCGAAAGGCGGTCTTCGCGCTTGCTACTCCGCTTCGTGTTGCCTCTCGTTGGCCGGCTACACCAACATCCTGCTCGTCATGGCCTGTGTTTTTGGATATTCACCTCTTGAGCCGCAACGCAAACCACAGTATCGACTCGTTCAGGTGCGTCCCTCGTTCTCCTTCTTCTCTTCCCGCCTTCCGCTGACGAACCACCTGCACACAGCCATCGCCTTTCCATTGTTGCCTCGTTCCTCCTCCTAAAAGTTGAGGGACCGCGCCTTGTCGAAGGCGAAAGCGCCAACCTGGCCTTCCCAAGCGTTCGGACTCCGCATCACCCTCTGCATGACGCTCTACTTCCGTTGGGAGAAGGCAAGGCGCGACAAGCGTGAGGGAGTAGGGCCGGTGAAGGGTATGGGGGCTCAAAGGAGCGGCGACTGCCTTCGATCAGGCGGCTGAGTATCGCTACGTCGCGTAAGGAGGGCAGGGTGAGGCAGATGGACTAACTATCTTCACTGTTGATTGTGTACCAGGCTCGAGGTGTCTTGCAAAGCTCCGTCCACTCGGACGAGTTGCGAGAGGTTGCCGAGAGGAAGCGAAACTCCCCATCCAGTCCTCCTGCTCAGACCGATCCTTTGACTCAATCACTCTGCGCATTGACTTTCAGCAGCACGCCAAGGCGTCGACATCCTCGAGCCGAAGCGGACGAAACGAGCAGCAACAAGGTTCGAGGAGCTGCGAAGATTGGTTGTGAACGACTGAATTTCGAGACTTGGCGATGCTGGAACGACGAGACCTTCGCTAATCAGACACAGGGTGACGATGCTCGAAGCAAAAGTCGAGCGAGTAAGGAGGAGAGACGGCGAGGATGTATTAGGTCGCGAGAGCCGGAAAAGTGAGGATGAGGGAGCGAGAGGCGAGCAACGTCGGCGAGACCTTGCGGAGGACGTTCACTGCGAGGTCGAGAGGTCAGTACATCTCTACAGCTCCCAAAACAAGCCGAGCTTGGCAGAACTCACGTCCTTCTTCGACATATCGCCCACAGGAAGTACGAAATAACTTTGGTCAGGCGTCATCAAGTTCGCGGCCGCAACGTCTGCAAACGCAGTAAAACAGCATGAGCAAGCTTGTACAGCAAGCAGAAAGCGAACGGGAGCGAAGAGGGACTTACACCAGGCGTTAAACGCCGTGATGAGTCCGAAGGCGCCTCCGGCGGTCTGGATGGCCGACGCGTTGCCGACGCCGAGCTCAGCGATACCGAGGAGCAGGAAGGTGATGGTGAGGAAGAAGAAGCTGCGCGAAAGAACGAGGTCAGCTCGAAGTTCCCGCAAGAAGCGATGGCGGGCGGACTCGCACTCCCGTGAGGGCGATCGACGAGCGGAGCGACGCGAGGAGCATGATGAAGGTGAAGATGAACCATCCCCAGAGGAAGAAGGCGACACCGTTGCCGAACATGGTCTTGGCCTCGTACGACGAGGCGATTCCCGACCATGGCGAGACGATGAAGGCTGCGCGCAAGCCCATCAGCAACCGAATCGACTGGTAAAGCAGCTCTGTACGCACCGTAGGCGAGCCAGAAGGCGCCGTAGGACGAAAAGGCTGTGGCACCGAAGGTGTTGCTGGAGTCGAGACAAGGTCAGGTCTGGATTCCGCAGTTTTCCCGCGGTAGAAACGCACCCAGTCGCGAACTCCCACACTGTGAACCGCACAAGAACCGTCAGTACTCGCGAATCGACGTTACGAAGCGAACAGCGCGCGAAAGCGAGAGTCGAAGAACCTCGACTCACTGCCTGCGAGAAGCTGGGCAAGACCGCCGTAGAACAAGGCCTGCGGAACGAAATCGACGTCGTTAGCGTGTCGGCTCTTCAGCGAAACCCAAAGAAGCGAGAAAGAGGCGCAAGGAAAGCGAGACTGACCGGTCCAACGACGACATTGGGAACGGTCACTCCGCGGGTCTTGACTGCAAAGCGCATCATCCTCAATGTCAGTACGCTGCCCTACACGCTCGTCCAACGTCGATGCAGCAACAACGAGCCGCAGAACGGCAAACGCGGGAGTGATCCGCCCCAAGGGGTCCCGCTCGCACCTCCTCGACTTACCGTTGATGAGCGAGAGCATGAACGTCGTAAGGGCGAAACCGCAGAGTCCCAACGGTGCAGGGTTGGCGAAGCGACGGTGGTAAGTCGGGAACGCGGGCTGGCTCTGTGCGTCATTGCAAGCGGAAAGTCAGCCAGGGTGAGAATGTTGGGAGAGGGATCGAGCGACCGCGCTGGCTCCGTGGATGAACAAGGACGTACGCGGTCGAGCGGGTGTCCGCCAGGAGTGATGTTGCGCAAGTTGAACGGCGCACCGCCCTCCTGCGATGCGTACGCAGGCGAGCCAGTCGAGACGCCAGTAACGCCGTGCTGGCCGTGCGCGCCGTTGGCGGCGTTGTGGACGCCAGCAGTCTTCTCGACGTCTGCGCCGTTGTGGAGCGATGAGCCAGTAGTCGAAGCCATTGCGTGCAGTAGAGTAGCGCGAGGGTGAGGACGAGAGGAGGCGGGCGAGCAAACAAGTCCCAAGTTCGAGCGAGGTCACGCTTCCCCGCTTCCCCTCTCGGCCTTGCCCCCCAGCGAAGGTGGAGGACCGACCGGAGCGCTCCGCAATCCGAGATGCGCCAATCAGAAGACCCGCCTGCTGCCGACCGTCCTTCCACCTGCTCGATCTGGCACTCCCGTCCGTCGACCGCGACCACGAGAACCGCCGCCGTCCTTTCGTCGTCGATCGTACGCTGCCACTGCGCTGGCACGCTCGCAGGCCGCCGCCACAGCAAGCGCAAAGTGAGGCCTCGTCCCCGTCTGCACAGCTCAGAAGACGTCCCCCCACGTCGACCTGCGTCTTCTTGAGGCTAAGGACCAGCCCTAAGCAGTCAAGCGAGGGCCCTAGGCGGGCAGGCTGACGTCCTGGCGACGTTTGGGAGCTTCGGCCTGCGATTAGGAAGGCCAGAGCACTCAGGCAGTGCTTGTTCCTCGCGAGTCCTCCTTGTCATTCTCCTGGCTGCTCGACAGGGCCTGCCAAGACTGTCCGCACGTGGCGCTGTGCGTTGCGACTGCGCGCCGTGCGGAGCTGAGCGTTGTGCGAGGAGGAGGGGAAAGGAGCGGTTCGTTCCGAAGCGCGTTGACCGGAGCGTCGGATCGCCCGCAACGACAGTGTGGGTGTGTAAGCAGGGTCGCGAAGGTCTCGACTGACCAGCTTTTGTCGATCGAGAGTAAGCCGACGGAGAGCGAAGTCGGCGGGGATGAGGAGCGGGTCGTCAAGCCGGCAACTGAGCTCGTCGCCCGTCCTGCAATACTTCCTCCCCCTGCCCGCCCGTGCAATGAGTTGCGAAAGCGTATTGGTGAGGCCTCGAGAGACGAGTGAGAACGCCTGCAGCAGCGGAATGCCGGAAGACCTCCCGCTACGCCTTCCCCGACCTCGATTCAACTTTCCGCGGGCGTTGCAGGCTCACTCCTCGCCAGTACTACTGCCCGCGCTCGACAAATCCATCTCTGCCTCTCCCTCGTCCTCCATCTGCCTCACTTCAACTCCATCTTCCCCTCCGCTCGCACCCATGACTGTCGGCGCAGGCTGATTCCAGCTCATATACCACTCCTCAGCGGAGAACGCGAGCCAATGCGTGCGAGAGTCGAAGAGCGAGGTTCGGTAGTCGACGAGGCGGATGCGTTGGGCAGGCGGGAGAGGTGGAGGAGGGGAAGAGGGAGGCGGAGGCGGAGGGGTCCCGGGTGGTGGAGGGGGTGGTGGTGAGCTTGGGGGGGGAGGTGGTGGAGGAGGAGGCCGAGGTAGAATCGACGGTGCAGGAGGCGAAAGTCGAGGTGAACGAAACGGCGGAGCAGCGGGAGGCGAGGATGAGCGCGATGGGCAAGACGGCGCGCGCTGATCGTCGTCCGAGGTGTAAATCTCTAGGTCGTCTACGTCGTCTAGGTCTTTGATATCGTCTTTTGAAGCGTCCGCCATGATGCGCTCGCGCATGCGAGCGAACAGGTCTGCGAGGCAGACGCTGTCAGCCAAGTTCGGCTCATCGAGCTGGCTTCGCTCCCGCTGCGTGCGCACCTACATCTCCCTCTAGCATCGTCCACCCCCGCGGATAACCCCACTCGAGCATCCTCCCCATCCAAGGCCACTCCTCCGTCGTCATCGCTCCCGCTTTCGCTCCCCTCCCTAACGCTCTGCGCAACTCATCGCTTACGATGCCCGGCTTAAACCGCTCGAGGTAGTCGAGGAATCTTTCGCGCTCCGAGGTGGGCGAACGACCGTCTGTCAGGCGTTTGGGCGTGGTCGTACCCGAGCGGGAGAGGAGGGAGAGGGCAGACCGGCGAGAGGCGTAAAGTGCGCGATTCTCGGCTATTGCTTCGCGGTCGTGGTGGAAGGGACAGGACGAGAGGCTGTGGTCGGGAGATCCGCAGTTGAAACAGGCGCGGGAAGGGAGGAGGTGGTTGAGTTTGGTGCCGGGACCGCCGGATTCAGCTGTATCGAGGGGAGGCGAAGGCGTGCGGGCTTCGCCAAGGATGTGGAGCTGCGAGTCGGAGGAAGAGGCATAGTCGTACGAGAAGCCGAGGCCGAACAAGGCGTAGTGCGAGTCATCGACGATGGCAGAGGGAGAAGCGGTGACGAGAAAGAGCGGGGGTTCGTCCTCGTCGTCGGCTCCTGCTGCTATTGACGAAGAGCTTGCCGACTGAGAAGGAGGAGGCGGTGAAAGTGCGGCGAGGCGCTTCGCAAGTGGCTCGTCTGCCGAGTCGGTCGATAGAGCTCTTTTACCTGCGCAGAGTGAGACCCTCAGTGCGATTCTCTCGGGTACAGCCAATGGTACTGACCCGTCATCACCTGCTCGTCGACTCTGCCGCTTGACCCTCCTTCGTCTCTTCCGTCCATTCCTTGACAAGACGAGCGAGTTTGTCCTTATCAATCCGATGCTTCATCACCCGGCCTCCGGCGCCTTTCCTCCCAGCGAGCGAGTCAATCGTGTCGTCTTTGCTGAAGTGTAAGACCGGCACGTCGTACTATGGGCGGCAAGAGTCAGCAAAACGAGACCAAAGCAGAAGAAACCCCGTTCGCACCTGGTACAATCGGCGCCAGGCTGTTCGCTCGTACTCGAGAGGGTCGTCCTGCCGTTTCCTGATGTCGTACAGTCGCAGATGGAACGGCTGGACTGCCTGCACCTGCGCGAGGTCGGCCTTTGCGACTTCGCACAACGAGCAAGCAGGGCCGCTGGTGAAGAGTGTGAGGGTCGGTAGGCGGGTCAGACGGGCTACCATGCAGCGAATAGCGGGTCCAGCGAGCCGTCCGAGCTGTGCGAGCGGGTTGACGGGGTTGAGGGTCAAGAGGGACGAGGCGACGACCCCCTTCACCCGCGACACACTCCCGACCCCGCTGCGAGTGCTTGTCCGAAGTGCTGCTGAGCTTCGGACGAGCCTCGCGCTTGCCCTCACGACCCCGACGCTCCGCCGGAACCGCTTCCTCACGCCGCCGCCATCCTCATCGCTTACGGTCATCACTCGATGAAGGGGCGACGCGGAGGGCTGCTTAGGGATCAGCGTGGTGCCGAAGGACTGCTTGAAGCGCTCTTCGGCCGGCAAGGGCGTCCGCTCGTCTGGGTTCCTCTCAACACCCTCGAAACCTCACTCCGGGTCCATTTGCCTCAATCACGACCTGCTGTACCGCTGTTCGTCCGAGGCTTCCGCCCTCTCCTTAAAGGGTAGTCGAGGAGGCCCCACTGAGCGCAGTCGGGCTGCTTGCGGCTCGATCCGCTGGATCCCGTCCCTCTTCTGCTCAAGCTCCTCTTCCTGCTTCCCCTCTTGCACGATCCAGTCTATACGCGTTCTTGACAACCCGCTGAATCTCTCCGACTACCAACTTCACAGCAGCGGAGGAAATGACATGGCAGATGAGGCAAAGATTGTGAGGCTCTTTGCAAGCGAGCGACGATGTATGGCTCGTTAGGGATAAGGAGACGACGGAGTAGGCTCTTAATCGATAAACAGAGATACAAGAACGAAGGGGAGGGCGAGAAAGTCGAAGGGAGCGTCCTTGCCAAGCTTACTGCGCCTGCGAGAAACCGACGCGGGGAGGGCTCGACATGTCGAAGGTGGTGTAGACCGACGACTTGAGGAACGAGTCGCCGACGATCCAGGCGTTGACGCCGACATCCTGGCCGACGATCGACCCAACGCAGAGGGTGCTGCCGGAGCTGACGCGACCGAGGTTGAGGTACTGGAGCGGCCACGCCTTGGTCGAGCCGCCGAACGAGAAGGTGATCGAGGGAGGCGAGGCGCAGGGGAAGGTGTAGTAGCCTCCGCCGCCCGAGTACGGCGCCGAGTTCGGGACGGCAGCCCAGAACGACTGAGCAGCGGCGGTGGGAATGACGATGAGGGTCGTGCCGGTGTCGATGATCGCGTTGAAGTTGTTGACCGCCGAGACAGGCTTGCCGTTGACAGCCGTTGCGCCCGTAACGACCCAGTACGACTGGGAAGTAACGGGAGCCCACTGCGTCGTGCCGGCGACGTAGTGCGCCGGGTTCATGCCGCCGAGGTAGAGCTCAGACGGAGCGGCGTTGCCGGACGAGAGGCGGAAGGAGAACTGGTTCGCGGCGACCTTGCCCTCATTCCAGAGCGTCTGGAAGAGGGTCGGCGACTGGAGGTCCGAGATGGAGGGGAAGGCGAGGCCGGCGAGGCCGTCTTCGGGGTCGTTGGCGAACGACGAAGAGAGGGTGGTGGCGGCGCCGAAGGTCTGGCCGGTCGCGACGAGTCCAGCAACGGTAACGGTGTCCTGGTAGACCGGGCCCGACGAAGACGAGCCATCGCCGTACGAGACCGAGAACGTCTTGCTCGTCACGGGAACCGACGACGACGAGGCGGACGCGTCGTACTTGTGCTTGCCGGAGCAGGCGGACGAGGTGCACTGGCTCGACGGCATCCACAAGTCTGCCGAGCCGGTGTCAAAGTCGCAGACAAAGTTCTGCGCCGGGGTGCCGATGCTGAGCGAGCCTGCCCAAAGTGAGTCGCTGTACGAGGTGAGAGACTCGGAAGCGGCCGTCGCCATGGAGACCGGCGTCGACGATACAGTCGCGGACGAGCTGGTCTTGGTCGCCGACGCCGAGCTGGTCTTGGTGCGGTCCTTGAAGAGGACGCGGCTGATAGAAGAGCGGCCGATCGGGTTCGAGCCACGGAAGCCATAGAACGGCTTCTCCTCGGCGGCGGCGAGGTCCCTCTTGCTCGGGCCACTTTGGAGGGGGCGGTGGCCGTGGATGCGCTCGAAGATGTCGGCGGTCGCCTTGTACTTGGCCTTGGCGGAAGCTACATGGGACTGACGGAGAGGAAGGATGCAACGATCAGCAACGTTCGGAGACGAGAAGGTCGAGAGAGGGTGCGCACCTCGAGGACACTCCAGTCAACGGTGTCGTCCCGCTTGGTCAATTGGCGAGACTCGTCGTCGGCGTTGCGCTTCTGCAACGGGATGGCGATGCCTGCAGCCTCGTCGGAAGCGAGAGCAGAGGGGAGAAGGGAGAGTGAGGCGACGAGGGCGAGGGTGGCTGCGGTCCTCATGGCGGGCAAGGGGACGTGAGGGGATGCGGTGAAGGGGAAGGAAGGAGATTAAGAGAGCGAGAGAGGTCGAGTGCGGCGCTGCTTCGTCGCCACCCGATGAGAGCCAGGCCGAAAGAACCCTGTTCTCCTGGCGAGCAGAGGGGACCGCTCCACATGCATGTCCGCCCGGCTAGAAGCAATCCAATCGAGGCTAGAAGGGATGCCCCTTCCGGGCAAATCGCACCGTGGTGAGGCACAAATGCCATTTGACATTTGCCCTTCGCCCGCTTCAGGCGAGGTCGCCGACGGAGATGCTCCTCTAGCGCCTTGACCAAAAGCGTCAGAAAGCGCCACGGCGGGCAGCAAGCGAGGGAAAAGCACCTGCGGCGAAAGGGCGCCGTCCTGGGAAGGTCGGCACCTGGACCAGTCGCCTCGACCTTGTCCTTCTGCGCGCGAGTATCGCGACGTCCTCCTCACCTATACATAGCCGTGTTGCGAGTGTGCTGTCTACGTCGACGAGCTCGAAGTGTCTGTCGCCTGGCCGCCGTCCTCGCCCGCATCCGACCTGCTGCCGCCCATCGTCACCAGGCGCCGCCGTCCTCTCCGCCGCCGCTTCCCCTTCTTACCGATGCTGAACCGCATGTCCTCCTTCGTTTGCTCAAAGCTTCGTTCGCTAGCCCCTCGACTAGCTCCATCGCCTCCGCCCGACCCGCTTCCTGCTTCGGCACCGCTCCTCGACGCTTTCCTCCGTTCGTCCCTTCGCGAGCGTCGGCGGGGCAACTCAAACTCAGCTGGAGGGAGCGAAGCGACCTTTTCCCGCACGGTCGCTGTCGAACCCGCGCCGCTCGCGCTCGACCGTGCGGCTCGCAACGACGCTATGGCGCGCCTGCGCTGCCTGCCCAAGGGGATCTTCCCGAGCAGATTCTCCCCGTCGTCGGCTTGTTGCTGCCCTTTCTTCCGCCGCGGGTGACCGCAGAACGTGAAGAGCCAGAAGCCCGTGCGCTTGTGGATGCGTCGGATGAGGACGACGACGCAGATGAGCGTCAAGGACTGGCAGAGGAGGAGGATGCCGGCGCCGATCCAGGTGTACTGCGCGCGTGAAGGTGGTTGAGGGGTAGTTAGCGATATTCGCAACGTCGGGGTGATCAGGGCTTTCCGGATGAGCGCCCGAGGAGGACTGGTCGAGGACTCACTGTCTGCAACTTGTCGAACGTCGTGTCGCAGTCGATGCCGAAAGCGCTGAAGATGCCGGGCACCTTCTTGCAAGCGCTCTTTACGTTGTCGATCTCGGCCAAGACGGACTGGAGGGTATCGTACAGCTTCTTCGCGCCAATTGCGCCTGCGCCGAGGAGGTAAATTGCGTAGCTGTTCATGCGAGGCGTCAGTACGTGCGTCGAGCGACTGTGAAGCGGAGTGCGCACAGCCAGAGGAGGATCTGGATCTCAAAGAGCGCGCCTATGATGCCTGCGATTCCGGCGCCGAAACAAGCGAGCGAGGCGTAGAAGGCCGCCTTGACGAGGGTGATCCAGTTGCCTGCGATCTCAAGCATGCCATTGTCAGGTCCAGGAACTGGCGAGCGACTCAGAGGAGAACGCTGAACGCACCGAGGGGTCCATGGAGGATCTGGTAAACGAGGAAGTTCTCGAAGCAGGACTTGAGGAGAGGGAAGACGACGTAGCGCAAAGCCCAGCAGATTGCAAAGTATTCTGAGGCGAGAAGGAGCGACTGGAGAACGACCCAGCCCTTGATCGTGCACACCCATGTGTAGAGCTGGGGCGGCAGACAGAGGCACTGCTCGGTTTGTGCGATCAGCCGGTCCGCGTAGTCGAACGTTGAGACGGAGTACGCACCATGCCGGGCTGCTCAGCAGACTGGGACTGAGGAACTGAGGTGAGAGCGAGGAGGAGATGCCGCCGGATTCTCCGCGGACACACGCCCTCTCCTGTTGTCTCGCCGTCAAGCTCGTCAAATCCTCCAGGCCATCCTTACGACTAGCATGGCAGTCGCAAGGCAGCGCAGGGTGTGCGGCGCGAGAGGGCGACAATTGCGCTGGATGAAGACGCGAGCGGACGCGGACAAGCGGACTGAGCGGGGCGAGCGCGCGAGGACGGCTGAGCGTGACGAGAGAGACGTTGTGAGCCAGATTGTGCGGTCCAAAGTCCAGCTTGAGCCGAGCGGGTGAATAGAGCGTGGTCAAGGAGGGTCGCGAGGAAGAGAACAGTGCTCGTGCTCGTCCACCTCGCTCCAAGCTGCCAGACCGCGCTGTGATTGCTGCTATCGTCAGAAACAGAGTATCTAGCGACGCGCTCAGCCCTTACCGCCTCTTCCCTCACCGCCAGCTCGCCTCTCATCGCTCGAGACGGCGCTCGACTTCGGCGGCCGGATACCCAGCGAGCGCGGGACTGTGGCCCCTGTGGGGGCATCGGCGGGCTCAGACGAGTCGCGGTCAGCTGGACGAGGCACGGCGAGCGATCGCATGAGCTGGACGAGACGGAGGGAGATCAGATGGTGCGGGTCGGGAGGAGGAGAAGGATGTCAGCCCCACTTCGACGCGGCGCGCCAGGACAGACGATCAGGGCCTCGTGCAGCGCTGAGTAATCTGCCCGTCGAACGGCAGGTCGTGCGCGACAAACGCCGACGATGCCGCTGCCTCCGCCCTCTCGAATCGCTTCCGCTGCACTTTCCTCGCCCGGCACTGCTTCCGCCGACTGGTCGGGACTCGCCACAGGTCACGACGGCACTGCTTGAGCCTGCACCGTCGGCAGAATCGCTTACCGCCGCGTTTCACGAGTTCTACGGTCCCCCTCCGCCCCGCCGCGCTCCCGCTTTGGCATCTTCCGCTCCTCAGTCTAGCCCTCTTCCAGACGCCGATACAACGCAGGTGGGACCCCAGATGCTGGCCCCACAACCTCCGCAAGTCGACCCGACTGTTCTCTGCCGGAGTCCGGGATCCGCTCGCGTCTCCTCGACGCTCTCGTCGCTCGCTCCCTCCTCTTCTCTGCTCTATCGCTCTCGCTTGGCACTGCTATCCTGGGAACACCGCCATGGCTTGGGGAATCCTCGAAGACAAACACTACCCGAACGGCGACGTGGTGCGTTCACCTCGCTCTATGTCCCCACTTGGCTTCGCATCCGAGTCGCGCGTTCTGACATTTCGTTGCGACAGCCCGGTACCGCTCTCCTCGACGACAAGAAGGCGACCAACTACGACCAGAATGTTGTCGAGGCCCTCAAGAAGGGAACGGGGCGTTCGTCTCACGTCGTCCTCGTCCCTCAGCCGTCAGACGACCCGAACGACCCGCTCAACTGGCCGGCATGGCTGCGCGAGGCCAACTTCTGGGTCTTGACGTTCGTCGCGGGTATCGTCGGAGGTGTCGGACCCGCACTCGCACCGTGAGTTTCGCCCGCGGCTGCTTCCTGAATTCCGGCATCCTCGCTGACGCTTCCGCTCACGTTCGCAGCGGCTATGCACTCCTCGCTGAGCAGTGGAAGATCACTGTCAACGCCGTCGCCGCCACAAACGGGTGCGTTGACCGCCTTCCACATTTTCGCGCACCCAGCTGACCTCGTTTCCACCGTGCAGTGACCTTGTCATCGCGCTCGGCTGTATCATGATCATCATCCCGCCCTTCGCCGCCAAGATTGGTCGACGACCGGTCTATCTCGCTGGCGGACTCTGTCTGTTCCTCTGCTCGATCTGGTCGGCCGTCTCGAAGAACCTCACCAGCTTCAAGTGGTCCCGCGTCTTCCAAGGCTTCGGCATGGCCGCATTCGAGGCGCTTGTCGTCTCTACGATCGCCGACACTTACTTTGTCCACCAGCGGTGCGTCTCGCTCTAGGTCGAGGTCGACGAGGGACGTCGTCGCTGACGCTCCGTGTGCTCGCAGCGGCGTTCGCTCGGCTATCTGGGGCTTCTCTATCCTGGCAGGCATCAACTTGACGCCCATCATCAACGGTGAGCGTTCGAACGAGCAATCCTCACCTCAACCTTCCTAACTGACCTCGCTGCGCGCTCCCGCAGGCTACGTTATCTCGAACCCCTCCCTCGGCTACCGCTGGGCCTTCTGGCTTCTCGCCATCGTCCTCGGCATCGGCTTCCTCGGCATCGTCTTCTTCTGCCCCGAGACCGCCTACGACCGCGATGCGGTCTTTGCCATCGACGAGCACGGCATCGCCGACGCCGCCGCAGTCAACGCCGCTACCGACGAGCTCGAGAAGTCGTCTAATGGCGAGGACAAGCCCATCGGACAGGTTGAGCACCTCGAGAACGGCTCGTCCGTCTCGTCGCGCCAGCAGATCAGCTACAAGCCCCGCAAAACGTACCTCCAGAGTGTGTTGACGTCTTTCACCGTACAGTCTACCTATCGCTGACGTCTCTGCGAGCAGTCCTGTCTCCCGTGTCGTATTGGGGCCGCGTGAACGTCTTCAAGCTCATCCTTCGCCCTTTCCCCTTCTTCCTCTCGCCCGTCGTCTGGCTCGGCTTCTTCGTCTACGGCCTTACGACAGTATGGTTAGTTGTACTCTCGATCTGTAGCTCGATAATCTTCGGCGCGCCACCGTACCACTTCGACGCAACCCAGACCGGCCTCACCTCCATCGGCCCGCTCGTCGGATCCATCCCTGCGACTATCATCGCCGGGCCGCTGTGCGACTACATCGCGACGTGGATGGCACGCGCGAACGGCGGCACCTTTGAGCCCGAGTTCCGCCTCACCCTGATCTTCCCCTCCTTCCTCCTCGAGTTCTTCGGCTTCATTGGCTGGGCGGTTATTACCCAGAAGAATGAGGGAGGCGCCAACATTCACTGGATCGGTCCCGTCATGAGTGAGTCGCATACTTCGCCAAGACCGTCGAACTACCCGCTGACAGCCTCCTCCTCTCTCCCTCGACCTCCTACTCGCCTTCCCGTGCTTCCTCCTTCTTCTTACGAAGTGTACACGCTCATTAACATTGGTCAGAGCGTGTTGAGTACGGCTATTATCGCCTACTTGATTGACTGCCACCGTGGGCACACCGGTGCGTAGCGACGACGTTCTTCGGGGGGACAACGCGCGGCTTACACTCGTTCCCTTCAGCTGAGGCTATCGCGGTGATCAACCTTAGCAAGAATTTGATTCTGTGCGTGTCCTACGATGCAGCCGAACGCGAACTCGGCTGACTGACGCTCTCTCCCTCTTGCCGTACTCTTCCGTCGCCTTCTCCGCCTCCCCGTCCCCTCCGTGTCCCTTCTCCCCTGCAGCTACGGCTTCACCCAGTTCGCTATCGACATGATCCTCAAGCTCGGCATCCCCCAGACGATGTACATGCTTTCAGGCTTGCTCGCCCTCTCGCTCGCTCCCGTAAGTCTCGCTTCTTCCTCCGCTTTCCAGCCGACTGGGCTGACACTTCTCCTCCACAAAGACGATCCCGATGTGGTTCTACGGCAAGCGCGTCAGGAGCTGGATCGCCCGGCACGACAGGCTTTTCCTCATCGACAAGTAAGCGAGGAGGAGAAGGTCGGTCTGTCATGTCATTCGGAGGTATCTGCTGGGTCTGTATTGCTCAAACAAGGTGTTGCAACGTCTCTCGTGATTCGATGGATCGAAGGAGTGCGTGCCGTGAGAGTCTGCTCCTCCTGCGAGAGCCCTTCGCGAGGTTGGCTTCCTTCCCTTCACCACCTCTTCGCTGCCCGGCTTGCTGTTGCCACAGTCGCTTCTTCGACTCTTTCTCTCCCGGGTACTGCCCTCCTCCAGCCCGCAAACGCGCTTCTCTCGCCGCTTCACCTCCTCATCAGCTTCAACCCTCGACTCGCGCCAACATGGCCCACATCGAGCGCCAGGTCGACGAGATCATCGCGGCGATGCTAGAGCAACAACGTGCGAAGGCCGAGAGCGCGTCCGTACGTCCTGACGGCCTCCTTCAGCTTCTTCCTGAGTCCCGAAAGTTGACCTCGCGTGCGGGAGCAGAAGCCACCGCGGGACAGGAGCGTCGCGTCCAAGTGCGCTGTGTGTACGAAGGACGCCGTCTCGCGGTGCTCGAAGTGTAGGGTCGTCTGGTTCTGCGGGCCAGAGTGCGCAAAGTTGGTGCGTTCGCGCATGGCCTTCTCGCACCGACAGACATTCGCTGATGCGCAAGTCAATTCACAGCTATGGCCCTCGCACAAGGCTTTGTGCGGCGCCGACCCCGACTACTTCCACGTCGCGCCGCTGTCGAAACGCGAGTGCCGCGACCTCGAGACCGTCCTAGACGGACCCATCTACCAGTGTGGCGAGGAGCTGTTCGAGCAGATACCTATAACGCTCCGACAGGCCATGACGCTGCAGTACTTCCAAGGCTTCGAGGACATCGAGGAGGATTTGAGCACTTGGGCCGTGAGTTCTGATCGCTTCGCAACGAGCAGACGCGATCCGGTCGGCGCAGAACTGATTGTGGCTCACACAGGACGTCAAGCGACTGCTGCAGAGCCCGGCGCCGACCACTACCACTCGTGCGCCGTATGAGCGAGACCCGCGGCACACCCTCATCGCCTTGGCCCGAACTCAACTCGACACGCTGTACATGCGACAAGGCGGAGTAACGGATCCACGGAGTAGCGAGCCATGGCAACTAGCACACAACATGGTCGAGGAGGTCATGCATGCGCACGACGAATTCGAGGAGGATCTGGCGGATCTCCAGGTCAATCGCCCTTTCAACCACTTCCTCCGCCAACTCCTCATCTTCATCACTATGCTCTCGCACTTTGTCAAGGCACCCAAGGAAGACATCAATGTCTACCTCGGTCACATGCGGACCGCGCTGGACCGCACCCGAGAAGCTTGAGGAGACGGATTGCCCGCCTTTCGTAAAGGCTCAGATTCGGAGCGACTTTCTGAGGATGCAGGAGGACGAGTTCCACCCGGACAGGATGCGCGAGAGGCGCGGCGGGCGGTAGCGGGTCTCCTCGAGCAATTCGAAGGCCTGTTCATGCGACGAGCGCGGAGAGAGTGCGAGAGACGCTGTTCTCTCGACGAACCGTCCTGTCCCACGCTTCAAGGAGCTCTGCATGAAATGCCTGCGTGCGATTGCTAACGTTACAAGGTATCACGATGCCTTGCGCTACACTCCTCCGCTTCTTCCGCCTCATGATTGCCGCTGGACGATCTTGTTGATTCGGATGCACTCTGTGCGGAGGCGCTATGAGTGTATGAGCGAGAAGGATGGGAAGGAGAGAGCGAAATGCACCGATTTCCGTATGGGTCGGGTCGAAGGGCAGCTGGCAGAAGTACCCTCGCTTCTGGAGGTGCGCAAAGACCTGCCGTAAGGAGTTTCGAGGTGCAGGAGATCGTAGAGAGTCGAAAGAAGCGCAGGGAGGGGAGGATGAGTCGAAGAAGGCGGAACGCGGAGGAGAAGAGCGAGGTCAGCGCCGTTAACAACACCTCGGATTGATTTCGGCCACGCACCTTGGTCACCTCCTGCGCCACCTGTATGCACTCCCGCCCTCGCGCACCCTCGCCGCCTACACGGCAGACTTCGATCTAGAGTGCGTCACCGTTCGGAAGGGTCAGCGAAGGCAGAGTCGCGACACGAACAGTACGAAGCGCACCGGCGTCTCTCCCTTTACTCGCTCGACGATGTGGTAGGTCGCATTCGGCGCTTGTTGCAGCAGCGAGTCGATGGGCGCCGAGTCGGAGGGAGAGAGGTCCGTTGAGGGGATGCGGGGGTCAGCCATGCGAGGAGTGGGTTCGTTGGCGCGGGTCGTGTGGGCGAGCTTGTGTGCGAGTAGGAACGACAGCTTGGGAGGCGAGTCTGAGCTAGTTCGAGCTGGTTAGCGATGGTCGAGGAGGAAGAGTGAGGAGGAGGTTGGCGAAGTACACCTCATCGCGCCGCGTCTTGTTGGCTAGGGCTCGCGTCTAAAGGCTCCGGAACTGCTGCAGGAGTCACCAAAGCCGTCAACCGTCCACCGTTCGCTGTCGCTACCGAATCTCACCTCTTCATCACTTCCGGCATCGACTACTCTCACGGCGGACTGGGGGATCTAGCGGTGCGCTCGAGTAATCCGCTACACCTGCTAGAAGCACGCCGTGACGAAGGCAGTCGTCCCTACCAGCTGACACCGCCGTAATCGCCGTGAGTCTGGGCTGAACACCGTCAACTCCCCTTTCCTCCGCTCTCTCGCTGATATTCGCCCCTGAGCAGATGTCTCCAAGCGCAAGCACCTCAAAACAAGTCTGCGGCGTCTGCGAGAAGGAGGCCAAGTCGCGCTGCGGAGGTTGCAAGCGAATTCCTTTCTGCAGCGCGGAATGTCAAGAGCTCGTGGGTCGTCTCACAGATTTGCGCTGCTCTCCTGTCAACCCACACCTATCTCTTCTCAGATCTGGTCGACGCACAAAGCGCTGTGTAAGTCAGACCCCGACATCTTCCACCCGCCGCCGCTTACCGCCCGCGAACTTGGTGACTTGTGGCCTCTCATCAATCAGCTCCGAACGACGCAGCGGTCCGCGCAGCCTTCAACACTTATGCAGGAGGCTCGCAAGTACTATGGCCGCGGGTTCAGCGAGGAGGTGCGTCGAGTCGAGATAGGCGCTGTCCCGGACTCGACGGGCATTGACCTGGGACTCGTCTCTGCCGCTTGCAGACGCTCGGCGCAATCTTGACGACCCCTGCACCTCCCGAGACGAGCGACAGCTCGATATGGGGTCAGCGCGAGCACCTCCTCCGGCTCGCTCGCGAAGTCCTCGACGCGGCTTACGTGGAGTCGACCGGCGGACACCGTGACCATCTCAATGACCCTCGCCAGAGGAACCCATGGCAAGAGTTCCAGCCTGTCCTCCTCGAATGCGCCGCCTCGCTCCAGACCGACCCGCGCGACAAGAAGCGTTCACCGGCCGAGGTCTCGCTCCAGATGATGCGGCTGTTCAACTCATTCCTCCGACAGGCGATCATGTACATCAACTTGCAGATGGACGTCATCCAGGAGCATGACGAGCGAAAGGGACCTGAGCTGTTGTTGACGACGATTGCGGCGGGGAGAAGGCTCAAGAAGGTATTCGAGGAGGACGTCCTCCAGAAGCCTGGGACGCCAATGGCTGTGCCGCTCATCATAGGCATGCTCGTCGAGAAGTTGACGGCAAACTTTGAGGCGCTCGAGCAACATATCGCTCGTTAGACAACCGGCGTCCAGGTTCGTCGGAGGCGCCTTGCATTGCACCATCTCGATCAAATCCAGCTGCGTTGCGCGCCTTGCAGAAATCTAAGGGTGTTTGGGCTAGTTCAAACGATCGGGCGGACCTCAAGGAAGAGGGCCTCATATGCGGCTTCAGCGCTCCAACGAACGAGTGACATTCTGGAGCGTGATCTGCTGGGCAGCCCTGACCTTTCACGGGCTGTCAAGGACGGCTTGCGCAAACTGGACGAAAGGTGGTTGAAGCGGGGTTTGTTGCGCGCCATTCGATACGAATCGTAGTCTCACTCCGCAATCTATGCCGTCTACGCCTCGATATCGAACGCCATGATGTCTGCGCAAGCACTACATGTCAGTGGCACTCCTCAGGCACTTGCAACATGCCTCGCAAGAGAAGAGCTGGACGAGAGCGACAGGACGCACCAGTCTTGTAAGGCTCCGGCAACTTCTTAAACTCCTCGTGCGCAGGGTGCGGTGCATACGCCTTCAGCGCCTCCTCCGACTCGAGCTCGGCGTAGAGCACTGTCGCCACCTCTCGTCAGCAGAGGAAGGAGGAAGGGAAGAGGAAAGGAAGGAGGAGACGCACTCGCTTCCCAGCCTTGACTGCGCGCCTTGGTCAACGGCATAGGCGGCCCAACCTCGACCTTCGTCAAGCCCGGGATCACGCCTGTCCCACGCGATACCACGTTCCGTCAATCCTCATCCTCGTCGTCGAGGGAGGAAGGGAGGGACGAACCAACCATCCCCTTTGCCTTCTCCCTCAGCTGGTCCACGAAATTGGCGGGTTGCTGGCCGTTGAATTTCCAGAAGACGGTGTGGTGGATTGTCATGGCGAGGCGGGTGGGATGCAGGGTGAGGACTGGCGAGGGGTGTGAGGAGGGCGAGCTGGAGGGCTGTGGACAGATGGGCGGGTCAACGAAGCATCTAGGACGAGAATGCGAGCGACTCACGAGCTGTGCAGGGCGCCGAACGAGCAGGACGAAGCGGAGTTCACGACCGGAAGTCAGCGACCGCGGTCCAACGAGCAGCAAGCACCGCGTCGCGCGAGGTGCGCTAGCAGCTCACGAGCTAGAGCGAGACTCACGAGAAGCTACGAGCAGCAAGAACGAGCGAGTGAAGCGATGTGGACGAGAGCGAAGAGTGCGGAGCGGAAGTCGAGGAGGGGGTGGGGGTGCGGCGAGACTGCGGCGAACGCGTGCGGAATTCTCTCGCGACGATGAAGAGGACAGGTGAGTAGGAGAGCGATAGCCGCGACGGACGAAGCAGTGGAAGAGGAGGACGAAGCGGAGAAAATTGCGAAGAGAAAGTCACCCTCGCTCCTCTCCGTCGACGCAAGGCGAACGACGACGAGCTCGAGAATGTCAAAAGCAAAACAAAGTTACAACCCCCTCCTCATCGGCGGAAGGGACACTACCATTCACAGGGCACAAACAAGCGTTCTCCTTCTCGGTCGATATCGGATCGCCTAGTTCTCGGCAACGATGATCGACGCCATTCCCATCCCGCTGCCGATGCACATGGACGTGCAGATGATGCGTGCGCCAGAGCGCTTGGATTCGGCGAGAGCGGTGGCGATCTGGCGCGCGCCGGCTGTCGAGCGAGCGGAGCGAGCGAGTCAGCATCATCCGAGGGGAGAAAGGGAAGGAGAGGGAAAGGGGAGGGGGACGCACTGCAGCCGAGCGGGTGGCCCATCGCAATTGCGCCGCCGTTCGGGTTGACCTTTGAGCGGTCGAGTCCGATGTGCTCGATCGACATGACCGCCTGGGAGGCGAAAGCTGTGTGCGGACCATACCGTCGTCAATCTCTGGCGTCTCATTTACCAGACCAGAGTGGACGAGAAAGACGGTCGCGCGCGCGGACTCACCCTCGTTCAACTCGTACAAGTCGACCTCATCCTTCGTGATTCCCGCCTTCTCGAGCACCTTGGGGATCGCAAACGCCGGACCGATACCCATGAGCTTGGGCTCGACGCCGGTGATGGCCGCGCAGGCGAACTTGGCGAGGATCGGGAGGCCAAGTTCTTTTGCCTTGGAGCGGCGGGTGAGGAGGACTGCCGCGGCGCCGTCCGAGACCTGCGAGGCGGCGGCAAAGAGACAAACAAGTCAATCACGGTGCGGCGGAAGCGAGAAGGCGAGCGCGAACGCACCTGCGAGGCGTTTCCGGCGTGGGTGCTGCCCGTCTTTGAGAACACGGGCTTGAGCTTGCTCAGCGACTCCTTCGTGACGCCCTCACGAATCCCATCGTCCTGCGAGACGGTAATCTCCTTCTCCTCCTCCGTCTTCGGGTCCGTCCACTTGACCTTGACCGGCACAATCTCGTCCTTGAACTTGCCGGCCTTTTGGGCGGCAGCGGCGCGGCGGAACGACTCGGCCGCGAACTCGTCCTGAGCCTCGCGCGAGACCTTGTACTCGGTCGCGACGTTCTCGCCTGCGTGTCAGAGCGGGTGAGCTCTTCGGACGGAAAGAGAAGGAAAGGAAGCGGAACGCACTGGTGATGCCCATGGGGAGCAAGCAGTCGGCAGCCTGCTCGCACTCGAGGATGTCGTCCGACATCTGCCAGAGAGGGCGTCCCTCCGTCAGCAATCTCTCTCTGGCTAGGACACGAACTCGCTGTCGCGCACCTTCTCCGGCATGGCGCCCGCTCCGTAGCCCTGGGTCATGCTCTCGACGCCGGCGCCGATTCCGACGTCGATCTGGCCCGAGGCGATCATGAGGGCGATGTGGTTGACCGCGACGAGGCCAGACGAGCACTGGCGGTTGACGGTCGCGATGGACGAGGTCGTAGGGAAACCGGCTGCGGGCACGGCGAGACTGTCAGTCGATTTGTCTCGTCGAGGTGGACAATGGGAAGCAGCGCCCTCCTTCAGAAGAGCAAGGAGGACGGCCGCAACGAGTTCGCCGGACGAGACAGCGAGGACGCACCTGCAAGCTGGGCCATGCGGGCGACGGTGGCTCCTCCGCCGGCAGGGAGGACATTTCCAACCTGGATCTCCTCGACGAGCTCCTTCTTGATCCCGGCGCGGTCGACAGCCGCCTCAAAGACGGCCTTGAGGAGGTCCTCGGGACAGGCGTCCTTGAGCCCGCCCTTCTTTGCGCGGGTGATGGGTGTGCGCACGGCCGAGACGATGACTACGTCGTCGTCGTTCTGCTGGGTCAGGGCGGCCTTGCCGCGCGGCGTGAGGTGGCTGACGAGTCCCGAGAGGCGCTCCTTTGCGGCAGAGATGGTCGAGCTGCGTGGCGACAGCGCGGGGCGGGGGTAAGCGATGGCTGCGAGTCCAGTGAGCGTGTCAGACTTGCCTCATTGTGGATGGATAGCGCTGGATGGGTGAGGGTGAGGGTGAGAGAGAGCGAGAGAAGGGCGCGCGAGGGGACGGACGACGTGAGCAACTCGGCAACGGCGAACTCGAGTGGACCGGCGCAGACAGGGGGGATTTCAAAGATGACAAAAGAAGGACCCGCAACGGCGACCACCCCGAACAACCGGAGCAGTCGTAAAGCGAATCTTGCCCGCGAGAGGCGGGAGGACGGAGAGTGGCTCGTGAAGCTGTCAAGCGGGTACTGACACCGTACCGCGGACTCAAGGACGCGTCAGAAGCAGCTGAAGCGAGACCCAGCGCAATAGCAGTCGAAGAGAGCAAGTTGATAGGGGCTTTGGACGCTGGAAGCAGAGCGACTTCGACCGTGGACCAGGTTCAGCGGATTCAGGGCGCGCGATGGATGACCGCAGAACGTGCGAAAACGATACACAGGCAGCCGTACGAGATGCGCGCGAGAGGACCGCAAGAAGACGGGTTCTGTAGCGACTGCAAAGCGAAGTAGCGCCCCCGTCCCGCTCAAGCACGACTGAGTCAGGAGCCACTCGCTTCAAGTGCGATGCAGTCCATCTTCTCCAGCAGCCGCAAGTGCAGCAGACGCCTGATTGTCGAGAGAGACGGCAACCGAGGAGGGTCGACGCCGAAGAAGGTCCCCTCGTGCCCGCCCCCAACCTCCGATAGCGTCCGCTCAGTCACCACCTAGCTCCTTACACCCGTCTCGTCCTGTCCCGTGTCCACCGCATCTACCCGACGAGCGCGATCCAGCGATCTTGACCCTCGACTTGCGAGGTGATGAAGCGGCACGGCGACGGCTAAACAAGCAGTGGGGAGCTGCGAGCAAGCCATGTAGCGCCGCAGAGGTCCCAGCTGTCTCGAGCAATCGATCCAGCAACCTCGGGCTGAGCACGCGGTGAATCGTCGCCTCTCGATCCGCGACCCCCTCTCGCTCGTCCTCCTTCACCTCCTTCATCATCCCTTCGACGCTCGTATGTCGCCTGCACCACCCACACCGCACCCAGCTTCACTCGAAGAACACGCTCCATTGCTGAACTCGCACAACTCGGAGGAAGAAGGGATGGTTCGCTCCGACTCTCTGTCGCACACTCCGTCGGCACTTGAGGTGGTGGGAAGGAACTCGGCTAGCGGGCTTGGGGCGGTTGCGACGCAGCTGGGACTGGTGGTTTCAACTGCGGCGCTGTGGAGGGTGTTGTACACGCATCCTGCTGGTTCGTCTCGTCTCGTCCCCTTCGCTTCGCTTAGTCAGTCGTCGGAACTGACAACTTCGCTTGGGCCAAGCAGGACTCTTCACCTACCACCCTTCCTTCCAGTCCCTCGCAGTCCTCGGCTTCCTCGAAGGTCCGTCTCCTCTCCTCCCCTCCATCCTCGCTCCGCTCACTCTCGCACGAACGGAACGGGCAGGCATCCTCCTTCTCCAGCCCCAACCTCCAAACGCAGCCTACAAGCGTAAAGGACTGCAACTGCACCAGGTCGTGCAGTATACCAGCGGCGTCGCGATCGTAGCGGGCGCGGCGTTCATCGTGTACAACAAAGTCGCGCACGGAGGTGCGTTGCCCTCCTCTTCCTGCACGAGGCTGAAGCTGATGAGATGAGGTCGGCAGCGAAACACTTCACGACGTGGCACGCCAAGTCCGGATTGCTTGTCCGTCCTCCTTCCCCTCCTCCATCTTCTTCCTGCTCGAGCTAAACCCTCTCACACGCAGACTCTCATCCTCATCGCCCTTCAACTCACATTCGGTGCCGTCATGGTATACACGCCCCTCCAGCGCCTCATCTTCAAAAGCGAGGAGCGCGCAAAGAAAGTCTGGAAATACCACCGGTTTCGTCTCCTCTCCTCCCCTCTCCCTTCTTCCGCGCTGACAAGCGATGAGTGGCGCAGGATGAGCGGCTATCTCACACTCTTCTTCCTCATCCTCACCCCGCTCCTCGCACTCGTGTCGGATTGGGTGACGCAGAACTCGTCGAAAGCGGAGAGGTGGGTGATTGGAGTTGGGTTGGGCGTTGCGGGATTGGGGGCGTTCGGGAGGGTGCAGTGCGTCGTGTTTTCTTTTGCTCTTGATCGCGAATGGACGAGGCTGACGGATTGAGCGGGCAGGACGAGCAAGCTTGGTCTCAAGACTCGCTAATCCGCCCAAGCTGCACATGCCATGTTCTCCTCCCCCTACGTCTGCACATACTACCTCTCTCTTCTTGTTGGAATCACGATAAGTCAATTTGGATACAGCACTCGTACACCACGAGTCTACAACTTGGCCTCCTTCCCGCTCGTCAAGTCCATCCCGAGCGTCTCCTCCAACTCCCTGATCGCCTCCTTCGACTTGCCATGCTTCACACCTATTGCTCCTCATCAGCCTCACCCAGGAAAGCGAGGTAGAGGAAGTGTACGCACGGATAGTTTTGATTCCCAGCTTTTTGGCGGCGGCGAGGTTGTGCCCGATGTCGTCGAGGAAGACGGTCTCGTGCGCTTCGACGCCGAGGATGTCGAGTGCGAGTCGGAAGGACTTGGGATCGGGTTTCCTGCGCGCCTCCTATCAGCCCTCTCCTTCGAGAGGAGAGGGAGAGGAAAGAGAACGCACCGCAACCCCTCGACGCAGCTCTCGATATACGCATCAAACAATCCCTTCATCATCTCGCTCGCCGTACCCTTCGCTTCTCCCTCTCCTCCTTGCGCGACTTCCTTTAGCGCTGCGCGAAGCTCGGAAGTCGAGATCGGTCGGTAGGGAGTTGTCGAGATGTGCCGCGTTGGAGTGGTGCCCGCTGGGGCAAAGTTGTTGGTCAAGGCGGCAACTTTGTAGCGTTGTGAGGCTGCGTGAGGTTCGGGTTCAGCGGGAGGAAGAGGACAGGAAGGGAGGGATTCGCACCTCGAAGCCGGTTGATCGCTTCTACGACGACAGGATCGGGCTCCGTCGCGGGGTCCATCATCAAGCCCCATAGCTGGATGACCGGATCGTCAGTTGGCGGGCGAGGACGAGGAAGAGCGACAACTTACTTCTTTTCCATCTATCTGCACCTTCTGCGGTAGCGGCGGGCATTCTGCGGGAATGAAACCGGTCATCCAGCGAGCCAGGACCACAAAGAGCTCAAGAAGGACGCACCTATCCCCGCCCGCTTGCAATAAACCCTGTACGCCCTGTTATTCGTCTCGACATCCCCAAGTCTCGCGCCAAATTCGCGGTAGAACTCGTCCTGTCCCATCTCGCCCCGCTCGAATCGCTGAAAAGGTCCGTCGTCACCCATCGCCTGCCCAACAGTCCGTCAACGCGGAGGTCAGGAGGAGAGAAGAAGTGGGGAACGAACGGTGATTGCTGCGTTGATCCAGTGCTTCGGGAGGTTCCATAGCTTCTCTGCCCGACTGATAGCCTCCACGGGAGAGCCTACGACCACTCCACCGCTGCGCCACGAGCGAAAACCGAGGTCAGCGAGACGAAGTTGGTCGGGGAGCGTCGAGCCGATGAAGCCGGGAGAGTTGGGAGACGAGCGCAGGAGCGAGCGAGCGTAGCGTGTGAGAGAGCGCACATGTCGAATATAACGGCTCTGTAAGGCATCGCAGCGAAAGAAGCGGAGAGCGACGAAGCGAGACGAGGGTAAGAGAGAGAGAGGCAAGACGAGGACAACACTAGCAAAGACAGCTTCAAGTCCGGTATGCAATAGCATTGCATGTTGAAGACGACCAGTGGAGACGCCTGCACTAAATCCTCGACTGTCCCGCACCGCTTCCTCCCCTCCTCATCGACCCCGACCCGCCCAAAGGCTTGCTCGGATCAAACAGCTGCGTCGACTTGGGCGGCGGCCGTCGGATGTCGGGCATGTTCATCAGGTCGTCGGCGAAGGGCTGGTTTGGGACGTGCGGGAGACCGGGGTGTGCCGGCGGAGGACCGTTCGCGGCGTGAGATGGCCAGGACGGGTAAGCGGACGTGGGCGGTCCTTGCGGCGGGTAATAAGGCTGAGGCGGTGGAGGCGGAGGGGCGATTATCGTGCGGCTGGACGGCTGCTGGCCGAGCGCAGGGTACTCGCCCGGGTTGGCGAACGAAGGCATCCCTGCGCCCAAAGGATGCGAGACCTGGCCGGCCGCGGCGTTCCATGCGCCTGGTACGGGTGGAGGTGGTACGGGAGGGTAAGCCGGAGGATGCGCGGAGGCGGGCGCAGCGGCAGCGGCGAACGAGAGCGGGGGTCGCTGAGTCGCGGATTGGGACGAGTAAGTCGAGGGAGGAGGCGGCGGCGGCAGAGGCTGACTGCTCTTGACGTGCGACGGCGACGTCGACGCCGCAGGAGCTGTCCGTTCAGGCGGAGGTCGAGTCGCAACCCAAGCCGGCTTCGGCGGCAAACTCGGATGCAACACCGTCTTGCCCTTTGCGCCCTCGTCCCCCTCCGTCGCAGCCGGCCGCTCTCCAACAATAGTCGGCTGCCGATCCCTCCTCCTCCCCTCGGACGCAGGCGTACTCGCACCGGTTCTCGACGACCCCTCCTCGCTCCTCCCGCCGAGACTCGTCTCGGGACTCGCGTCCTCCGCATTACTCGGGCTCCGGCGCGACGCGGCGTCTTCGCTCACTGGCGCGGAAGAGACAGCCGAGACGCTCCCGATCGAATGGGTCGTCGACTGGCTCAATCGCCGGAGACTGGGCGGTCCGCTGCTTCCCGCCGTCGCACCTCGCGTACCCCTCGACGCGCTCGAAGCGAGCGATAGCGACGAGCCAGACCGCAAACTCGCTCCTCCCGTCGAGACGACCGACGAGAACGGTGTAGGCGGACCAACGACCGACCCGCCAGGCGTGACGACCGCTCCTTCGGGGAAGCGCATGAGGTAGCCCGAGTCGTTCGAGGTGGTCGCGGGTGGTGTTTGCTGTAGAGGTTGAGAGAGGGCGGAAAGGTAGAACGACTGCGGAGGGAAGGAACCGCCGGACGAGCTGGAGAGAGCGGGGGAGGGGAGACCGCGCGACCAGGCTGACGGCGGCTGCTGAGGGGGTGGAGGATGGGGAAGCCCGTCGCCGTAGATAGACTGCTGTGCAGCGTACGCAGGATTGGCGGGAGGATAGCCGTAAGGAGCTGGCGGAGGCGGAGGAGGCGGGATCTGCGCCGCAGGTCCGGGCTGGGCGTATCCTGGTCGACCGCCGTAGGTGTACTCTGGCTGAGGTTGGCCGTACGTCCAAGTCCCTGTCGCGGGGTCGAAACTTGGCGCTGACGGTCGGAGGGAGGGTGCACCGCCGTAAGGTCCGCTCGGCACCTGGAAGGAGGGCGGAGGCTGATAGTACCCAAGGTATCCCGACCGTATGCTCAAGCTCGACTCGCTGGCGATAGATGGCGGCGGTCGCGAGCCCGAGACCGACAGCGCCGCACTACTGCGCGAGAACGTCGAACCCGCCGAAGACGGCCGGGTGATCCCGACTCCAAGCAACTGTACTGACGCCGAGTCCTCGCCCGCAACAGACGACGCTGCACTGATGCTCGCGATCGTCGAGCGGTCCGCCTCGGGGGCGTTGAAGATGCGATCTCGCGCTTCTTTGTACGCCGCCTCGCGCTCCTCGAGAGTCAAGTCTCGTCGACCCTTCCCTTTCGCATTCGTTCCGCCACTCGCGCTCGACCCTCCATCTTCCTCGCCGACGACGGAGGACGAAGCCGAAGACGCGGTGCGGGACGCGTTCGCACGAGGCAGGATCTTGAAGACTGGCAGAGGGGCGGGAGTCGGTGGTGCAGAGGAGGAGGACGCGGCGGTTATCGAGTCGGTGGCGGAAGGAGCGGGAGAGGCGGGGCGAGCCGAGCCGTTATTGGGGGTAGCGACAACGGGAGTTGCTGGAGAGGCTGAAGGTACGGGGTCGGGTGCGGGGACGTAGGAAGCGAGCTTGTGAGGCGGACTGCGAGTGAAGAGCGTCAGTGGAACAGTTCTTCTGAGAGAGCGACTTCCCGTGGACGCACATAGTGGTCGCTTCTCCCTTGACCAGCACAACGACTCCTTGCGGCTGTCCCGTCGCAGGGTTGATTATGCCCGCGTTCCACATCGTCGGCGGTGCAGCTTCGACCTCGCGAGTGATGCCGAACATGTCGGCGAGTCGGTGGATGAGCAGGCGCTGGTAGGAGTTGAGGCCGGGCTGGAAGTGCGGAGGGGCGAGGGGGAGGCGGGTGACGCTGAGAGCTTGAGTGTCAGCATTCGAGTAGTGTACAAGAGAGCATGGAGGTGATACGCACGAAGAGTTGGCCACGAAGCGCTCCATCTCGACTTCCGCCCGCAGTAAAAGCAGGCGATCCCGAGGATTTTGCAGGCCGTCACGCAGCACCTTGTCGAGCGGCGGTTGCTCGTCGTCCCCTGCATCCAGTTCGTCTGTCGATGGAGCGTCCGTTGCTACGCTGAGCGAGAGTTTCGCTGCGTGCCGAGCGACCTCATCGACGCCATTCCGCTCCGCAGGCTCCGGCGCCTCTTTCTCCGCACCGGCCGAGACAGACGGTCTTCGGAGTAGAGCGATTTTGCGAGGTGCGGGCGAGGCGAGTACTGGTGTAGGTGAGGGTTTCGAAGATGAGGACGAGGGAGTCGAGGTCGAGGTGCTGGCGACGGGTACAGGGTTCGGAGTCGTCGAAGGCGGGCTCAGTGGATGTGGTAGAGACTGTACCTCGCTTCCGCCTGTACTCCCCGTCCGCACAGTGCCCGCATCGCCCGCTGACACCTCATCTGCCTCGCCTGGGAGACCCGACCCATTCACTCCCGCATCCACCGCGAGCAGACCGTCCGAGAGGCTAGTCGAGCCAATCAACTGCTGCTGATCCGCCTCGCCCAGTCCTGCTGCAACCATCGTGCGTCGACAGCCGTCCTCGCTGGCGACTGCCGATGGAATCGAAGAAGGGGCTCTGGCGAGACGCAGAGCGAGCTTTAGTGTAAGCCGCTCAGCAGTGGTACTCAGCAGACTGCTCCGAGTGCTCCGTATGATCCAGCGAACGCCCTCGAGCGGCGTGAGCGGTGTGACGAGGACCAACCTGCTGGGGGTCCTCCCCGTCGTCTCTTTCGCTCCTGCTGCTCACCGCTACTCGCTCGATGGGGCTGAAAGCTGGCTGCCCGTCCTGAACGACCGCTGGCAGCACCGGGTGGGCGGGGTACCCAAGTCGCAGACGTCCCCAGCTTTCCCTCGAGACGCTGCTCGACCACAATGGCATTCGCTTTGCGCACACTGCGCCAGTTCCCGGCTCTCTTTCGGCTCTCCAGACTGTCCAGAATACTCCTCAGCCGGCCCCAAGCCGGCCCTCTCGAGCTCGGCCATTGTGGCCGCTTCCTCGCAGGTTTCAGCGCCCGCGGACGGTCCGGTCTTCGCGAGTTGTTCGGCAGATTGACTCCAGCTTCCTTTCTCCTGCTCTTGCCCTCCTTGTGCCCGGCTCGACGCTATGGCGAGCTCGAGGCAAGGCCACGCAGCCTTTGATCCGGTTCACGATGCCGGTTCGTTCCAAGTCGTCGCTCCGCTGCCCGGCGTCGAGGTTGCTGACGAGCTCATCTTTCCTGCGGTCTCAGCTGCGGAGAACGAGAAGGCGAGGAGGGTCGCCGCAACGCACGCAGCAGTGCGTACATCATCCCGCTCGGCACATGCGCTCTCGCTCACCTCGAGACCTTGACACAGCTCGCAGCGTGGGGCGGACCCAATTCCCTCCGACGTATGATTATCGCCGCGGTCGATGAGTGGCAGGAGGCCATCTGTGACTTCCGCCGAGGCAGCTCGAGTTACGAGACGGCTTTCCTCACTTACGCGACCCAAATGCCCGAGCACCTGCACATTCAGCCCGGACTCAACACCAGTGAGTCCTGCAAAATTACTGGCTCACCTGCCTCACTTTCTGACGCTGTTGATGGCGAGCGCTGACCGCATCATGCCCTTCCAGAGGACGACAGGATCCACCTGACTTTGCCGGCTCTGCCAATTCGAGTTGTCCTTGCAACAGATCGGTATCGACGACTGCAGTGGGCGATCGCACAACGCGGCGTCAACAATCCTGCCAAAATTCACGAGATCGCCGGTCCTGCAGTTCTCAAGGCGCAGCAGGCTCCGCCGAAGGACAGCTCCTGCGCGTATCCGTATAACGGAAACAGACCGGCACTTCTCAAAGACGGCCTCGTGGTCAGGCTGTTGTCCGGAACAGGTGCCGCGACTGCCCCTTGAGCTCGCAGTCATAGCGACGAAGGTGTGGCTGAAGCAAGACTTACTCTTTACAGGGCGCAAGGACATTCACGTTCGCCTGCAGCAGCACGACGCGGAGGAATACCAAGTTTCCGGTGTTGACACCCTCTCCGCCGTCGCCCCTCGCACGGTTGTCTTCAACTTGACCGTTGAGCATGCCGCGGTCAACCCGCTCCCCACTCTTTATCTCCGCCTCACCTTCGACCTCGACTACGGCCAGCCAGGACACGCCGGCGCCCGGAGTAGCTCGACGAACGCGGGACATGAGGTTGTTGCGCGGTCTTTGGGCGTGCGGACGCCTCGCGTATTGCGGAGGTGGTGAGTGCGTCGACAAAACGTACGGTAGCACGGCAGCGTGTGACATGGCTCGGAGCGCGTCGTTTTTGGCGGCGGAGACGAGCTTCCTTGCAAGGTTGGGAAGGTCGTCGGAATGTGGCTGTTGCTCGTCGTCCCGCGATTCGTTGCCCGTGAGACTGCGCCTGCGTACTTCTGTCGTCGCTGCCTTGCTACTTCGCTGCCAGTCGTTCGCGGAGCAGCCTTGAAGACTGAACTCGACACCGTCCTCCTCCTCCCCGCCGTCTTCTCCCTCGCCGCTCGCTCCCCCCCGCCTCTCTCTTCCCGCCGCCACTTCAACAAAGCTAGCAATCCCATCTCAGCGCCGTCGTCGTTCCCTCGCTCGTCGTCGCTCGCTGCCTTGCACGTCGACTCGCGACTGAGCGCGTCCGCTTCTTCGCCTCGTCCAACTTCGTCTCTCGCTCGAGTGGACCTTGCTACGTCGTGCACACACGTTAAAGAGCGCTGGACGCCTGCTAGACTGCTCGTGCGGCGCTCCCACGCCCAACGTCGCCCGCTCGCACCGCTCTCATCTCCGCCAAAATTCGCCGTCCTGTCCGCCGTCGACAGCGCGAGGCCGCCTGCGACGACCGCCAGAGACTTACACGGCGTCAGATAGACACTCCCGATTCACCATGGCCCCGCTCTTGCCCCTGCGGCAACGCCTGTCCGCCCTCATCCCTCGAACACCCGCGACTATCGCCCACCTCTCGGTCACCTTCCTCGAAACCCTCGTCGACACAGTGGTCGTCGCACTCACGCTCAACAGCTTTGAGAAGCATGTGTGGCAGCTGTTGATGGAGCGGAGCGACAGGAGTGTCTTGCCGGTCTACCTTGCGCTGTAAGTCGTGGGAAATTCCGCTTTGCGAGATGCTGCAGTGACCATGGTCGCGTGGCGAAGGTTGAAGGTCAAGCGAAAGACTGACACATCGGCTTCCGCAGGTTCGTTCTCGCTCACCTTACCCAGCTCGTCCTCGCCGTAGACGCCCTCGTCGCCAAGAACACGATCCAAGTTGTCGCGCTCCTCATCTTCAACACGCTCTTCCTCGTCTACTCCGCCATTCAGGTCAGCTACACCATTGCCATGCCGCCAAGGAACACAAGACTGATCGTTGTATACGCGCCTCCGCAGATCCACGAGATCCGGCCGCTCGTCAACAGCCCCGCGCTCAAAGTACTCATCTGGTTCATCCCAGCGTGCGTCGCTCGATCCCTTTCTACCGCAATCTTGACTAACCCGTCTCCTTGCAGCATGATCTCCCTCACCGAGGCCGTCTACATCGTCACAATCTGGCCAATTTACCGCGAGTACGGCTGGCAGATCTTCAAGACGCTTGGAGCGGACAGGAGGATCAAGAAGTGCTATGCGTGGTTCCAGGTGTTCATCTGCATCCTCAAGTTCGGTGCGTTCATTTCTCGTCCTCCCGTTCGCAAGTGCTAGTGTTCCAAGTTTGACACCGCTCGACTCGCCCAGACTTCTTCTTTTTCGTCGCCTTTTCGCTGCAGCTCGTCTTCCTCGTTCCGACCCAGACTTCCGCCGAGGTTCGTCCCCCTCCTGTCCTCTCCAGCTACCTGCCGACTTTCTGCAGCATCTCCTGCCGAGGTCTCGCTCAGACGTCCTCCTCTTATGCATTCCCACAGCGCGGCCTGACGATTGCCGCCCTCCCCGTCACCCTCGTCCTCCTCGTCCTCGGCTACTTCTCCATCAAGCGTGAACACAAAGTCATGGTCTACGTCTTCCTCGTCGGCTGCGCAGTCGGGTGCGCGTACTTTGTGTACAAAGTGCGCCGGGCGTCACTTTTCTCGAAGGATGAAGACGTGCTGACGGATAACGCGGCGCAGTTGTTCATCATTTACCGCGACCGCCAAACGGACTACCAGCTCGTCTTCAAGTCTCTCACGGTCTTCGGTGCGTCCTTCACCAGGCGAAGGGGACTGGCGGGTCAAGCCAAGCTAATACCCGCAACTTCCTCACAGCCGCTCTCTGCCTCTCTGCGTTGCTGGTAACAACGGCAACGGTCATCAAGTGTTGGCTCAACTTTGGCTCTGGCTTGAAGTACCAGAGTCAGTCTCAGCCTGTGTTTGAGCGTCGCACCCGCTCACTGCCGTGCGCTCGCAGTGTCGCGCGGCGAGATCCTCCGCTCGACTTCGAATCTCGACCTCAAGACGTCTCCACGACCCATAGCAGAAGGCGACGAGTACCCTCTCGGGTCAAGAGACTACTACGCGCCGACAGGACGGAACAGGTTCCGCATGTCGATGGATTGAGGAGGAGAAGGGGTTCTGGCTCGCCTTGTCAAGTCCCGGTTGTTGTAGCTCTTTCACCGCTGTTCACCCTGTATCTTGTCGATATGCAAACCGCAACTTTCGCAGCCTACGACGCCGTCGACGCGAAGCGGCCGTCGTTCTCCTTCTCTCTCGCTCTTCCACTTCACGTTTGCTTCGCGGCTTCGTTCGCTAGGGATGCCTGCAGAGCCAGAACAGGTCGTCGTCCTCGGAAGTGGCATAGTCGGCCTCTGCACGGCGTACTACACGCTCTCGCTCTCCTCCTCGACCAAGGTCCTCCTCATCGAATCCTCCCGCTCGCGCCTCATCGCTGGCGGCGCTTCCTCGTACGCCGGAGGCTTCATCGCGTGCGGCTCGTCCTGGCACGAGCCACCGTCGCAGTCACTCGCCCGGCTCTCGTGGGACTGCCACCGCCAACTCTCCGACGCTCTCCGAGGCGACGAGTCGAAGTGGGGCTATCGCGAGTGTGGCGCGGTCGGGCTGGCGGTGGGAGGGACGGACGAGAGTAGGAGCAAGTACAGGACTTTGCCAGGCGGGAAGGGGAAGGAGGTCGTCAAGGCGGACAAGGAGCGGCTGCCTGCGGGTCAGTGGGTCGAGGGAGAGCGGGAAGAGCTCGATACGGCTGGAGGAGTCGCGCAAGTGTGCGTTACTCTCCCTTCCATGCAGTGCACGTACCCTGACGAACGCCGCTGCGCAGTGACCCCGCCGACTTCTGCAAAGCCATTCACGACTACCTCTCCTCCAACTTTCCCGACCGCTTCACGACCCTTTTCGGCGAAGCGACTGCGCTAAGCTCGCATACGTCTACTCTCGCTCGCGCAGCCTCGGCCGTACTTCCCGCGACCCTCGCCCCTTCCGCCAAGCGAACCCTCACCTTCGTTCCTCACGACTCGAGCGCTTCAAGCGTCGAACTTCCCTTCGACCGGCTCCTCGTCGCAGCCGGACCGTGGTCCGCAGCTGTATGCGAGAAGCTGTCCCTCCCTCCGATCCCGCTCACGAACCTCCCCGGCCACTCGCTCCTCATCCGCCCCGCTCTCGACCTCTTCACTCCCTCCGCCTCCTCATCCACCTCCGATCTCCCCTCCGAGGCTGTCTTCGCTGGTATCTCCGGCGCAGTAGGCGGAGTCCACGCCTCGACGTCCGGTCTCGCGCGCGGACTGACGGAGGAAGAGAAGCGCGAGGGATACACCCGCTCGCCCGAGTTGTTCGTCCGCGCAAACGGGCTCATCTACGTCGCCGGGGAGAACTCGATTCCTGAACGAGGCGGACCGCAGAGGAAGGATGGGCTGCCGAACAAGCTGCCGGATACGGTTGATGGAGTGAAGGGATTGCTGGATGAGCGGTGCGTTGGGCGACTGAAGCGTGCGGCTGGAGCTGTCAGCCCGTTGTTGAAGGAGGAGAACGGCGCCGTGATTGAGAAGGAGCAGGTGCGCTCGACACTTCCGTTTCTTTTGCCTGCAAGGGCAGAGCTGACCTTATTCGCCCTCTCTCTTTCGCTCATCCTCCGCCTCCCATCGTCTCTCGCAGTTCTGCTATCGCCCTATCGCCTCTGACCGGGAGCCCATCATCGGCCCTCTCGCGCCCGACGTCTACATCTCCACCGCGATGGGACCATGGGGGATCACGCTCGCGCCTGGAGCGGGTAAAGTCGTTGCGGAGATGATGCTTGGACGGGCGCAGAGCGCGGACGTGAGGATGCTCGCGCCGGATAGGTTCAAGCAGGCGAAGTTGTAGAGCCTCGGAGGAATAGACTCGGTTCAAGGCAGACTCTCGATACTCTCCTGCTGCGTCGGCTTCTACCAGCGCGTTGCGCAAGAGCACCCCCACGTCTGGACCGCTAGCTCACTCGACTTACAGCCGTGGCTTGCGCAGACTGAACACATGAGGCGTACTCAATCCCGTCTCCCCTCTTTCACCCGGCACGAACGGGTTCGCCGGCGCGACAAACCTAACAGAAGTAGGCTGTCTGTCTCCCGCTCGCGATACGACCACCCAGTCCGTCTCGGTCGTTTGGTGAAGAGCGTCGCGGCGGTTGTTGTGGGAAACGCCAGAGCGGAACTGGTAGGTCCACTCGTCGCCGGCCAGAGGTCGCAGTCGAGCTGCGAGTTCAAAGATGTCAGTCGTAGGAGGCAGAAAGAAGAATTGGGAGGAGCAGGACGCACGATCCCACCCTTCACCGCTGTACTTCACCGCAACTGACCCAGGTCCCGTGCGATCCGTTCCCGGCAAGACGTACGCGTACACCCGGACGCCTTTCTCGAGGTCCGTCAGGAGCGGAACGCGGTTTGACCGTCCGGGGACGGATGGTATGATGGCTCGCCAGACGCCGGTGTTCGTGATCGTCACTGCGTCGTGCGTGCTGTTGGAATCTGCGAGGATCACGAATGTCAGCCAAGTACGAGACGAACGCCAGAGGGCGTCAAACGCACACTCAATCTTCATTGGCGTGTCGCTGGTCGGCGCTCCGCGAAACCGCACCTTTCGCCCATGCACACCCAAGAACGCCGTGACCCGCAGAGCGAACAGTGCCTTGTCCTCGTCGCTCCAATCCGCCTTGGAACGACTGTGCGTCTCTGTGTAAGGCGGTGCGGTCGGACTGAGGTCGCGGCGTTCGACTCTGGAATGGTCGTTGAAGTACGAGGGAGGCTTCGAGGCGACACGGAGAGAGCGAGGGTGTGCTTCTGTGGAGAAGCTGTTGTCTGCACAGACAGAGTCGTAAGCGGGCATCCAGTTGAGCAGGCTGAGAAGGACGTACCGGGATTCAGCAGACGGAAGACGACAAAGATGGGCGGGTTGCGCGGATTACGTTTGGCGCGCAACAACCACTCGCTCTTGCGCAGAATCTTGGTCTTCTTTTGCGCCAAAAAGCCGCAATCTTGGTAGGTCCACTCGTCTTGAAAGAGAAATCCGAAGGTCAGGCTTCGCTCGAAGCGAATTGGAGCGGATAGCTGGCGCACCTGCGCTGTTGAGCGTGATACTCTCGCCTTGCGTTGGCAGGAGAGGAGGCACGAGGACCGGCACGCTCGCATTCGCAACCTCGAGCGAGAGGAGGATGCCGGCGTTCGCGACCGTCACCGTCTGAGGATCTTCCGGACCCAGCGAGTCAACTGACAGCGCGTCTTCCCGAGTGAGAATGTTGCGCACCGTGTTCATGCCAGATATACTGTCCCTTCCATGCGCGGTCGGCGCCGGGGACACAGTGCCGCCAGTTGACGGATTCGTCGAGGTGGTAAACGAGCGCTTCGATTCGCCGCTGTATCGCCAGCCGTCGACCCGTTTCTTCGGTCGTCGAGTCACGGCAGAAGAAGTTGCGAGGCATAACGAGCGGTGTGAATGGAGAGGGGAAGAGCAAAAGGAAACGTCGAGTCCAGCTTGAAGGCGAGCGAAATGGCTAGCTTCTTGGCCGGAGGAGATCCGCGGACCCTCCGTCACGAGAGATCGTCGTAACAAGCAAAAGTAGCTCAGGATAGGAGAAGCGGGAGGCGGTGTGCTCGAGGATAATATGGGCGGGACAAGGCGACGAGGACGAGGACGAGGACGTCTTGGTCACTCGGCGGGGAAGCGGATTGGGCTCGACTTGGATTCTGTGGAGCGGTCTTGGCTGTGACGAAGAACCCCTGCTCGTCCTCCTGGCCCCCAAAAACCAAGTAGAGCGAACGGGCATCGAGGAGGACGAGGGAGAGCGGCGCCGTCCGGCCGCGTCCAAAGACCAGCAGGGTCATACTCGGGCTGTCCCAAAGCTCAGCACACGGCAGCAGTTCCTACGGAGCTGTGAGCGAGTGTGGCAGGAGACAAGTCGTCGTCGCTGTCCTCGCGCAAGGTCGGCTCCTTGCAACAAGCTCGTTCTCGCTGTGGGCGCCGCTTGATTCGCTAGACAGCTTGTTTGAACGCTCTTCGACCCATAGTCGCCCCCGCCAGCCTTTCCCGCTCCTCGAACGGCTCTCTCGACGCCTCTCCACCTCGAACCGGACGAGCGAGAGCCAACTCGTCCACGACAAGCGGCAAACTGCGCACGAACAGCATGAACGGCGTGGCAATGGCAGCATCGCCTGCTCCTGGACAACCGAGCGCAGCAGGTGCGGTCGGAGCAGCGAGCGCGAGGGGGACGCCGGGTCCAGCGACGACGGCGAAAGAGGCGAGCGAGCGGGTCGCGCTGGCGGACAAGAACGTGGCCATCCTGTGAGTGCGCCTTGCTACAGGACCCGCAGCTCGCAGGCGGCGCCCTGGCACGCTGTGGCCGCCGCTTTGACTTCGCCCTGCTCCTCGCACATACACCTAGACTGACTTCGCTCGCTCGCACAGTTCGCTGCCTTCGCGTGACCTGCCAGCCTACTACGACCCGCCTTCGTCTCCATCGGCCACTTCCGACCCGGACCTTGACGACTTTGACTTGACCCACTCGCACGCTCTCCCTCCCTCCGCCTCGTACCTCGTCCCGACCACCAACCGCGGGAACAAGCTCTCCCGCCTCGCACCTCACACACGACGAGGCCGACTCGGGAACTACGCCAACGTCGACGCAGGTTTCACCGACCCTCTCAGCTCGTCATCTCTCGTCCCTCCAGCGCAGAAACGTCGAAAACTGAACGACCTCGCGCCGTCCTCCTCGACTTCGGGCTTTCCCGTCGCGCCAAACTTGCATTTGATCCCGCGACCAGTCCATTCCCTCTCCCGCGAGTCGGACGAACCCTACCCTTCGTACCTCCCTCCCGTCCCGCAAAGCCCGCTCGACCTCCTCCTCGCACCCGCAATACAACACACCCTCGGCAAGCGAAACAACACCTTCCACCTCCTCGGCTCGAGCGCGACTGCTCTGATCGAGCAGGAGGCTGAGCTTGTGAATGCGCTGACCAAGGTTTGTCGTGGGTTGAGGGGCGAGGGGTTCGAGTGGCGCTGGGAGGGGGACGAGGAGCGCAAGAGGGTCAGGGACGAAGAGAGGAAGAAGGAGGACGAGGAGAGGGAACGGTTGAAGGAGAAGGAGCAGGCTGTGCTGCAGCAGAGGGAAGAGGAGGCCGCCAAGAGGGAGCAGGAACGCGCGGAGAAGCAGGCGCAGGAGGCGGAGGCGGCTGCCGCTGCCGCTGCCGAAGCTGAAGCTGAAGCAGCTGCTGTAGCCGAGGCGGAGAAGGCGGCTGCCGAGGCGCAGAAGGCGGACGAGCAGCCGGCTCAGAATGGCGACGCCCAGATGGATGTTGACGGCGCTGCCTCAACGCAGCCGTCGCCTGTTCCGGCGGCCGTGATCGAGCAGGTCAAGCTCGAGCAGGCGACGCCGGTCCTGCCGTCTGCTGCGACGCCCGTCGAGGCGCCCGCCAATCCGGTCGCCATTCCCGGCATCTCCTCTTCCGCGACTCCCGCCGCCGAATCAGCGCAGACTGGCGACGCGACGATGCAGGATCCGACGCCTGCTGCAGGTGCCGAGCAGCCAGGAGAGGCGACACCAGCCGCCGCGCCGGCAATGGCAGGGGGCAACCCTGCGATCGCGGTCACAGGACCTGATTCGACCGCCGGACCGTCTGCGACCGCCACGCCTACGCCTGCGCTTGACGGCGAGTCGACCGCTCTGACGCCGCAGACGGGCGAGGCAGCAGCTCAGCCTGTTGAGCCCGGAACCGACACGCCCGCTCCTGTCGACCCCGCCATCGCCGCACTCCCCACCGCCGACGATCCCGCCGCGTCCGAAGAGCCCGGCACGAACGAAGCGACTCCCGCTCCCTCGACCTCTGCCGAGGAACCCGCCGTTCGTCGGCGGTCTGGACGAGTCGCGACTCGCGGAACTGGTGCAGGCTTCGCGGGTGCGAGGCATACGAGGTCGAGGCAGAGCAGTCCTGAGGACGATGGGGACTACGACTCGGATACGTTGATGGCTATGGGCGTGCCGGGGGTTGAGGGCGAAGGGTTCGTCGCGGGCGCAGCGGGAGAGGGAGAAGAGTCGGTTGAAGGAGACGGCCGACCAAAGGCTCACCACCTCGTGCCGGAGGAAGAGTTGCCCGAGTACGCGACGCGCCTCATCGACCCCGAGGTGTTTGTGCGCGACCTGTTCGTCAGCGAGGGCAAGGTCGAGCTGGAGAGGCTGGTGCCCGGACCTGCGGGACAGGTCGTCGGGACTGGGCAGTTCGATACGTGCGTCTAACGGTTTCTTTCGGCTTCCGTTGCTTCAAACAGCTGTGACTGATGCGGGACCCCTCCGGTGCACGCAGCCTTACGCCGAACGAGCAGGAGGTCCTCCTGCACGACTGCCTCACGTGAGTCTGCACTCTCAGCCTGTCTGTCCTTGAGACAGCGTTTGTCTCGGGGCGGACTCTTACTGTGGTGTGCAAGGCTCACCCAATCTAACCAACTACAGGGACCTACACCGCTTCCTCGCCGACACGCTCGAATACCGCGCCCGCCTCTCCGAGATACGCGACGGCGTCCTCGGCGTCGAGCGCCGACGAAAGGGCATGTGGCGCGTCGTCCGGACTGTTGCGATGGACTGGCTCGAGGAGGAAGAGTCGGGGATGGGCGTCGGGCAGGGCGGCGAGGCGTACGAGTGAGCGCGCTGCCGTGCGGTTGTGGGTGAGGAGTAGAGGAGCAACTGTCGTCTTTCTTTCTTCTTTCGCTGTCAACATAGTTCTTGGATCGTGCTGGCAACTCGAGGAGGAGAAGGAGGCGAGGTCCGCCTCAACTCTCGCCTTTCCTGCAAGCGATCGTCTTCTACGCGTACACATGCGCCTATTCGACATTGGACGCACGCTTTCAGGCCAAAGGAAGCTGGCGAGGTCGTCGTCGCCGCCGTTCACGCTCCTCTTCTTCAACCCGTTCGCTTCTCTCGCTTTCAAAGGCTCGTTCCCAGCTTGATACCCGATCTAGACTGTCGCATTTGAGCCTGCAGAGGCCATGGCAGCCTCCCAGCTGGACCTGCCGGACTCGCCGCCTCTCCCACCCCTGCCATCGACCAACTCCAGCCCATCTCTCTCGCGCTCTCCGACAATCAAGGCATACACGGCGCAGCAGAGCGGCACCATTGCCCGTTCAAAGCCGCTGCCGAGTCCGGCGGCGCTGGCAGGCGTCGAGTCGGCCGTGGCAGGACCATCGAGCGAGGGGGTGTTGGCGGACGGCGCGAAGGGCGAGGCTAGCTCTGCGGCGAGCGACGCTTTGCTGGACGCAAGCTTGATACCCAATCCGCCGTACGCACCCTCTCTAACCGCTTCCACCCGTCACGCTGTCGCTCACAACCCCCACCTACAGACTCCCTTCACACCTCGCTCCCTTCCTCTCGCCCACTTCGCCCCTTTCTCCCACCGACAAGCGCCAACTCTTCACATCCGTCTTCCTACGTTCCGCCTCGGCCGGAAACGCCGATACCCTCGAATGGCTCCTCTCCCTCCCCGTCAACCCTTCCCTCAGTACAGCCGAGAATGCCGCGGCTCAGCGACGCTTCTCGCTTACCGCCGCGACACTCAACAATCTAGACACGCTGGGAGACGCGCGGGAAGAGGGACAGACAGCCGAACTGGATTTGCCAGATGAGGCGCCGCGGAAATGGGTTGATCTGGAGGCGCAGGACGAGGAAGGGAACCCGGCACTCGTCCTTTGCGTCGCGTTCGGCCATGCGGAGTGCGTACGAGTGCTAGTCGAAGGAGGAGTGCGGGTAAATCAGGTCGATCGGGGTGGGTGCGATCCATTCCCCGTCTTCCTGTCTCCCGTACTGACATGCTTCGCGCGGTTCTAGCCGGCTGGACCCCCCTCCATTGGGCAGTTCAAAGCAATGACATCCCAATTGCCTCCTACCTCCTCAACCACCGCGCCTCGCCCCTCCTCGCATCCCGCAAAGGTCTCACAGCGCGCGATCTCGTCAAAATCGGCTCGGAAGGGTTCGCCATGAGGGAAGTGCTGACTTCGGCGTGGGAGGCGGCGCTGGAGCGGGAACGGGCTGCACAACGGGCGGAAGAGGGCGTGGGGTGTAAGGGCAAGGGAAAGGAGGCGGATGAGAGCGCGGGGATGGCGAGGTCCGAGTCGAGGTTGAGTTTGGCGGCGAGCGAGGCGTTGAGCTTGTCGTGGGAAGAACGGGAACGGGAGAAGGCCGAGGAGCAGGAGCGCGAGAAGGAGGGACGGAGACGGATGCAGCTTGCGATGGAGAGCGCGCAGAATCTGGAGCTGGACCTGGCGATGCTGAGCTTGGAGGACGGTCGGCGAATAGTGAGTGCTGCACTCTTACTCGACAGCTCGTCGGCTGACCGCTCTACCTGCAGGAAAACGAAGCGGACTCAGATTCGGAAGAAGGGGCCGGCTCGCCGTTCGACTGGCAGCGATGTCAGCTGGACCAGATGCTCGTGTTCTCCCTCGCCGACCTGCCGGTTATCCTCGACGTTGTGATCACGACGATCAAGCCCGTTCGGACACGCAAGTACCGCGTAATCCCGGCCAACGTCCTCTTCCTCTGCGCCCGCTTCGCCCACCACCACGGCAACGCCGAGCTCTTTGACGAGCTGCTCTTCGGCGCGCTCGAGCGTATCGAAGCGGCCGTCCATGACCGACCACACGACATGTCTGTCTGCGCCTTCTGGCTCTCGAACTGCCTCCTCTTTCTCTACTACCTCCGCAAAGAGCCCAGCATCGCTGCCGCCTCGTCAGAGTACCAGACGCACTTTGCCGACCTCATCAACGAGATCTTTGTCTTCATCATCCGCGACGCCGAGCGACGAATCGACCGGGTCCTCGAGCCGGCTTTGCTTGACCACGAGGCCTTGCCAGGGTTCGAGGACGTCGCTTTCGAGGACGAGTGGGCGTCGACGCGGTTTGTCAAGAAGTTGACGGGGCGAGGGAAGAAGGGCGGAATCCGCAACTCGACGAGCGCGAGGAGCATCTTCTCCGATGCAGGTTCCGTCTCGTCCGTCGGCGGGTCGAGCGTTGGCGATCCCAGCTCGCCGCCGCGGAACCGACTCGTCTCGGCCAGCCAGGTCGCGCCGAGCGACGCGGCGCCGAACGACATCACCGCCCTCCTCACGGCGACCCTGTTCGTCTTGCAGGCGTACGAGATTCCGCCCAGCATCATCGTCCAGGCGTTCTCCCAGCTCTTCTACTGGATTGCGTGCGAGGTTTTCAATCGTCTGCTCACACAGGTGCGTCCTGCTTCCGCGCTCGCTGCACACCCTTCCCACTGACACCGCTCTCCTACAGCGCAAGTATCTCTGCCGATCTCGCGCGATGCAGATCCGCCTGAACGCCTCGACGCTCGAGGACTGGGCGCGCGCGAACCGCCTCCCGACAAAAATGGTGGCCATCCACTTCCTCCCCCTCAACCAGCTCCTCCAGTGGCTGCAGTGCCTCTCGTCCGAGTCCTCCATCGATGGCCTCATCAGTACCGTTCAAAGCTTGCGCGCGCTCAATCCGCTGCAGCTTAGGAAGGCCGTGCGGGATTATCGGTACGAGGTGGACGAGCGGAAGATGGATGAAGACTGTGTCGAGTATCTCGTGCAGATACAGAAGCAGTGGGAGCGGAACAGGGCCCAGAAGGAGGCGGCAGCAGTGGCGGCGCAGGAGCAGGCGTCAGACGCGGCGCACGGAGCAGCGCCGCTCGAGGAGGAGGCGGCGCCTTCGACACCTGACGATGTCGGCCGCATGATCGACGACGCCTTTCGAGATCCGGACTCGTTCGGTTCTTACACGCCGCCCGGAGGAACCGAGACGCTGAGTGAGCTGCTCAACTCGCGATACATGGTCCGTTCACGCTTCCTTTCCCTCGCCAAGCTCAACTCACGCGCTCGCCTCGCAGCTGCCCTTCGCCGTGCCGACCTCTGCCGACATGCTCATCCACTTCGACCAGCCTGACGCGTTCGGTCCTTTCGCCGGCTCTCGCCGTCCCCTCTCTCGCTCCCGCTCCTCCTCGGGCGCTACGACTCCCCGCTCTCGCCTTTCCCTCTCCTCCGTCTCCCGCATGTCTTCTTCCGCATCAGTCGTTAACGGCCTCTCGACTCCTCAGACCGAAACCTCCTCGCTCGCCGCCACCAGTCGACGAGAACCTTTCGCCCCAACTCTGCCAGACGACTTCTTTGCCGTTCTCGACGCCGCGAAGGCCAAGATCGGCAGGGGCCAGCTCGTCCCGTCCGCGAGTGCAGCGTTGCTAGCCAGCGTCAAGGGTTTCAGCACGCCTGACTTGACGCTGGCAGACGGGAAGGAGTGGTGGGGTGGAGCGAACGGTGCGAGTCACGACACGGATGAGGAAGAAGACGAAGCGACGGACGAAGCGGAGCAGAGCTTCGACTCGAATGCGTCGGTCGTCGAGTACGGTGGAGACGCCCGAAGTCGAGGAGGGAGCGTCGATCCGGAGTCTTCATTTGAGTCGACTGGGGCGGAAGAGACGCCGCGCATGCCGAGTGGCTTCCAGCATTAGCTCGTAGACGCACACGGTCAGGGCGCTGGCTCGCCCTGCATCCCCGAATCTAGCATTCGCAGCAAGCGCATCCTCCTTGCTGTGACAACGTGCTGTCACGAAGCCCGAGGAGAGCGACCAGAGCGGAGAGAGAGTCGACGCGGGAGGAAGCGCGAGCTTGCGGCCTCTTTCCCAACCTCGGATGAGATCGGCTCTACAACGCGAATAAGGCTGGGCACCAGTGCAGAGACAGGTAAGAGCAGGAGGAAGGCAGCTGGGCTGAATCCCGTCCGCGAACGCCGGACGATCCGCGGACGCTGAAACCCGCGAGCGAGCGCCCTGGACGACCAAGCTCAAGACGGTGGGCGACGAAGCGACGAGGTATTCCCTGCTGGGATCCCCCGCACGAAACAAGGCAGTGTGCCAAGTGGGAGAGACGCCAAGTCGTGCAGGGGAGTCGACAGGGGAGTGGGAAGCTTGAAACGTCGCAAGACGAGGGTGAGCCGCTCGGGAAGCACCTGCGGCAACCCTTGACTGTGCTGAGCGAGAGTCGTTCGAAAGCCTCGAGGAAGGTAAGCGAGCGATGGGCGACGGCTGCGAGTGTTCGAGGACGACGGAGGACAGGCGACGTCTATGCATGGAATATACGACTCCTAGGCGCGGGAGATGCGAGACTCGACCTCCATGATGCTGACGCCAGCGCCAGCCTGCGCACTCAAGGAAGTTAGCGGGAATTGCGTATCGAGCAGGAAAGGAAGGACTCGCCTTCTCATCGTAGTCGCTCCATTCGGGCTCGTCCTTCGAGATCTCGACTTCTTCAAACACAGTACCGCTCTCTGCGCCCTTTGCGGACCAGACGCCCTGCGAGTCCGACGAACCTCAGCTCGAAGTCGTCCACGAGATGCGCGTGAAGCGAAAGAGCGCACCTTCGGGTCAAACTCTGTTAGCTCGCACCCTCGGCACTCGAGCACCGCGAGCGTCGCGAAACGCTGTTCCTCCGAGTCCTCGGCGGTATACGCAGCCGAAGACCGCTTGAACGAATCGTCGAAGGCTGGGTTCGGGAGCGTCAGCGACAGGGGCCAATCATTTGCCGCTTGCGAAAGTACGCACAGACGTTCGACTCCTTCTTGCACAGCTGACACCGCCAAACGAGGTTTGCCTCGCCTCGCGAACCGCTGATGTCCCTGGTTTCCTGTGGGCACCCTGAAGGTCAGCGGGAGAAGACATAGGTAGGCGATCCGCTGCGCACTGTCGCATCGATTCCCATCCAGTTCGGGTGCTCCTCCCTGCATCCCGAGCAGCGAACCTTGAACAGCCAGTTGAAGTTGTCGCCGATAGGCTTCACTGCGAGGAAGTGAGCGTCAGTCGGGCGTCTACTGGCTTGTATGACGCGGTGCGAGTACTCACGGTCCGTAAGACCCTCTAGAGTCGCCTTGAGCTGGACCGCGAGCTTCTGCGGACGGGCAAGGGCGTTCAACTGATGAAGTCGCGGTGGTCGAGCGAGGAGGAGAGACAGCGAGCGGGGTCGTGTCTGCCTCGCTGCGTGGCTGCTGCGTGTTAAAAGAGCAGCTCTGGACGTACGACCATAGCGATCTGTGCGAGGGTACGAGTAGGGGAGAGGGCGAACCGCTCAGACGCCTCTCTGGCAGCGACCTCGACCCCTTCGCACCGCTAGACGTGCTTTACAGACGGCAGAATGGCTGAGGCAGAAGCCATAGGCAGCTTCAGGCTGGGCCGACTGCGCTTGATACGCTTGCCGCCGAGTTCTATCTCGCTCCCTGCGTCCGGGTCGAAGAAGCCTCACACCGCGCAGAGTGCGCCATTCCAGTTCGTTCGACCTGGTCCGAGGTCGAGCTGACTTCGAGAACTGCGTCCGCAGTCGAGCTTGCGGTTGGCGTGACGGATGACTACGGGACGGACCTCATGTTCGATTCTGTCGACCGTTCGTCCCGCCTCCCTGCCACGAGAAAGCAATGCGCTGACGTTGAACCTGCTCACAACAGTGCGAATGGAAGTTCTCGACGGAGGAACGCTCGAACCGCCCGCTGGCGTGATCCTCCGACTCGCCAACTCCTCCTCCGCCTCGTCGGCCCCGAACAGCGCAGTCTTCACCTTCTCGCCCTCTAACGGTCCCTTCCACACCTTGAAGCTCTCGCTCACCTTCCAGCCGGCATTTCTCACCTGTCCAGTCCTTCCAAGCCTATCCTTCCGCCTCTCCGTTGATCCTCGTCGGCCTTTACCCGCGAAAGCATCAGAGGCGACCCGCTGCGTCCGTACGCTCGTCGGAGAAATTGATCAAGCGGTTGTCGAGACTTGGGACGATAGGCGGTATGTCTTGATGGGTGTGCGGAGCGGGGATATGGGGGTCAAGGTTGAAGGCAGGGAGGTCAAGATTGCGAGCGAGAAAGGCGAGATCTTTCATCCTGTCTCTAGTGTTCACCGTGAGGCAGTGGCTGACCCGTCAAGCTGAACAGTCCAAACCGCCCTCCGCACAATATACCTCCCTTTCTCCTCGCGTGCCCCCTCCGACTCGCCTCCCTCCTCCTCCTCTGGGGCCACCTCGCTTCCATCTGCCTCCCCCTCCTCTCCCCCAATCTCCATCGTCGAGCGACCAGGCTTGAACAACTCGACCGGCCAACGACTCTGGGACTGCGCAATCGGCATGTCGGCTTTCCTTTCGCTCTTTCCGCACGCTCTCGACGCTTCGGCGCCACTACCTCCTATTAGTGCCGCCAACTACGACGAGCCCAGCTCGAAGAAACGAAGAGTCGAGAATTGCGTTGGCGGAAGGAAACGAAGGATCAGGGTCGTCGAGCTCGGCGCAGGATGCGCGCTCGTTTCGATGGCTGCGTCGCGGATCCTGTCGAGCGCGCCAGTAGCTGGAGAGGCGTCTGTGCTGGCGACGGATGTGGAGGCAACGGTCGAGACGACGCTTAGGGAGAACCTCGAGGCGAATTCGGCGGGCAAGGCGGTTGAGGCGGCCGTGCTGGATTGGGGCGAGTTGTCACAGGAGGCGGTGGACAGTGTCGTGGGCGGGCGGGCGCGACGACCAAGGTCCGATTCGCACCACGACGAGGAGACGAGCCTGACGCTCCTCGCGACCGACGTCCTCTACAACCCTTCTTCCCACGATTTGCTCCTCTCCACTCTCCTCTCCCTTCTTCAACCACACTCTTCTCCCGCAACTCTACCAGCCTCCCGCCGCGCCCTTATCGCGTACAAACGACGAACAGAAGGCGACGACGGGTTCTTCTCGCTGGCAAAAGACGCTGGTCTCGAGGTCACCAAGGTCTGGGAATGGGGCGAGGTCAGCGTGTGGTCGTTCGTGTAGTTGGAAGAAGGTGTAAACGCTGCGTAAGGAGGAAGTGCGTCGCCCGCAACCTTTTCCTGTTGTCCTCGGGCTTTTCGCGAGTCGACGTCTTCGGCATCACTATTCGGACTCGTGCGTTACTTCTGCAGTAGTCCATCAATAACAAGCTCGTCGTAAGGAGCCCGGTCTGTCCCGTAAAGAGCTCGTCGTCGTCGAAGCGGTGCCCCTCGCCCTCTTCCTCCCCAAACCCATGCTGCCAACCAAAGCTCTCCGCTCTGTCCAGCCCAGCGCGGCTCTCAAGGCTCGTGTACCGCGCGAATCGTACCTCCGCAAGCTCGCCAAGCCAGAGGACCTCGTCCCGCTGTGTGCGTCGACTTCATCTCCTCCCAAGCCTCGACGAGCGCCAACACCCCAAGCTGACCTCCCTGTGGATGGCGCGCGTGTGCAGTCAAGAATCACGACTACTGTGGATGGTCTGGGTGCGTACTGGCTTCCGCTCGAGCATCGTCGCTGTCGTTGGGAGTCCCATCGTCATTGGCCTTCTCACTCTAGACGGGAACGGTGAAGGCTTCCAGGTGGACAGACGCAGCCACAGAGGGTGCTGAGCGGTCAACTGACTCTGCTCGTTACGCCTGCGCAGCTTCACAGGCGTGAGTTGGCGAGCATTCGAATTTCCCTCGTTCCCGAGGCGAGGCATCCGACGACCTGCCTCTCGCCCTCATTCTTCATCGTAAGAAGCGCACGGGTCAGCTGACACTCGTGGTGAACATTGCAGGTCGGCTACCCGAAGGAGACCCCCGCCGCGCTCGCTGAGCATGTCGAGAAGAACAACTTGCAGGGCAAGATGCGCTTCTCGCTCTTCGGTGCGTCCTGTTGAGCTCTCTTGCACTTGAAGAGCCCTCACCAGGCGCCTTTGCAGTCGGCGCCTCCACCGGACCCGAAGTCGAGGAACGATGGGCGCGCAACCTCATGATTGAGCGTCGCTTCCCGCACCAGGTTGGAAAGGCCATCTCGAAGGGTATCAACGCTGGGGAGATCGACTTTGCCGACAAGCACTTGAGCATGTTTGCCCAGGTGCGTCTCGGCGGCCAAAGACTCGACTTCTCTCGGCAAAGAGGCGTTGTCACGCTCGTCAGGGGTTCTACTAACTCTTGCTGAACACATAGGACTTGACCTACGGCTATTACTCGCGCGAGAAGAAGCACGGTGAGCCGGGCAAGATGCTCGACTGGGCGTGGGTCGAGGCGACCGAAATCCTCCCCGACGGGTCTATCGTTCCCGGCGCGTCGGTCGGCGCGACGCCTGAGATCCTCGCGTCGGCGGAGAAGATCATTGTCGAGGTTAATACGGGACTGCCGTCGATGAAGGGATTGCACGACATCGTCATCTCGCAGGACCCGTGCGTCTCGCTTGCCCATTTCCTCCCTTTCTTCCCTCTTGCTCGCTTCTCCACACTCCCGGAATGTCCCCGTGCATGGAGGGGAGGCAAAGCTGACCTTGCTCTCTGCAACAGCCCTCACCGCCTTCCCTACCTCGTTACGCACCCCGCAGACCGTATCGGCACTCTCAGCATCCCAGTAGACCCTGAGCGGGTCGTTGCCATCGTCGAGACTAACAAGCCCGACAACACCGGAAAGAACGCGCCCGAGACCGAAGACTCGAAGAAGATCGCTGGCCACTTGATCAACTTTTTCGAGGAGGAAGTCGCGGCGGGACGCATGCCGAAGAATTTGCTGCCCCTTCAGTCGGGAATCGGGAACGTCGCCAACTCGATCATCGGAGGGTTGAAGGAGAGCAAGTTTGAAAGGATGCAGGTGTGGACCGGTGCGTTCGTTTGCATTCGCTTCATCGCTTCTGCTGACGCGCTTCTCTTCGCAGAGGTCCTGCAGGACACCTTCCTGCCGCTGCTGAAGTCGGGCAAGCTCGACTTTGCGACCGCAACGTGAGGATGCAGTGCGTCCGCCATCGGCAGGTTTTTTGCTCACTTTCGCCATTGCAGGTCGATCCGCTTCTCTCCTGACATCTTCAAGGAGTTCTAGTGCGTCTCTAACGCCTGCTCGAGATGCGTGAGCGAGCTCCTGACTGGATCCTGTCTCGACAGCCGCGACTGGGATGACTACGTCGACAAGCTTCTTCTCCGTCCTCAGCAGGTCGCCAACTCGCCAGAGATCATCCGGTGCGTCGCTCTCGCCTATGCGTCCGATTGAGCGATACTGACCCGGGCTTTCGCTCGCAGCCGGCTCGGTGTTATCGCGATGAGTACGCTGAACCTTCGATCCGCCCTTGCGCCTGAGACTCACACGATATACCCGCAGACACACCTCTCGAGGTCGACATCTACGCCCACGCAAACAGTACCAACGCGCTCGGGTCGCGCATGCTGAACGGTATCGGTCCGCGCCCTTCCTCCTTCGTCCTCCTCGGGGTCCTGCTCACACCGCTTCCTGTCAGGTGGTTCGGCCGACTTCCTCCGCAACGCCAAGCTCAGCATCATGCACACGCCCTCCGCACGGCCTTCCAAGACGGACCCGTGAGCTCAAGAGCTTGGCTTCCTTCGGCTCATTTCCTCGCTGACTCGCAACTCTCGTCTCGCAGGACCGGCATCTCATGCATCGTGCCCTTCGCTACTCATGTCGATCAGAGTCCGTCTCAACTGCCGGGTTGACGTGCGGGAGAAGGGAGGAAACTGACCTTGACCTTCGCAACCTCGCAGCTGAGCACGATCTTGACGTGAGTGATCCTTCCTCGGGGACGACAAGCCTGTGTACTCCTCTGCATGGGCCGTACAAGACGGGGGACCCAGGCGCGAAGCAACCGCCTCGACCATGGAGAAGCTTCCTTCCCCCGCCGGATTCAGGACTCACTCGCTCGTTCGTTGCAGGTCATTGTGACGGAGCAAGGTCTTGCCGACCTCCGTGGACTTTCGCCGAGACAGCGCGCACCGATAATCATCGAGAAGTGCGCGCACCCGGATTACAAGGAGCAATTGCTCGAGTACTACAATCGCGCGTTGCACGACTGTCTCCGAGCAGGCTCAGCACACGAGCCGCACATCCTACGCAAAGCTTTTGCGATGCACATCAACCTACAGGAGAACGGAACCATGAAGCTTTCGAACTGGGACTAGCCGGGGGACGTAGGGCACTTCCGAGTTGCAAAGACCTGTATATAGACCGGGCTCCTTCCCGTCCGGCATCCTCACGCCGCGCGCTGCTCAATGTCCATCCAGAAGTCCCGCTGGTGAGCAAACCCTGCAAGAAAAAGCGAGATCAGCGAGCTTCTGCACGCCCGAGGACGGTCGGAACGCACATTGCGACTCGCAATGCCACGGCTCGGCATCGTCCCACTTGCCATTGACGCTCCTACCGGGTAGCTTGTGAGGCGACGAGGGTCCGCGAGGCGTGAAAGAGAGGCGGTAGCGGTGCAGGAGTGAGGGTGCGAGTTTGGTGATCTCGAGGAGGGCGACGTGCTGTTGCGATAGACTAGTCAGTTTGACGAGCTCGTGACACAGTCGAAGACCTCGAGGGAGGTCAACACGAGAGGAGGTGGCCGAGGAGATGCGAAACGCACCTTTCCGATACAAACGCGGTTCCCGCTTCCAAACGTCAACAGGTTCTTCTCCATCGTCTTGCGCTCCTCGTCATTCGCTTCAATCCACCGTTCGGGCCTGAATACCTCGGCATCGGAACCGTAGACGTCGGTGCGCTGGTATACGAAGGGGGACATGCCGATGTGGACGCCTGCCGAAAGAGCGGGTCAGCGGAGGCGCGGTGCGAGGCTTAAAGTTTGACGCACCTCCTGGGAAGTAACGACCGCCAATGACAGCACCGCCAGCCGGCACGACGCGAGGCAGAACCCAGGGAACGGCCGGGTGAAGACGAAGCGTCTCCTTCAAGCAGGCCTGCGAGAGACGTCGCATCAGCGTTGGCTCATCACAGAGCCTTCGGTGCAATGCACCTGGAAGTAGCTGAGCTTCGAGCCGGCAGCCTGCGAGATCGGGAACGATACGGCGCCGTTCTCGATCGCCTCGTCGAGCTCGTCCATCACCTTCCTGTACACCCGCTCGTCCCTCACGATGTAGGCGAGCAAAGCGCGGAAGGTGATGCTGGTCGTGTCCGAGCCTGCGCCGAGGATCGAGTTGGCCTGGACCTTGACCTGCTCAATCGTGAAGGGCGAGCCATCCGCGTTCTTCGCCGCGACAAGCCGGCTCAACATATCGCGCCGCAAACCCGAGTCATCGCCCGTCTCAGCAGCCCTGCGCATCTCCTCCAAGCGGAGCGCAACGGCCTGACTCGCCTTTTGACCGAGTGCGGCAGCGCCCGACGAGCCGAGTTTGCGGGTGATCCAGCGGTGCAAGACGGGGCGAGCCCAGGGTTGCGTGCCGGAGAGACAGGACGATGCGGTGTAGGCATCAATCATCGGGAGGTACTGCTCCGTGTCGGCCCCGGCTTTGCAGAGGCCGAAGGAGCGCCCGAAGGCGATCTCGCCGACGGCGTCCATCGCAAGGAACTGTGCGAGTAGCTGTGAGTGCGAGACCTCAGAGGCTTGTGAGACGGGCGGGCCCAACCTGCAGCATGTCACCCATGTTGACCGTCGCCTTTCCTCCGTCCTTCGCAAGTTGCCGGTCAAAGTACTCGCAAATCTCGTCGAAGCAGGTGTCGACGTATTCTTCGAGATCGAGGAGGACGTTCATGGCGAAAGCCGGGCTGACGCTGCGCCGAGCGAGCTGATGCTGCGCGTGAGGAAGGGTGGCGAGGAGGGAGGGCTTGGTGACTTTCTGCTCGGTAGAAGGAAGTCAGTAGGCGCGATCAAACTCGGGGGAAGGGAAGGCTGCGCACGAAGAACTGGTAGAACGGCGCCTTGTCCTTGACGGGGCCGCCGAACTTGTACAAGTCGTCGACGGCGCGCGGATCCGTCACCGACACCATGTTTCGCCCTATCCTGACGAACGGTCCATGCTTGTCGTGCAGGGCCTTCAACTCCCAGCCAAAGTCTCGCTTTGCGCCGCGAACGGTGAGCCAGCCGCCCACGCCGAATCGAGCGCGAAGAGGTCCTGGGATGCCGGCGAGTGGGTGGAAGAAGCGGCAGTAGAGGGCGTAGGTGAGCAGCGCGGCGAGGAGATTGCCGCAGACCGTGACTACAAGCTGTGCCGGGTCGAGCGAGTCCATGTGGGGAGACGTGAGGACGATGGGCGGAGGGGAGAGAAGGACAGCCAGCCGAGCACCAGCAAGCCCGAGGGACCCCGCGTCGCGACAGTAGCGACAGCGAGAAAAGCACCGCACTCGCTAAGCGTGCCGTCGTCGTGCCGTGCGGCGGTGGAAACAACCCCCACCCCTTTGTCGGCGGCGGGCGGTAACGCCGAGGTGCCAGCCGGCTTATTAGCAATGTAGACAGTGCAATAGCAGTCTTCACGATCCAGCAAGGCCGCTGAACCGGACGGTCGCGGAAGTCGAAGTGAATGGCGGGAGGCGAAGAGGGGGTCTGGACGAGACGCCTCGTCCTGGCGGGCTCGAACGCTCGATGATGGGCTGGCTGGCTCGTCGAGCACTAGCTATGTCTCCATGAGACTGGCTCTGTCCATCACACCCTCGCCGCTGCTGTTGTCGTCGAGCTACACCTCCTCGACTTCGTCTCGACTGATGAGGTTCACCAGTGTGTGCCAGGCTTCGAGGATGGCTGCAGCGTTCTGAGCAGGACAATTGGAGCTCTAGGACACTCTGTACAAGCACATACCGGGTTTCGAGGCATGGCGGCGGCAGGAGGAACGCTTGCTGCAGATTCCGCAGTGACTTCTTCTCCCTCATCGCTTTCGTTGGCGTCCAAGCTCTGCATGCGACTCCTTTCCCCTCCGCGCGCGCCATGCGGCGCCCTCCTCCCCGTGGCGGTTGTGTCCGCGGAACTTCCGTCGCCTCCTGATCCTCATGGCGTTTCTTCGTCTCGCTCGCACTTGGCTGATCTTCAACTCAAAACGCTCGCTATGGCAAACTTACAGCCTCCACGCCTGACCCGCATGCGATCCTTCTTCAGGTCGGAGGCGCCCACGCCGCCCACTCCTTTCTACCTGCAGACTCCACGCAACCCCGTCGACGCTGAGCTAGTCCGAGGGCTCGACGTTGCGAGCTTCGCCTCGGGCCTCGCAAGGATGGTCGCGGGATGGGCCAAGCACGAGTACAAGGACGCGCACATCGTTTTTACCGGTGCGTCCCCTCCTGCGCCAGAATTCGCAACTCGAGCTGATTCTGCTTCGCAGGCTGGACCGCTTTGCAGGTCATTGCGGCGAGCGTGCTGGAACAAGTCTATCAGGAGGCGAGCTCGGGACAACTGCTCGAAACGCTCGGCGTTCCTCTTCACGCGACCCGCTTTTCTCACGCAGTTGTGCGTCTCGAACGTCACCGAGCTTCCCGCGGATGACTGACCACTCGTGTCAACAGCCCATCTCTTTCGACTTACGTGGCGAGGATGCATCAGACGCAATGTCGCACATCCAATACGCCTTGTCCTTCGAGCGGGATGTGAGTCCGCGAGTCTGCTTCTTCGTCCTCATCTCGACTAACGTCACAATCGCAGCACGACGGTTTTCCCACCAACACAGGATCACGTAGCCGGCTATGGCTCTTGCACGACTTGTACACCTCGCAGAAGTGTGTTCCGTCTCGCCGACCTCTGCCTCCATCAAACCGCTCTGATACCTCTCTCCGTAGCTCCGGCTCCTCCGCTTCCGACCGCGCAAAGTACGCCGTCGCAATGGAGGTGCCGACTCGCCCTGGCCTTCCGACCGCAACCGTCCAGCTCACCGTCATCGGCAATCACGGCCACAAGCTCGTTCCTAGCGCACAAGACGTCACCTGCGAGAGCCTCAGGGCGCTCTTCCGACAAGCGGTACAGGACCTTGTTCGCGGCACGCAACTGAGCGCAGAGAAGCTCGTTATGGCGCGATACGCCGTCCAGCTGCTCGAGTTGCGCTACCGGCATGCGGCTTCGAGGGATCAACTCAATATCTATCAAAGTCTCAGTCGCTCGCATGAAGCGGCGGTGAGGGTGCAGGACCTCTCGTCGGACGTCTTGAACGAGGCGGTCAAGATGGAGCAGTCGTGGTGGAGGGATACGACAAGGTTCTTCGCCACTCCCGTTCCGCCGTCAAAGGAGATTGCGGCGCTGTACGTGAAGCACTTCGAGCTGACCCGAGAATGGCTGGAGAGGGTGAGTTGCGCTCTTCCTTCTCTAGCGCCTTAGCTTGCCTACTGTCCGTCGTCGCTCGGGGCAGCAGTTGACGGTTTCGTCCACAGCGACGTCAATTGCCATTCGATACCGATGCACCGGCGCACTCGCTCGCGAAGCACTCTCCCTTCGAAGTTCGCGCCCGCTCGTCGTTCTTCTGGCACTTCGCGCCTCTCTACCTATCGGCAAGAACACCATCGAGAACCCCGTATCGTATCTTCTGTATCGCTCGCGAGCGCCTCGCCGGTTCAGGTTGATCTGTAACCTGCGAATTCGTACGAAGCGACCTTCCCACCCGTACTCCGTGTCATGCGCAGAGCTCCTGCTCGTCCTCAGAGTTACTGCAGATCTGAAAGAGATTGCTGACCCCACGTCTCTCTCGGAACGTCCACGATGTTCAGATTCAGCGGAAACGGAACCTCTCGAGGCGCGCAAGAGTATGAAAAGATGATGTGCCGCCTTGCAGGCCCGCTCAAAACACGCTATCATCGTGCTCTACACATTTGTGACGATCGAAACGACTGCAAAACCAAGCCGTCAGCGGAACTAGCCACGAAGCGGAAGCGGAAGCGCGAACTCACCATCGTCTTGCGCGCATCGGTGTGTTAGGCCAACCTTCTGTGGTCGCGGCGCGAACTTGCTCGACTTGCCCCAGACTGCGTGCGTGAACGGAGAGGCGAAGGGAAGTGAGCGAGGGGGCGGGTCAGTTCCGCTTGAGAAGCGAAAGGATCGTGGTTTCAAACGCACCGACGGCATATCTGCGGTACGGAAGGAAGCGGGAGTCAATCAGCGAAGTTTAGCAGGAGCAGCAACGAGAGCGAACGCACTTGAACTTGTTCTTGATGCCCCTGTGAACGCTGTCGCACTGCAAAGGCGAGCGACCAGTCAACGAAGGCCTCTCTGCTGCAAGGACGCTCAGCTGCACAGACGACGAGTACGCACCACCGCCTCCATTGTGGCATCCGTCTTGATGACCAACGGGTCCCCCAGATCCGGTTCCTCGCCGCGCTTCTTCGTGTACACGCGGTTGAAGCCCATCTTCTCCCACACCCGCCGCTTGAAGACTTCGAGATTGAGGTCAAGCTCGCACGACATGACCATCGTGTGAGGGAGCCGGGCGAGGCGGTCGACTTCTTCGAGCGAGATAGAATCGATCTTGTTGTAGACCTGTAAATCGCCGAGTGAGCGCGCCGGAGGCTCGAGAGCGGTAAGGGGACGCACGTAGAGACACGGAACATATTTCCGGTTGCCTAGGATGACGTCGATGAGGTCGTCCGTCGAGATCTGCGAGTAGGGCGTTAAGCTCAGCCAAAATGAGCGACGATGGCGAGGACGAATCAACGCACGTCTTCGCGGATCATCACGTCGGCATTGTGGATCTGCGGGCAACCACAGCGTCAGGGAATGCGAACCAGCGTCCGGTAGTCGACGAAGCTCGCCTTGTAAGCCTGCAAGATACCCCTGATCGTCCGCTCGTCGGTCCTGGTCAGTGGAACCGTCGAGTTGATGGTGATTCCTCCGGCTGTCTTGGCTTTGAAGACGACGTCGGGCTTGGAGCGGTTCAGCCGGATGCCGATCTCTTCCAGTTCGTGCTCGAGCTGTTGTCGCTGTTCGTCGCCCCTGAGAAGCGCCGAGTCATCAGTCTCGTTCCTGCAGCAGATCTCGCGAGAGCAAGGGATACGCCGTAGGACACTCACTTCGTCACGTCAAGCATCATCTGCGGAAAAGCGTCAGCGAGCGAAAGGGAGTCGGAAGGAAGCGAGACGTACAACAACCAGATCCGCTGTCTGTACCCCACGTCCCACGTCAAGAAGCATCAGCTCGATATGCTTGTTGTACCGCACGGAAGCGAATTGGACGGACGCAAGCGCACCTTTGCTACCGCAACGACCTGCCTTCCTCGTCCGCGACCGCTGGAAGCGCCCTCGATGATTCCGGGCAAATCCAGAACTGTTCCGCAGAGCAAGAGCGAGTGAGTGAGAGTCAGGTGAGATAAGACAAGGGGTGGGAACGCACGCTGGACTTTCGCGCCTTCGCAATCGAGAACTGCACAAAAAAAAAGGTCTTATCAGTCTCGCGAACAACAGGGCGTACTCGCTCATGACCGATTGGCTGGCGTGAAGGATCCGATGAAGCGCGACGCACCGCCAGGAACAGCCACGAGCGTCGTGAAGGCATATGCGGCTGCTACACTCTCCGTGTTCGTGACCTTGCTGAGGAGGGTACTCTTGCCGACCGACGGGACTGCGCGGAAGGACCGTCAGCGTTTCGTCTTCAGCCGGCAGAACAGGGAGACGGGAAGGCGGCGGGGAACACACAGCCGATCAAAACCGCTCGACCGTAACCACTGCGCCGTATCAAAGCAGGTCAGGTCGGCGGATCCGGTGGCCAGGCCATCTGCGGCACGCACCTCTTCGCAACATCGAATCCCTCGCCCTTCCCGCCGCTCTTTGCACTCTGTCCTTCCAGCAACTCTGCGCGGTACCGCGCGAGTTTGGCTTTCAGGAGGCCCAAGTGGTACTCCGTCGCCTGCGGAAGGGTTGTCAGTCAGTCTCGGAGATTCGAGAGTTGCGAGTGCACACACCTTGTTCTTCTGCGTCCGAGCCATCTCTGCGAGCGACGGAGCGAGATGAAGGTGAGCAGAGAAGGGTCAAAATGCTGGACAGCGAGCCGTACCTTGCTCAATATCACGAATCTTCTCGAGGACACCCATCTTGCACTAGTCGCTCGCGGTATGTAGAAGCGGAAGGAGGGAGGAGGAGGAGGTCGAGGTGGAGAGGAAGAAGTGAGGTCGACGTGAACTCGTGGTGACGGCGTAACGCTTCTGCAGGACGTCGAAGGTTTCCGTAGAAGCAGACCCACAGTACCCAACAACCCAGCAAAGCGGTCGGCAGGTCGTCCAAGTCGATGAGAGATGAAGAGGAGGAACGAGGTCAGCGCCGGACGAGGAAGTGTGAGACGAGGACGGACGGCTTGTCTGCAGTTTAGTCGCAATCTGTGAGGCAGCAGCGAGTCCAACAAGCCGGCAGGTCGAAGCAGTGGTGCGTGTTCTCGCCAACCCTCTCTTTCCCTCGTCCACTCCGCTTGATTTCATTGAACACCGCTAGACTGCCCGCTTGACTGCACAGACACGCTCAAGGACTGCTTCTATTGAGTGTACTGCCTTTGCCGCAGCCATGGTACGTCTCCTCCCGCCGTTGTACCTCCCCTTGCCCCACTCACGCTGTTCACTCGTCTCGCCACGCAGTCTGTCCTGTTCGAGACATCGGTGGGCGACATCATCGTGCGTGAGACCCACACAAACCTCGCCGTCTCGTAGCTGACATGCTCGTCTCTGCAGGTCGACCTCGAGACGGAACTCTGCCCTATCCTCTCGCTCAACTTCCTCAAGCTGTGCAAGGCGTACAAGTACAACTTCTGCTCGTTCCACAACGTCGTCCAGGACTTCATCGCCCAGACCGGCGACCCCACCGACACAGGCCGCGGCGGATCCTCCATCTTTCACCTCCTCCCTCCCTCGTCGCATGCCTACCAGTCCACTCCGTACTTCGCGCCGACCGAGATCACGCCGAAGCTGAAGCATGTCGCATTCGGCACGCTTTCGATGGCGGTAGCGGGCGAAGGGGAGCAAAGAGGCTGCGGCAGCCAGTTCTTCTTCACTCTCAAGGGCGACCTCGATTACCTTGATGGCAAGCACGCGCCGTTCGGACGGGTCATCGAAGGCGAGGACACGTTGCAGAAGATTAACGAAGCCTTGACGGACCAGGAGGGCAGGCCGCTGCGCGACATCAGGATCAGGCATGTCATCGTCCTGGGTGCGTTGCCGTCCTCTCCCCTACGGGCGTCAGTCTCTCTTGCTGACATTCAAAGTCTACAGACGACCCGTTCGACGACCCCGAAGGCCTCGATGTCCCGCCCAACTCGCCCGTCCCGACCGCGAAGCAGCTCGCCTCTCTTCGCGTTGGCGACGAAGAAGAGATCGAAGAGTCAGGCGACGAGGAGGAGATTGCTCAGAAGCGACGAGAACGGGATGCGCGCGCTCAAGCCCTCACGCTCGAGATGGTCGGCGACTTGCCCTTCGCCGACGTCGCCCCGCCCGAGAACGTCCTCTTCGTCTGCAAGCTCAACGCCGTCACGACAAGCGAAGACCTCGAGCTCATCTTCTCCCGCTTTGGCGAGATCCTCAGCTGCGAAATCATCCGCGACCAGAAGACGGGTGATTCGCTGCAGTATGCGTTCATCGAGTTCAAGGAGCGCGAGGATGCCGAGCGCGCTTACCTCAAAATGGACAACGTCCTCATCGATGACCGCCGCATCCACGTCGATTTCTCGCAGGTGCGCTTACGTCCCTTTCGCTTTCTCGTCTTTCGAAGCTGACTTCCACTCGTCTCGCAGTCCGTCTCCAAGCTCCACGACTCCTGGGTCTTCGACCGCACCGGCGGCCGACCCCCGCCCAACCGTTCTTCGCGCCCTCACGCCTCCTCCTCCTCACGCCGCTCCCGCTCCCCCTCCGGCTCGACCTCCGAACAAAGTCGATACTTCTCCCGCGTGGAGGGGGCGCATGGGGAGATGGTGTTTGATTTGGCGGAGGTTGATGCGAGGGCGAGGGAGAGGAGGGATCGGGATGGGCGGCGGGATAGGGACAGGGATGGAGGACGAGGAGGAGGAGGTGGAGGTGGGTATCGCGATGACCGACGAGGGGATGGGAGGCGGTACGATGACCGTGAGCGGGATCGAGGGTATGGCGGGCGGGAGAGGTACGATGACCGACGGGATGCGCCGAGGAGGGCCGACCGCGAAAGGAGGAGAAGCAGGAGTCCCGGGCCAGATCGAAGGGAGCGGGATCGCAGGGATAGGGACAGGCGGTACTGAGCTTGTCGGAGCTTGTAAGTGGATCCTGCTCGACGCCACATCATGACTGTGAGACCATGTTCAATAACGAGATAAAGCTAGCCCAAGACTACACAAACCACCCTCGACAGTCGTCGCCTCCTACGCTCAATGCTCCGCCTTCACGCGAGCAGGTTGTGCTGCGAGAACCAATGCCTCGCCTTCTTGCCAAAGATCCACGCCGGAATTGCCAGTCCCGACGTCGTGACGACAAGCGAGCCGAGCGAGACGAAGAATTGGCGAGGTCCGCGCGCCGCATACCAATCGTTGATGATGAAGGTGATGCCGAAGCCGATGGAGCTCTTGATAAAGACGACGAGGCCGAGGCCGTCTGCTGCGCCGTCGCGGAGCGAGTCGGTAACGTACGAGATGCAGGAGATCGTTGCTGCCGAGACGCCGATGTGGAGGATGGCGATGAACTGGCGATCGCGATAAAGGAGGTCAGCTTGCCGATCACGTGCATGAGTGAAGGGCCAGAAGAAAGGAGGAGAAGGAGGACGCACAATGGCGGGAACGATCCAAGAGGAAGACTGCTGCAAGCCCCAGCCGTAGAAGCCCATTCCGCCAAAGACGAGGAAGAGGATCATCGGGAGGAGCCGCTGCGAAGACGGGGATTAGCCACATCCACAGGAAGAGCCGAGGGTAAGGCTACGCACGAACTCGGGCTCGTAGATTCCGTTGTTCCGCTTCGAGAGGTACTTGGCGGACATGTCGGACAAAGGGCCCGTCGCAAACGTGCCGATTAGGGTGCCAATGAGCGGAGGGATACCACCGACGAGACCGATTCCGCCGACTGTGAGGTTGTAAGGCGGCGCGCCAAAGACTTGCGCATAGACGGTGGCAGCGAGTGGGAGGAGGTTGAAGCAGACGGAGAAGGTGAGGGACGCCCAGATGATTGTCGGCGAGATGAAGTAGTAGAAGGGGCGGAGGAAGAGGGTGAGGAACGAGACGTCGGTCTTCGAGCCGGTCGAGAAGCGGTACTGCGTCCAGCGCGAGGGAGTCGCCCGCTCGATATCTTGAGGCGCCGTGACGACTTTGCCCAATACGACCTCCTTCTGCTCCGGCGCGTACTTCTCCTCAGACGGCGAGCCCGATCCGGTCGTCAGCATCTCGCGGCGTCGTTCGAGCTCGGCGTAGTAGTATGACCGGTCGTACTCCATCTCGGGGACGAGGAAGATGGTGCCGAGGAGGACGAGGCCTGCGGCGAGCGATTGCCACCAGAAGGCAAAGTGCCAGCCCTGCCGCTGACAGATCTGCGCCGAGATGACCGGTCCGAGGTTGATGCCACCAACGAGTCCGAGGTTCCAGAGCGCGATGCGGAACCCGCGTTCGTGGACGAAAGTGATGGCCGCGATGGCGGACGGAGCGCCGTTGAACCAGCAGCCCATCGCGAGACCTTGAAGGACGCGAGCGGCGCAAAGCGAGGGGAAGTTGGTGCCGGACGCGCCGGCCCAAATTTGGCTGACGAAGGCGACAACCTGTTTGCGTGCGTGAAGGGATCGTCGGCGAAAGCAGCGGAAGAAGCGACAAGCAGCCGCACCGATGCAATGAGGAAAGACGGCCGCGTGCCCCATTTTGTCTGGATAGGGGCAAAGATGCAGCTTCCGACTCCGATGGCGAAAACGAGCGAGCCTGTGGACGTTTGAAGGAGATTGTCAACTTGCGAAGCGGCGTCATGTCGAGAGCAAGACGCTTTACCGTTGAGGCCTGTCGCAATCTGGGATAGCGGGCGTCCCAGCTGCTGCGACATCTCGACGAAGGCGGGCGCGACGAGCGGGCCGCATGTTCCCGCGAGGCAGGTGCCGAGCAGGAGGACGGCGTAGGCGGCCTCCTTGCGGAAGCGAGACCAGTTGAGCGGGTCGAGCGGGTCATCGGACGGTGTAGGGACGAGGACTGTGATGAGAACTGTCAAGGAGAGCTAGAGGAGAGGTGAGGAAGGAACGTACTGAGATCGGGACGGCCAGGAGCATGCTTGCTGAAGACATCCGACTCGGTCGTCTGCGTCTCTTCGAGAGCAGCGGTGCCGAGGACATCGAGAGGGTTCGAGACGTTCTTCGGCTCGAGGATACCGAAAGCCATGGCGTGAGCGAGTGAGGAGAAAGCAGAAGGGAGAGGCGAGTCGAGAAGGGAATCGTCGGGCGATGGAGACCAGCGATAACGAACAAGCGGGGAGTGCGCGGGGTGTAGAGCGGAGCGCGATCACTGGTCACGACCAGTCGAGGCGAGCGAGGTCTGATTGAGAGGAAACGACGAGGAGAAGGGTTGGTCCGGCGGGGCCAGGAGCGCGCGGAGGTTCTCGTGTGTACGATAAGCGTCGTTCAGGAACACATGGGACCCTGCAGGTGCTCATTCGGTGCAGTGGGCGGTTCATTGGAGAAGGGAAGGAGACGGCGAGACTGGTCGAACGAGAGGTTGCGCCGCGAGCCACACCGCTTGTCTCGCCGTTCGGGCTCTTGCGGCGCGACATGCCTTCCGAGGAGTGTTCTGAATGGTCCTGGACTGACCGCATCGACGCCCGCTGCTGCCGCCTCGTCTTCTGCTCCTCATCAGTTTCGCGGCGACATGCTGGTGAATCCCGCTGTGCACCCGCCGCTGCAGACTCAGCTGCCGCCTAATGGCATCGCTAAGGTAGAAAAGGCGTCCTGGGCTGTCGAAGCGGCCGCCAAGAAGGCTGCACAGAGCGCACTCATACCCTCCGCCTGGAGACTGCCCTCGACCCTCCTCGACACGCTTCCCCTCGACGTCCGGCCAGTCGTGGCGGCTTGCGGCCTGCTCACAGCGAGACAAGTGACCATCACTGAGATCGACGAGGCGAGCGTAATCCTCACGCGCCTTCGGAACGGCGAGTACTCGGCTGTCGAGGTTGCAGAGGCGTTCTGCCTGCGAGCAGCCATCGCCCACCAGCTCGTGCGTACTCCAGATCACACCTATAGGAGGTCGTACACCTGACAGACATGCCACGCAGACCAACTGCCTCACCGAAATCCTCTTCGACGCGGCACTCGCACGCGCAAAGCAGCTTGACGAGCATCTCGCGCTTACTGGCGAGCCTGTCGGTCCCCTTCACGGCCTTCCGATCTCGCTCAAGGATCAGTTCGACATCGCGAACGTCGACTCGACCATGGGTGCGCTTTCGCTTCTCGCTCCTCTGCCGCCCGTACTCGAGTTCTGACTGACGAGTCCACCGCAGGCTTCACTGCCCTCATTGGGCGGCCAGCGCAGCGAAACAGCGTTCTCGTCGACCTCCTGGAAAGGCTAGGCGCTATCATCTTCTGCAAGACCAACGTTCCGCAGACTCTCATGGTGCGTCCACCTTCCCTCCTCGCGGGTCTCCAACTCGATCTGACGACTTCCTACAGGCCGCAGAGACGAACAACAACGTCTTCGGGCGCACGGTGAATCCGAGGAACCGAAACTTGACGAGCGGAGGATCGTCCGGCGGAGAAGGCGCTCTCCTCGCTCTCAAGGGCAGCATCCTGGGCGTCGGGACAGACTATGGTGCGTATCGCTTCGTCCTCCTTGGCGCTCCCCGCTGACACTCGCCTGGACAGGCGGCTCGATTCGCGTCCCCTCGCACTGCTGCGGCCTCTACGGTCTCCGCCCAACAACCCGCCGCCTCCCCTACGCCGGCGTGACGAACGTCATGAAGGGCTACGAAGGGATGGAGTCGACTATCGGGCCGATGGCGAGGTCGATCGACTCGCTGGAGGTCTTTATGCGGGCTGTTGTTGGGGCGGAACCGTGGTTGTTTGATGCGAAGACGGTCGAGCGGGTGCGCGAGTGCTCCAGTCCACGCTGCACTTCACACTGACGTTCACGAGCTTGCAGCCATGGAGACGTTCGACTCTCGAGCTGACTAAGAAGCTGCACATCGCTTTCGCGCTCGACAACGGTCTCGTCCACTCGCATCCTCCGATCCGTCGCGCCATTAACGAGACCGTCGCTGCACTTGCACGTGCTGGACACCAAGGTGCGCTCCCAGCACCGCTCGAAGACGAAGGACCTGACTGATCACGGTTTGCCGATAGTCACGCCTCTGCAAGGTATTGACTGGCGCGAAGCGAGGGACCTCGTCGGGCTTATCTCCGGCGCAGATGGTGGCGCCGACTTGCGCTCTTTCCTCTCGTCGGGCGAAGTACGTATTTCCCAGCCGCTCGACGCCTCGTATGGATATGTTCACGCTCTCGCTCCGTGCAGCCCGTCATTTCCGAAGCCTTCCCCTTCGCCGCCTCCACCTCCCTCACAGTCCACGAGCTCTCCCAGCTGATGCAGCGGCGAGACGCCTTCCGCCAGGACTTTCTCCGACTGTGGCGCGAGTCGGCGAAGATGAGCGACGAGGGAAGGCCCTTTGATTTGGTCGTTTGTCCGGTTACGACGCATCTTGCTTGGCCGCATCTGGGTCGACCGCAAGACTCGGAGTGCGTTCCTTTCCCTCGCTTTCGCCGCTAACTGCGAGCTAACTCGCTCACCTTCGACGGTCCGTCGCAGACTGATCACCTGGACGACGACCTGGTCACTCCTTGACCTCCCCGCCTGTACCGTCCCCGTCGGCGAGCTCGACCCGCTGAAGGACGCGCCGTATCCCCCGCCCGAGGCGTTCTTCTCCCAGCAAGACCAGCGTCACTGGGACTCCTGTGCGTCCCTCGTCTCCAGCTCCTTCTCCCAGCGTACTGACAGACACGTGATGTGACAGATGCGCCCGAAACGTTCGAGAACGCCCCGCTCGTCGTACAGCTCGTCAACCCGCGCAGGTTCAGGGAGGACGAGTTGTTGGCTATGGCGAGAGTTGTTGAGGAGGCTGTTTGCGGTGGACAGGGTGAGGAGCAGTAGATCGAGGATCGCAACGCAAGAGCATTGTTCCGACTGAAGCGGAGTGCGAGGTGCGCGAGAGAGGCAGGACAGGTCGAGGAAGTCAAGTCTATATCGAATTGTTCCGTCTCTACCTTGCCGTTTGCTGCGCCTGTGTTCTGCCGCGCTATGTACATCGACCGTCCGCTCGTTCCTGCTTCTTTCGACCCGCTCACTTGCTCGCCTCGCGCTCCATCATCTGTTCCTCGATGATTTCGGTCAAGACGTCGACGATAACTTGGTGGTCTTCCTCCTGCTTCAAGCCGCTGTGCGAGTGAAAGCAACGAGAGTCAGCTGCCTGGAGATCGAACAAAATCTGCGAGGCTCGGAAGAGGAAAGCGAAGGACGGAGACACACCTCACGACAATCGTGCCGACAAGCGGCTCGATGCCCTGTACGCGGACGGGGAAGCCTCCGCCGTGGATTGCGTACTGCAAGAGCCGGAAGCAGGTCAGTACGCCCTCGAAGGATCTCGAGGAAGAGCGAGCAGGTAACGCACGTCGTCCTCTGAAGCGGCGAAGTAGCTCGGGATGCCCTGCGGCCACTTGAGCCTGAGAGAAGCAGTCGACTTGCCCCACCTGCCCGTACGGTCGTCAGCCCTCTCGTGTACAAGATCCGAGGCCAGGAAGAGACGCACCGAACCACGCTCCTCCGCTTCCTCTCAGCCCAGTACTTGTTGTCCGGCTGACTACCCTCCGCGCAGACGGCGAAGAAGTACTGCTGGTCGTCTGCCACAGCGCGGATGTCGATGATGGCTGGCTTGGAGGGGAAGTTTGACCGGATGTGGGCGCGGAGACGACAGCCAATCTCGAAGGCTGCGTCGGCGGTGAAGGTTACCAGGCGGAGCTGTTCGGAGCGCTCGACAGCGCCGGCGTCGAAAGACATCGTGCCAGCCGGTGGTTGGTGAGGAGAAGGAGTTCAAGCGGAGTCCGGTGATGACGGCGAGGAGATGAAGATGAGGGCTTTCTAGCAGGGTAGCGTGATTGAGAGCGTCGCTACGGATCATAGAGACGCCCTGATACGAAGCGGAGCACGAGACGACAGCGAGACGAACAACTCTTCCTCGAGGAAACGGAACGACGACCAAGTTCCGTCCACTTGTCTCTATAGATACACCTCCGACTTGTCCGCCTACTTGACCGAACTGCTCAGCTTCCACCGCCCGCTTCCTGACCGCTTCGGCGCCTGGCCTGCCGAAGACGAGAGCGAGGACGAGGTCTTCATTTTGGCGGCGGCGATGACAAGGTCCTGCGAACATGAAGGTGTCAGCAACGCGTCCCGAGAAAGCTATTTTGAGCGACGAGACCCTGTCATGAAGGCAGGACGCAGCGCAGAAGCTTGTCAGGACGCACCTGGATCATCCCGTTGTAAACCTCCTTGTCCTGCCCCTCCTTCTCACGCATCATCAACGCATGGGTCAACACCCCGCTCGCCTCGACACTGATCCTATCCAACTCGTCGTTCATCTCCCTCAACTTGGCCAGACTCATCAACGTCAAGTCGTCCTCCTTGATCCCCATCAACTCGTCGGCTCGCGCACGGTTCATGGTTGGTGCAGGGGCGATGAGATTTGAGCGAGAGGCGGATGAGCGAGAGGTGCCGTAGGGAGTGGACGAGCGCGAGTTGGGGTTTGGGGAGGAGAAGGGGAGGGAGCCGGTGCCGCCTGGCGGAGCGGATGACGGTCGCGCGGGAGAGACAATGGATGCGCCGTAAGCCGAGCTCGCTCCGAGTGTCGATACCCGCAACTCAGCGGTCTGTCGGACACGAAGGTCAGATCGGTGACCTGTAGGGGAAGAGGCTCGACTGAACGCACGTCTTCGGGAGGAACAGCAATACCCATCGAACCGAGGTGTTCTCTCCGTACTCGCGATCGTCGCCAGTCAAGCGGTTTCAGCGCCGGGAGCTGCGAGAGGTCCGCCAGGAGATTCCGTCTGCGAGGCGATTCGGGTCAGTTCAGCAATCTCGAGAGGGGGCCAAGTGAGACGCACGAAGACTCGGTGACCAGGACCTGTGCGACACCCTCGACCTGTCGTTCGGGCTCGTCGCTGACGGCCTGAGCAGCAAGCGGCCACGCGTCGCGGAAGAACTCCTGCAGTTGCGGCGCGATCGCTCTTCGTGAGATGTCGCTTAGGTCTAGTCGAAGAGGCGGGAAGGTGGCGAGTACGGGCTGACGAGAGAGGGCTGGGGAGGGCACAGGTTGTGAGGGTGCAGGAGTGGGCGTCTCGAACGCCGACTCGTCGAGCGGTGCCGCATCGCCAAAATCGCCAAAGTCACCAAAGTCGTCGTCTCCTTCCGCTTCTCCAACCTCGCCAAAGTCGTCAAAGTCGTCGCCGCCTTCCTGGGCGGGCGTACCAAAGCCATCGTCGTCGTCTGCCGGGAAATCGTCCATCGGGGGTGCGTCAAAGTCGTCCATGGGCGGGGCGTCGGTCGTGTGCGGGATAGGTAGGGTTGTAGACAGAGTAGTAGAGGCCACTGGCGGCTCAGGATGGGCGGGAGCAGCGGGTTCGGGCGATGCGGATTGAGCGGGAGGTGCAGTTGAAGGTCGTGCGGGTTCGTGCGCCGCTTCGTCGTCCAGCGCCTCTGCATTCGTTTTCCGCGCTTCTTCTGCATCATTCTCTGGCCCCTGTGTCTCCTCCCGCTCGTTGTCGCCGCCCGCCTTGTCCTCCTCGAACCCTCGCTCGACATCCCGCTTCGCCGCCTCGACCTTGGGCGATTCTGCGCCCCAGGCCGGTCCCGTATCCTCCTCTTCTGCCTCCAGAGACAGCCGTGGCGGTTCCGGCGGCGAGATGGTCGAGTGCGATGCGAGTGGGGGCGACGGGTCGTCCCAGGGATTGTCCATCGTGGTTGTAAGGGTCGTGAGGCAGACAGCAGCTTGGTAGTAGCCAGTACAGACGGGCAGAAGTCGGTTCAGTCCAGCAGGGCGGTGTGTGCGAGCGGTACAAGGCAGACGTCCTCGACGACGCTGGTCTCCTCTCGACAACAACCTCGGCATCGCTGGAACTGGCTGGACTGGGCTACGACGCCACTCGTTGACTGCCTCGGACTGTCTGCTACCAGCTGCGCTGCTCCACGTGCTGTTGTCGCCGAATTCGAGGGCTCTCCTCCTCCTCGACTCCTGTTCCCTCTCGCTCGGTGTCGGCTTGCTGGGCAGTCTAAGCTCGGATCATCATGAGGGAACGACACACAGGAGGCGACGGATAGTCCGCGGAGTCTCGTCTGGGCGGCGAGGTTGAGCGGCTCCTGCTCTTCTTACCGCCCCTCTCTTTCGCTCGAGTCCGCATGTTCCGCTTGCCGTACGAGCGCCACAGGACGCTCTCGCAAGGCTCAGTTGCCGCGGGTCTCCGCGTAGTACACCATGCGGCTGTCTCGCCGGTCCCACAGGGCCACGACGACATGGTTGCCCGACTCGAGAACGGCTGGAAGGGGCTACGAGACGTCAAGGGGTTCAAACAAGAGCTTGAGGTCCGCATCAAGGCGTTCATCATGAAGGTCGACAAGAGCAAGAGCAGGCAGTACCGGAACTCGATTCCAGGCGCGAACGAGCCTTGGAAGGGCGAGATTCTCTTTCCCCCAATCAGTACGCTCGCCTCCGTTCCCTATCTTTGTACTCCAACTGACACAGATACCGGAAGAGAAGGACGGCTCGCCAAAAGATCCTATAGCCATCCTAAACGCCGAGATCCTGCAGAACGTCGAGTGCAACAACGCCCAGGTCCCCGTCGCGACCATCCCAGCCGGCAATACTCGCCACCCCGTCACAATCAAGCGAAAGGAGGGTACGCCCAGCATCGCTCTAGGCGCGTGACGCTGCTCACGGTTTCTATCGCAGGCAACCCGGACGAATGGCATTATCGGCGGGGCTGGATGAACGACCGCGGCGGGTTCAGCTTCACCCTCTGGACCCTGCGATACACAGGACTTGAAGGCGAACGCTTCTTCGATGTCATGTTCGCTGAGCGGCACAGCGGTGCGTTCGCCTTGCTCATGGCAGTTTGGCGAGAAGCTGAGCTGATGCAACCACTGGTGCAGGCGCGATGCCCCCAATCTATGGCGTCCCTCAGGCAAGACGTTCGGCGCCTCCTCGCCCTACGCCTTCCCGTGACGCTCCCCCAGGCTACACCACGCCTCAATCTGCGCTCCCTCCTTCCGGGGAACCCCCACCTTACAGCTCCCCACGGCCTTCCCTCGAGAACACGATCCGCTCTTTCGGCCACCGTCGCGCATCCTCGGGGCATTCCGAGACGGAAGCGGGACCGTCCCAGCCCCGAGGACAAATGCCGGAGCCGCCTTCTCGTCGAGCCTTTTCGTTTGCTCCACACGACAAGTCAAACCCGCACGAGTCGGCGGCCTCGGCAGACGCAGGAGCTAGCTCGAACGTTGAGCAGGCGGTGGATCGGCGAGTCGCGGGTGTTGCGAATCGAGGCGACTTCACCGCGATTCCGCCGGCGTTTGGCGACCGTCGGCAAGACATGCATATGCAGGTTGGCGAGTGGCACGAAGGGGATATGGACTTGCTCGAGACGAGGGTCCGCGCTTTCATCGCGTTCTACACGGTTCGCGTCGCGGGCTACCAGTGGACGTACCGAGGAAAGACCTCGCGTGACCAAGATGTCTACTTCACATGTGAGTTTAGCGGCGTTTTCTCGCTGCTCAATGTATTGACTGCTCTGTGTGCTTCTTCAGCAAAGCTCGTCCATGGTCAGGAGCCAGACTCGGTCCATCTCGTCGAGATCACCGCGCACCTCTCCGGCGTGTGGACGCCCATCAAGCCCGAGAAGCGCGAGGCGACCAGCACAATCTCGGCCTTCTTCGATGACATCGTCATGCTCGCTTTCGCCTTGCCTGGCGCGACGATCGCGTCCGATCCGAGAAGCGCAGAGGACGAGCCTGTTCACTCGTCGCATCCGAGGGTCGTGATTCCGGTTCGCCTGTATGGTGGGTCGAACAAGTGTGCGTTGCAAGAGTTTCTCGCGGTCCTGTACGCGCGACTGACCCTTTCCGTGTACAGACCGCATTCCCCCCGCTCTGCGTCGCCCGCTCCAGCACGCCTCAGACGACATCTGGGACTTCTCCTCTCGCATTGGCCCCCTCCTCCCCGGCTCCGAGATGCCCCATCTCCCGCTCCGCACGACCTGGACCATGAAATCCGCCGACTCGTCGCGCAAGAGCCCGACCATTGTCGTTCATTTCGCCAAGGACCAGAAGCACTTTCCGATCGCACGGGAGTTGGCTCAGCAATGGACGACGTTCAGTATGGGTTCGGGCGTCCTGAAGGGGAGGAATCGCCGGCGAGAGGAGGAGGAGAGGGCGTTCGAGTAGCCTCGACGAGGGCAAGGTCATTCAATCTCCTTCGCTCGCCTCGCCAGAGGTTGTAACGGTATGAGAGTACCCTTTCAACGTCTCGTAGCCAGTCCTAGCCCCCAGCTGGTGGTGTTCGTCGCCAATCTCTTTTCGAAACTCTCGCTCACCTTCAGCCACTTCGCTTGTTCCCGCTTTTGCTCGCTCTGCGGCTGCTTGAACGACGTCGAGCGCTTTATACAGCTCCTAGCAGCCGTTGCACCGAGCGCCACCCGTTCCCTTGCGGTCGCCGTCTCACCAAGACCCTCTCCCACTTCATCACTCGACCCGCTTTCCTCGCTCCGTACGAGGCTTCGACAGCAGGCGATGCAGTGGCAGTCCGGCTTCTACAGCCAGCCAGTCCAGACGCTCCCCTCGTCGCCCTTCTCACAACCTCACCTCCTCTCGTCACCCTCGCACGCCCCTTCTTCATCGCTTGCGACGACTTCGCCCGCACACGCCGTCCCGTTTGGCGCGATACCCGGCAGCCAGCCTGGAGTTCTCGGCTGGGGTGTGGGGATGAGCGCAGCAAACGGCGGCGGGTTTGGTTTCGGGTTTGCGGGCGCGAGGATGACTGGATCAGGAGGGGGCGGGGCGAGCGGGTCTTCTTCGCGTGCTCAGACGCCTGCGAGTGTCGGCTGGGGCTCGGCACAAGGTGCGAGGCCATCGTCGCCTGCGCAGGGTGGGCCGTCGACGCCCTCGAACTCGCGCCGACGGAGGCGCAGTGCCTCGCCTGAAGGGTCGAGTGACGAGGAGGGACCGTCGCTGCGGGCTGTCAGGCCAATGCGATCGTTGCAGTCTGGAGGCGGGAAGCGCGCGCGGACTGTCCAGGCGGCAAGTGAGGCGGCGAGCGGGTCGACTGCTTCGTCCCAGGGCCCCGTTGTCGACCTTGGCAAAGCGCTCGGTGCGTTCGACTCAGTCCCCTATGACTTCTACACTCGAACTGATCACTTGTCACCGTCAGCCTCGCTCGACAAACCCGCTCTCCTCAATGTCTTCTCGAAACTCTTGACGACCTCCCCGCACCTCGCCTCGACCATCGCCTCTTTCCTCCCTACTCCGACTCTCTCCACCACCCTCGAGTCACTCTCCTCGCTCGAGCACGCCGTCATCGCCGCGACTCCGACCGGCGCCTTCCTCCGTCCCGACTACATCTTCTCTCGCGTCCGTCTCCCGCTCGAAGAGTACGTCTCCGAGACGAAGCGATACCTCTCGCTCTTTGTCCCGGTCCAGCAGCCTACGGGCCCACTCTCGGAGGACAATCTCGCACACCCCTCAACCGCATTCCAGTTCCTCCACGCTCTCACCTCCTCCCTCCTCCGCCTCGAATCGACTCTCCCCTCCTTGAACTCTTCCTCGACTCCTTCTGCGCCGCCCGCGAACCCGCTTGCAAGCCACCTCGTCCCCCTCACCCTAAACGCCTGGCACCTCTTCCTCACCCGCCTCTCGAGCGCAATCAATACCCAAGGCCGCGTCCTCCCGACCTCGCTCGTCCAATCCTGGTTTGACCAGGTTGATGCGCTCGCTGGGTCGAATTCACTGGGCGTTGGTAGAGAGAGGGCGAGTCAGGTCCGGAAGGCGATGGAGGGTGTCAGGGAGAGGATGGGGAGGGAAGTTGGGTGGTTGATAGGGCTGAAAAGCGATGCCGCGGCGGTTGGTGGGTCGGGTATGGAAGGTGTAGAGCAAGAAGAGGAGCTCTAGAGTTGCGGTGGTGTGCAGGTCGTACAGGTTCTCCAGGTTCCCTCTCGTTTCAGGTCATTACCCCCAGCTTTCTCGCTTTCATACCCTCCGTCGTTCTAGCATACATCTCGCCGTTTTTCTAGCAGCTTTCGCATTGCATTACATCTTCGTTCACCTTTGAACGGCTCGTATCGTGTTCCGGCAGATCAGCAGCAAGAATCGCTCTGCTTTCGAGCCCGAGGAGAAACTGGACGGGGACAGTGAAGTCTACTGCACACTCTCAGATAGCTGATACAACCTACAACGGCTATGCTCCGCGTCGGGCGCCCGACTTGCGTCTCATGCCGTCCCTTGAACGCTCGCAACCTCCGCTCCGTCTCCCTCATGCTTCGTCTCCTTCGCGCCACCGTTCACCTCCGGCATTACCGCCTTCTTCTTCTTCGAAGCGCTCGAGACGCTGGATTGGTCGAACATTGTGCGGCGGAGTTGGCGGAACGGAGGCGGGTTCGAGGCGGGAGCGGACGAGCGAGAGACGGGGCCCGCTACGTTGATGATGTGCCGGGGGGTCATGTCGAAGTGTACCTGCGTCTCAACTCGTTACAGTGAACCCTCAGCGAGAGGAGAGAGGCGGTAAGCACCTGGAAGACGTCCGTGCGGCTGTAGTGGCCCGTCGGATCGAGCATCGAGCGCGCTTTGTAGCACGCGTCGAGGTCGACATGGGCGTAGATGATCTCGTTCTTGTCAGGCTCCGCAAGCGCAAGCGTTCGTCCCTCCGGGTCAAGGATCGTCGTGTACCCTCCCCCAAGACTCAGGATCTTCTCCTTCTCGCCGAAGACTTTCTCGAGGTTTTGCGGCGAGAGGAAGGAGGAAGCCGAGACGACGAACGTGCCTGTCTCGACTGCGTAGGCGGTGAGGACTGCGGCGTTCGATGAGCGAGAGAGGGAGTGGTGTGGGAGTTCGGAGGGGAAGACAGGCCAGCTGGCGCAGTGAACCTCTTCGTGCTGAGACGACATGGCGTATTTGAGGAGCGACTGGGCGTGCTCCTGCGAAGTACGGGACGGTGAGCGGGTGGAGGCGCAAGTTGGCGAAGAAGAATTCTGCTCACCCAGCACTGCAAGACGCCGACATTGCCGAGCTCGGTCTTGTGCACCTTAATGTCGGAGCCCTGAGAACGCGAGGAAGAGTCGAAGTCAGCGAGACTGTCCACAGATCGGAAGTCGGAGATGCCAGAAGAACGAAACGCACGTCGCCGTCGCCAAAGACGATCCTCTCCATCGACGTCGGCCTAAACTTCCTCCTCACAACAACGTCTCCCTCAGGTCCTACAAGCCACTGCGACATGTACAGCGACCCGCCGTCTCGCTCCGAGAACCCGACCACGGCGCGGATCGAGTTCTTGATGCAGCACGCGCGGATGGATTCCATCTCGGGGCCGTCGGCTTCAACGGCGGCTTTGGTGTAAAATCCGGTTATGAGCGGGACTTGTTCTGCGCGCGGGAGAGGTGAGTGACAGTCTTGCGAAGTGGTGAGGAGGAAGGGGCGGACCTCCGTACGGGAGGGCCCAGATGTGGAAAGGGTAGCCGCTCAGTGCGAGTTCTGTAGCAGCTTGGAGGTCAGGTGTGAGAAGGCCCAGGAGAAAGGGCCTCCTAACGAACCAGAGAAGACGACTAGACGAGCGCCTCCGGCGGCAGCTTCTTCGATGGTGGCAAGGATACGTGCGAGGTTTGCCTGGGCATCGTAGAAGACTGCCAGAGCAAGCAAGCCCTTGGTCAGCATAGGGACGCGAGGAGAAGCGACGGGGAAACGGAACGCACCTGCCTCGATTTGAGCGGCGGCAACGCGGAACTGGCGGGCGGCGGTGGTCATGGCAGCGACAAGCGAATGAGAAGGAGGAGAGGGAGAACGGCAAGACTGGAAAAGCGGGAGCGAGCGACCTGATAAGCGTTCCCCCGCGCGGCGTTTCTGTCGCGACGAGGAGTTGCGGCGTTGCGGGCGGAGAAGCGGGTAGTCAGCCTCCGTTTGCTAGTCGCGCGACTCCGTGCACACGCTGAACACCAGCACAATGTCCAACAGCGTCTCGTACAGCGTCTCGTTGGCGTCGTCGTCGCCAATCGCCTCGACCAGCTCAGCGGGGACGATGTTGTCGCAGCCGAGCGAGGCGACTACAGCGGGTGTCGTCGTCGGTCAGCAGGCTGCCCAGCAACTGCGCGCAGCTCTCGCGCGGGTCGCAGAGCTGTCTGAGGCGGAGGAAGGGACTGTTGCGGCGAGAGCGCTGCGGCGGAAGACCGCGGCGGCAGCAAAGGGCGAGGTTGTCGAGAAGACGTACACCAAGGCGTGCGCAGCCTGCAGGAAGGCAAAGAACCGCTGCCTGTCCCAGTCCAACACGACGGTGTGTCCTCGATGCGTCCAGCTGGGACTCAAGTGTCAGTATCCCGAGACGAGGAACCGCGGGCCAAAGAGGCGGTTGAGCAAGACGCAGAGGGCGCTTCGAGACATACGGCGCAACATCGAGGCCGTCCTGGCGGGGAGCGCGACGCTGGACCCGCTCGACGAGGAGGACGACCCCGACAGCGCCGGCGAGTCCGACTTGCAGGGGTCCGTGTGGCTTCTTCTGGCCCGCATTGACGTTCCAACGTTGACTTTGACGTTGCCGCGACGCAGAGTCGACGGGGCAACGAGCTTGTTGCGGAATCCTCTTGCCCTCCTCGCATCTCAGGCTCAGGCTCGCCTCGACGCTCCTCGTCCAGCCGACAGAACGAGCGATATTGACTCGTCAGAGAGCTACTTTGACGGAGGTGCGTTAGTATCTCTCCCACGACATCGCTCGTGCACTGACGCATCCTCCTCTCCGCAGGCTTGTACGTCGCGCGGCCCGAACACGACTTCTCCCTCGACCCCATCGCCTGCGGCATCCTCACTATCGATGACCTTGACCGCCTCCTCAAACTCTACTTCGAACACCTCTTCCCGTTTCTCTATCTCCTCCTGCCCGACCTTCATACCGTCGACTTCCTCCGCCTCACCTCGCCCTTCCTCACAACCTGTATCGCCTTTGTCGCTTCGACGTATGACTCGCTCTCGGGCCATCTTACGCCGCTGCTCGAGCGCCAAGCTCTCTCGCTCGCCGTCCGCATCTTCGAGGAGGGCTTGAAGAGCATCGAGATTGTCCAGGGTTTCTTCGTCCTCTCGTGAGTCGTGTCCTCCTTTTCGGTAAGCTCAAGGCTTGACGCTTTCCGCGCAGACACTGGGCGTCTCCCTCTCGCGCCTGGGTCGACGACCGCGCCTTCCAGTTCCTCGGGCAGGCCTGGCGCATTGCCGCCGAACTGCGCATCAACTTGCCGCTCGACCCGTCTTCTCTTGCGTCGTACAACCTCGGCAAGCCTCTCACGAACGAAATGTATGCGCTGTTCGTCAGGAATCGGAGGCTTACTTGGTCGTTACTGTTTTGCGGCGAGTTGGCGTGAGTCACCTGATTCTCGCGTATACTTCTCCATACATAGGCTGACACCACTTCTCTTTCGCAGGATTTGCGTACAGACGGGCAGAATCGACATGATCAGGACACCGCCTGTACCCAGTTCGTCTCGCTGGCCTTCTCACCTCGACTCTTGCTGACTACTCCTCTCTCACAGCCCACAACTCCTCGCCGACACACCTCCCCTTCGAGCTCCCGAACTATCACTACGCCGCAAACCTTCACGTGAACGCCATCTTCTCCAAATCGATCTCGCTCGCGAACGGCTTGCGCGAAGATGGCGACTCGGCGGATGGCTTGCGCGCGTCTTTCATGGCTTTCTGGAAGCCTGCGATGAAGGCTTGGAGGACTCGTTGGCCGGACGTCAATCCCTTCATCGACATTCACGCCGAGAACAACATCATTCTTCTCAACCTCGTGTCGCTGAGGTTCCGCGGAGGGTCGAAGGATGCGGTGCTCGAGGATTGCAAGAGGGCGGCGATACGGACGATACAGAAGGTCAGCAGCTGGGAGGATAGCGTGACGCAGCTGCCGTACTGCTCAAATTTCGTCGTCGTCAACATCGCGTGCGTCCGGCCTCTCTTCGAAGCCCGTTGCTCACTGACGATTACTGCGCACAGATACGGTGCAATCCTCCTCCTACAGCTCGCCCTCCGCCTCGATCACGGCGTCACCCCTTCGCACCGCGAAAAGATTCTCCGCGTCGCCTCGATCCTCCAGCAAATCGGACAAAGCAGGCCCAACGCCATTTCGGTTGCGACGTTGCACGCTGAGCGGATCTTGCGACTCGTCAACTCGCTTGACTCGTCTGACTCGACATCGGTTGTTGAGCAGCAGCCGCCTTCTCAGCCTGCTGTCGACGGGACGAAATGTCCGTCGTTCTACACCGGCCTCCATCCTCCCGTCTGGCCCATCGCCGCCAAAAGTGCCCCGCCCAGCAACGCCCCAATTCAGCAGGTCGCCATCGACGACGAAGGCTTGGCTTCCCCCTCCGCAGCTACCGTTTCCGACCTTACCGCCGCCTATTCGTGGCTCTTTCCTCCCTCCGGCGAGTTCGCCCCACCCTTCCCTTCTTCCTCACACCCATCTTACGATCCCACCGCTCCCTTCCCCTCTCTCACCGCCCCAACCACCGCCGACCCATTCTCCCTCCCACCTCAAACCGACTTCCTCGATATGACGGCCCACGATCCGATGATGGGCTGGCTCTGGGGCGGAGCGGCGGGTGTGGGAGGGACGAGTGGGACGGAGGGAATGGAGGCGCAGTTGGCGGCGTTGTTGGGGGAGGTAGGACAGTTGTGAGGTGGGACGCGGTTTCTCTTCCTTTGTCGGGCTGCTTCCGTCTCTCACCAGTCTTTTCCGGACCTGTGTAGCGTTGTTATTGTGCCCTCCGTGACTGCTGTCCATCCTTACGCAAAAGGACTCTGCGAACGAGTCTACCGCTTGAAACCTGTTTACCGCGCCTTGCTCGGCTCGAACTGCTTGCCAATAGGCTGACACGCAGAGATCGACAACTGTCAGCCATCGAGCACATCAATATCGAGGCAAGAGCGTGGGCGCACCGTCAACAGCTGCTCTCCGTCGAGCAAGAACCGCTCGGTGTTGCTCATGACGAGCCGCTCGAACTCGACGAACGTCTCTTGCGCGACGCCGCCGATATGCGTCGTGAGCGTGACTTGTTTCTGCTGGGATGGAACACGGAAGCTCAGTCAAGCACGACGGCTAAGCGAGAGAAGCGAGCGGGAAGGAAGACGCACCATCTCAATCAGCTCCCTCGACACCTGCGGTTCAAACTCGTGCACGTCCAGTCCAGCACTCAGCAAGTGACCCGACTTGAGCGCCTCGATGAGCGCCGCTTGGTCGATGACCGGTCCGCGGGCGGTGTTGACGATTCGCGAGTTGGGCTTCATGGCGGACAGGAAGTGGGCGTCAATGAGGTGGTGTGTCGAGTCCATGTAGGGGACTGCGCAGCACAGGAACGTGAGCGAGAGCTTTTAGGTTGGAGGAGAGGAAGGTCAACGCACCTGAAACGCTCACGCAATCCGCCTTGCCCGCCAACTCATGCAACGTCTCGCACTTCTCCGCGTCCAGCGCCTCAATCACCTCCTCCGGCGGCGACACGACATCATAATAGCACACCTTCATCCCCAGCGCCCTGGCCTTGCGCGCCACTTCGCGCTGGATCGCGCCAAGCCCAACACACCCGAGTATCTTCCCACTCGGGTTACGCGACTTCGATCCAATCTCGAGGTGAACCTCGTTGAAGACCTTCGGGTCGCCCGTCCGTGCAGCCCACTCCGAGTAGCTCGTAAGTCGAAAAGTCGCGAGGATGAGGAACAAGGCGATATCGCTCGTCGCTGTATCGCCTGCGCCGCGAGAATTGGCGAAAGCGATGTTGCGTGCGTTGAGGGCGGAAAGGGAGAGGTAGTCGAAGCCTGCGCCGGCGGCGGCGAAGAGCTTGACGGACGAGGGGAGGAGAGAGATGAGTTCTTCGTTCCACGGTGAGGCGCCGTTGCCCGTCTCGACGGCGAACTTGACGATCCCTTCAAAGTCGCCGTACCTGTCGTCCGCGTCCGACGACACCCTCAATCAGCCATCAGCGGAAGAAGGTCCGACGAAGAGAAGTCGGGTAACGTACCGGTTCTCCCTTAGCGCCTGCATGAACCCCTCACGACTCGACAGATCAGGCGAGACGACCTCAAAGCGCTGCTGGAAGTGGTCCCACTGCTCGAGGCGGAGGTAGGGAGGGTCTCCGAGCATGAGGATGCGAGGGCGGGCGGAGGTGGTGGTGGGAGTCGGACTGGACATGCTTCGATGCAGGCGGGGAGATCGGTTCGCTTGATGAGAGCAGTTAGTGGTAAGGAGGAGCGCAAAGGGAGAAAGAGCGAGTCCGCAATGTCGGGGCGGAGATGTGGGGGCCGGCGGAACGCTGGACGAGAGGATCCGAGGCGTGAACAAAAGGAGCGAGAGTGGTCGGCGCTGGGCGGTTCAGCAGCATCGTCGGCAGGGTACCGTGCGTGCCGAAAGAAAGGCGGAAGTGGCGGTCGAGACGAAAGAAGCGCGCGAGAAGCAGGAGGACAAGCGTTGGCGAGGCGGAAAGGGTGGAAAGGGTGGTCTTGCAACAATGCGGCGTTACGTAAAGGTTCTGTGGAAAGGAAGAGCGGGGCGAGAACCAGGATGCGCTGCTCATCCGCGGAAGGTCGAGACGGCAAAGTTGGCTGCCGGTTTGGCGCCTCGTCGCGCGGATGCGAGCGGACGGGCGGAGGTGGCTGAAGACAATAAGACGAGGATGTCAGCATGAGCGAAGCGGAAAGGAAGGAGACTGCGCGGACACACCAGTCTTCCTCTGCCCCTCCGCCTGCAACAACAAGCTCTTCTTCCTCCTCTTCTCCTTCTCCTTCGCCACATCCGCACTCTCCTCGTCCTCCAACCCAAGCAAAATCCGACTCTCGAGACTCATCCCCCCCTTGCGCTTCTGCTTCTTCGGGTTCGTAGCGGCGGAAGGCGAAGGTCGGCCGGCGTCGAGGACTGCTACTTGGCGCTTTTTGGAGTAGAGACGGGAAGTGAGGAATTTGGTGGCAGAGATGTGCGAGGGGAGGGCGGTGGAGGAGAGCGAGGCTGGGCCGGTTGAGGAGGAGGGGAGGTGTTGTAGTGTGATGTCCCTGCGAGATGGATCGCGACAACGCATCAGTTAGCAGGCCCGAGACCGCGCAACACTGAGGACACCGCGCTGAACTCACCCGACCTGCTGCGCGCCTCCCTCGCGCAACTCGTCCCTCTTCCTCGCGGCCTCCTCCCTCTTGCGCCGATTCTCCTCGCGAACCTGTCTCCGCATCGCCTTCTTGCCCATGCCCGGTGCAACCCGTTCGTCGGGAGCATAGTGCGCGGCTGCTTCGGCAAAGAGAGAGTCGTCGAGGTAGGTCGTCTTCTTGCCGAGCTGAGGAGGGGGAGCGGTCGCGGTGTCGTTCTCGTCGTCCTCTTCCTCCTCTGCGAGTTCCTCAAATTCCTCCTCTGCAAACTTTGCATCCTCGTCGTCCTCTTCGACGTCCTCGTCGGCCGCCCTGGCCTTGCCCTTGCCCTTGTCCTGCTGCTGCCTCGCCTTTGCCCTGTTGCGCTCCTTCTTCGCCCGTGCAAGCCTGTGTGTCGCGTCCAGTCAGTCCCCCAGCACTCCTTACACGCCCTGCGGTCCCTCTCATCCCTCCAGACAGGCGCGCAGACTCACTTCTCCCTCGCCTCCCTCTCCCTACGCTCGTCGTCCCTCCTGCCCTGCCGCGAGCTCGAGAAGCTGACAGCCTCGGGTGCGTCGTCGCTGTCTGACCCAGAGTCGCTGTTCGCGTAGCTGTAGGGCGCGCTCATCGTGTCAAGCGAGTGGGAGAGTCGTTGGACGAGGACAAGCTCAGAGCGATGAGGAGGAAGGAGTTTCGACTAAGTCCGCGAGAAATTCCTGGCGGGCTTGCAAGTGCGTGTACAGCGCTGGAAAGCATGTATAAGAACCCGGGAGAGTGTACGGACAGTCGGGAAGAGGTTGCGGAACCTGCTCTCCTCCTCGCCCTCGAAATTGGCTTGCTTCCCCTCCCTCACCACGCTCCGTATGGGTTCAAGCGTAGTCTCCCAGTGCACATCAAGCGTCTCATCCCTCTCACCACCCTACACAACGAACCCCTCAGTCGTCGTCCTCCTCCTCACCGACATGGACCCGCTTCTTCCTCGGCCTCCCCGCCTTCTTCCTCTCCTTCCTCTCGACATTCCTCGCCGGCCCTCCATCTCCTCCAGCTCCATACTTCCTCACCGGCCTCTCCCACGGGACCATCTCGTCGATCTGGGATTTGAGCGACGGCCAGGTTGGGGCAGTACAGAGGCGCAGGAGGACGCCGAGGTGTGTTTGTGGGAGGGTGAGGGAGGGGGTGAGAGAGGGAGAGGAGGGAGTCGGGAGGGTGTAGAGACCCCAGGCGGAGGGGGTGCTGCGCGAGGAAAAGCGAGTTAGCGAGTGCGACATGTCCGACAAGGCAAACCCAGCACGACAGCACCCGCCAAAACTCACAGCGTGTGCGAGCCAACGTAGAGGAACGCCTCATACTGCTCCTCGTCGTCCTCCGTCTTGTCCTTCTCGAGCGGCTGGTGAATAACAAGCGCGACCTGTTCTCCAACTCATCAGCTTGCTCCTTGTCGAGGAAGTGAGCGTTAGACGCACGGTGTGATGCCCTACCCTCCCGCTCTTGAGCTCGACATCCCTGCAGACCTCTCCCCTCGCATCCTTCTTCCTCAACTCATCCCACTCCTCTCCCTCCCACCTCAACTCCTCCCTCCCAATCTTCCCCTCCTTGCCAGCTGCCTCGACACTCCCCTCCGAGGGGAACAGCACGACGAGTTTGTCCGATTTCGAGGCGGCGAAGGAGGTGGCGAGCGCTTTTGAGCGCGAGGAAGACGAGAGCGAGTGTTCGGTCGGTGGGATGCCGCAGAACGCGGCGAAGAGTTGCTCGACGAACGAGAGGGAGATCTTATCTGTCGTGTGTGTCTGCCGAGAGCGTCTCAGTAAGAGGGGAAGCGAGGAAAACGAGATTGGGAAGGTCCAACGCACGAGGTACTCGACCTTCCACTTGCCCTTGTCGCGCGGCTGCAAGCCCTCGATAGCTCTCGCGAGACTCGTCAATCTGCCACCTTGCTCGACCGCGTCCGAGCCGTCGTACGACCCCGCGAGGGAGGTGGCGAGCCGGACGTCCTTCGAGGAGGAGAAGTCAAACATGCGGAAGAGGTCGGTGTAGGGCTTGTACGCCGCCGTCTTGGGCAAACCGATCGCGTCAGAGAGGAGGAAGTCGAGCAAGCCGGAGGAGCAAGGCGTGTGAGTCGGGTTGAGCGCCGGAGAAGCGAGAGGGGCGGAAACGAGTTGCGGAAAGTCTTGAACCCAGATCGAGTTCTCCGTCTTCTTCCAGGTGTTCGCGTCCATCTTTGACGTGTGGATCGCGATGCGGAGAGAGTGGCGCTGGCTCGGAGGGTTGCGGCGGACCATCTGCGGGCGAGGAGTCTGTCACTGTGCGGGAAAAGCGAGACTCAGGGCCGCACCAGGACGAGCTTGGCCTCCATCCCGCCTTTCTTGCTCTTGCCGACGTCCGCATGAGGCCTATGCGTCACGACGTTCGTCCACTCTTGCCAGTCGCTCGTATCGGCCTCGTCGTGGAGCAAGAGGAGCGGTATCTTGTCGGCATAGTGGCGCGTGAACGTCGGCTTCTGCTCCTCCTTCTTGTCCTCCTCGTCCTCCTTTTCGTCGCTCTTGACGGCCTTGATCTTCTTCTGGCGCGGCTTGTTCTCGCGAGTCGTCGCGAAACGGTGCGGTGTCCACGGAACTTGCATCCTTGGCGACACGACGAGCGCTCGGACGACTTGCTTGTCGGGGTCCGAGCCGATGATCGTATCAAGGTCGACCCGATTCGCCTCGTTGTCGCTGTCGTCGTCGGAAGACTCGCTCGACTCGGTCGACGAGTCCTGCCGCTTCCTCCTTCCCTTCGCCTTTCCCTTGGTCTGCGGCTTCGGCTTCGTCCTCGGCCTCCCACGTATCTCCTTCACATACGTCGTAAGCAACACCTTCCCCTCCGCAAACTCGAAACTTCTGCGCTGCTCGTCCTGACTCGCCTTGGCCGCCTCGCCGTCCTTCGTCTGGAACGCAAACGAGAGAACCCCGTCCGGAGTCGCGGAGACGCCGAGCGGGTTGCGCTTCTTCTTCTTCTTCTTCTTTGAGGGAGAGCCGGGCGAGTCGGTGTCGAGCGGGACGTCGCGACCCTTGACTTTCACCTTCGCCTTACCCTTGCCCTTCACCGCGTCTCCCTCGACTCCCAGCTTCGGTTTGTCCTCCAGCCCCGTTCCCACTCCCCCAAGCAGCTTCGAACGCGGCGCAAGGAACGGTGAAGCGGCTGCGAAGCGTGCGGCAGTCGAGGACGACTCTGCGGACTGAGAGGACGAGCGCGCGCGCGTGCGGCGCGACGAGGGCGTGTAGGACGACTCTGAGGAGTCGGACGAGTCGGCTGTTAGGTCTAGAGCGCGTTTGGGCATGAGAGAGAGAGCGAGTGAAGGGGAAGATGAAGAAAGAGGAGGCAAGGAGTCTGACCACCAGGAAAGGTAGAGGCGGCGACTGTGCGAATAGCGAGTGTACGGGCTGGACACGCGATAGCAGCAGTTGAACGAAGCAGCGAGAGAGTGGAACGAAGACAACGAAGCCAAGTCTTCCCTCGCTTCTCCCGCAGACGAGGTTGTAATGAGGATGTGAAGCGTCAGCGGCAAGAGCAGAGATTGAGGCGCATCGGGTAAGGAGCTTCGACGCACAAGGGCGGGACAGCGTTGAAGCGGAAGTCGAGAGGACTCCGCGAGAAACGGCGACGAATTACAACAAGACCACGACCCGACCACCACTATGCACCCATGATGGCCCGCTCAATATCCCTCACGACCCTGACGCCCTCCATCGCATCGAGCTCCTCATCCGCCACCCCCTCCTCCCACCACCACACGCCCTCCCTCTTTCCCCTCGCCCGCCACTCGGCCAACACAGCCCGCGTCATCCGTCCTTGCCAGCTATCCCGTGCCGCCGTATCCCGCTCGAAGAGCTCCCACCAGCTTGTCGGGCGGTCGAGTAGGGCTTTGCGCTCTTCCTCCGAGTCGGTAGCGACGAGGGCGGCCAGCTCATCTCGTCCTTCAGGCGTCGCGAGTTCCGAGTCGAGAGGGACATAGTTGCGCGCGCAACCTGTCAGGCCGTCTTTCGTTCGCCAGTCGTTGGGCGTGTTGGCGAGCACGCGGTACTTGCTCCTGCAGTCCTCGAGCGAGCGCTGGACGTAGTCTGCCCCGCCAATCCGTCAACCTCTGCTTCGGACCAGACAGGCGAAAGGGTTCGAAAGGACGCACGGAACAACCGCAAACTCTCCTGCGGCAGCGCAAGCCCGTTGAAGGGGTAGATCCCCTCCTCGCTCACGATGCGCTTGCCGTGCGAGTCGAGTACGAACGTGCCGGGGAGGGCTTTGCACGAGTCTGCCGGGGCGAGAGTGGGGGTTAGTGATTGAGCAGAAGGAAGGAGGGAGGAACGCACGAGGACCCATCCAGGAAGCACGTTTGGCTTGCTGCGCGGAATGGAGGAAGATCTGCCCAATCGCTCCAGTCAGCTCCTGCCCTCGCCACGGCAGCGAAAAAAGTCGAACACACCTTCCCGTACGTATGAAAGTTCGGGTCCACCTTATCCCTCACCGTCTGCCGCTCGACCACCGACTCCACCCAGCCTAGTTCCCGCACACCGTAGTTCTGGAACGGTAGACGCAGGATCGGGACACACGTCGCGCGATGGAGGATCTCGTTGAATCGAGCGTGGAGGGGGAAGGTCCATCTTGTCACGGGTGCGGTCGAGTTGGATGACGAAGGAGGAGGGGGGAGGGGCGTAGGAAGGGGAGAGGACCAGCCTGGTGCGTCGACAAGTAGGAACTCGTCGACGTCGTGGTGTGAGGCCCAGTTCGTGTGAGGGAGGACGTCCTTCTCGCACAGGCGGAGGACGTGTTGTTGATAGATCGCGCCAATGTCGGTTCCGTCTGCGGACGAAGCTCGGTGGTCAGGTCCGCTGCGTGGGTCAAGCGTCGTGAAGGAAGGTGCGCACCCTTGTAGTGTAGCTCGTACAACACGACGCTGCCCTCGTCAATCCACGGCTTCAGCAGCCTCCGCATCCTCCTACTCGGGCTATTGTCGAAGAGGTAAAACCGCTCGACCCCGACCAACCGGTGCCACGTGATCCATTCGGGTAGGTATTGCTCTTCGTGTGTCGGGACGGCGCAGATGGAAACGTTGACGGGCTGAGAAGGAGGTGAGGAAGAGAAGGAGAACGAGGAGATGGACGAGACGAGGGGCAGGGCGGGTCTTTCTGATGGGTGTGCGAGGTAGCGAGCGAGTGTGGAAGTCGCTCGGAAGCGTACTGCCTGCCTGCAAGGCCGTGCGACGAGTGTTAGCGGCGTTTCGAGATGAGAATGGACGGGACGGACGGGAGCGGGATGAGCGGGCGCGAGGAAGCGGACGAGTGGGCTAGCAGTAGCAAACAGACGACGGCGAGACAGGCTAGCACACCCGTCCGGCGCGTCACGCCGTGCACGGGCAGGTTCATGCAGCCTTGAACGACGAGGAGGAGAGGGTTGGCGATGGACCACACCTCGCTCGTCGCTGCTTTCGTGCTTACTGGGCTGGAAGAGGCTAGAAAGGACACTCCTAGACTCGCTACACCGCCCGCCGTGCACCCCAACTCGCCCGCAGCCCTCTTTGGCTCGTTCTCCCTCCCTTCGCCCGTTCCAGACGACTTCGCGACGCGTGCAGATATACAGGATTTCCACGAGCCCTCTGAGTCGACGTGGAAGCAGCGTTTGCGCGCAAAAGACTCGCCAGATTGCGCTGTCTTTGACCCGGACCTCCTACCCGCCTTCTTCTCCTCTTTCCGCGCTTTCCTCGACTCTCGGACCGACGCCGCGTTCTCCGACGAGATAACAGGCGTGCTCCTCGAGATCATCCAGTCGGACGCGAAGGACTACTCCCGGGAGTTTGACCAACTGCACTGGAGGGTTCTTCGTGCCCAGGCAGGCCGTCTCGGCCCCCTGGTCCGCAAATTCGCCAAGCTTTTAGATCCACACTTGCCTGAGTCCGTTCGTGCCGGTCCCGATACCCGCTCTGGCCGCAACGATCATCACCGCGGTGACCTTGACCCCGACGGCGACGTGATCAACCTTGAGACCAAACCGGCTTTCGTCCTCTCGCGCGACCAGGTGCCGTCAGCCGTTGTGATGGTGCAGCATCCTCGGGCATCGACCGATCCACACGGCATCCTCAATCGCCTCATCGAGGCCTTCCGCTCGTCACCCGTCCAGCGTATCGACGCCGGACTCAAAAAGCGCGACTCACATCTTTACTCGCTTCTTCTGAGGGTGCGTGCCTCTTCAGGGTTTTGGCAGACGCCCAGCTGACGAGACGTCCTGCAGATTGCCGTCTCCTGCCGATCTCGCAGCTGCAACACCTTCGTCCTTTTCGACTACCTCCACTACTTCATTGGCTTCCTCGTCCCTCTCGATTCCTCCTCTCCCACCTCCAGCTTCAGGCTCGTCTTCAGCGCCCTAGCACGCTGCGATAGTCCAGAAACGCCGCTGGTGCAGGTGACGACTGCGCTGCTCTATGCAGACAGGTTCTTCGGCAACGAGCTGCGGAGAAGGACGGACAGTATCGTCGAAGCAACAGGCTTACCCGAGCTTGATTTGGAGCCTGTGAAGGAGGAGGAAGAGCGGGAGGACAAGGAGGGAGATGGTGGGCCGGCGACTCGTACGCGGCAGAAGTTGGCGGCTCACACCCTCGCACCCCTGGAGAAGGTAAGGCGTTCAACGTGATGTCTCTCGCTTTCGCTTGCTGACAATTGTGCGTCCCGCAGATCCAACGGTTCCGCCTCGTCTATCCGGACGGCACACCCGCTGAGTTCGCGCCCTTCGTCCGCTTCAATTTTCTCGGCGATGCCGTCTCCACCGTCTCCTTAGAAGCTACTGCCGAGGTAGTCTCTATGCTGGAGATGGACGACTACCTCGGCCACGGCGCAACGAGCGACGTCTTCCGCGCCTACTGGCCTTCTTCTCCCTTCGCCGCCGAACCTCGCATGTCCTTCATTGTCAAACTCCCCCGGAACGCTTCCGACCCAGAAAAGTCTGCCGACCTCCTGCACGAAGCGAAACTGCTCGCTTCGCCTTCTCTAGCGGAGTTTGACATCGTTCCGAGGTTGTATGGCGCGTTCAAGGCGCGCTTGGAGGGCACGGAAGGCAAGGAGATGGTTGCGTTGCTCGAGGAGGACTGTGGCGAGCCGATTGACTGGTGGAAGGACTTGACGGACGAGGAGATGTGCGTTTCGCTTTCGTCAAGAGACCTTTTACCGCAGATTGTTGGCTGACGGTCTTGGTGCACAGCGACCAGCTCTTGGAGGATCTCACTAGGCTTCACGTCGAACACCACATCTACCACGAAGACTTGACGACCGAGTACTCGAATCCTCACAACATCCTCGTGTCGCCCGCCTCGCCGTCGTCCTCGTCAACCGCCCGCCGCGTCCGCGTGATCGACTTTGCTTGGGCGCAAGACGATCATGAGTGTGAGGGAGAGGAAGAGTGCGGCGAGTTGAGGATGGTGCGGGAGTGCAGTGGATGGTCGCGGGGCGGAAAGGCGTGAAGAAGCGCGGGGCAATCGGAAGGCGCCGGAGATGGCAGTGTAGTCTTTGTCAAGCATGTTTTCGAAGCAAGCTGGCAGCTCGAGGATGCAGCGCCAGTACAGGAGAGTTGGCAGAATAAGCTTCCGCGTTTCCATTTCTTCCGCGACAAGCTACGACAACAACCCCTCACTCGCTTAGAGGCCGTCGTCCGAAGGCGCGGCAGAGGGAAGAGCGCTGTCGTCGAGGAGGTCGTCCTCGGTCGGCTCGAAGGCGTCGATCGGGACGCGGAAGAGCTTGATGAGGGGCTGTGCGATGGAATCGAGGTCAACTATCGGTCGTGCCTGGGAAGAGCAGACGAGCGAGGAAGCGGCGGCTCAACGCACCTTGTTGGGGTCCTTCATCAAGACATACTTGCCCTCGGGCTGCTTGAGCGCGAGGTCGGCGATGGTGCGGACGATACCCCACCCGTTGGCGAGATTGATGTTCATCTGCGTCGCAAAGTCACGCGGCTTGTACCACTGCGTGCCGAGGATTGTGTGGCGCGAGGCATCGCGAGGGTTCGCGCGCGAGACGTAGCTGCGAGAGAGACCGGGTTAGCTCAGGCAGTCTGTGGAGGGAGAGGAGCGGCCGACGCACCCCATCTTCATCTGCTCGGCGCCGGCGAGGACACTCTGGACCGCCCAGCGGGCGAGCTTGCTGGAGTTGTTTTTCATCTCGGTCGCGACGACGGCACCACGCTGGCTGTCAAGCTTGGTGCGCCAGTCAGGTGCGCCTCCCGCACCCTGAGCACGCGGGTCGAACTCGTTCAGCGTCTTGATCGTGATGAACGACGGCTGGTCCTCGTTCTGCTGCCTGGTGAACGCGTCGACCTCGGTTCGGACGACGAGACCGACGTCCTCGTCCTCGGTGACCGAGATGTCGAAGCGGCGGTAGCGGAAGACGCACGACGCGAGCGGCTCGGTCTCCATGTCGGGCTGGTAGAACGGGTTCGGGTGCTCGACCTCGAGGCGCGCATCGGGCTCCTCGCGGACGACCTGGAACGCAAAGTTCTGGTTGATGTAGGTCGCCTCGAGCGAGAGGGCCGAGGGCGAGTTGAGCGTGTCTTTTTCGTTCTCCATCGGCGGGTCGGCCGCGTTCTCGTTGACCGAGGGGTAGTCGAACGGACCGCCCTCGCGCTTGTCGATGAAGAGCTTGTCGCCCTCGCGCGTGAGGACCATGTCCCACGGGTAGACGCTGCGCTGGGCGCACATGAGCATCGAGAGGATGTTGTCGGTGACGAAGACGCGCCCGCGGTCCTTGGCCGCGAGCTCCTGCATGACCGGGTCGTCCGACGTCGTCGGGTTGTACCGCACCCGGTCGACGTTCTGCAGCGGCTTCTCGTTCTTCGTGTTGACGCGGTCGTAAGTGCGGTCGTACTCGTAGAGGAAACCGTGCTGGGAGAGGGTCTCTGCCTCGTCGAGGTCGACCTCGAGGCGGAGCTTGTTGAGGCGCGAGTACTCGATCTCCTCGAGCGAGACCCAGTCGTTCCCGACCTGGACACTGGCGTCGCGGGTCCTCTGCTCCTTCCAGTTGTTCCGTCCGCCCTGCGCGCCGCCGCGTCCCCATCCGCCGCCTCCGCCGCCGAAGCGTCCGCCCGCGCCCTGCTGCTGACCCTGCCTGCCGCCCTGCTGCGTCCCGCGCGGACCGCTCTGCTGGAACCGCCCGCCGCCCTGCTGGAACCCACCACGCGCGGCACCTCCGCGTCCACCACCACCCTGCATCCTGCCCTGGTTGCGCTGGAGTCCGCCGCCCGCCTGCACAGGCTTCTTTCCCGCCGCGCCGCCCGCCACGACCGAGAACGAGCTCTCGTCCTCGTCGTGGTAGTACGCGAACGTTCCTGCCGCCGACGCGCCAAACGCCTCCTTCGGCTCGCGCGAGTACTTGCCGCCCTTCTGGCCTGCCTGGCCCGCGGCGGCAGGTGCGGATCCGCCTGCTGCGCCGCTCGAGGTGCCCTCGGCGTTCCAGTCGACGATGCGGCCGAGCTTGTCGTTCTTGGAGAAGGGCGCGTAGGGGATGTCCTTGAACTGGGGAGGGAGGTGCGAGGCAGAGGGGCCGAAGCCGCCCTGGTCATTGTCGACGACGGACGCGATCAAGGAAGAGAGGCTCGCCATCTAGAGAGTAGTCAGGTCGTGTCCAGCGAGCAGAACACGGCACAGGCGGTCGTTGGCGAGGGAGAGGGAGTCGATGGGGACAATGGGCGATGAGGGCGGTGAGCGGGTCAGGCGGGGTGAGAGAAGGGCGTGGCGTGTACAATCGATGTCTGTCAGTTCAGTGAAGCCGTCTGCGAGTTTGCCAGGCGCACTCACGGTGAGTTGTGAGCGTGTCGAGCGAGACCACCACGCGAGCGCTGGCAAGCTCAGGAGGGGAAGCTCATAACACGGCTCACACGCTCTCGTAGGGGCAGCCGGGCGTATCACCGGGCTCTATAGGACTGTACAGCTGAGCTAGCGCACAGGAAGCAGCCAAAGAGGCGCTGTGAAGCGAGAGCAAGTCGTTCCCTCACGCTCCGAGTGTCGAGGGATTGGTACAACGGGTTGCAGCCCAGATAGCCGCGCAGAAGAGAACGACGAGTCGAGTACAACGCGGCGGAGTAGGCGCGAAAGGGAGAGAGAGAGAGGGTCTACGGGCGCGAGAGGAGGGGAAAGGAGGGATGGGCGGATTAGCGAGCTGGTGTCCGGTTCCACGAGAGGTACTGTGTGGCAGACGACATCACCTAGTCAGCATCACCGGTCGAAGCGCCCGGGCGCCGACAAAGCCAGATCGCGACGCACCTGCGGGTCGCCCAACTTCCTCGGCTTGATGCAGTGCCTCAGGGTCAACAACAGCCCGAGCAACACGCACGCTCCTCCGACCGCGATGTACGCGATACCGAGGAACGGGTTCTTGCCGCCGATGAACGAGACGGTCGAGAAGACGAGCGACTTTGTGCCGCCGAACATCGCGACCGGGTAGTCTGTTCGCACATCTTCGTCAGCGGAGAAAAGTGGGTGGGAAGGACACGGACGCACTCATGTGAATGCTGACCTCGTACGTTCCCGTCGGCATACTCTCCTCGTCATTGCGGAAGTACAACTTGCGGAACGTCGGCAATCCCGCCGTGCGCATCCAAACCTGGAAGTGCTCGTCCTGGCTCAAATCTGGCAAGTTGTCCGCTGTGTAGCCGTCCGGGTAGCGGGCGCGCCAGTACGGAGGCGGGACAATGTCGGAGGGAGAGTAGGAGGTCGGTCGGTACTTCTTTGACTCGCCAGGCCAGGCGATGCCTTTGTCGGTCATGTTGTAGGTCACGTTCGATGAGGAGCCGGAGGGCGTGAGCAGGACAGGCTGGAGGTAGGTGTCTGTGCGGCGCAGTCCATCAATCAGTCTCTGCCTGACTCGTCAAGCAGAGCCGCGCGCCAAAACACACCATTGAACAACGAGTTCGCGATCAGTCCACACGGGTAAATCGTCTTCCCGTCCGTCACGTCCACAGGCTTGCAGTCGCCTCCCTTGATGGTGTCGAACGCGACGGCGTGGCCCATCAGTTGGTTCGAGTCGATTGACTTGACGTAGCGACGGTGGTTCTGGTAGTAGTCGGTGACTGCCCACGCGTTCGTCAGCTTGGTCAAAGGGAGGGAGGGAGGGAGCCGGGGAACCGCACGCTTGTAGTACATGAACACGGGCTTCTCCATCTCGACCGGCAGCTGGAACTGCAACCTGCACAAGCTCTGCTGTCCGACCTGCGCACTCTCATCATGCGTAAACTGCCATGACGGAGCCTGCACCGAGACGGACGAGCCGACGCGGTACTCGTATTTGGACGAGGGGAGCTGGGCAAAGGTGTCGTTCGGCGCTTCGAATTCACAGCGCGTGTAGTCGATCGTGAATTCCTTGACCTGCCCGAAGAAGCACGGTGAGCGAAAAGCATGGGGACGAGGGAGGGGGTACGCACCTTGTTACTGCCCCAGAGCAAGACGCCTCCGAGCGGGACAAAGATGAGGCCGATGAAGAAGAACGTCGGGAGGACCGTCGCGGGACTCAAAATTGGTTGCCAGGCCTGCCCAACGCGCAATGATCAGCACTCTCCCTCACACCTCGCCAAGGAAGCGGACGCACCCTCAGTCGCTGCTGTCGCAAAGCAGTGTTGGCCGGCCGCCGGTGCCACGCGACTTTCTTCTTCTCCTCGCCTTCTGTCAGAATCTGCTCGTCGGTCTTGGGCTTGCGGCGCCACAGGACCATCTTCGTTTGTCAGATTCGGGAGGATGGGCGGGAGAGGAGGGTGTGGGAACGGGCTCGTCGAGGGGGAGGCGGCTCTGCGGACGGTGCGGGATGCGCTCAGCGTATACACACAGTCTCATCATGCCATCGCACGCCTCGCCGAGCGCCTTTGACGAGGAGGAATTCGACGATGAGATGAGGTCGAGGCGAGGAGCTGGCGTCGCGCACAGACGACCGCCCGGCGCACCTGAAGTGGCAGAAGGCTGCTTATCAGAGCTGTCAGAATCGAGCCAGCACTTCAGCAAGCTGGCCGAGCGAGAGCGGGTTTGTGGTCGGACGCGAACCGATGCCGAAGGTGAAGACGACGCCGTCGACGCGCAGCTGGGAGGCTCTCGAGCAGTCTAGCGGCATGTCGGTGTGATTGCAAGAGTGCTTACGGGCGAAGGAACGGACAAGGAGGCTCTACGAGGCATGAGAGGGTGACAAAGCCGTCCTCAACGGCAAGAACAGCCTGCAGAGGCCCGAATACGGCTTTTCAATGATCCTGGAGAGCGAGTACAGGTCAGCTAGACCGCGTTCAGCCCCAATACGAAGCGGGAGACGCGCAGCTGGCCTGCTGTTCCGCGCGAACAGGCCGAAAACGAGCAACAGAGCCGCTCTATCGCCCACCAAGACCAGGTATCAAGGTGTGCGTTCACGCCTAGCATGTCAGAGTCGTGCCAAGCAGTCTGGCGAAGCAGCAGTTCAACCTGTAGAGAAATGAGCCCGTTCAACGCCGCAGAACGAGCGAGGGGCAGAGGCGGGCGTATCGGCATCAACGTCGAGCAGAGCGCGCTGTGAAGTGAGGCACATGGCGAGCAGGTCATTAGCAAGCCGTGCAGCCATAGCAAGCCACGCCAGAGCCCGCTGTCGCGAGTCGAGGGTCATGGCAGGAGACCAACCGGTACCAACCCGCTCTTGCGCACAACAAACCGCCTCGTCACGCTCTTCGCAGACCGGCTACCGCTCTGTATGGGCTCTGCGCCCACCCGAACGCTATCTAAGCCTGCTGCGGCCCCGAATGGGACTGGTGGACGCGCGGGAGGGGCGGGTGCTGGGTTGATGAGCGAACGGGGTCGAACGGCGGGAGACGGTGCTGTGGGACGGTCTGCGGGTGCTGGGACTGATTTGTCGGCGCAGAAAAGTCTCGCAAAGGCTCCGCTGATCAGCAAGGTGCGTTGCTCGCTTATCTTCTCCCGCTCATCACCCACACGAACCCCTCATCGCCGCCAAATTCGCTCACTGGCACTCTCGCCATGCTACAGGACACGCGAACGACGTCCAATTCATCGTCAAGCAACAACGCCGGCTTCGAAGACGAAGTCGTCCTAGTCCCTACCTCGTCCTTCTCCTCGAACCGCCAACACACCATCCCGCTCACTACCCCCTCCGCATTCCGTCCTTTCTCGTCGCCCACATCGTCGCAGGATGCGGAAGGTACCGAGGGGCCGAACAAGCCTGTTGAAGGAGTGTTTGCGACGCATCGGCGCTGGACGAACGGAGGAACGGACCGCGATCGCGCAGGCTTGAGCGAAAAGGCGCGGGGCAAGTTGCCTGCCTCGACAGTGGACAAGGTTGCTACGGCTGACAGGCGAAGAAAGAGCCTTGACGCCATCGCGCGCGGCGGGAGCATGTTCGAAGGCGTCGAGATTGAGGTGCCGGCCAGGCGCAAGTCGCGGTTGCATATGCGGTGGACGTCGGGCGATAGCGTTGCGGACGTCACGCTCGAGCGGTTTGCGGCGTCGTCGAGTGGGTCGGCGACGAGTCCAAAGGCCGGTGGTGCGCGGATCTCACCTGCGCTCGTCGAGGACTCGGCATCGCCGCCAACGCGCAGGTCCAGCTCGAGCGGCGAGACCCTCATTGTGTCGAAACATCACCCTTCCGCCGCCAAGCCTCGAGACCACTCAACAAGCCCCGAACTAGCCAAGCAGCTTCCCTCGCCCTCACCGTCAACTTCCCTCCCCGAGAAGAGCCGTGCACCCTCTACCTCCTACTCCACCACTTCATCACGCGCGAAGCACTCCTTCGAACTCATCATCGACCAGCCTGCCCGTCCTCGCGCTCCGCCCAAACCCACTCGCAAACCCCTCCGCTTCCCCGACAAACCCGCCTCTCATCCTCTCAACCTCCTTCGCATCCGCTCCCACCCGCTTGACTCGGATGTGCCTCCGCCTCTTCCAGTCCGCTTCGTCCGCAATCCGCACTTTGCGCCGGCGCAGGAATTGGGATGGATCGAAGGGAAGGGTCCGCATGTTGAGGTGAAGAAGCGGATGGGGCCGGTTGAGCGGGCTGCTGCTGCGTCCCTGTCGATCTCGAGGGAACAGTCGCCTCTCGTCTCGGCAGAAGGAACGCCTGGACCGGGCGGAGGGAGAAGGTCTACTCGTGTGCCAGTGCAGGCTCGTCCGCCGAGCATGATCTACCCCTCAGCTATCGATCGCCTCGCCTCTTCGGCCAAACGCTCTCGCTCCCCCTCCTCGCAACTCCCAACTCCTCCGCCATCCACCTCGATCCCCCTCCCGCGCCGCCCACCTCTCTCAACAGTCCTCCGGAAACGTTACGACTGGCTTCACCCCCGTTCTCGTGGTCCATTCAGGATCGACGGCTCGGCGCTAGGGACGGACCCGACGTTGCTTGGGTACGAGTGGGACGAGGACGAGTTGGATGAGGAGCGGTGGGCGGGCGGAGAGTGGGTTGAAGAGGATGAGGACGACGATGGTGAGGTCAAGACGGGGCGGTATGGCGGGCCTTGTCGCGTCGCGCAGGCGGCAGAGGCTGCTCGACGAGCGCTCTTCTCGCCTCCCTCGTCTTCCTCGTCCAAAACCTCGTCCTCGTCCTCGCCTGTCAAAATCGCCCTCGATATCAAGCCATGGACGGTCGTGCCATGGGCATGGAAAGACTTTGACGTCGCGAAAGGCCGCGCAGGACCAGCCGGAACAGCAGGCTGGGCGACCCGCGATCCATGGATGCACTACCTTTTCGACTCCTCCGATAGCGATGCCGCCGCGTCTTCATCGGTCGTCGAAACGCTCAGCAGTTCTGTTGCGCATCACTCGCCGAGACGGGTGCTTGCTGCCGCGGCATCAGGGTCCTCGTCATCGCCGCCTGCGCAAGTAGGCGCCAAGATCACGGCTGTCCCGCCTTCCACGTCGTCCCCTGCGGTCGTCCAGACGATCGAGTCGACACCTAGCGAAGACGACGCGGTTTCCAGCTCGTCTAGTCGACGCGAGAACGCGCAACAAGCCGGCACGCTTACCTCGCCCGTCATCATCGACTCGACTACCGGCTCGTCCGCTGCGAGCTCGCGGGATCCGTCGCCAGTCCTAGTTGCGACGTCTCACCGGAGACAGCGAATCGAGCATGCGGACTCATCGCCTGACCCGCTCGACCAGCTCTCCGGCTCATCGGTCCATTCGACCGTTGCTTCCTCCTCGCGGCAACATTCGGCGACCTCTCCGACGGATACATCAAGCTCGTCTAGTAGTGCTTCGTCTAGCTCGCGAGGCGTACAGCCCACCGCCGGCCCTTCCAACCCGCACAGGCGATCCCTCAGCCGTCGCCTTCCCTCGACTACCGCGTCATCTACCTCCTCCTCCTCAACTTCGTCGTCTGATGCATCACTTACCTCCTCATCGGTGTCGCCTCCGGCAAAGCCCGTCGCTGTTCCCTCGAACCCGAGAACGCGCCCTGCAAGGCGACGCATCGTCTCGGCGACCACCTCGACAGCGTCGCCCTCCGCCTCCGCCTCGGCATCCACCTCAGCATCGGCATCCACCTCAAGCGTCTCTCCTCCACCAAAGAAGGCACCTCCAGCTCCTCCGCCTCCCGCCGCCAAGAAGCGCAAAGTGGATGACAAGCCCGCCGCGAGACCAAGGAAGCCGCCTACTCCGCCGCTCGTCCCGAAGCAGGCGAACCTCAAGCGTCCGTCTTCGTCGCCGGAGGGGTCAGCGGCGGCGCTGAAGCGGCGGAAGAAGGAACCGACGCCCGAGGGGTTCACTGTGCGTTTGCTCGTCTTGCTCGCGTGCCTTTCGCTCGCTCATGGCCGAATCGTACGCAGCGCTGCGCACATCCTGGCTGCCCCTCGCCCTTCTATCAGTCCAAGGCCGCCTCGTCCGCCGGCAACCACGCCCAGAACTACCACGGCTCGTCGACGACAATCTCGTGGCGCGACCCCGATCGATCCGCCCAGCTCGCGCGGTCGAAGAAGACGGGCGCGTTCGAGTGCGAGTACTGCGGGTTCTGGAGCATGAATGCGGCGAGTACAAAACAGCACACGTACGTGAGGAAGGGGAGGGTGTGTCCTGGACCGCCTCTCCGTGCGCGGTAGACTTGGGTTGCAAACGGTCGTCTGTGCGACTTGCAAAAGGTGTCGTCGAGCGTTTTCCAGGTCTTCTAGCTCGTCCCGTCGAGGTTGTCCTGCTCCGCCAGATTCTCTGCTCTCCTTGCCTTGCTGCACTTCACGTCAGACGGCTGCTTTGCCGTTGCTGCTGTCGCTGCTGCTAGGCGCGGTTCTCGCTGCTGCCCCGAGATCCAAGGTGCCTCAACCCGCCCTCTTCCTGCGCTCTCATCGCTCCTCCTCATCCTCATCAGTTACAACGCATCTAGCCGTCCCTGCGGCGGCCAGTCTGCTGCATTAGAACGCCCATTCCTATCTCTTCGAGCGCACCAATGCAGCGCGCACCTCTCCCACACCCTAACAGCCTCGCCTCGCTCCTCTCCTCATGGCATCTGACCGAATCGCCTGTCAAGGACAAGTCCCGGCCCCCCAAGCCGCTATTCAACTACGCACTGGACGCTGAAGACTTTGACCTCGTGCTCCGTCCGAAGGATCTCCCACGTAGCATCATTCTCGACCGCGAACTTATCCCCTCGACCTGGGCATCCTTCACGTCCTTCCTCGAACGCAACGCTCTGCCGTCCTACTACGCCGACTCGTCTCTCTTGTCATCCCCCGATGTCCCGTCCACCTTTCTCGGCAGGATCTGGGACCTGCGCGAAAGTTGGCAGCGGGAGCTGGTCTCGAAGGACTCGGACGGCGCGTTCCACTGGTCCTCCGTGCGCGGCATCACCGTTGCATGGGTAAGAGCGCTTGACCTCGTGCTGCCTGCGAGGGTGCGAGCGGGACAGGCTGCGCAGGGAGTAGGACTTGCGGTCAAGAAGCGACAGGCGGACGCGCAGGGCGACGAGGTCCTGTACCGGACGCGAGCAGATGGCGTCTTTTACAAGCAGGGATCGATTCTCATCGTCGTTGGGAACGAGCATCCGCAGGCGAGCTGGCCACCCGACTCGCAGGTTCCGCCCGTGGAGGATAAATCGGAAGATGGCGTCTACCGGAGGTTGATCAACTGCTTTCTCGACAAAAATACTGTCCTCACAGGTCGAGAGTTCTTCGAGCTCACCTCCCAGTGGGACAAGGAGGTCTTCGCTCTCCTCTCGAAGGTCAGTCCTTCCGCGTCGCCTCGGCGGCCAAACTCGCTAAGTGTCTGTCTCGGCAGATTGTCGTTGCGTGTGTCAGTCGCTCATGCCGCTACTTCGTCCTCAACGATCCTCTCAACATGATCCTCGGCGTCCTTGTCCCCATCAACGATCCGCACGAAGAGATCGGCAAAAGCGACTTCGACGTCCTCCTCTCGCCGCTCATTCCTTTGACCTCGGCTACACCGCCGATTCCGCAGCTTCTTGCGGGTCTCTACTACGATCAGACGACGCTGCAGATGCTGCACTCGGACCACGTCGAAGCGCTCGTCCTTCAGCACGACCGCCAGGCCGCAGTCGAGTCGGGCACGGCGCACGCTCCGGCGGGACCGACAGGCCGCCAGACCCACGGCATGCTGAGAGTCGCGCCAGCGAAGAGCACACCTCGACTTCGGAGCAGCGTCGAGGAAGGACGGCAGGCTGTCGACTTGGCACAGCTTTCTCAGGTGCGTTTCGCCCAGGCCTCTGTCAGCTGCACTAGCTGAGCATTTTATGTTGCAGTCCTCGACCTTCTTCCTTGTCTACCCTGATGGCGCAATGCCAAACAACCCTCTCCTCCGCCGCATCCCCATTCCGCTCGTCGCACCCTCGGAAACCGAAATCTCTCCTGGTGAAGAGATACCGCTCATCTTGCACATCTACGAATGGATCGGCAGCGGCGCGGCGTCTCATGTTTACCAAGCACTGACAGTCGGTCCCGAAGAGGCGTCTTATGCGATCAAGGTTGCCCGCCGAACACCCGACAACGAGTTTGTCAGCTTCGTTCGCGAAGCAACCTTGCTCGAGCGCCTTAAAGACGCCGCTTGGGTCTGTCATGTCTACGCTTGCCTCGAAGGAGCGGATCGGAAGTGCCCGAGTGTGCTATTGATGGAGTATGGCGGCGAGGCGATCGAGAACTGGGACGAGCTGTCGCGCGACGAGCGGTGCGTTCCGCTCTTTCTCGCTTCACTGCTGCCAATCTTGACATTCCTCTCTTACAGACTCGAGCTCTACTGGAACGTTGTCACGCTCCATCCGCAGTACAACCTCTTGCACGACGACCTTCGACCACAGAACGTCGTCGTCGACCCGCCTCCGTTTGAGACCTTGCCGGAGAACCTCAAGCGTCGCGTCAGGCTCATCGACTTTGTCTGGGCGTTGGAGCACCAGTGCGAGGGAGAGGATACTTGCGCGGAACTCCAGGTCTTCCGGCGCGACCTCGGGCTTTGAAGTTGCGGGAGCCGCTCGAGCATTGCCCGGTCGTTCTAGCGTTGTCGTTGTGGCAATGTACACTCATCCAGGTCGAATTTCGGCGCCGTCAACATCGTCCAGTTCGCTTGGATCGCTTCTCTCGCTCCTTCTCTTCACTCGCTGGCTTCGTCTCGCCGCTTGTGGCTGCGTGCTACGTTTTAGAGACTCCTTGTGTCGCCATGACCGTCGCTGCGCTCTCCCCTCTGCACAGCGCAGAGGGCTTCACCGTCGATGTCCTCCTCCGGATCCAGCGAGCGACCCTCCTCAACCCGGTGCTCGCCTGGCTCTTGCCCGTCCTGACTGGCTTGAGGGCGACTGCGACGAGACCTTACACCTCCAGCAGCCTCCTCGACGCCCTTCAGCTCCTTCCCTCGACCTTCCCCCACATCCTTCGCACAGACCGGCTGTCCCAGCTCGCACTCGCCGTCTTTGCGCTCGCCGCGGGCTTGCAGGTCAACTCGCTTCTCAGCAGAGCGGCGAGGAACAACTTTGCACGGGACAGGAAGGGGTGGGACTGGAAGAGCGAGGTCGTCGTGATCACAGGAGGTGAGGAGGAGCTTTTCTCCGTATCGACCGAGTCTTGTGGGTTCTCTTGTACTGACAATCAAGCCCTCCTCACGTAGGTGCCGGCGGACTCGGGAGCGAGGTCGCTCGCAGGCTCTCGGCGAAGGGTATCAAGGTCGTCGTCCTCGACGTTGCGCCTCTCGCGGCTGATGCTCGTGGGTTTAGCCCTCGCTCGCCGACGAGATCGTATACTGACACCCTCCCTTGCAGCTGCCAGCATCTCGTACTACAAGGTCGACCTTGCGAGTGCTGAAGCGGTCAAGGAAGTTGCTGACCTGGTTCGCAAGGAGGTTGGCGACCCGTGCGTCTCCATTGCGTCCAGTGCTCGAGAGAATACTCAATTGTGCGGCTACAGCTCCGTCCTGATCAACATGGCTGGCGTTGTTCGAGCGAACGCGATCCTCGACATGCCGCAGCGCGAGGTCGACCTGTACGTCGGCGGAACTCGTTCAGTTCGGCGATGCTTCCAGACCCAGGGCTGATCGAGAAGTTCTTTCGTCGTTGCAGCACATACGACATCAACGTCAAGGCGCACTACTACACCACCCAGGCTTTCCTTCCGCGCATGATCGAGGAAGGTCACGGGCATGTCATCGTGAGTTCCCGCTTCACCGTTCAGACGTCCAGCATTCTAAATTTGTTTCGCAGACGATCGCTTCGTCGACGGCGTACCACCAGGCCGCAACGGGCGTCGCCTGTGCGCACCGCTCTCGCTCATCCTCCTCGGACGCAACTTACACCTCTTCCGCAGACTGCTCCTCGAAAGCCGCCGCCCTTTCTTTCCACGAAGGCCTCACCGAAGAGCTACGCCATCTCTACCAGCCCACGTCGCACGCCCGCGCAATCCGCACCTCGGTCATCTGCCCTGCCCACTTCAAGTCGAACATGTTCGCTGGCTTCAAGAGCGGCATTCCCGAGTTCTTTGCGCCGAGTTTGGAGGTAGGGACTGTGGCAGAGTTGGTAGAGAAGACGGTGTTGAGCGGAGAGTCGCAGGTGCGTTCCGATCCTTCGCGCTGCTTTCACTTCGTGCCGGCTCATCATCGCCCGCGCAGCACATCATCGAGCCGTTTTATGCCAAGTGCACACCGCTCGGTCGCGCGCTGCCGACTTGGCTCTACGGCGGCATTCTTGCGTGAGTTCGGCCGCTCTCTTCCTTTCGAGCGAGTCGTCTACTGGCACGTCTCGCAGAGTCTACGCGAAGCGACTGACGATGGTTCTGTCTCGCAGCTGCGCTAAGGACGCCATGGGCGCGGTCAAGGCGTATAGAGCGAAGGAGCAGTAGAAGTCGGCGGGAAGAGGACGAACTGACGGCAAATTGCAACAACGTGGAGTACCACAATGCGGGACTGGACTCAAGTTATGGTACGACAAGCGAGAGCAGAAACACAGCAGTAAGCGCAACGACAGTCACGACAGCCCCTCCTCCCCCGACGCCTGCAAGTCCGCTTCCATCCTGAACTTCTCCAGCTCCCAGCAAGTCCCTTCTCCGGCGCACGCATGCTTCTCTGCCCAGGCGAAGTCGACAAGGCGGAGCTGGCGGTCTGGCCTTGTTGACGTTGCTGAATCCGCGTAGACGACGTTGGCGGGCCTGACGTCGCCGTGCTGGATGCCATGTACAGTATGCAGGTCGACGAGGCTCTTGTAGAGGTTGGTGCTGTGAGGGAGAAGGATCAGTGGCTTGTACGAACGCGCAAAGGTGTAGAGGAAACGTACCGCTCGCGCAAAGACAGGTCCTCCCACTGTTTCAAGGCCTTCCCTCCGTACTCCAGCAACAGCGCACACTTGTACCTCTCGTTGTTACTTTCGAGGTAGGCGATCCGATGGCAGACGTAGGGGACGTCGCTCAGGCTGGCGAGAAAGTTGGCCTCCTCCAGCATCTTCGCCTCGACGCCATGCACGGGCTTGACCGGGAGCTTGACGACGAAGCTCGACGTCGCCTTCTCGTCGCAATGTGCGAGGTACGCGATTGAGGTGCTGCCGCGCCCGATCTCGCGGCACAGCTGGAGCATCAAGGGAGCTGCAGACGCGCTCGTTCTGCTCCGGGTGGGGAGCGGCGACGTAGGCGGAGGCATACGCGTTGGGTCAGACGAGTGGGCAACATCGGAAGCGCCGCCAGATACGAGCGAGTCGTCGCTGCCGGGCTGCGAGTCTTGGGAGCGGCGAAAGATTGGCTCGAGGGGGGTGCTCCGGTCGGGGAATGAGAGGAAGAACGAGGAAGCCTGCGCACCCACTCACGTCAGCTGCATCCACCGTCAAAGTGAATGAGGAGGACGCACGAGAGACAGGTCGGCCAAGCTTGCGACGCTCCTGACCGACGTTGTTCCTCCACGCCCGCCGTCCGAGCTACTTGCGCCGACCTTCAACAAGTCTCGCAATGAAGAACCTCCTCGTGATCGCTCCGTCTGGGCCTCTGAGCTCGACTCCACGCGCTTGGCCTGTGCGTGGTCGGCGACGGCGACGGCGATGCGCTCCCTCGCAATCTTCTGGACAGTCTCGTTGTCGTAGAAGAGTCGCGCCTTGAATTGGGCGATGCACGGTGTCGAGGTGAAAGGGAGGAGAGGAGAGACGACGATGTCGAACTTTCCAACTCCAACGTCGTCCGTGGCGATCTGGGGGACAAGAGTGCCGTATTGCCAGCAGTTGAAGTCGCAGAGAACGAAGTGGCGAGCTTGGTGTGCGATGCAGGAGATGCTCATCTGCCAGATGACGAACGGCTCAGCGGATTTCGGGAGAAGGACGGAAGATGACGAGCACACCTTGGCGAGTATGGTGTAAACATCGTTGTCCGCAGTCGATGTTGAGTCAAAGAACTTCTGGAAGGTGACAATGTTCCCTTCGTCTCGCAGGTACCGGACGAAGCGTCGGAAGACTCGCGGACGAGGCGGGCGACCAGGCATGAGCTGGGTCGGGCAGTCGTCGGGATAGCTCGCCGTCGGGTCCCTCCACTCAACCACCAACTTCCGCCCCACCCCCATCCGGATCACCGCATCACTACGCGTCGTACACTCGATTTCGACACCGTGCGCGTCCAAAAGTCCCGTCTGCGCGGAGCTCTGGAAGGCGGCGCCGCCTACGCCAGCTCGCTCCCCGACAGGCAGGTGCTCGTCGATGGCACTGATGAAGCCGATCGTGAGGTGCTCGAGAGCCTGCGTGTTGAAACTGCCTTTGAAGTACTGAAGCGGCTCGGTCTGCACCATCTCCTTGGTAAAGGCGAGCTTGGTGGGGAGAGTCGATGGCTGGGTGTAGAAGGCATCGTTGGCGTGCTTCGCGAGGAAGGGAGCGAAGGACGACCAGACGATGTCGACGAGTTTGTCGTCGAGGATGATGCGGTCGGGCTTGTCGTCTGCGCGCAGCTCTTGCCGGAGCGAGGAGTTCGATCATTCAGGCGTGCTGGGCTTGCGCTCGTCCCAGTGCTCGCTCTTGACCGGCGTTTCGTCAAAGTGCCAGTCTTTGAGGACACAAGCGAGGCTGTCGGGATGAGGAGTGTGGGCGCGCGGCGGGGTGATCGGCTGGTCTGCCATGGATGCAGTACTGGTGAGATAGAGCTGTACAACTGGCACGTCTGCCCTGAGGGAGGGCACGGGAGGGAACGAGTCGCGAGGGTGGTGGTGGGTGGTTGGTGAACCGTCGTCCGTCCCCTCGTCCAGCAGGAGTTGGGCAGTCCCTATTCAGCACGGCTCAGCGAAGTGGTCACAAATAGCAGCGGACGACGCGGTACGCAACCGCGTTCATGTCGTCGCCAGACGGGTCGATGCGATGAAGGTCGGCTCGAGGCGGCGTCGGCAGAGGGTATGCTTGGGTTCGCTGTGCAGCAAGGGGACAACCGTAGCCGAAAGGCCGAGCACTGGCTGTGGACTGCCTGAAGCGAAGAGTGAACGAGAGAGAGAAGGGAGAGAACGGGCGGGCGAATGGAGGGACTAGAGAAGCGAGTGCTCGATTGTAACCAAGTCCCAACAGCGTTCCATCGACACTACAAGTCGAGAGCGACGAGCTCCTTCAGCTCGACTTCCCGCCGCTCCTTCGCGCTCAGCAACCCTCCCTCGATGAAAGCCACATCCCGCAACGTCGCCCTCGGCCCGCTCCGCTCCTCGACGCTCCGCATCTCTGCGCTCTCCGGTCCCGCAAGCAACGCCTCGCCAAACGCGTCAAACTCGGCGTCGACGCCCTCGGCCGGCAACTCGATCGTCAACTCGTGAGGCGGCTCGTCTGCCTCTGCGTTCGGTACGACGGTGCTGAGTCGTACGACGTGCGTGCGCCGGTCCGAAAAGTCGACGGTCAAGACACCCTTTGAGCCGCGGAAGGTGTATTGGCGCTTCGAGGAAGGCTGCTCGACGCCGAAGGAGAAGGTAAAGTGACCCGAGATGCCGGATTCGAGAGTGACGAGGCCTTGGAGGGTGTCGACGGGTGGGAGGTGCGGCTGGAACTGGTAGGAGCGGGCGAAGATGGTTGCGATGGGCGAGGGGAGCATATGCCGGAGACCGGCGGCAAAGTGGACGCCGCCGTCGAGGATGAAGCCGCTGTGAATATGTCAATGTGAGCGAGAGCACTTGAAAGAAGCAGCTCGGGCGACGCACCCCTGGTACTCTGGCTCGCGTCGCCAGTTTGTCGCGCCCGCCGCGAGACTCGGCTGGATGAAGACATCGACGTCGAACGTCCTCAGCTCGCCAATCTTGCCGTCCCGGATAACCTCCATCGCCTTGTTGAAGCTCGCCGTGTACGGGAACTGCTCCGCAACGATCCACCGCAATCCTTTCGGCTTGAACTCGTCCTCGTACAGCTTGATCAGACGCTTCGACTCGGCGACGGACGGCGTCGTCGGTTTCTCGGAGATGACCGACTTGCCCGCACGCAAGCACTTTTCGACGATGGCTGGTTGAAGGGGAATGGGAAGGGCGAGAGCGACGGTGTCGATGTCTGAACGGGCGAGGAGGGCGTCGAGGTTTTGTTTGGCGTCCTGGTCGTCCGAGTAGACGTCGAGCTGGTGTGCTGTCGAGGTGTGCTTGGCTGCGCCGGAGACGAGGGATTGGGCGGACGAGAGCGAGCGAGAGTACACTGCGACGAGGTGAAGGATTGGGGTCGCTGCGATAGCGGGGAGGTGCTGTGTGCGTTGAACGGTCGGTTAGCGGGCTCTAAAAGTACTGGTACCTCCTCTTCTTCAGCCTGAGCGGTCCTTAGCCGCCGACACCTTTTCCTCGTCCAGCAGAATGACGACCAGCTGGAGTCCGCCTCCAGCGCTCGTGGCGCCCGTCCAGCTAGTAGAGTGCTCTATCCATCTTTTGAATAAGCCGCCCCCAGACCCTCCCACGCCCTGGGACCGCCGTTCTTCCCCTCTTCGATGACGGAACCAGCCCCACTCGACGAGAGTTCCTCGAGCACACAGTCCAGCGAGCCAGCTGCAGCGCGCAGACTCACAGCATCCCGAGCAAAGCCACCTGCGCCCAGCAGCGCGATCCGGCGAGGTTGTTGAGCCATTCGAAGCGAGTTGCGAGAGGAAGACCTTCGAGAGGCGATGGCGACGAGTGAACGACTTTGTTGGACAAGCTGGACGAGGATGAGGGCGATCTATGCAATAGGTTACAGGCTAGACGATTCGCAACATTGGGGAGGTCCTCCTTCTACACTGGCAGCGCAAGTCCCTGCCGCTTCCTGCCCATCAACCGGTCCCACCGCGTCTTGCCCTCCGCTCCAACCGTATATACGAACAGCGTCACCTTCCATGACTGGTAGCGCCACCACGAGCGGAGGCGGTTGATGAACGAGAGGGGCGGGATGTGCGCGAGGTCGTCGAGCCGGATCGCCTGGTTGCAGTACCTGAGTGGGCGAGGGTCAGCGGTGGAGCCAACAGGAGTAGGAGCGTTGTGAGCGAGCAGCGGGAAGAGGCGAGCGAGACTCACTGCGCGATGATCAGGAAGACCCGCAGAGGCGAGTGTGTTGTCTGCAGGGCGAGGTCAAGAGATCTGCGCGACGATGACGCGTCAGAGTCTGCGGGATAGGAAAGCGGGAAGACGGTTCGGCATACCGGTTCAAGTCGTTGACCTTGAAGACCAAGACCAGCCTGCGGAGGTGAGCGTCAGCTCGAGAGAACGAGATTAACAAGCCCGCCTCGCACTCACCGCCTCGGCACACTCCGCAGAATCTCAAACAGCGCCTCCATCAGTCCCTCCTGCTGCACCATCGCCTTCCGCATGAGCTTGCGTTCGTCGTCCGTGTTTTCGCCCAAATCGAGGATCGACCCGCGCCTCTTCGGTCCGTCCTCGCCCTCGTCTGGCACCGCACCCTCGAGCGCCGCGCGGCCCGTGATGGCAGCCTGGAAGAGCGGGTAGTGCGCGTCGTCGATGTTCGCGACGAGCTTGGCGTACTTTCGTCGCGCGGCTTCAGTCTTGGGCGATGGCGCCTCCATCAACGAGAGCCAGAATCGCGCATAGTTGACGCGCAAGTCGTCGGCGAGGTCAAAGTACAGTCCGTGGTCGAGGAGGACGACTTCGAAGTTGTAGGGCGAGCGGGTGTTGGCGAGCGCCGGGCGGATGAGCAGGTTGCCCGCGTGCAGGTCGCCGTGGACAAAGCCGGTGATGTAGATCATGCGAGAGGTGATGCGTGCAATCTCGCGGCTGACTTGGTTGCGGTCGATGTGGTGCCGCTCGAACCAGTCGGCGTCGTCGACGCGGCCGCCCTTGATGACTGCGATAGTGTCGAGTGAGCGACGACGGGAACCCAGCTGCGGGAGGGCAACGCACACTCCATGACCATCACGCGCTTCTTCGCCCAGAGAACGTCGGGAATGACGAAAGCCGTCTTCTCCACGTCCGCAAAATCCTTCTTGCAGCGTGCCGCGTTCGCAGCCTCGTGTCCTGAAAGGTTCGCACCAAGCTCCAATCAGTCACTTGCCGCACCAAACGCTGCGGTAGATTGAACACGAGGTTTGGGCGACTTACGGAAGTCCATCTCGAGCGGCAAGTTGTGCTCCATCTCTTCGCCGAGCCAGGTGAATTCGAAGGTCGGGAAGATGCGCTTGACGACGCCGAGGAGGAAAGTGGTCGTGCGCATGTCGATGGCGGAGAATCTGCGGCCGAGGGGATGGGTGAGTATGCGGTATCAACCTACAGTAGCAGATCGCTCGGTGCTCGCAGCGCAGAGACCGCTCAAAGGAGACCCGCCGCTCACTCTTCGATGTCAGGGTGCATGCACTTGACCGCCACAAGCCTGCCGCTCTCCCTGTCCACCGCACGATGAACCTGCGCCAAACTCGCGACTCCAATCGGTTCCGGGTCGAACGAGCTGAAGAAGAACGACATCGGCGCGCCCGTCTCGGAGAGGAAGAGCGCTTGGAGCTCGTCGAGGGGCGTCGGGAAGCATTGGTCTTGAAGGGGCTTCATCGCTTGAGACCAGGGGAGGGGGACGAGCTGGACGGTCGAGAGGTGCTGGCCGAGCTGCGTGCGGTCTTAGCCGTTAGCGAGTCACGTTGGGGATGGTCTGGCGCAGCCGCACCTTGATGTAGACACCGCCGAGCTTCTTGAGCGCTTCCCTCAGCCGCACAGCCGCCGTCCAATGCGTGTTCTCGTAATCTTCATGTCGTTGCTTCAGCCCCTCCTCCGTCTCGGGCCACGACTTGCGGAACAGGAGCTTGTAGTCGATGATTGCGCGCACGACAGCCCATGCGATTGTCGCACACCGCTCGACGGCGATCACGCCGTGACGGAACGAGATGGAGAGGTTGTAGGCAGTGATGAAGACGGCGAGGGCGAGGCCGAGAAGGAGGAGGATGCGTTGCCGACGAGTTGGCCGCTTGAAGCGCGAGCGAAAGGCGCGCAGGCCGCCAAGGTGCAGTCGCCGGGAGAGGACGAGAGCAATGTCGCGTTGTAGCTGGGACAGTCGCCGTTCTGCCTTTGCTCGGCGTGAGAAGGAAGCCGGTGAAAATTCGGGAGAGGCAGAGGATGCGGGTCGAGGAGGGTCAGGGAGGGGAGACTGCTGGAAACGGCGAGGGGTGAGGGACAAGTGTCGGGTCGCGAGCAGCGCTGTCTTTGGTCGCAAGGGAAAGTGTGAGAGGGATGGCAATGCCTGCTTGCGCGTTAAAGTGAGGCGATCAAGCCGGGCACCACCTGGAGGTAGGTCGACCAGGGTTAGCAAAGCGACAACGGCACGAAACGGTTTCTCTGGGACACCGGGCCTCCTTCCACATGCCCATGCACCGCCCGAGCCTGTTCGCTGCCCTCCCCAGCGTGTGTTCCCGCCTGTCGACATGACGTCGCGTTTCGAGAGATGAAGCGGCGAGACGGCGGCGCACCTGTTCGCAGGCCCGCATGAGCACTCCTCCCGTGCACCTGAAGCACCCGCAAATGTCCTGTCGACCGCAGCATGGCCAGGCGAGGTGGGTGAAGCGAGCGAGGCGGCGTTGTCGAGGAGAAGGGTCGGGTCTGCCTCTTGCCGTGTGGTCGTCCTCGCTCGAATGCTCTTTCAGGCTCGCTGAAGGTGTTTGAAGACTACTCTGGGTGTTTCCACTTCGCCGCAGCGAACCGCTTTCGCTTTCCACGGCGTACCGACTCGTCGCTGCAGCCCGGGTCCTCCTTCTCTCGACGGCAGGCGCAGGCGGTCTTCGATCCAGTGTTCAGCAAACGTGCGACACACAGAGACGACGCCACAGCTGGCGCCCGCTCCATTCTTGGCGAGACCAGTCCTGCTGAGCCCTCGTCCGCGGACTCTCCGTTGGTTGGCCTTGGACGAGATTGCTTTGAGATTGCTTGTCTTGTTCTGCTTCGCCTTCCTCGCTCTCACTGCTCTCATTGCTGCGACATGAGTGACTCCTCGGGCTTCGACAGCCCTCGCAGCCGCCACCGCAGCGAAGACCCCAACGCTCTCCAGCGTCTGCCGTCGACCAACTCGACGGAAGTTAAAGAGATGTGGAACGGTGCGTTCGCGTTTCACGGGTCGGCGTCTCATGGATGACTGTATCGGAGCTCGCGCAGATGTGGCAAACGCTAGGCCAAAGGAGCCGTCTCCCCCGAGGGAAGACTGGCGACCTTTCAAAGGTCGTGCAGAACACGGTATGTCTCGCATCTTTGTAGCCGTTTGAGTGGAGACGAGAGGGATATGCGTGAGGCAGCGGAAGGAGCTGGAAGTCCTGACCGTCGCGAACCACTTTTGTCTGCGCAGATTCGCAAGACCCACTTCTTCGATCGCGCAGAACTCGAGACTCCGGCTGTGCGTACCGCCAGCATTCAAAATTTTGACTTGACTGACGTCTACTGAGGACTCGCAGCTTCAAGCAGACCGAGCAGTGCTGTTGGCCATGACCTCGCGCGCACTGACAGCGACGCACCGAGCTGGACTTCGGCACATCAGCAAGCGCACACCAATGGCGCAACCGCAGATTATTGCCAGGATTGGTCCGAGCAGGCGAAGCCGGGGCCGCCGGTTGACCCCAATGAGAGGAATCGAGGTGCGGTTGTTACCTGCGGACTTGGCCCAAGTCACCTCTATTCGTTTGATGGTCTGCCGTCTCACCCTCCATCTTGACAGCCTTCGTTCCCCTTGCCAAGTACCGCATCAAGAATGTGGCTCGCAAAGTTCTCAATCGCGCCTCCGGTACGCTTCGCTCTCTCTCGACCGCCTACTGCACACGAAGCTGATCGAGGGCAAAACCTCTCTGTTTACGAGGAGTTAGCTGAACTTGGCAGCAACGGGGAACGGAGGATGGCGAGTCGCCGGCGAAAGTACAACACGCAGGAGCGGCAGGAGGAATATGAGCGCGACGCACAGCGGCGAGAGGCATACTTGAGGGAGCGCGCCCACTCGAGTCGCTCGTTGGACTTGTTGGACTCGGACTAGAGTGTCTGGGGCGTGGACGAGGTGCTAAGGAAAGGAACCGGGTTTGCGAAGGTCGTCGCCTGTTCGACCTTGTCCAACGAGAACGATTCAGAGGAAAGCTGTGTTGGCGCTGCGCGGCCATCATTGCTGTGCTACTATCTCGAGCCCGGCAGAGAAGCCTACAATTCTTGCGACAGCACCTTTGCAAGGTCGTGAAGGAGGAGAGCGAGAGCTGAAAACCGCAACCCCCTTCTGCAGCTCGAGCAGACGCTGCGGCAATCCAACGCATCTTGCAAGAGGACGCTGTGATGCGTAGCGGGCGGGAAGACGTGCTGCTGGTGAGTGAGCGTCGCAGGCAAGCTGGACCTCGGCCTAGTTGCGCTCTCCGGACAGTCTCTCTGGGCGGCAGCATGCCTGTTCGCGGTTGACGCGGTCGTTCTGTTGCACTAGAGTCTCGTGTAAAGGAACTAGCACGAACGGAGGGGGAGATGCAAGCGAGATGCGATGGAAGCGAGGGTGGGTTGTCTTGAGCGAGCCGCTTCGAGGCGGTCTTGTCTAGAGTTTGGGTGATGGGGGGACGAGGGTATAGTGTATGTCGAGAAGGGAGGGCGCGAGGTTGACCGTGCCAGAGCGCTTCGTGCGGCGGTCGAGGGGGGATTTGCGAGGGAGGTGCTGCGAGGCGAGGGATGGGGGAGGAGGGACCGGACGAGATGCTCGAATGGTACAGATAGCATAGAGGGTGCCGCGAAAAAAGACTGAGGGCGAAGGGAAGGGAGATGGAAGGTACTGCTTGAGGATCGAGGGAAAAGGGTGACAGCCTGTCACCGACGGCGACGGCGTGTGCCGGCGTCGTCAGGAAAGTTCAAAGAGGGGCGGCGTAGCTCGGACGGAGGTGGGAGAAGCTGCTTAGAGCTGGAGCTTCTTGGGAACCTCCCACGAGACGTCGTCGCGACCTGCGTAGGCGGCGGAGGCGGTGTCAGTGACCTGCTGGGTTGTTCAGAGAGACGTTTAAGCGCACCGAAATGACCATAGCGTGCCTCGATTGTTGATTTTGCGCGGGAGAGAAAGCGCCGAGAGTTGCGTCAGCTCGAGAAGTCCGCTTGACTCCGCAGGTCCGCGAGGATGCCAGGAAACGCTTCCGGCGACTCACCGTCTTCTCGTAGATGGGGTGCTGGAGGTCCAGCTCCTTAACGATCATCTGTAGCAGATGGAGAGGGCGAAAGTCAGCTCGAAGTCCGCCGGCTGTCGACGTCGCGAGAGGCACGTACACCCGGGCGAAGGTCAAAGTTCTTCTTGATGATCTCAGTAAGGTCGGCGTCGGAGCGGCCGCCCTTGACGGTGCCGTACGAGTCGACGAAGATCGAGAGGGGCTCCGCAACACCTGCGAGTCGGAGGTCGGATGTACGTCAGAATCGCTGCCGTCTGAGGCACAGGGCTCGCACAGGACGTACCGATGGCGTACGAGAGCTGGACAAGGACGCGGTCGGCGAGGTCCGCCGCGATGAGCGACTTGGCCTGCAAAAATCAAATCTCGATGAGTTCGGGTCCTACGGGCACGAAATTTGCGCCAGAATCTAGCCGTACAATCCACCTGCTCGTGTAGGCTGCTGAACTACGATTAGAACGAGATCCAGGAAGTCAGCAGCGAAAAAACGGCGAAAATCGGACCAGGAAAGAGTCCGGGGCGATTTTTCGACGGGGAGAAGACGTACCGGTCGACCTTCGACCAGTCCTTGCCGGAGAAGGCTCCACCGCCGTGGGCTGCAAAGCTGCGCGTCAGTACGGAGCGTTCGAAGGCGAGGAGAAGAATCCGAAGTCGCACCGCCCCATCCGCCGTAGCTGTTTCGGGACCGGGACAAACGGGCCGTCAGTGCCCGGCTTTCACGTGCACGAGCGGCACGAGGGGACTCACGTGTCGACGATGATCTTGCGTCCGGTCAAGCCGGCGTCGCCCTGGGGACCACCGATGACGAAGCGGCCCGAGGGCTGGATGTGGTAGACGGTCTTGTCGGTGAGGAGGTTGGCGGGGATGACGGCCTTGACGACCTTTTCCATGATCTCCTTCTGGAGGTCCTCGGTCGAGATCTCCTCGGCGTGCTGGGTCGAGATGACGACCGTGTCGACGCGGAGGGGCTTGACGGCGCCGTTCGCGAGCTTCTCGTACTCGACCGTGACCTGCGTCTTGGTGTCGGGGCGGAGCCACGGGAGGTTGCTGCGGCGGCACTCGGCGAGCTTGCGGTTGAGCTTGTGCGCGAGGACGAGCGTGAGCGGCATCATCTCGGGCGTCTCGTTCGTCGCGTAGCCGAACCTGCGAATGCGCGATCAAGCGTCAGCGAGATGCGCAGGAGCGAGCGGCAGAGCAAATAGCCAGGACAGCCAGCCCGGTACGCACATGATGCCCTGGTCGCCGGCGCCGTGGTTCTCGAGCGAGCCGTGGTCGAGACCCTGAGCAATGTCAGGGGACTGCTGCTCGATGGCGACGAGGACGTTGCAAGTCTTGTAGTCGAAGCCCTTGTCGGACGAGTCGTACCCGATGCGCTTGATCGTGTCGCGGATCACCTTCTGGTAGTCGACGTGCGCCTTGGTCGTGATCTCGCCAAAGACCATGATCAAACCCGTCTTGGCCGCCGTCTCGCAGGCAACCTTCGACCACGGGTCCTCGGCCAAGCACGCGTCGAGGATCGCATCCGAGACCTGGTCTGTGGGCCAGCGTTCCAACCGAGTCAGTCTCGAGCTCCGGCGGTTCCCACCAGACACGAAGACTTACCGCAGATCTTGTCTGTACGAGGGGAAGGACGAGAAGGCAAGGCAGGGTCAGCAAGGTCCGCCTCGACGGCCAAGTGGGGAGTTGCTCAGATCAGCCCGCTTGGCTGCGCGACTTCGCCTCCAGGCCCAAGAAGGACCCTGTAGCCATCCAGGACCGTCGCAGGCTGAAAAGCCGCGCGTTGGGGCAGATGAACGTGGTCGCGGGGGTCGATAAAGCGACATCGACCCGCGAGTCGACCGCCAGACCTCGCGGAACGAGCGGACCCTCCCTGACGTCCTCCAGCACCCCCTTTAACATCGTCTGCAACCCCCGCTGACCTCCAGGACTCGCGACGGAGAAGCCGGGCTCAGCAAGGTCCCTCTCGCACGCAATCCATCCAGCGATGCGCACGGCGCCAACCACACGCGCCAGGGCCTCGCTCGAAGCGCCCATACGAGATGCCAGTCCTGGAAAGCCAGATCCCGCCGCACGCGAGCCCGGCGAGCGCGAGAGGGACTCGCGACGAGCTGTCCGAGATGCGAGAACGGGGTGAGCAACTTACCGGGGTGGCCCTCGCCGACAGACTCGGCTGTGAACAGTTCCAGTAGGTCAGTGCGGTCCAGGAAAGTGTATCTAGATAGCAAAGGAGCCCACAGGTGAAGAGGAAAGTGTTGGACATGGTTGTTTCGAGCTGGAACGTGTCGAACGAGGCGAGCGAGGACGGCGGCGGCGGCGGGAGCGAGATGCGGGTGTGCAGGGTGGCTGTCAGTGTGTGTCTGGTGCTCAGACGGTGTCGCTCGCTGCTCACGGTGTGCGACGATGCGGGTTGCTGGTCGAAGCCAGGCCGCGAGGGCGTGAGCGCACTTTTTTGCCACGGCGACAGCGCAGCAGCACGCCGTTCCTTCGTAGCGTGGACAACCTCATTTTGAAGAGCGTACTCGATAGTCCACCTCGCTCACAGGAAGCCCGCGAGGAGACGTTGTGGTCGCCGCGAAATCCCCCTCTCTTCGCTCGCTGCACGTGCTGGCTTCGCTCAGACTGCTCCGTAGGGCTCGCCTGTAGCACAGTGGAGCAGAGTAAGGCGGCACACAGACGGGGACTCGAGAGCGAAGCCAAAGGAGGCCGGTGAACGGATCGAACGTCCTCCTCGAACCCGTTACAAGTCGACACATCCGTCCATTCTACCCGCCCAGCGCCCGCGTCTATTCCACCTCGACCCCCCACACACTCCTCACCAGCTCCCTCCTCAACTTCTCACTCCCCGGACTTCCAACCACAACCCTCGCCCCGCTCCTCCGTCTCCTCACATCCGCATCCTCACGACTCGCCTCCCCCTCCGCCCGATGCGCCTCGACTTCCTCGATGTCCAATGCGTCGATGGCTGCGGTGCGGAGCGTTAAGCCGGTGCGGGACGTGAGAGAGGTGCTGGACCGGGAAGAGGCGCGTAGGTCGCGGACTAGCATGCCCCTCGTGATGGCGCCCACGCTGCGCGCGCTTTGAGTGTCAGCGAGGCGCACCGCTCGTCAGATAGCGCGCGGACTCACGTCTCGACCTCGAAATCGTAGTGCCTCCACGCCCACCCAGGCGCAACCTCCCCCTCCTCCCCATCCACCCCAAACCCCCTCTCGCTCGCCTCGTTCCTCATCCGTCCGTTGCGCGCCCAGTCAATCAAGCAATACACGACTGTCGGATCGTGAAGCTCCATCGCGTTGCCGCCGAACGAACGCATGATCTCGACTGTTCGTTCGAGGAAGGACGAGGTGAAGTGTGTTAGGGGTGATTTTGTGGTGGGATTCGAGGGCGAGCGCGTGGAGGAGAAAGAAGGGTCGACGGCGGAGGTGTAGAGTGAGAAAGGCAGGGTTAGGTACGAGGTCAAGTCGAGGGGGAGGATGTAGAGGTTGGGGAGCGCGAGGGAGACGATGGTTTGCGCGGCGAAAGGGTCGGCGTAGTAGTTGAACTCGGCGACCTGCACAAAGGTCACAGTCAGTTGCGCGGTTGCGCTGACTGAGTTGCGCACACGCACGGGCGAGGTATTCCCCGGATGCTCGACGGCCCCTCCCATGCTCAAGATGACCCCGAACTTGCTCAGCGCCGACTCGCGCATCTTCCCCTCCTGTACCGTCGCGCGATGTAGCTGCGCGAGGGAAGTGAGCGGTCCAAGGGCGACGTAGGCTATCGAGGCTGGCGGATGGCGGGAGAGGAGGGATGAGACGCCTTCGAGGGCGGGAGTCGAGGCGTGCAGGGTGTAAAGCGAGGAGGCGTGTGAGGAGGGAGGGGTCAAGTCCGGATGCCGAGTTGCGGCGTCGCCCAGGCCGTCCTGCGAGAAACCCGGGTGAGTGCGAGTTTCGGAAAGCGAAAACAAAGCCAAAGGACGCACCTTGCCGTGAAAATACTTGGCCGTGACCGCCTCTCCCTCTATCGGTCCCTCGCTGCCCAAGTACACCTCGATCGGGCCCGCACCCCATTGCTTCCTCCAAGCCGGATCAACATTACAATACCTCTCCCTCTCCCGCCCCGTCTGATCCGCCTCGAGTTGTCGCTCCAACGCGTAGAAGAGTTTCTGGAGGTTGGAAGAGGCGGAGGAGAGAGTGCAGTTCCCGTGGGTGAGGGTGATGGAGAGGACGAGCAGGTGAGGGGACGAGAGGGCGAGGAGGAGCGCGAGGACGTCGTCGACGCCCGGGTCGGTGTCTCTGCGGGTGTACAATGCGTCAGCTTGAAGAATTTGTGGGAGAGCGGCGGACTCGAGCGCACATGATGCAGGGAACGGGTGCTTCGTCGCGGGTCATGGTCTGCGAGGGAATGAGCGCGGTCAGCGACGCACCGTCAAAGGGTATGCCCTGGACTGACCAATGTCGTCTACAAACTTAGGGAGGCACTTAGCACAGTCTGGCGTCTACGAGACGACTGAACGGGAATGACGGAGGAGAGACTGATCTCGACAAGGAGAGGGTGCGAGAGCCGACGACAGTGACGAGCGGGTACACGAGCACTGTTCGGAGGCGTAGCAAGTGTCCCAGCACACTTTAGCAGCGATGCGATGGGCAGAGGTGGATGCAAAAGGTCAAGAGAGACTCGCCGAGTTGGTTGACCTCGTCACCCGCTGCAGCACCCGCAGACTCGCTCGCTTGGACCTGCACTAGTCTGCCAGAGTGTCTAAGCTGCCATGACTGTCCCGCTAGCCGCTCCCGCAGCCGCTCGCGCGCTGTACCGCTCACTCCTTCGGGTTGCGATGAGGATGCCAGATGATCACCGCAGCGCGTTCGTGGTGCACAGGGCGAGGTGAGTCGGTTCATCGGGCTCTTATGAACTCTGGGCAGGCTGCTCGAGGTGGACGGGCGAATTGAGGAGGCGCTTCAACCCTTTGAAGCGAGGATGGGCGGTGCAGGGTGGTCGCTGGCGGCTTGCTCGCTGCGTGGCGGCACGGTAGGCCGGGCAATGTGGTTGGAGAGATTCTAGAGGAGCGATCCAGGAATGCGCGAATCTTACGAGATGGAGGGCACCGCTTCAACCGACCAGATCTCTTACCCTCGTACTTCTCCTCCGCCCGCAGGTCAGAGTTCGACAAGTCTCGCTCGCTTAGTGCTCGCGACGACGTTGCGGCACGGCTCCTCGAGGGGGAGATCTACCGGGACCAGCTTGAGGTGCGTTGCGGAGCGTGCTTGTCGTTCGAGACTCTGCTTCGGCAGAGAGATTGACTCCTTGTGCCTGTCCGACTCTCGCAGCTCCAAGCAGATCATCTTTCTGCGCTCGCCAGGCAGCAGACCCTAATCCCCGTCGACTTGCGCTCGTCTCTCGCCAGCCCTCCTGCTTCCGCTCCTCCGCCTTCCTCCCCTTCGCCGCACCCTTCCGCATCCTCGTCTTCGCGACTCGGTCCCTCTAGACCAACGCGGCCATCTCGCCCACCGCCGCTGCCTCCTGCCATCTCCGCCTCGGAGCCAAACTCCCCCTCTCCGCCCTCTCCACCCTCCGCAGACCGCCGCAAACTCCTCCGCGCGATCTCTGCCCGCAACTCACAGTCTCGCGTACTCGGCGTACGACGGAACCGCTTCATGGAAGGTCCTGAGCCGAGCTGGATCAGGCGGAAGAGGGAGGACGAGCAGAAGGCGGAGGGCAAGTCGGCGTGAGGCGAAAGCGGTGGCGCGCTCGCTGGTTCGGAGGCACGTTTCTCGCTTCTACAGCGTGTTGCGCGGTCGCGATACGGCGGCCACGACGAGCACGCCAAGCAGCTGAGTTCGCCCATGGTTCACAACGAAACTGGCCCGACCACTCTCGCCCGGCTCGCCCGAAACGCGATCGACCAACTCCGCCGGCAGCAGCAGCTCGACCTCGCTCTCTCGCGCTTCGCTGGGCTTTGTCGCTGGCGGAAGCGAACGATGCAGACTATCGACGAGATTCGACGAACGGGCGAGCCGACTGCGAGCGAGGGAAGAGCGGTCAAGCCTACACCGGACTCTGCTGAGCTCGAGCGCGGCGAGAAGGGCGAGGTGGGCGAACGAGCAGAAGATCAGGCTGAGGGAGGACGCAAAGGGATGCGGTTCTGGTTGATCTACCTCTCGCTGCTGTTGGCGACGTTTGAAGCGGCAGTCGAGCAGACTGGTGCGTCCCTCCGCTTCTTCGCTCGGCTCGTCCAAGGCTGACATTGCGCCTACGTTCGCAGCGCTTTCGACTGCTCTACCGACCATCGCCGACGACCTGCATTCGACGAGCCCGTCCTGGGTCGCCAACTCGTTCATGATAGCCTCGACCGCTGCAATTCCTTGGTCCGGCGGGCTCGCCTACATCTTCGGACGCCGGCCTGTCATGCTCGCTGGCCTCGGACTGTTCTCGCTTGGATCAATTGTCGGCGGCGCGGCGAAAAACATGACGACGATGCTGGCCGGTCGAGGTGGGTTGAGGCATCGTTCTTCTGGGTCGCTCTCCGACTGACCCGTACGCTCGCCGCAGGCATCCAAGGCGCAGGCGCAGGCGTCATCTTCGCCATCGTCGAGATCATCCTCTCCGACCTCGTTCCGCTCTCCGAACGCGGCCTCTACCAAGCCGGATTCAGCGCGACCTGGAGCTTTGCGAGCGCGACAGGGCCGCTCATCGGCGGCGCATTCGCCTCGTTCGATTACCGCTGGTTGTTCTGGATCAACCCGATCATGTCGCTGCCGATCGCACTGTGCTGCGTCTGGGTCATGAAGCTCAAGGGTCCTGAGGACGACATGCGCGAGAAGCTCGCCAAGATGGACTGGTGCGGCGCGCTCATTCATGCCCGTCTATGAATCGCTATTGACGTCCTCGACCACCCACCGATAGGATTGGCAACCTCGTCTTCATTCCCTCGATGAGCGTGCTCATCCTCGGCATCGTCTGGGGCGGCGTCGACCATCCCTGGCGGTCTGCGCACGTCCTCGCCACTATTGTCTGCGGCGCCGCAGGACTCGTCGCTTGGTTCTTCATCGAGAAGCACTGGGTCAAGCACCCGACCGTCCCCTTCGCTGCGATCCTCAACAAGACGAGCTTGATTGGTTTCGTTACGACCTTCCTGCATGGCATCGTCACGATGTGTGTGTACTACTTGTGGTGCGTCGCGTTGTCTTTCGCCGCCGCTCCGGGCTGAGGCTGACGAGCGATAACTCCCAGGCCCGCCTACTTCCAATCTGCCAAGGCAGCATCGACGATCCGCTCAGCAGTCGACTTCCTCCCCGTCGTCGGCTTAGTCTCGCCTGTTGCCGTCATCACTGGCTTCTCGACGAACTACCTGCAGGCGTACAAGCCGCAGAACATCGTCGGCTTCGGTGCGCCGGCTTCCTGCTCCCTTCTGACCTCGCTTTGATCGCTGACTTTGCTTTGCTCGTTAGTTCTCCTCACCGTCGGCGTTGGCTTGCTCGCTCTTACGACGGAAGCGACCTCGACGGCGGGATGGGTCCTGATGTGCGTCCAGCCTCCTTTCCTTCCTCAAGTGACGCACGCTTACCCGCTCATCGCCGCAGCCCGATGGTCGTCGCCCTCGGCATCGGTGTCATCTATGCAGCAACCGTGTTCCCTGTCCTCGCGCCCCTTCCGCCCGATCTCGCCGGTCAAGCCCTGGCTTTCCAAATGCTCGTCCGCACATTCGGCATGGTGCTCGGGACTTCGATCGGTCCGTTCTCCATCTCTCAGGTTGCCGGACATTTATTGACGCCGTGCGATGTCGCAGGCCTGACCGTCATCACGAACGGTCTCGGGAAGCACCTCCCGCAAGCGTACCTCGACATGGTCCCGGACGGAGTTGCGGGCGCGTACTCGTCTATCCCGCTCATCAGGACCCTGTACGTCTGAACTTCGTGCATTCTGCGCTGCCCGAGCCGAGTTGACCTTGCGCGACTCCACAGCGAGGAGCCGCTCAAGACGGAAGTCCGGCACGCATTTGCGCAAGCCCTGCGGATCGTCTGGCTCGTCATGGTTCCCTTCGTACGTTGCGTCTGTCTGCACTCTCAGCTGGCGAATCTTTCACTCACCCGCAAGTCTTGACAGGCTGGCCTCGCCCTCATCCTCTCCTTCTTCATGGACGCGCTCCCGCTCAACACCGCCAAGGACGAGGTTCGTTCCACAGTTTCCTCGCATGCGCTGTGCTTGCTGACCTGTCCGATTATCGCAGAACTTTGGCGTCAAGCAGAAGAAGGGTGGCTCGCCTGACGACGTCGAGAAGGCCGATGTCCCGCCTGCCGTTGCGTCCGAAGACGCGCAGCTGTACCCGACGGTGTCGATCGCAGAAGCGACCGTGCGGATGGCTTGAGCAGGCGGCATCGACTCACCTCCAGACGCCGCCCTCTTTCCTCCATCTCACCTTTTCTTGACCGACGTACCTCCCCATTCCTCTGACTCTCACCTTGTGCCCCACGACTTTTCTACTACAACACAATCCCTCGACGCCCATCTTCCCTTTCCTCGCCGGCTCTGCTTCTCCGCCGCCTCTTTCGCCGCCTCTCGCCCGGCACCCTTCAACAGAAACGATTTCCCGACCGCACATCTCGCATACCCTCCCTCGCATCGCCATCATAAGGCTCCTAGACACTGTGATCGCATCCTCACCCTTCCGGTCGTTCCGTCGTTAGACTGCAGCATTCGATAGAATCCGGGTTGTCCGCCGAGTAGCACCTCCTCCCTTGTTGTTCCTCCTCGATATGATACTTGTAACGAGCCTCTTAAGACTTTGGCATCGCTACGATACCGTGCCGTTGCACCAGCAGTCAGTTGCGCAGAGCGCAGAAAGATCGCTGCTCAGTTCGCTCTCTCACACTCCCTCTCGCTCTGCTCGTCTCTCGATGCGAGCAAGTTCCCCGAGTAAGACTTAGGATATCGAATAACACGAATCTACGCAAACACCTTGACGCGGTCCTCGAGCGGCTGGAACGTCTTCTCCATCGGCGGGACAGTCGGCGCGCCAAAGACGAGGTTCGCCCGCAGCTTCCAGGTAGAAGGGACCTGGAACATCTCCTCAACGTCCTCTTGGACCTGTGGGCGGGAGGTCGAGGGGTTAGAACCAGCCTCGAGGCGGCGGAAGCGAGATGAGCGACGCACGAGTTCCGTGTAGTGCTGGAGCGATGCGCCGAGTCCTTCCGCATAGAGAGCGGTCCAGATAATGTATGAGACGATGCCGTGAGCGTTTTCGGACCAGGGGGGAAGGCTGGGAGAGAGAGTTTGTCAGCGCTGATTCTCTCGACAGGCGCGCACGCGGCGACGGAGGACGGACTTGGGGGCGATGAAGGGCATCTTTGCGAGCAGAGGCTCGAAGGCAGCCGAGTCTTCGAAGAGGAGGACCGTTCTGCGCCGCGAGAACCGTCAGCTAAACCCCCGAGTTCGAAAGAAGCGAGGGCGCCAAACTCACCCGTACGCATCCTTCATCTGCAGGAGCTTCGGCGAGATCTGGGCGAAGAATTCTGCAGATACCGCAGCCTTGAACCGCTCTTCAGCGGTGTTCCAGAACTTCTCGTGCTTCGAGCCGAAGAGGACGACGGCGCGGGAAGACTGGGTGTTGAAGGCGGAGGGACCGTGCTTGATGGCGGTCTGCACGATTTCGATGATCTGTACCGACGAACAGAACGTCAGACGGGGAGATGGGAGACGCAAAGAGGGGAGGACACACTTTCTCATCCGCGACGGGCGACGACTTGGCGAGACTGTAGCGCGAGCGACGGCTCTCCACAGCGGCGAGGAAGGCGTCGCTCGAAGGAGGCGCAGGCTTGACGGGGGCGACGGTCATGCTGAGGGCGGTGGAAGTCGAGAAGAACGAAGCGGTGGGCGGAAGCGAGAAGGGTCTGTAGAGGATCGCGAGCGGGGCGAGCAGGAGAGGAAGCGCGAGATGGAACCGAGAAGACGACGAAGAAAGCGAGTGAAGTCGCGAAAGAGGACGCGACAGCATGGCGCGGAGAGATAATCGGGCGTTTTTCATCGGCCCGAGGCCAAGTGGGAGGAGCTGACACAATCTTGGTCGAGCAGCCAATGCGCGGCGACAAAGCTGCCTAAGCGGATAAGGTCAGCACTCGCAGCAGCGCGGTAAGCGTCGCCGAGTATAGAAGAGGAGAGGCGCACTGGTCAGCAAGAGGAGCGAGCGACGGAAGTACACGGCCGAGAATAAGTTATCGTGGGCGCGCGCATCGAGGGAGAACGTAGCGTCTATTACTGCCGGACAGCTGTATGTACATCTTCTTGGTATCGTGAGGAGAGGTTTTCGCCGAGGCGGCACCGTCGATAATCGTCCTTGCGCGTGCGAATTTGCGTCGCATCGAATTAGAACTGTCGGCGATGAGGACCCGTCAGTGGACTCGCGGAAGCTGCGGAAGGGCTCCTCGAGAATGCACCTTCGACAAGTCGCGGCCGAAGAGCGATCGCTTGACCCAGTCGGCCATGAGGAGGCACCGCTGGCGGATCGTGACCGATGTCGAGAGGTAGACGCTCCGCCACAAGTACATCGCTGCGAGCAAGCGGCGGTGTCAGCAAGGTCCTCACGGAGGAGGACGACGCGCCCGATGCGCACCAGCAAGACCGCCTGCGAACGAGAAGCCGGGGAAGTCGAAGACGGCGCTGTTGCCGATGTAGGCCAGCGATCCCACTGCGAGGCAGGAGAAGCGTCAGCTCTTGCGTACGCAGGACGTAGCGAGACGAGGCGCGACGCACTGTGCTTGTAGTTGAACGGCTCGTACAGCATGTCGTCGGGGTCGTCGTAGACGCCGTTGTCGATCGCGACATGGGCATCGTGCTGCTTCGCGAGGACGTTAAGCTTCTTGGCGAGGTAGATACCTTCCTGCTCGGCGACCTGCGCCGTGGCCGGGAAGGCGGTGATCTTGCGCGAGACGTTGATGAAGAGGTCCGCAAGCTCGTTCAGCCCGAGCGCGCCCTTGCCGTCGGCGTACTGCTTGAAGATGTCCCTGCGAGAGCGAGCGAAGTGAGTGACGGTCGTGACGAGCGGAGAACAGGCGAGCGCACTCGATCTTGCCAAAGTGCTTCTCCGACGCCGGGAAGCGGCGCTTGATGAACTGAGAGAGAGCGGTGTCAGTCCATCGAAAGTTCGTCGGAGGCTCAGGCGCTGCATCGTAGGAGCAGTCCTGGACCGAAAAAAGCGAAGCGACTCGACTCACGCCCATCATCTTCTTGAACTCGCGCTCGTCAATCTTGCCATCCTTGTTCTCGTCGCACCTCGTCACGAACTCGAGCAAGTGGTCGACGAGCCTCGTCTCGATCGTCGCGCAGTCGCCGAGGGCGTAGACGGTTCCGAGCGGCGCGCCGATCACGCGCAGGTGCGAGTCGACTTCGAGGGCGTGCTTGTGGTACTGGTTCGGGAGGAGGGCGGCGACGCGTTGCGTGAAGGGGTTCATGGCTGTGCGACGGATGCGTGTCAGTCGATCGGAGAATGGAAGCGAGCAGGCTATCCCGCCGACACGCTCATTGCGCTAGCGAGACAGCCATCTCGCGCTTTCCGACGACCGACTCACCGATGCCCGTACTCCACAGCGTGAACCCGCTGTCGACCTCGTGCTCCGTCGTCTTGCCCGTCTTCGGGTCTTTGATCGTATAGACCACCTTCTGAGGCGTGACCTCCTTGACGCGCGCGTTGAGGATCATGTCGATCTCGTGGCGTCGGAAGCGTTCCTGTGCATCCGCGAAGTCGGTGATGTGAAGGAGAACGTAGCGGAGAAGCGCAGTGAGACGGAGGAGGTCAGCTTTCTCCTCGTCGCGCAAAGTCCCGTCCCGTCCCGTCCCCTCGACGACGCAAAGCGAACGAAAGCGCACCTCGGCGTACTCGGAGATCTTCTCGGCGTAGGTGTTGAGGATGTGGTCGCGCGACTGGATCAGGTGGACCTTGATCTCGTCGCGGAGGAGGCCGGGCATGTCTGCGCGAGAACAAGCGAGTGTGAGTGAGGGGCAGTCAGCACCATGGACGCCGTCATAGAAGCAATCATGCGCTCGGGTGAAAGCGAAAGGGAACGCCCACTCACACGAGATGACATCCTCATTGACCATCTCCCACAACTCGCTCGCAAACTCGACGCCCGTCGGTCCACCCCCACAAATCACAAAGCTCAACAACTTCCTCCTCTCGTCCTCCTCCGTACTCGGCAACGCAGCCTTCTCCAAATTGTCCATCACGCGCCGCCGGATCGCCTGTGCGTCTTGCACCGTCTTGAGCTGGAAACAGTTCTCAAGGCCGGGCACGCCGTGAGTGCTGTTGACGGATCCGCAGGCAATCACGAGCTTGTCGTACGGGAGGTAGAAGTTTTCTTCGTCGCCCGGGCACGCGACTTCGAGGAGGCGCTCGGAAAAGTCGACGTCGACGGCGCTGTGAGAACGAGTGTGCGAGAGAGTCAGCGAGTGAATGAACTTCGCGCGATTGAACCGGATGAGCGCATTCGCTCGACTGCGCGTCTCCAGGAAGCGACTTGCGAAGCCTCACTCACCGTCCGTACAAGAAGTGACCCGACACCCGCGCGATAATCTTCCTCAGCGGCTCGACCAAGCTCCGCACCTCGACCGTTCCGACTGTCGCGGAGGCTGTCCGAGGGAACGTTGCGAGTAGAGTCAGCTAACGGAGCGGGACGAGCCGCAGAGTTTGTCCGCAATCTGGAGAGACACTAGTGATCGCCAAACGTACGCAACAAGGGATGGAAGAGAAAGTAGTCTGCGCGCGCGCGAGAACGGCGTCAGTACAGAGCGCAGCGGAGCAGGAAAATGAGCGAGCGTAGCCGGTCGTGCGACGCGGGAAGGCTTTGGGACTCACTGTCAGGCGAGACGACGGTGACGTGCCATGCTCCAGGATCCAGGTGCTGCAGGATGCCAACAGACTGCGGAGCAGAAGGGAAAACGAGAAGGTCAGCTGTCGACCCGGTCTCGAAGCGATTCCCAGACGCCGCCCGCCCTGAAATGGAGTGCTACGCACCCCCCATCCGCCGCCCACAATGACGAGCCGCTTCTTGTCGCGTGCGTTGACGACTCGCTCGTCGAGGTCGTCGATGAGAGCCGCCGCGACCTTCAGGTTCTTTTTGCCTCCGCGCTCGGGTTTGAGTGCGACGGGGTCGACGGGTACTCGACCGGCGTGCGGGTGGTGGTAGGTCGACGCGTCGTAGGCCCAGAGGCCGAGGAGGGCGACTCCGAGCGATCCGCCGACGACAAAGGGCGCTGCGAGGACGGCGAACACGCGCGGGTGTCTGCGGTAGAACGGCTGCCACCCTGGTGGTTTCTGTGCGCGGGAAAAGAGGGTGCGCTTCGCTGCGAGATTGCGAGACGGGGTGAAGAACGACGGCGTCGAGTGAGGGCGTGCGAGCGAGCGCGCGAGGGTGGCGCGTGGCAGGGGCATCCTGGGCGACGCTGTCTAGCCGTATCAGTCGCAAGCAGCAGTCCACAGCGAGAACGAGCGAGTTGCAAAGCGATGACGATGATGGAGACTCGGGCTAATCAAGTCATTACAACCGAGTTTGTATTCAGCTCATTACAGCTTGAGTCATTACAACCAGATTACAACCCATTCCTAATTAGTTCGCTTACCTTCCTCACCGCTCACTCTCGCTTCGTTCGAGCTGCTGACTGGTGCTGCTGCTAGAGAGACTGCTAGAGGACCGACTGGTACAGCTTGAGCGCCCCTGCTTGTCCCCGTCCTCTCGCTCTCACCCTCTCTCCTCCCCACATCGCTTCGACCTCGTACACTCACACGGCCAGCGCATGTCGCCCAAGACGCCGCGGATACGACCGTACGTCCTACTGCCAGGTGCACGGAACGCAGGCGGACTCGACGGGTCGAAGGTGCGCTCCTCACCCCTCCTTCCGTCGAGCTGAACTGACAACTCTGCTCGCAGTGGAGACGGCGACATACCTTCTTCTTGCTTGCAAGCGTAACCGCACTCGTATGGCTCGTACAGCGACACCGGAGTGCGAGCAGGATCCCGTTCCATGTCCCCCTCGCCGCGCCCGAAGGCAACTCGTCCTTCTCTCCGACCCTCGAACGCAAGATTCCGCCGTATCTTCACTACGGTGCGCCGACTCAAGTCCTCTACTGTGAACACGGACTGACAGTGAGTTACGCCGCAGTCTACGGCCTCGCGCCCGATTTCGGCGGCAAACCCTTCAATTTCATCCACTACGTCTGCCTCACCTCGGCCCTCCACGTCCTCCGCCCCGAACGCATCTACTTCCACTACCTCTACGAACCCGACACCTTCTACTGGCGCGAGTTTGTCAGGAACGTCGAGGACAGTGGGTCGACGAGGTTGGAGATGGTGAGGGAGAGGGATGTCAAGGAGGTGTTTGGGAATGAGGTTGAACACTTTGCGCACAAGGCGGACGTGTTGCGCTTGGAGGCGCTGAGGGACTATGGAGGCGTGTATCTGGACGTGGACGTTCTCGTCGTGCGAGGTGAGTGCGCGGTCGTCGCAGAATCAGCCTCCACCTCTCGAGCCTGACTTGTGAGGGCTGATCATCCGCGGCTGCCTCGTCTCTCAGACCTCGCCCCGCTCTATCGCCACGACACCGTCATGGGCATGGAATCCCAGCCGAACCTCAACCCCTCGCTCCCTCCTTCCGGCCTCTGTAACGCCGTCATCCTCGCCAAGCCCTACGCGAGCTTTATCAGTGCGCGCAGGTCCTCTCTCTGAACCTGTGGAGATGCTGACAGGTTGGGAGCGCAGCGAGATGGCTGGATACGTATCGCACTTTCGACAAGAATCAGTGGGCGAAGCATAGCGTCACAACACCCTGGGTGAGCAGGTCGTCCATCACCTTCGGACTTAGCCTGCGCCATCGTGCTCGAGACTGATTGAGTGTGCCGGCAAATCTACGCAGGACCTCGCGCGAGCGTATCCGACCGAAGTCACCGTCCTCAACAAGTTTGCCTTCTTCTGGCCCATCTGGTGCGTCACCTACTCTTTTAGCGTACTGAATCAATCACTAATGCTCCCATGGCGCGCGCAGGGACGACGACTCCCTCCGGATGATCCACCGCTCGCTCTCCTTCTCCTTCCACTCACCGCACCCTCTCGCTCCGACGCGCGACCTCCCCTTCACATGCCACCTCTGGGAATCCGCATCTTACGACCGCTACCTCTCTCCGTACGATCCGGACCGGATCCACAATAGGGGAAAGAAGGTCGGAGAGGAGAGGGAGGAGGATGGAGTGAGTGATGAGAATGCGTTTTCGAGGGAGGCGAGGAGGTTTGTTAGTGAGGGGTTCAGGAAGAGGTGGAGAGAGGCCAAGGCGAGGGGCGAAGTGGATCGGTAGACGGCCTTGGAGAAACTAGAGACGTGCGAGGAAGCGGTCCTCCCGCTTCCGTTCTTTCGTCTTCCTGCGACTGGCACTAGTAGGGAGTGTACCCCAGACTGCATCGACGCCGACAGACCGCCAGAAAAGCGTCGCCGCTGGCTCGACTTTGTCTTCATCGCTTCGATGGGACTTTGCCGTCATCACGCTCGCTTGTCTCTGCTCAACTCGCTCGTTCGGCCTCGTTGACAGCCCCATTCGCTTGCTACCCGTCGCTACTCGCCTGCTAGATAGCCAGCCAGCCCCGCGGAGCCGTTTGCGGGTCGAAGCAGCTTCGAAGGGCGACCCGCATGGAGCGACATCTCGAGCGGTGAGCACGTCTCGTGGGATTGTGCGACTGGTCGAGGCTGACACTCGACTTACACTCGCAGCGTCAAGCGCTTCGAATCGCTCCTCAAGCCGTTCGACCCGTCTCCACCGGCCGTCAGCCCCATCGCAGGCTCGAGCGAGGGAGCCGCAACTGGCGCTGAGGGGGCCGAAGCAGCGCCGACGCAAGGTCCTGTGAGTGCGGAAGCGTGGAGGAAGGACGAGCTGCGCAGGCTGTGCCGGGAAGGTGCGTTCACTTCTCTTTGCTCGCTCGGAACTTGCGTGAGGAGGTGGGGATGCGCGAGGGAGTGCGCTGATGGGTTTTACGAGCGCGCACTGACAGCACTCTGGCACGCAGGCATCCCCGACGAACCCGCCCCCCTCCGCCCGGCAGCCTGGCACTTCCTCCTCAACCTCTCCCCGACTCCCTCGCTTCTCGACCAATATCGCTCCTTTCTCTCGGAAGTCAACTCGCGTATCTCAGCTCTCTCACCTCCGGAACCTCGACAACCGCTCGACAAGTACGACAAGCTGTTGAGGGAAATCGAGCGGGATGTCGAACGGACATTTGGGACGCTCGCTTGGTTTGGGGCAGAGGTGGTTGGGCAGGAAGAGGCGGATGGGATGGACGCGGTGTGGGACAGGCTGGAGCTGCTTGACGAGGCGGACAGGCAGGAGGCGAGGGACTTGGCAGCGAGAATTGAGGTGGGCGAGGAAGGAGAGTCGGGGGAAAAGACAGACGAAGCGGCGGCCGCGTCAACGGTGACTGCTTCAGCACCTTCTACGGCACGACGGCGACCACGTACTCGACGAGACGCCCTACTCCGTCCTCTCTTCCTCTACGCTTTCCTCAACCCTGGCGTGTCCTTCGTTCAGGGCATGTCCTATCTCGCCGCCATCTTCTATTACGTCTTCGCTTCGTCTTCCTCGACCAACGACGACTCACGTCCTTTTTCACCGCTTGAAGTCGAAGCGACCACCTTCTTCGCCCTCGGTGCCCTCCTCTCGCAACTCCGCGACCTTTACCTTCCAACCCTCGACAACCTCTCATCTCCGCCTTTCTCCGCTCCTTCGCCAACAGCGACCGGTCTCGGCGCAACTGTAGCGAGGTTCAATTCCCTCCTCCTCGTTATCGACCCGCCTGTAGCGGATGCGCTCGACAGGAAGAAGGTTGACACGAGCGGGCTGGTCATGCGGTGGCTGACGACCATGTTTGCGACCGAGGTGAGTAGGCACGGGCACTCAAGTATCGCTGACAGACACCCTGACGCTGTATTCGCACAGTTTCCTTTGCCCGATGTCCTGCGAGTCTGGGAGTGCGTCGATGCTCTCTCGGTCTCTCGTCGCGCATTCGCTCACCCTGACTCTTCCGCAGCCGAATACTCTCGCTGTACCCGCCCGAAGGAGAACAGCCATCGGGCGAGGCGTTGTCGCCCGTTCTCGGTCACCTCGTCGATGTCTGCCTTGCGGTCGTCCAGCTCGAGCGGCAGACGATCCTCTCGCCTTTCGCAGTGCGTTCGCCGTGGTCCTGCTACATTAAGCGTACCATGACTGACGGGCCTCGTCACGCAGAAACTTCCGAAGATCCTCGGCGTCTTGCAGAAGCTGCCGATCGAGGGAGAGGGCATCGACCGCCTGTTGCAGAAGGCGTGGGAGGTTCGGGAGCGACGGCTGGGTCGCGCAAAGCGGACGAGCATCGCCTCATCAGTCGGGAGCAACCGCACTTCGGTTGTCGGAGCGCTCGGCAAGAAGGCCTGGTGGTCCTCGTCGCCGGCTAAGACGGACGTCCCAACCGCTGCTGCCGACTTCGAACTCGACGAGCGGTCGTCTAACGCCGGCAGCGACGCGTCTCGACCGTCGCGCTTCGGCTTCGGCTCGCTTGCCTTCTCCTCCCCTCGCTCGTCGCAAGCCGACATGGCTGACAACGTCACCGTTGTCGAGGGCAAGGTCCTCCCGCCTCCGCCCGCTCGCATCGACCAACCGCCGACGATTGCATCGCTGATCGAGGAGGAGCTGCGGTCAACGGAGAAACAGGCGGACGAGGAGGACTACCCGCTCGAGGACGAGGAGGATGGCGCGGATGAGGGGCCTGCGATTCACCGCCGCATGGCGTCAGGCTGGGGTGGCATCAAGTCGTCGCTCTCGCGCTTTGCAGCCTCGGACACCGCCGCTGCTCTGCAGAAGCGGGCGACGAACCTCCAGCTCGCCGCCGCCCACTCTGCCTCGACTGCTTCGACCCGCTTTTCGACTTCGGACGCTGCTGCCGCACTCTTCAAGGCTCAATCGAACGCTGCGGCGAAGGCGCAACTCTTGCGCGAGCAGCTCGCCGAGCAAGGACCCGACCGTCTCGCCAAGATCAAGGAGGCGGCGGCGGGTGCGAGTGGACGCTTGCTGGCATCAACGGGCTCGGAGCGGGGCGGAGACTGGCGGCCTGGCAGTCCTCGCGAGACGCCGTTCACGCCGCCAGGTCATCCCGGCGACATCTCGCCTCTTCCGTCGCCGCGAATCGATTCCGTCGACATGGGCCGCTCGCCTAGCGCGGGGCCGAAGCCCTTGCTTCTCTCCGGCTCTGCCAGACGAGCGCAGAACTCGTCAGAAGACTCGACTGGTTTCGCTCGCTCTCCTTCCGCGTCACCCACCATCTCTCGCACCGGCCAACTCCTCTCGCCCGACATCTCGATCCTTCCCCTCTCTCGCTCTCCGTCTCGCGGTGCCGCGCATGGAAGAAGCGCTTCGCAATTCGACACGCCGCCTCGCACATCCGCTTCCGCCTTCCGCCCTCGCTCGTCTTCCTCCTCGACTGCCCAAGCGTCGCCCGGCTACCCCTTGCAGGACGAGGACAGCCCGATTCAGTCTAGGCGTGTGCAGGACGGCGCAAACGGGTTGCGGCGCGGGTACGGAAAGGTGCGGGACCTCGAAGCGGGTTCGGGTGCTCGGCCGGCTGAGGGGGGTCGCGGTTGGACGCTGTCTGACTCGCCTGCGCAGTCGTCGCCGTCTGCCGCGGCTTCATCTCTGCCTAAGCTCGACCTGCGCGCCGACCAAATCGCGGCGAGTCTCAGCCCGTCCTCTACGACCGCCATCTCTCGCCTCTCCCTCGACAACTCGCCCGGACCGAGTGAGGTGCCATTCGCTCCGCCTTCGGAACAGCCGTTCCTGCCGCCCATCGCCGACGAGTCGCTCTTGACAACGGAGCGAGAAGACGAGGGGGAGTTCCTGACGCCGTCCGAAGGTCGATCCGCTGAGACGAGTCCGACTCGCCAACGACTTCCGCCGCGCGGCTCGTCCCTTTCGTCCTCGCAAGGACCGTCTGCGGCGTCGTCCGCGCTCCCACCGCCTCGCATCTCGTCCCTCTCCTCTTCCGTCCCGCCTTCCGCCTCCTCGCCTTCTCACGACGTACCGGCTTCCTCGACAGCCGACGACACCGTCGCCGCCTCTCCTACCGGCTCCCTTTCGCGCTCCAGGATTGTCCGCCGACCCGCCGCGCACCGCAAGCGCACCTCTCGCTCGTCCGTCGCCTCTGCCAGCGTCGACTTGAACGGACCCGAAGCCCGCAGGCTCGCGAGCGAGTTCCTCGTGCGTAGCGGGTCGTCGAGGTCGACGCGTGAGTGTGGGCACAGGCGCGCTGCGAGCGATGCGAGGATGAGTGTTGGCGACTTTGACGAGAGCGGTTTCCTCGACGCGTATGGCGGCGAAGACGGGGACGAGCAGCCGCGGTAGATTCAGCTATACCACGCTCGCATATATAGACACTCTCTGTGCATCGCTGTGAATACCCATTGTGTTACGACAACATTGTGCGCCATACCTCGAGTCTACTTTGTTGCGAGGAGTCTTTGCGCGTCCTTCCAGACCGCCTGGAGGTCTGTCAAGCTGGGAAGGATTGACTGTGGTCGTGGAAACATCAGCTTGTTGGTCGTTAGAGTGGCAATTGGAGCGCGCACCGGGAAAACGACGAACACCCATCTCTCTCCTCCTTCCGCTCCTACGCTTGCCCTCTCCACGACAGCCAAGTAATGTCTGCCACCCGCGCCTTGCAGTCCTTCGTTGATGATGACCTTGTCGATACGTTCGAGCGGGACCAGACGTGTATGGCGAGAGGAGCGGAAAGCGGGAGGACTTGCGGAAGTGAAGGGGAAGGTGAAGTGGTAGACCGTGCGCGAGGCGAGCTGGAGCCCAAGGGAGGGGAAGAGCTCGAGCGTCTCTGCGTGGGGCAGGGTGTCAGTGAGTAACTTCGCGTTAGGATAAGTGCGAGGTGGCAGACAAGGCGATCGGGCAGTCGAGCGGATTCAAGCAAGTCAGAGCCGAGGGGGATCAAGCTTGGAGGCCAAAGCGCGAACGGAAGTGCAAGAGTACAGGGCGAAGGTGAAAGATGCTCACCCTCACGAGCTGAGCGAACGCAGAAAGCGAGAGAGACCAGGACTAGGAGAGCGGCTGTCGTCCCTCGCCGCTGGAAGGGGTGCCGGTGTCAGCAAAACAACTCGTACAAGTTCAGCGAGCGTCCGCACGAAGCAGCGTACGCACAGTCTCAACAGCGACCATTGTCAGCGCGAGCGAGCCGAGGAGGAGAAGGACAGACCACAGCGGAGTGGGAGCGGTGGCGGCCGTGTAGCACGTGTGCAGAGCGTCGGTGTGGGTGTGTCTGAGTGTGTAGCTCGTCATCAGAGCGCAGGACGACGAGTGACACTGGACCAACCCATTCCGCTCACTCTCGCTCGACCACAACGGCGACAATGCGCATTCTCGCTCTCCTTGCCGCGCTGTGTGCTCTGCTGTGCACACTTGCACTCGCTGAACCCGCTCCGGCTCTCAAAGACTCGCCCGCACTCGCTCAAGCTCCGCGTCGAGCAGTCGCTTTCGGCAGACCCGCCGACGAGCGCAGGGACGCAGGCGGCGCGAAGAAGGCGGACGGAGCGGATGGCAACACGGTCAACTACGTGCGTGTCGCTCTCTCGGGCTTGCTCGTCGTGTTGCAGCTGCTGTCGAGGCGTTCGAGGTCGCGGGAATGTGGAGCCGGGGGTGTTGCGCGGTCTCGAGACTGCTTGGAGAGCTTGGGCTCCGGCACAGGCGTCGACAGGCTGCTGCGTGCATCGCTTGGCGCGCAGCGGGGCCATCGCAGGCGGAGGACACCGCATCGGGTCATGGGAACCGCTCTCGTCTCCCTCGCGCGGAGCCTGCACTTCCCGTGTTTCGATGTTGCGAGGCAGGCCTGTGGGACAAGGATGAGCTGGACGCAAGGGGAGCGGCTGGATCCGGGCGGCTTGACACCTCAGCGGTCTTCAACTCGCCTCGAACGCTGGCTGACTTTGCCTCATCTTGTACAGCTCGTCACGCTCGACCGATCAATCACCAACGTCGCCAAGGACAAGATTCTCGATGCGTTGCTGCGGATGGGGGCGGTTGTGAAGCAGGAGTACAACTACCGCGTGCGCTCCGCTCCTTCCGCTTTTTCCTCCTCCCGTCGCGAGCCTCACTCTCGCGGTTGCGCGTGCGCGGCGTGCGTTGACAGGAGATCGAGGGATGCGGGAGTAGCTGACCTGTTCCTGTGCGCCGCAGGTCTACAAAGGCGTCCTCTTCTCGATCCCCTCGTCGCACGACAAAGGCCTCACAGCGTGGGAGACGGCCTTGACGAAGCAGGAGGGCGTCAAGTATGTCGAGAAGGACCAGGAGGTGCGCGCCAACTCGTCCTAAATCCTGCGTGGACAGAGAAACGGTCGTGTTTGCGTTTCTCGCTGTTGTAATCGCCACTTTTGCACTGTAACCGTGTTCTTACCCTGTGCTTCCGGGCTCGGCTGCTTGCTGCTGACGTGGAGGAGCTGCTGAGCGAAGGACCAGGTGCTGCAGTCGGGAGCGAGGGAGGAAGAGCAGGAGACTGGCGCCCTCTGCTCCTTTTCCCCTCTCAAGCAGGCTGACTCGCTTCCCACACAGGCTTGACGCACTCGTCAAGTGCACTTCAGGGAAAGTGCTGTTGCTCTCTCTCAAAGCTGTGAGTTCAGGTTCTCCCCCTCGGACTTGGCTCAGAAGGAAGAGGAGGGTTAGGGTTAGGGTTAGGGTTAG